CCTAAACCTAAACCTAAACCCTAAACCCTAAACCTAAACCTAAAACCCTAAAACCTAAACCTAACCTAAACCTAAACCTAACCTAAACCTAAAACCTAAAACCTAAACCTAAAAACCTAAAACTCTATAGACAACACCAAACAAACATTGAAATACTTAGAAATTATTAATATTAATAATTATGTATAATTAAAAGACTAGAATTTTTAGTTTCAAATACTCTGAATTATTTCTCAACGTCTTCTGATGAATTTTGTTTATTATCTTTATTTTTATGTTTGTTATTAACCACTTTAAGAACCATATTCTCTAAAATTTTCATCAGAGTCTTTAAAGATTTTACCCAATAATTCTAAATAGGTAAAGATTTTTTTTAGAACACAGTTTTCACTTTTCCTGATCCTTTTTTATTGTCAAAATTACTACTACAGCATATTAGCTGTTTGAATATACTGAAAAATCTAACATTATCGTGAATAAGTAAAAATTCTTGGTACTTTTTCAAGGTTAAATTCGATTCAGTAGCTTAAATGAAAGTAAATAGTTCATTAAAATTAATAAGAATTCCAGTTTTTTAAAAAAACTGTTATATTTAAATTTCATTTTTTGATAGTAATTTTTAAATAACTATTTTTTATTTATACAAACCCAAAAAATAATTTTTACAAACAAATAAAAATATTAATATTTATTCAATAACAGAAAATTACTCAATTTTATGTTAAATATAATATCTAAACATTAAATAAATAAAATTACTGAAATTATTCTCTGTAATTTATTTCAGATTAATGTATTTTTTTTTGTTCAATATTAAGCCTTTAAAAAATTCTTAGGATTAATCCAGAATTCTAACTGATTATGTTCACCGTATTTTATTTTTCTGAAACAATAAATTACTATGAGAATTTTTTAGCTTTATTATTGTTTTTATTGATTTTTGTAATGTCATTTTAATTCCTTTCTATAATCTGTAACTTTTAGATCTTTAACATTTGATTGAAAATATAGACAAGCATTATATTTGAATCTCCCAAAACTAGTATGTTTACCCGTTTAAAAAATTGAAATTAAATGATATTTGATATAAATTTAATATAAATTCCTAATTATAATTACATTTATATCAGGTATATCTTAAAATAAGTTAATATCTTTAAATTTTTTTGATGAAATAATGATTAATTGATAAGAAACCTAAATATTAACTCTTGAAATCAATTATAACGTTTATAAAATATTGCTATTTTTATCGTTAAGTTGTTAAGATCTCATCTTTTGATTCATTTAAGCTAATAATACAAATTAATCAATCGAAAGTATTAATCGATTACTGTTTGGTTTTTAAAGGTATCTATTGCAAATTAACAAGAAGAGTATAATAAATTCTTTTTAATATAACATCATTCATTGTTATTTAAATTCTTCCTGTAAAAAAACCTTTCAACTAATTCTTTATTTAAAATCATTTTTAGCTGTTCTGTTCAAGTGTTAAATACCAAAAATATATTAGCTAAAAATAAAGCTAATGGTTCAATGATAGAGAATAGACAAATTATTAAATTAAATTACAGTATAAAACATACTTAAAAAAAAATCTACAATTGAGAGTGATTTAATCCTAATATCACGAAAAGTTCCAAATATTCATTAAAATTAATGATAAAATCTATTAAATTTAACCTTAATGTTATCCTGTGCATTCGAAGTTAGAACTAATTATTTACTCATTTCTATCTAGGGATTTATCATGAATATATTGCAAAAATAACGGAAACTTAAACTCTGCTTAGGGAAACAAAATATAAAAATTACATGTTAAACCTAAACAATAATAAATTCCACTCTCCAAAAAATTGATAGTTAAAAACTGTATGTACCTTCATTCTAAACCAAGATTTCGATAAAAGAGAGTGAATGCAAAACAAGCAAATATTCGGTATGCAATACCCAAAATAAATAAGATCAATACATTAAATAAGAATGAAGTTTGGTCAATAGAGAATTGCTTAAGTAGATCATCTGTCTTAATAAGACCCCATATATTGTTAGCTGGAAATGTATTTACTGCCAAGGCCGAGTAGGAATATCTCTGGAACGAAATGTACTTGACCCAAGAAATCCATGACGGTAGCTTATTAACAGTTACATAGAAACCTGATACTATCACAAAAAATATTATTATCAGAGGAGCTATTCCATATGCAAGTTCCAATGATTTTGTTATTCCACAAATGAAATAAATCAAACCATAGCTTGCCCAGGAAGTTAATAATATCGTTAGCTGATAGCATAGATACTGAGTTAAAATACTCCAGTCTGGATAAGAAACAGAGTTAGTATTGCTCATAAAATAAAATATATGACTAAATATCATAATTGGAACGATTTCAAAGATAAAATCGCCAACGTGTTTACCCAATATATATGTTGCAGGACCATACAAACCTTTTGCCCTCTCTCTAGAAAATATTATTCTAAATCTTGCGAATGATTCCAATGCTATCATTGCTCCAAATGTTGCGGTCATTACAGAGAAAAAAAGTGCTCCCATAATGTTAGCAGCACGTAAAAAAGATTCATCCGCATCATTACTAAATGAAGGTAAATTAAAGAAAATACTTCCAATTACAACCGCAATAAAAGCATTAACTAAAATACCAAAAACTAATGATCCCAATGTATTCCTTGCATTATTCATAAAAGATCTTTTTGTAACAACACTAAAAGCATGTAGCTTCTTTCTTATCCACCCACAGCATGTATGACTAGTCCTCGAAAACAATAAAAGCTCAGGAATTTGAGAATACTGTCTATTCAAATGCTCATCTATTTTTCTTATTACTCTATCATTATATTCGGACGATAAATATAGTTCTGGCAACACTCTCAACTGTTCATAAGTAATCGAATGAAGACGATTATCTGCAAATTTATCCATACTTGATCTTGGAACCAACAAATCCAAGTAGTAATCTGTTGGGTTATAATTTTCTGGTACAGGATACCCAATTAACGAAAAATAATCCACCGATGATTTTGATGGGCCTAGATACACCATTTCTCCCCTAGATAATAACAAGATTTCATCAAATGCTTGAAATACTTGTGTTCTAGGCTGATGTATTGTACAAATAATTGTTCTTCCAGTTTTTGCCAACTTTATTAGTAACTGCAAAATTTGAAAAGCCATAAATGCATCTAAACCACTAGTTGGCTCATCAATAAACAACACTTGTGGGTCGCTGATCAACTCAGTACCCAATATAACTCTTTTACGTTCACCACCTGATATTGATCTTACCTTGTCGTCACCTACTATTGAATGCATACAATGTACTAAACCCAGATCATTTAATAAAATTCTAACCTTTTCCCTTCTTTCTTTTGCAGATAAAAATGGTAATCTTAATTCTGCTGAGTAAAGCAATGTCTCTTGAATTGTTAAATATGGAATGGTTATTTCATTTTGCATCACATAGCTACAACGAGACTTTAAATCCTTACTTGTAACCTTCTTTCCATTCAAATATATCGAACCTCCTACCAGCTTGTTACCAGTTGAAGATAATCTTCCAGATAAAATATTAAGCAAAGAAGTCTTTCCAGATCCACTAGGACCTAAAATTGCGGTCATAGTTTTTGGCTCAGCAAAGAACTTTATTCCTGATAATATTCTTGCTGTGCTCTGTTCAAAAACACCATTAGTAATTTGATACGAAATATCAGTTGCAGCCAAGTATACTCCCTGATCTGTATTAGGAGGAAAAATAGACCCTCTGACCGGTTTTGATTCAATCTTATCGCTATGCATCTCTATTACCTAACAACTAAACACTATTTAGTATTACCAATAATATACTTTTCTTAGAGTATCAGAAGTTTAATTCACAGAACATTCAGGTTTACAAATATATCCTTAACTCCAAAAAAGCTTCCGTCCTTTTCTTTAATAAGCTTATTGATTGTTACTATTAGATTCAAGAGTTAATTCAAAACCTAATTCACGCAATAGCTGTATCCAAATAAGCATTAGTATCCTCACACCCTATCTAACCTAAGTCCCCCCCCACACTTTAAGATACAAAATTATACCGCCAAAAAAATAAGAAAACATGTAAAAAAGACACTGATTACAAGTCAAAAGTAAAAGAAAATTCTTAAGTTTCTAGAATAGAGTAACCTCCAATAACGCTAACGTGAGTACGAAGAGGAATATGACAAATATGTCACCCATCATTCGTTTCTAACATTAAAGTGGCTGCTAAATCTATTTATTGCATTTTTAGTAATCCAGGGAAAAAACTTATCTATAATTGTTGCAATAAATCATGCCCTAGATCCGTATTACCTGATCATTAAATCATTCTGGAATTACTCTGAAGAAGTTCGATATACAAAAAACTGTAAAAACAGAAGAAATGTCCAATTCCAGATCTTGAAACAACACGATCAATTGAAATAATTCATATCGATTTGTTAAAACTCAACCTTTATACTGCTTTCTTTCAATTTTACTCCAGAAGTTTATTTATTGGTCAGCCATCCACCAGACAGTTTTTGTTAATGGTTTTTCTGTGGTAGAACCGTATCTATCATAGGTTTGGTAAGTCCTGGGTCTCAAACCAGAATATTGTGAATCTGAACCTACTTTTTCATCACCAACAAGAGGTCTCCCATCTAAACCTGGTAATGACATACACGATTTGTAACAGATCTCAGTGTCAGCTAAGACTCGTGAGAAGAATGGGCTTCCAGATTGACATTCATATTCGCATTTCTCCTTAACAGGCTCAACCTCCCCAGTATGAGAAATCAAATTGATCATATTTGAAACCGAAACTCTTGGAATATGTCTTGCCCAGAACACTCCACCAAATTTCTTATAGACTTCTTGGTACTTATCAGAAATCAATAAAGAAATGGCTTTTGAAGATGAAATAACTCTTGCCCTCTGTGAGCTATTTAATCTAGCAAATGACTCAGTACGTGTGAAATCTAATTTAGAACACAGCTTTGTCATTTGTCTGTTTGACAAGGAATATTTCCTTTGGAAGTTAAACATTACTGGGTTTTTAACACAGTTGTTTGAAATGTTTCCAACTTCTCCAGACCTGTTTGAAAATGGATTCAATGCGTGCATAACCTTACAGAAGTCAGATAAATCAAATGCCTCCTTCTTCACCAATGATGTGAGATATGAGTGAACATATTCAGCATGGTCGAGCAAAACAATCATTAAACCATTACATGCAGGTGCTGCATATGGATCAATTCTCTTACATACAACCTCAGCAACTTCAGAGCGTATTTTGTGTTTCTTAAGAACTTTAACACAACTTACATAAATAGCATTTGGTGCTAAATCAATCTCATCAACAAGTTTTGAAAATTCCGGAATGTTAGATGATTCAACAACTAATGAGGATGGTGCAGTTCTAACAAACTCATCCCTAAGCCTATCAGATAATGACTTTTTAAAACTGGTCTGCTGAATTTCAATCCATTGATTATCCATTGTAATTCCAGATTGAAACTCAGATTTTTCATAATAGTCATCCATCGGCACAGGTGCAGCAGCTCCAATCCCGGAATAAACATCTTTCTTGATTAATGCAGGATCTAATCCAAATGGAGTCCAGAATTCTTCTTCATTTGAACCAACTGGTTTGAAGTAAGTTGATGATAACAATCTTGAACCTGCATTTCTTTTAGCAAAATCTCCACGATCAAATCCTCCAATTTCCCTCGTTTCCTCTATTAGCTCATCGCCAATAACAATTTTCCTCCTAATAGCATCATAATCCTGTGGCTGAGGTGGCATATGCTTTGCAATGTCTGAATAAACATCCTCAATAATGGAGTTAGCCAGCTTTGACGTTTCTTTAGGTTCCTTTGCTTCGAATATCTTTTCACATGCATTGGCTACACCAGTTTCGAATTCCTTGCCAGCAACATCGCTATCAACAGCAATGTAACCTACAAATTCTGCAGTTGCAAGAATGCAATGCTCAATAGTACTTTCCTTACCAACTCTGGTAATAACTCTACAAGTAGAATCGTAAGTAACCTGTAACTTCTTTTCTTTATTATGAATTTTGCCCAACTCATAAGCTAATTTATATGCAAGAGTAAGATCTCCTGATGAAAGCTTAGTGCATGATTTGTGGTTAGCAGGTTTAAGGAGTAAGCACATTTGCTTAGATTCCTTTTCATTTAATTTATACTTATCAAGGAATGATATCTGAGTTGAATGTTTTGCTGTGGATAATGGCTCAGAAAGGCTACTTATGCAATGATTAGTGAATCCACCCTTCTTAGTAAAGGTCCATGGTTCAACTTTGCTTACAAATCTGCAAATGTCTCTTAAATCAATTGCAAAGCTTGATTCATCTCTCATTAAAGACAATGATTTAAGAACGCTCTTTGACCATAAAAGAGCAGGTACTGAAAGGCTCTGACACGCCTTGCTTCTTGCACCATCTATAGCCGCACACCAGTTTGCAATTGTAGTCTCAGAAAATCTAGTACCGGCTCCATCCCTTTGATGGCCCGGGTATTTCTTGATCTTTGCGAAAATAAGTCTAGAACATGATCTTTGCAAATTTGTTGGGTCAATTCTGCTTGCAATAATTTCAAAGTCTTCAATTCCATAAGCCTTATTGCCTTCTTGACTATATAATGAATACAATACTTGTGCCCATGCCTTTTGAACAGAGTTTAAAGCAACTGACTGCCTTGATGACCACAGGAATTGGTCGGGGGTTTCCAAAGCCTTTGTTTTTGAAGACACCCATCTCTCTCTTGGTGCAACAGCTTTTCTTGCCGCGGCTCTTGAAGATTTGTAGTACTTAGATCTACCAGAACCTGAATCATCGCCTAGAGAAACTCCCTCTGATCCTTCAAGTTCAACAGACATATCTGAGCTCAAATCAATAGAAGATTCAGATCCAACATCTGTACCCAATTCAATTGAAGAATCTGTCTTAACACCAGAACCAAGATCGATAGATGATTCTGAAGTTAAGTCTAAATCTAATTCACTATCTTCGGTCACATCTGGAGCAACTTCAACAGTTTCACCATGAATACTGGCAAGATCCGATGGTGGATAATCAGCATTATGGCCCCTATATTTCCTGTCTGACCAAATAGATCCGAATGCAATTCTTGGGAAAATCCTGTCAAGTCTTGCCTTTTCAGCCCCAGTTGCCTTTCGTTTATATACATAAGCACACGACCTCCATATTTCAGTATACAATGCCCAACTGTCTGCTACGACTGATTCTGCGTACTCATCGGCTCTCTCAATTAGTACTCTTACCAATGAATTTCTGCATTTTTCCCTGCTTGGGCCACGTTTCATCATTTTCCTGGCAATACATAGATCGGATACAAATATCGGGAATAATCTTGGATAAATAAAATTACCCAAATGTAAACCCAGCTTCATTACCTCAGAGAGTTCATCTTTAGAAAGATCAGCACAAGCTGGCTGAATAGTATAATCCATTACTGTACAAATCAAGTCAACATCCATATTGGTTACACCATAATTTCTCATTAACTCGCTATTTACTACGGTCTGGCACTTTCCAAAGATTGACTTTCTTTCAGGCTTAGGAATTAAAGATGGTTTAACTCGTTCAACAAGCCTACAAACATCTTTTGTTTCCAAATACATACCTCTTCTTTTCATTCTAAACTTAATGTCCATTACAACTGAAAAGTCCAGCCATGTTAAAGCATGGCACTCCAACAATGCAAATGGTTCCAAGTTGTAACAAAATTCCATAGCTTTTTCTTTTGGAATGCTCTCCTTTGCTAGTAAAGCCTGGCAAGTAGTAGCACTGAAACCATACTTACGGAAAAGATCCATAACTATCTTCTCTAAAACAGTAAGAGATACGTCAAATGCACTCAATTCAGCATCAGTCTTTATTCTCCAGAACAATATTTTAGCAATTTCAACCTCAAGTTTTGTTGCTCTTTGAATCCTTTCAATTGTTCTTGAATTCTTTGAGTAAATGCCATCAGTATTTACATCCAAATCAGAAAGCCCATCAAAACCTGTTGTAAATGTTTGAGATGCTGCCAAAGCATCACTGAATGCAAGCTCACCCCTTGTCTTATAGGCGTCAAGGCTTGGCTTTTTTGGAGTATATGGTTTTAATGGACCTTCTACAAAATCAATTGTTGGGAAGTTTCCAATTGCTCCGTATACAACCGATAATGTTGAAGCAAAACATGCTGTCAATAACAAACATGTTTTGCCGTTAAAAAACATCTTCAAACCTCTCTCCATCTTACTATTCTTTTTCAAGCAATGCTAAGATTCTCCTTAGTTATTTTAATCTTAATCAGCTTGATTAATATTTCTCCTGTCCCAACTACTCAAAAACAATCTCAATATTTGAATAGATCTATTAAAGAGGCAACTTCTTGTCCCCCATATGCCTTAAATGATCTTAGGCGGGCGCATCTAATAATTGCAATCTTAAGCCTGTAGGTCTATATTATTTTTTAATAAAATTGTTAGAATGAAAAATCAATCTTTATTAATTGCTTGATTTAAACAAATGTTCTTCTATTCATCTCTATTTTTATGCAAAATTTTTATAGAACGACTATTTGACTGTTTTATGAAAAACCGTTTGATTTACACTTATCAATAGATAGCTCAACAAAAGAATCAGATTCGTACCTTGAATTAAAAGGACATTTTAGACTTTTGAAAGAGGAAAAACATAGATAATTCAGTAAATTTATAGTTACGTAGTAGAGTTTATCAAATATAAACATTAGAAAAACAAAGATATAAAGTAACATCTAGTGAACTTTTGCGATTTACCAACTACAAGTAGCATCAGCAACATATAGTTTCTGAAGCTAATTATGTTTCGAAATCTTTTTACATCATCATTAATGAAACAACAATTATGATTACTGTTGCGAGAATTCCCATCGCGATGTATAAATTATATCCAGAGAAGATGCGATCACTGAGTGACCGAATTTCCTTAGCAGGCTCCGATCTTGAAGCAGAGGAGTCTTTTGGTAATTTTGTAACTCTGAGCTTCAATGATAATCCATTTGGATAGTCCTTTGTTGGGAAGGTCAAGATATCACCAAATCTCGTCCTAGAGTAGGCAGAAACCAAAACGGTGAACTTGTCATGATCCTTTGCCTTCTCTAAAAGTTCATGTATAGCTGGTGTAACATCAACACTAACCGGAGAATTTTGGGTCTTTGGTAAAACCGCCTGATAAGTAGCTAAAACTGTGGACTTGGAAATGTGAGATGACTTAGATTCTAAGTTTAAAACATCAATTCGAACTGGTAATGTTCTTGTACCTCCAATTTTGTTCAATACAAGTGTAGCAGATACTACATCACCAGAGGTTAATCCAGAGCTGTGAATCATACTGGAATCGAAGCTTGCAAATAAGGCAGATCCCTTCCTAGATCCCTGAATAGTAATTGCATTGGATGAAGAAACATTGTGGCAAATCAACTTTTTGGTTTCACAAGCCAATTGTAATGGGACTTCATATTCATGTATGACTAAGCTTTCTTGTGTCTCTTCCTGGTCCTTCTCGTCTAGTTTTTCACTTAAGTCAATATTATCATTGGATGTTTGATCATCGGATGTTTGATCATTGGATGTTTGATCATTGGATGTTTGATCATTGGATGTTTGATCATTGGATGTTTGATCATCGGATGTTTGCTCATTGGATGTCTGATCATCGAATGTCTGATCATCGGATGTTTGATCATCAGATTTTTGATCATCAAATGTCAAATCAGTGGGTTTCTGCTCAAAAGATGTCTGGTCATCTAATTTCTTATCAAATGCCTCATCACCAAGTGTTTCAACTCCCTCATCACCAGATAATTCAGCAGTGGTTGAAGCTATCTCAATTGCATCCGGGGCTCCCTCCAAAGGCATTGAATCTTCCAATTGTTTAACAGATTCCTCTATCTTATCTTGGGTGCTAGTTTCAGTAGTGTATAAAGTAGTTTCAGATTCCATAGAATCTACTGGTTTGGTATCAAGTTCAGTAGTAGTATGAATTCCCAGGGCTTTTAAACCTAAAGAATCGTCCGACCCAGACACACCATTAGAGTCTACGGCAATTTGAGAGTTATCTAAATCAATTTCATCTGTCTTTTCTGCAATAGCTCCTGTAGATCCTACCGCATTAATGGGCGCATCATTGTTGGTTGTGCTTAACTCTGTTGCCGAAACAACATAGATGATGAGAAAGCAAGTAATCAAAGTGTACAATGAAGAAAGTAATTTCATGTTGGTCTTACAAAAAAGAAAATAATCTGGCAAATAATATTAAATTTTCGAATCACAACTTTAAGTTTGCCTTGTAGAGGGTTCGCAACTCCTAATCCAATTAAACGCCTTCCCGCCTCTTAGGTACACGTCTAATGGACTGGCGTCTTAATATTTTAATATAATTAGTAATTAAGTAAATTTATTTCTATTATTTAATTATATACAAATAATTTGATCATCCCTCCAAAAATCACAGTTTACCAATTTTTGTATTTTTGTTTGTTTCGCATAGATCACTATTATATTAATAAGGATTTGTGTTTACTAATCTCTCGAATTTACAATATTCATTCACCTTCTTCCAGTTGTTTTTAATACCTTATTATATTACTTGAATCGAAAATGGCAGATATATTTCTTGAAATTCATCTATATTAGTTTCCTATTTTTGTTGTTAATTACTGTGACAGACTAATTTGCCGTTTTTATTCGAGATTTCTTTTAAAGTATCTCATTGTTAATATTGGGTCTAAAGAGTTATTCGGATCTATCGCGCCCAAAACAATATGAATTACATGTAAGAATAGAAATATAGTTAACTGAATAGTGATAAGCAAATGATTACTGTAAAGATCTAGTTTAAATTTGAAAGTAGATATGTGTAAATATAGAGAAACAATGCTAAAGATAGCATTGATTTTTTTGTTAAAGTTGATTCACTCTTATGGAATTTCAAACTACGAAGGCTACAGTTCCACCGGGAAAGGAGAATTATCAGTTTCTAACTATAATGAATTTAACAAAGATCTTTGCCAACCATCTGTTATTTCTTTTAATGAACTAACTGGGTTTGGAAAAGCTGAAGTTATTAGATTTAAATGCCCAGAAGGGTATCAAATCACTGGAGTGGAATATTTTACAGATTCTCTGGAGTTATTTATAACAGGGATTCGATTTATTTGCAACGATAGCAATTCTTCATTTTACATGGGATCTGAAAATTTCAATTCCAAAAATATAAAAGGAAAATACTCAAATGGTGGAATCAACGAAGTTGCTTTTGGATATGACGTTGAAACCCCAATTTTACGATTAATTCAAGTAGTAAAAGAAGAAGCCTTACCAAAAGGCTCCGAAAAATTACTTAGTTTTATTTCACCTGTTGAACAACTATTTAGAAGTCAAACATTTGTTGGAAGTATTCCCACATCAGTTTGTGGTGTACTTATAAAAAATTCGTCATATATAGCCCCTATAATAGGTAATATTAGAGTTGAATTTCTGGAAAAACGCCCTCTATCTCAGCATAAATATAGAGGATTAGTTTATACAGGGACTCCAGAAATTGACTTTTTAAAACCAGATTTTCAACGATGCAATCAAATTTCAGGGGCAAGTCCTTCAAATACAAAAGATCTAAATTTCCATATTAAGTGTCCAAATAATCATCGAATAATTGGAATAGATGCTATAATGGGAGATCAGATTACAGCGGTTAGCTTAGAAAGCGTTTCAAACCAACTGAATAAATTTAATAAACAATCTTCTGTTTTAAAGCCTGATGAAACTGAGTTTAAAGATGAAAGCACTTCCTTTTCAGATTCATTTATAGATTCACTGAGTTCTTCTAGTAAAGAATCAATTGGTATGGATCTAAATAATAAAGATAATGATATAGATTCTGCTGTAAATAATGGAGAGATTATAATGTTTAGATTTTTGTGTAGTGACTATATAACCTCGTTTTCTATTGGGCAAGCTCTCAAAAATATCACAAGTTGGAACTTACAGGACCAAATCCCAAACGTCAAAGATTGGGAGGTAACTTCTTCACTAGTAAATGATGAAGCTGAAAAAAATATGAGAGATGCTGCTGAACAAAAATTAGTACTTGGAACAGCAGAAGTACGTCTGGGGAATGTCAATTCTATTTTGATAGGTTACACTACTGAGAAACTTCTAGTTAAAGCATATCTGAACGACGCTAAACAAAAGGAAAGCAAACACGAAATTGCTGAAAATGTAGAGAGGTTTACATTTGGGCCAGTCTTCATAAATGTAAATGAATTTGTGGATAATGATTTCAAGAGGAGAAATATTTTAAAATTATTACCTGAAATATACAAATCAAATCCAATAAATTCAAGACTAAGTTTTTCAGGAGACAAATTTGAAGGATTATGTGGAAGAATAATGTATGGTTCTCTACTTATATCCAGTATTGGGTTTGAGGTTTCAAAAAGCATTAAGCCACACTTTCCACAGATTATCACTACCTCAAGTGTAAAGATTGAAAAGCGTAATGGAGAAAGTTTTGGATGCGATAAAATGCTTAAGCCAACAGAAATCACTCAAGAAAATAAATTTGGTAAACACAATTTGGAATCTATTGAGGCTAGAAGTAGTTTAAGATCATTCCAAGGCTCCATAGAATGTCCACCTGGTCTAGCAGTGGAAAGGATTCAATTGTTGATCAACAATATTTCAGGAAAACTCACTTCCATAAAATTTGATTGTGGAAATGATTCTGAAAATTACTTTATAATAGGTGAAGCTAAAAGTTTCCAAGAGAAAATAAAATCTCATCAAAAAGGAGAAGCTATCAAAGAAAACAACTATGAAATTATTAATACAGTTGTACCAAAAAGCAGCGTTTCTTATGATGAAATTAAATCCATATTAGTTTCCCCATCCAAAAACTTTTCCTCAAATTCAATATTCATACCTGAGGCAAACCTTCCCATTTCAATGTTTCAAGTTATTCAAAAAAATGATATTTCACCCAAGCAGCTTGAATCTAGAGAAAACAAATCAAATTATATTTCAGAAAGATATCCCCCGAATGACCAAAGAAAAAAGATTTGGAATAATGGAGTACTCACAAAAGTTTGTGTAGACATTACAAGTGGAGGTGCCATTAATAATATTGGATTTGGGTTCAAGTTTCCTTTTCAACCGACCTCGAGAAAAGAAATCAGTAGTTACTATGGATTTTCTTCTGAAGGAAACGGAGAATTGGATGTAGATTCAAAAGAGTTTATTTGTCCAGGTATGCTTCATTCTCCTCGTGCTCAACTACTTTTTAGTAAACAAACTGAAGAGATAATAATGACTGGTGAACTTCGTTCAAGAAGCAAAAAAACTCTATTAAGATCTGTCAATTTCAGATGTCCTGAAAAAAGCGTAATAAATAGAGTCGAAGTTGCATGGCAAATTATTAGAGGAACTGAATCTTTTACTAGATTGGGTCAAGGCTCTAATTATAACATTGGTAAAGAACCACTTGGCTCTATAGGAGCAATGAGATTTTTTTGTAGCGATGGAAAATCCGTTTTAAAGGTTGGATCAGACACTACTCCGACCCACTCAAAAAGTAATCTCGAAATTCATGAAGTTCTATTGGGGTATAAAGAACTAACTAGTGATGAAATCGCGACAGTTAAACGTGAATTAACAAAAGAAAACTCAATCAAAGTTACTGAAGAGCTTTTACGAACTTTGCCTGGAGACCCAACTATATTTAAACTTGTCCATGAATCTCGTCCACTTTCAAAAATACAATTAGAAGTTGAAGGCGTTAAATCATATAGCTCGGCTGTTGAAGCCTTAGATTCTTTAAAAATAAGGCCAAAAACTAGCAATCATAAGTCAAGAATTTGGAGAGGTGGGCGTTGGTCAGGTGTTTGTATTGGTTTGCTTAATCTTGGAGGAGGAATTCTAAAACACCATGAGTTTAGTATTGTTTCGTTCGGGTCATATTTTGAGAAACTTCCTCCACTTGCTATTTTGCCTTACGAAGGTTTCATTCAGACTGGAATTCCCCAAATACATCAGAATAAAATTGTTTCTACATGTGATATGACTAATCCACCGTCCTTTGGACTTAAGTATCCTGGCTTCTCAGCTGCATTCCTTTGTCCAAATGGAACTCACATCGAAAGGATTGGATATAGCACATTTGAAAATAATAGTAAACAGGGCTTTGAGATTTTAAAAAATGGTACACTTTCACTCCCACATGCATACAAGGAGAAGAAACATGTTGGACCACTCGGGCAAATCACTGCCATCCAGCTATTCTGTAGTGATGGAATATCCACAGTTACCATTGGACAACCATCGAAAAGCACATCTATAAGCAAGCCAGGAGAGATCGGAACAGTCAAAGTTGGTTATGTAAAACACAACTCTAGCCTTTTAGATAAAAACACATCAATGACATCTTTATTAATGCCTGCAAGTTTCGAACTTATCTCGAAGGATAAAAAACGAAGACTTCTCAAGCACTCCAACCCTAACTTCCCTGAATACACACAAAAGGTTACTACATGGGAAGGAGAAGACCTAATAGCAGTTTGTGTAGACTTCGCCGTAATTGACGATACCAAGCGCTCCAGTAGAAATAGTAATTACCTAAGATGGGCAGGAAATACAATAAGATACCCAGAGAAACATTTAATTATGAGTATTGGGTTTGCATTTAAACGAAAGATTATGAGAAACAAGTCTACAGGAACCGCAATTCCTCAGAAAAAAATTAAAATCGCAGAAAACATTCCCAAGGTAAAACTCCAATCAGAGAAGTCAATCAAGAATAGTACACGTAAAAGAAAGAAGTTTAATTAATAGTTGTTTTCACAACAATATAGTACATTAGTTAGGTAGAACTGTTTAATAAGTATCATTATCTTTACTCACCTTAAAATTTACCGCGCCTAACCACTTTATTCTCTCTAATTATGGTGGTTTGTCGCATCCAACATTTGTCTTATTTGGCGCTATTAAAATATACTATCATTATATTACTCTAAATAATGGATACCGCAAAAATAAGATTAATAATGAGACGCGACGGTACCAATATTTATTCGCTCTCTCCGTGTTTCTCTTTACTAAAACTTTTAGATTTTCAAGACTAAGTTTCTATGAGAGGTTTATTATTACTCGTTTTATTTGCCGTTTTAAAGGCATTATTTGTTAATGGAGATCAAGTCTCCCTCAAAATTTCTTCGCCATGCAATGCTCTTGTTACATATGGGCTTCCATTGAATAGCACATTCGAGAGATCTGACATTTTCCTCAGTGGATTGTGTAAGGATGGAGTTGTGTTTACACTCATGTCATTGGGAACTGGTTTTATTAAGGGCGTAGCCACTCCTAATAGGGATGGTGTTTTATATGTAGCTGAAGGTAGTCCAATTTACACCATCACTACGGGTTCGAAATTTGAGTTCCTCCATAGGATTATTGATCGCAGAACCAAAGATGCACCATACAAAATTTCAGTCATGAAGTACTCTTACTCTGCTTTATCTTCAGAAAAACTGAAAACCGTTGTGCTCCGTGAGCATACTTCAAGTGAGTGCAAATTCCCGCAGATTAATATTGAAGACCAGAATCTTTGTTCATTGCACTTATTGCTTAAGAAGTATTCTCAGAATCCAGACGATTCACCAAACTTTAGGGTTGCGAAAATTCACTTTGCAGAATTAGAAAGTTCAGCTCGCTCTAATGCTGTCACCTGTACTAGTGAGTTACATGTAAACAAGAGTACTTCTGAAGAAGATTTGATTGATAACTTCTCTTGCTTATTTAATGAGTCAACTAAATGCTCGACAGTTGAAGCCGGTACTCAGACTGAGACTATTCCCAAGGTTGATGTAGGAGTTCAAACAGATCCAGTTGTTACTCAAACTTCAACTGTCGCAATACTTTCAAAAAAAGAGCTTAAGAAGTTAGAGAAGGAGAAATTAAAGGAGAAGAAGTTATTGGAAGAACAAGAGAAACAAAATAAGAAATTACAGAAACAAAAGGAAAAGGAGGAAAAGAAAGTGGAAGCTCAGCGTTTGAAACAAGAGAAGCTTAAACAAAAACAGCAAAAGAAGGAGGAGAAAATGTTGTTGAGGCAACAACAGAAACAGAAGCAAAATTTGTCTAAAGAGGAGAAAGAAAAGAAAAAGTTGTTGGAAAGAAAAGAGAGGGAGAACCAAAAACTTTTGAAGAAACGGGAACAAGAGGAACTGAAAGCTCAGAAACTTAGGGAGAAGGAGCAAAAGAATCTTGAGAAACAAAAGAAGACAGCAGAAAAAAGTGCAGCTAAAGCATCTCAAAAGAATAACAAAGAGGACAGTTCATCTTCGTGTAGCAGCAGCAGCAGCAGCAGCAGCAGCGGGAGAAAATCCAAGGCAAAGGCAACTCAGACCGAGGAACCAACTAATGTAGTGTTAGCTTCCACTCAGACAACAGATGATTTCTTAGTTATACCACTTAAGCATAACTTAGGGGAAGTTTCAGACGTTGAAACTACCGAACCAGAGGATCCTTTGGTCAATGAAGATATAACTTTTGAAAATGAGAATTTGAAGGATGAATCTCCTATCCAGATAATAGATGAGAATAATGCAGATGTTGAAATTATATCTCTTTCTCCCTCAGTTACTCCAGTTGACCCTACTCCCTCGTCTACTTCTACTACTACCACCACCACCACCACCACCACCACTACTACTACCACCACCACCACTACTACCATCGCTCCTCGAATTCCAAGGCAGACTAAGTATCTAAAGAAATTCGACGATGTCAGATACGTAATTGGTCCATTTGCCTCTAGAGTTGATGCCCCTCTACAAAAAGTTCAAAAACCTTCGAGTACTCCAACTGTTCCTCCTAGAAGTACCGATAGCCGGGGTCAATTCATTGTAGAGTCAAAGGATTTGAGTCAAACTGGTAGTGTAGGAGCAACATCATCATTGGAAGAGATCTTGGAAGATGTGTCCAAGTCAAATCTCGTCACAGTTGTTAGAGATGATTAAATGTAGCACTTGTTGTACTAAAATTATTCCTTTAGTTAGTCTGATCTAAGTTTCTTTTGCGGCTGAGATTTCCCGCTTTTTTTTTATGCGGCTTAGACACGTAGCTTTGTTATCCATTAGAATAGGAAAGTAACGGAGGGTAACTAGGTAGCGCCAGGTGTAGGCTCCTTCGAGTTGAATATGCAGTAATAAGTTTTGATCAATAAAACTTTGTTTTCAATTATATTTTTCATTTATTCCCACTGATTTCCCCATATCGGATATTAACTAATGAAGAGTCTGATTGCTTTTCTGGTATCTTTGGTGGTATTGGATTTACATTACGTATTTGCAAATGATCTTAGTACCAACCTTGTCGGAAGAAATCATGTTTTAACTGGTCCTCAAGCATATCTTGGTAGATTTGAAAGTCTTGGAGATGTGAGAAAATGTATGAACTCCGCAAATAATCAAACTCATTCAAAGTTTATTAAAAACTCAAAACTTTCTCCCATCTCCTGCTTACAAAATAATACTGAGATAGCACAACGCTTTATTACTTCAATAAACGGAACTGAATATGCTTTATTCAGCAATGAAACTGTAAATCCAATTTATTCCAAAAGTGAAGATTCTCTCTTATCTGAAATACAAACTGCAGAGGTTTTAATGAATTACAAAAAACAAGATCCAGAAGTAGAAACTCTTGTTATCGATCTTGACACACTAACAGATGTATCAGGTAATAACCATATTCATCCAAAAGATGTAGAAAACCTTGATATTTTTTCAAGTGATGTCTTACTCAATCATCCTTATGTAGATGATTCCGAAACTGAGTCTGGATTTTCCTGTATTTCCTGTTCCTCTTCAGGGAATTCAAAACGTCCAAAGCCAGAGTCTCAAGACAAAGAATCAAAATCTTCTTGTGCCTGTTCTTCGAAGAAATCGAAACAACCAAAACCTGAGTCTCAAGATAAGGATTCTAAATCTTCTTGTGCTTGTTCTTCAAAGAAGTCAAAGAGTTCAAAACCTGAGTCTCAAGACAATGACTCCAAATCCTCCTGTTCCTGTTCTTCTAAGAACTCGAAGCAACCAAAATCTGACTCACAAAATGAAAAGACAGGTCGTCTAAATGCTGAGTCTCCAGATAATGAATCCAAATCTTCTTGTGCATGTTCTTCGAAAAATAAAACAAAGCGGCCAAAACCAGAGTCTCAAGACAAGGATTCTAAATCTTCTTGTGCCTGCTCTTCCAAGAATAAATCAAATCAGCCAAAACCCGAATCTCAAGACAAGGATTCTAAATCTTCTTGTGCCTGCTCTTCCTCAAAGAAATCAAAACAGCCAGAGCCTGAGCTTCAATATGAGGACTCGAGACAACCAAGGCCTGAATATCAATATGAGGATTTAAAACAGGCAGAACCTGAGTCTCAAGACAAAGATTCTAAATCCTCCTGTGCCTGTTCTTCTTCCAGGAACTCAAAACAGCCAAAACCTGACTCCCAAGACAAAAAGATGAGACGTCTAATGGCTGATCCTCAAGAGAATGAATCCAAATCCTCTTGCGCCTGTTCTTCAAAAAAGTCAAATCAGCCAAAATTCGAATCTCAAGACAAGGATTCTAAATCTTCTTGTGCCTGCTCTTCCTCAAAGAAATCAAAGCAGCCAGAGCCCGAGTTTCAATATGAGGACTCGAAACAACCAAGGCCTGAATATCAATATGAGGATTTAAATCAGCCAAAACCTGAGCCTCAAGACAAGGACTCAAAATCCTCTTGTGCCTGTTCTTCCAAGAAATCAAGACAACCAAAACCCGAATCTCAAGACAAGAATTCAAAATCCTCTTGTGCCTGCTCTTCCAAGAATAAGTCAAATCAGCAAAAGCCTAAGTCTCAAGACAAGGATTCTAAATCTTCCTGTTCTTGCTCTTCTTCAAATAAATCTAAACAGCCCAAAAAGGATCCTTCTGGTCTTATAATATATGACGATGATGATGAGGAACTCACCCCAGTTACTCATAATTGCAATTGCAAATCAATAACTAAAGAAATTGATTCTGGATGCAACTGTAGTAACACAGAAAATCTTTACAAAAATAACAGAGAAGTTGATAATCGTTTATTATTGATGAAAGAAGATACTAAAAAGAGAAATGTAAACGGCTATTCTTACCAAGTTAATTCGGCTCCAAAGGATGAAGTAATAGTTGTAACAATGCCAACAAGTGGTCCCCAAGCTTTAGCTCAGAGACCATCTGATGAGAGGTCTTATCCCAATAATGAAAATATATATGGAAGTAGAAACAATACTCAGGGTCCCTTAGATCAAGGTGGCTCATATAACCCTGACTTGATCAGAGTTGTTGATGAAGATCCAGTTTATATAGTCTCTGATGCACATAGAACAGCTGAATCTGCTGACACTACTACTACTACTACTACTACTACTACTACTACCACCACCACCACCACTACTACTACTACTACTACTACTACTACTACTACCAGAGTGACTTACGTCGCTCCAATAATCATTCCATCTACCACCACTACTACTACCACTACTACCACCACCACTACTACACCTGTTGATAGGTATACCGATCGTTTTAGAGGAACCTCTAAAAACGTACCAGTTTCCAGGATTTGGAGAGCAACTCCAGAAGATAAAAGACCAAAGAACCCAATGAGTTTTCCAGAGCCTAGTCAAGTGTTGGGTACATACTCTCAAAGACCAACACGTTTACCGAGATTGGTAAGACGTGAATAACAGTTATGTAAACACCATATCATTATTATATTGTAACAAGTATAATTTTTTCATTAATTCTGATTTAGAATTAGTTTCTCATTTTCTAGTGACTAATGTATAACTTTCCTCATTAGCTCTTTTTTAGCGCCAAGTAGGGTAGGTATTTAATGATCGCTTTGTCAGATCAATTTTGGTACTTTGACGTTAGACTATAATGAAGTTCTGGTCTTTATATGTCCTTTTAGTTTTTTTTATAAATTCAGTGAAAATACCTCGAGTCTATTCTAAACGAAAGAAGCCGACAAAAATTGAAATAGAGGAAGTGTCTGGGGTTCTTTCAAGTGACCTATATGGTAGTTCTCAATCACTGGATTTGAGTCAAACTCTATATGGATCTTCTCTATTAACTGATAATTACGAAATTAGCAATTCAGAATCCTCTGCTCGTGTAATTGATTTGAAAAATGTGGAGTCTATTTCCCCTACAAATGATATTTTCCCACTTAGAAACAAAGAGATAAAAAACTTATATATGAAATCAATAAATGAAAAAAAGGTATATGAAATTAGGAACTTAAATAAAGATATTGCTGAAAACTATCCAAATTCTAGTATCTTATCACGAAATAAAAACGGAGAAATTATTTCTGATATTGATATCTCGATAGTAATAAGTAAACTTGAACAAATTAAGAACAAAGATCTTCCATCAATAGAAGAAGAAGAACTCAAATCCGAAAAAGTTCGTGACCTGAGTCAACTGGATGATTCAAGATTCTTATCACAAGAAGTTTTAGACCATTTTAACGATGTTTTTGGAGCTTTTTTATCAATTCCAAAAGAAACAAAAGCTGATATATTACTTCATATACATAAGATATTGGAAGAATCTACACAATCACTCTCAAATTTACCTGAAATTTTTTATGGAAATGGTATCCAAGTTTTATTACAGCCTTTTAGTGACCTTTCAATCAACCCCTCAGAAATACTCAAAATATATTCTTCACTTTTCGAAGAAAATTCTGATAATTTTATTATTTTTCTTGATTTAATTAATTATATATTGACTTCCACCATATCATCTTCAAAAATTACTTCTCTAGCTGTCTCAAGATATCTCAAGGAATCTGATTCAAATAATTCAAAGTCAAAAAACTTATTCAAACAAAATTCTTCAAATTTCTGGTATAACACAATATGTCAAACAATCCAAAATATTGAATTATTAGCTGTTGTATACCCTTTCTTAATTCCTCCTTCCTACAAAAAAGTTGCAACTCCTGTAGAAGTAATACATACTCCAAAAACCCCAACACTTGGAGGTTTCAAAGAATATCTCGAAAAAGGTGAGGAAAAAAAGATTGAAATGATTGAGACTAGTAATACGTTAACCCAAGAATTGATATTTGGTGGTTGGAAGGAATCAATATATTCTATGGGACATCAAATTACTTCCGATTTTTTTAATACGAAATCACTTTGTATTAAATTTGGTTTGATAAACTCCAAAAAAGAAAACATCGAAGATGTAAACGAATCTTATCAGATCAGGAAATTTAAGGGGTTATTCAAAGATTTTAAAAATGATGAGGAACTTGAAAAACACGATAAAATAAACTATTTGAATTCTATCGGTCTTCAAAGCTCAAGTATAAAACTTTCAACTGACGAAAGACAATCAATTATTACAACAAGTACAAATTATCTTCTTGAAATTGCCAATATTCTCTCAGAAGTTGATCTTCTAACAAAATGTTACTCTTTTATCTCAAATTCAAAAAGTATTGAAAATAAGAATACTGTTCTGCAAATGGATCCTGTAAGTTTTAAAAAATGCTTATAAACTTCAATAATAGAAACTAATCTTCATTATCTTTTTTTAGGAACTCGGAAGTGTTCTAAGAAACCCTTATGCAATAGAAAAAATACCTTTAGATAGATGGAAATATATTGTTACTTTAATTCCTTCAGAATTCAAGAAATCTTGTACCATTGCACTTCATAGCCAATATATTGAATGTTATAATAAATACAAACAATTACATTACACTCTTCAACAACCAACAGTAGTAGGAAAGATCATTTCGAAATTACAAGAATCTTCGGATGTTATTGGCGAAAATGCTGTTAAAACATTAACAACCAGTTTTTCTTGGAAATCTTTGTATCAAGCTGATGCAACTTTCACATATTATTTTTCTATTTTGGATCTTAATAGATTGATTGGATTTAATCAAATTATTATTAATGTAGTTTCTGTAAGTTTAATAATTATTGAAAAACTGATTTTCATAATAACTTAATATTTATCAGAGATACGAACCTATTAAAGACATTTACTCATTACCTTCTAAAGAAACAAAGAAAACTAAGGCTCTTAAATTTTGGAATACAGTTAAAGGAACCTGGATATTCCGTATTGCAACCTTTGGTTTATTCTCTTTTATAGGATACATTGATAAAGGTTATACAGTAGAAAAGTGTTTATACATTCCGAAAGCAAGAAAGGGAGAACCTGAACCAACTATAATTTGGTAATCATAAAATTAAATATAAAATTTAATTAGGTGTACTATAATATTTCATTAAATACTTTTTTATTTAATGTCTCATAACTTTTTTTAATTTTTTTTATCTATCTGATGATATTAAACAAGCAATATATTTCTCCAGACAAAGTCCCTTGGTTTGAATGGTTTTGTATAGAAAATTATCCAAATCAAACCAAAAATGTTTCTCCAAACATCTTCGTTTCCTAATCTGGATTTTATATGGTTGGCACACCAAATAATAAAAACTGGTGAACTTGTGAATTCTTTCAAATCAAGAGTTTTATATGGAATGATTTTTTTAAAAAACTTTTTGATATAAGAGCAAGCAGTTTTATTGTCTTGATATAAAATCCCATGTAAATCTTCCCAGTATTCCATCTTTCTTGGGTCAATAAGCCCTTCTCTTTCAATACTTTCCAATCTTTTTCCCCTAATCCTAATCATTGGGATATTAAGGTATGCGAATAATTTTCTCAAATCTTTAATTACAAATTTGTAGATTTTCAGTTGATCACGAGTACATCCTGGAGAAGAATCCATATATTCATAATCTTTAGAGACAAGATAAAACTGTTTAATTCCTGAAGTTGGATCCAATGATTTTACTTCTCTCATTCGAGGAATGAAACTACTTAAACATTTATTCATATCAGAATACCATCTTGGATCATCTAAATCATTTCCCTCGATCTCAATTATTTTGTACATATCAATATTATTACTATTTATTTTAGCCTCTAGCTCCCTAATTCTTTGACTATGGTCCATTCCTGAGTCATCACCCTTTAGCTTTAAAATATCTGAATGGGTAATCGAGTTAATTTTATGAAGATCTGCCAACTTTCTTACATTATTAGGAATCATAATTCCTGTTTCACTAGCATATTTAACCTCTGTTCCAGCTATTATTCCTGCTATATGAATAATTCTTTCCTTAATTTTCTCTTTGTCTTCTTTTAATGTCCTTTCCATCATATGGAAGAAATTATTTTTATCTACAAAATTTGGATCACTCAACCTTTCCCGAATCTTAATCAGCTCATTATCTATATCTAAAATCTTTTCTTTCAATGATTTATACTCATTATTTAACAACTCATCATGTTCTGTTTTGATATGCTGAGTGTTATTTTTATCCCAATAACTATCAACATAACTTAAGTCTAATATTTCCTTGGAATTTTCTCCAGTATAACTCAAGTTTTTTGGTTTCTTAACCTGATTGCTAATTGGTCTAGCTTCTGGAATAACATAATAATTTTTTTTCACATTTTCCCGTTTTTCATTAGGAATTACATCATCTAGAATTATTGGTTTGTTTAGAGGTGAATTTTTACTCAATAATTGAATTGGACTTTCACTATTAGATCCAAAATTATCAGCCTTTTGATAGTCTATAAAATGATAAAATCTAGTTTTAAATAGATTTCCAGAAGGAACCGAAAATATTGGAACAATTTTCAGCCAGATCTCCTCGATATCTGAATACTGAATGTCAGTATATTTGTAGTTTAAGACAGAATAAGCTGAATGAATAAATGAGTCTTTAATATTGATATTTGGATGCATTCTCATAATTATATCACAACAGAATGGAATTGAAACTTCAATATTCAAGTATGAATTGAATAATTCTTTAGAGTAAATGGCCAAATCTAAACCTTTATCAGTTAAATATGAACATTCTTTAATTTCTTGGAAAAGATTCTTTATTGAATAATTAATCTTCGGAGGATATTCATCTAATTCTTTGTTAATTGGTTCACTATCGATTAAATGATATAAATTTCTTGTTGATCTTGTGGTAATAATTCCCATCTGGAGTTTTGATGAATCATACATATTAATTTTAAAAACAGATGGTTTATATAATGGGGAAAATTTCTTTTTCACAAAACTACTAGGGATATCGTAATTCTTATGTCCAATAAAGGCTGAAAGTGAATTAATATATTTTGAAATTTTTTCTTTTTCAATTGTTAAATCATATCTCAATCTTTCAAGCTTGACCAAATTTACTTCAATAGAATTGAAATTTGCTAATTTAAAATCATAATTGTAATGATGTAAATAGTTGATCTTAGGCATTTCCTTATTATGCTTCAAAACATTCAAATTTTCAACTCCTTGTTGTAGGACATTCGGGTCTTTTTTTGCTTTTTCTAAGATATCATTCATTATTTCAATTTCATTTGTTACTTGAGCGATTTCCAAAGTTAATTGGGTAGCTCTGTTTGTTAATATTACTTTTGCCTGTTTATTACTGATTCTGGTATACATTTGTGTAGACCAGTTCCAAAAGCCTCTAACTTTTCCGAAATCATTTGGTAATTTGAGTGCTCTATATAAAAGATAATTCAAAGCAGATCTTGGAACAAGTGAATTATTAGTTGGATAATCACTGAATATGATTTGGTGAATATCTTCATTATCTAGTACTATTCCAAGTTCAAGACATAAAGCAACAACTATTGCTTCATACAAAGTGACCAATTCATATTTATTAGTTGGAAAAAGAGTTGATTTTAAATGTTTTTCTGGATAAAAAGGTAAACTTGCTCTTATTGCAGCTTCTGAACAAATGTCTGAAGCTTCAGAAAAATTTTCTAAAGAAAATATCAAAAAAACTGCAGAAACAAGGATACTAGCACATGATTCTCCAGAGTCGTTAATTAAGGTAAAAATTGCCTCACAAGCATTGAGAACATGTAATTTATATCCTTTTCTTTTAGAGATTGAAATAATCAAAGAAGGCAAATGCTTATATTTGTCTTCAAGCCAACAACATGGGCCAGTAATCCAATTCGAAACATCATTTGGTATGAGACTTGAAGGAGGAGGAATGTAATATTTTTGGAGAACTGTTGTGGAGGAAACAACCTCTTTTGAATTGCTACCAAGATGTTTGTCAGATGTCCAATGTGGAGATCTTTTAAATTCCAAAGGAAGTAATAGAAGATTTTCGCCCTCATAATCATGAGAGTTGTTTTCGGAATACATTATATGATCAAATATACTTGTGAAATTGTGCCTATCTCTTCTATAATTTGGATAACTAAGTCCTAATCTATTGTTTTTGGGCAGTTCCTTATTAGTATTAAATTTTCTTTCAGCTCTATTTCTTCTCAACTCTTTAAGGAGGATATCTTCATTTTCTTCAACAAAAATATCACTATCTCCTTTGTATATAATGTCAGCAATATCTTTAGATGTTATTTCAGAGTCTGGAAAATACTTTGAATTTAGTTTTAGTACAGTTTCTACGTAATTAAGGATTTTAATTGCTCTCGTTGTCAAAAAAGAATCGGAAATTTTCAGTGTTTTAGTGATGAATTTAGTTCTTTCAGTAGCTGCTCTTTTAACCATATCGCAAAATTTTATAGATGAAGATCCTTTTATTTCCATTAACTGTTTGAAGACTAAAGGACAAAAATCCCATCTTTGAGATATAAACCACATTGATGTACATGCTATATCTAATGGAATTTTTTGTACATCTTTGGCATTAACAGATACTTTTTGAATAGTCTCAACCATTTCCAATTGCTTTTTAGTCAGACCTAGACACTTAGAATTATCTGAATGATGGTAATATACATATATATATTGTTGAGTATTAGAATTCATAAATGGAGCTGCTTTAACATCAAAACTAAAGATCATACCACTAGAACTTGAATCCGTTTCATTTTCTGAACCTATATCATCTTGGTAAGGTAAATTTCTAAGTTTATCTTTGTTGCTAGTGATTCCTTTATGATGATCAAGTGTTGTACCGTAAACCAGCCCCGTGGTATAAGCTGGGATGTCTGATGAAATATCAAATTTGTTGATAGCTTCCATTGAAGTTTTCACAAAATCTTCATTATCTAGATATTTGGTTGAGTTACCAAGCAAAGTGTTAAGTTCAGAATTTGCAGAAATGCTACTTCTAAGCCTGCAACAGACCTCATAAGCAATATTGTGCCCATGTTCAATGTTAGGACTAGTTATAAATGGTAAAAACAAATGTGGTATTTCATCAGTTAGAATTTTATCACAGTTATCAAAATCTTGAATGATTGAATCACTTAAATTCTTTAGATTCTTTGAGTATTCAAAAATAATTTCAGAACTGGAACTGCTAGACTCTGTGAGTACTTGGGAAATTATTGTATATAATAAAAATGAGAATTTTCTTGAATCAATTCCTTGTTTCTCAGAAAAATTAGGGGAATAGTCTGATTCACTATCCCTGAAGCTGGACCTACAATAAATAGTATCAAGTGCTAGAGACTGAATAAAGAAAGGAATTAAGAGCCAAATCCTCCATCTATTTATTAATTTCATCCTTTCTCATATATTTCTATTAAAATTGTTACATAAATTTTTTGGATTAGTTAACATGTCAAAAAAAATTGAAAAATTTCCCGCCAAAAGAAAGATAGAATTACATGTAATAGATTTAGAAAAATAAAAATATTAGGAAAAGAAAAAAAAAAAAAATCAAGATTAGGTAGTAATCTTTTAACTGCTTATTAGTTTTTGGGATTCTTCGTTTGATGAAATATAGAAAATTGGTTGTTCGTGGCTTTCAAAATATTCTTCAAAAGGTATCCATGGAAATAAACAATTAATCAGTTTTGGACAAAATGATGAAAATCGAAATCTTCTTTCTTCATATTTTTTTGTTTTGTTTTGATTCTCCAGTTTATCATTTTTTTGAGTTTCTGAACTAGTAAAGTTTTCGCAGATATCTTTATTTTTTAAGATTGAACCATTTTGACTTTCTTCTTTATTATCATCTGGGAGATAGAAATTGTTGGATGTTATTAGTTCTGATGATAAAGGGGGAGTTATGCAAATTTCCATACATCCCTGCGTATCACTTGAAGAAATAAGTGATTCTTTGTCAAATTCATGTTGATTAAGATTGAGAATATCATATTCTATTTCTTCTACATCTATTTTTTCTTTTACTTTGTTAATAAATTGGGAAAGATTTTCTAAAGGATTAGTTTCGTAAATTCTTTCCAAAGAAATGTTATCCTTTTGATCCTCTAAATGAGACTCTTTGTTTATGTTTAAAGAATTGACAATTTGAGTAGGAGAAGGGTCATTTGGATAAACTTTTATTTCTTTTGTCACATTTTGTGATTTATTAGTTAGGATATTAGTAGCACTATGCATTAAGTTCTTGCTTGGACTCATATTCTGGGAGATAAAACTATCATTTTCTGTTTCAAAAATTTCGTTTGTGGAAAGTTGGTTTTCAGAAAGATTCTTAACATTTGAATGGTCTGTTCTCTGTGTTAGTTCATTTTGTTTGTATTCTATAAAATTATTGTGGATATAAGACTCTGATCTATATGTTAATACATTAGACTCTTCAGCAGAGTTATTTGTTGAATTGAATTTTCTTTCAGTATTAATTTGAATGTAATTTTTGTTTTCAAAAGCAAAGTTATTGTGATGTTGATTTTCAAATTGAGGTGTTCTAAAACTTTGTAGTGGAGAAATCATTGTATAAATTCCCTGGAGATCGTTAAGGTTAGCTCCATATATTTGTCTGTAGGGAACTATTGGCGTTCTAGATATATTTTGAACATTGTTTCCTGTACTTGTACTTCTAACAAAAACTTTTGGGGTTCCTGAATTGCTTTTATTCTGAATCACAGGTCTGAGATTAAATCTGAACTGTGGATCTATAAATTCAAATTAATCAATTTATTCTATTTATGAGAATTAAAGTAAACTTACTCATAAGATCTTACTGAATTAACCTATCTATTTCTAATATTCTTAGTAGAAAAATTTCTGGTGTAATAATTCTAAAAACATTTCTTTGAAAGACTGTAAATGTAAATAAAGATCTTCGCGCCAAAATTCTAACATGCAACCTAAAACTAATTAATTATAATATAAAAGAAGGAGTCTTAATTATACTAATTTACTTAATATATACTATTTATACTACAAATTTATTTATATCAGTTTGTTTAACTCTTCATTAAAAGTTTCTAATCCGAAGTTATCCAACCCTTCTTCACTTTCAGGGTTTTTCTCAATTGTAGAAAGAATTGGTTGTGGTTCTAATAAACTGTCCTCTTGGAAACTTGTGGTAGGAAGTTCATTAAAAACATTTTTTGGAACTTGGTGTTTTTCGGGTGAAGGAAGCTCTATAGGTGATAAAACTCCCTCCAAGGGGAAGTCAGTAATGCTTGGATTAATTTCTGATCTTTTATTCCTTCTAATTTCTCTTCGCTTTTTGATCTTTTCCTCCTGAAGTTTTGCAAATTTATTTCTCATTTCCATAGTTATGAGTTTTTCTTTAAGCTCCTTATTCTTCTGTTCTTTTAGAATTTGCTTCACTAGACCATCTTCATCAACAGGTAACTTTCTTTTTTTGGGAGGATCCCCAATGTTAATCATTGGAGATGCGGAAATCCTACCATTCCTGGTATAATAGTTCTTGGCAGCGTTACAAAAGCTACGAAGTGTTTCATATTGATTTACTCCTGCAATCTTTAAGTCAACTTCATCGTCATACTGAAACATATCCCACAATGCTCTTAGGCACTTTCTATACATTGATGATTGATGCCTTCCAGCAACATAATATTCGGGTTTTTTTGGAGGAATACCAATAATTGGAGCTCTAATTTCTCCTTTTCTTTCGATAATATAGTTTTGTAAAGCATAAATGTGGCTCCACTCTTTTTGGCTTTGACTGAAGTTTGGATAAATATCATCAGAGACTTCTTCACAGAAATCAGAAATGACTGAAAAATCAATACTAGACCATTTGCTAGAACTATCTCTCTTAATGTTTTTTTCTCTATAGTTTTTTATTAGATCTTCACAGCTTTCTACAAAATCATCCCAATTACCTCCAACATCATACTTATCAAACATTGATTTATTTAAAGGAAGGATCAGAGAATTAGGCTTAGAAGACTCTCGAATCAAACTTTCCATTTCTTTTTTAAAAAAATACATCATACCTGCTTCTGTACAAAATCCTCTTATTATGGAATATTCTTCTTCCTGGTAGGAATGGATTGCAATTAAGATACCTCCTCCAACTCCATGATGCATTCTGGGGAAATGATTTATCATGTTTGTACAGAATCTTATATACGATTTCAAACTAATACTTCCAAACAAATCTTCTTCAAGCTCACTCTGGACAAAAGTGATAATATGTTTCTTAGCTATTCTCGGTGATGGGAGACCACCTATTCCATTCGACCATCTTCCTTTACCTCCTCTTCTTCCCTGATGATAATACATGTAATAATATTGGTCCAAGACAATATCAATAATAGACTTCATGTATAACTGGTCTGAATTAATTTCTTTTAAAATGCTTTCATTCAATTCATTTGAATACATTCCCGTGAGCATTCCAAACAAAATTGCAAGCCCTATTAACAACTTCATTTTAATCACATTTAGTTTCTCTTTGAACATAGTTTGAAGTACCAAGCATTTCCGGCCTCAAAGTAGTTTTAGCTCTCTTAAAAACGGTAAACCTGGTTGCAATTTTACAAATTTTTTGAAACAAGTTACAAAATTGTCATATCCCATTTATAGATCCATATATTGGCGCGCACCTTGATGTCCTCTTAGTTGCATGCATGCATGGTTCTCATAACCGGTACATATATGAAACCCTTGGATTCTAATAAACACAACTTTTCCAGAATGAATTATTAATTAACTAATATATGAGTTAATTTGATTTAAAGATGAATGCATATTCAACTAATTGTGGATGGTGAATAAATACAAGGAGGTAAAAAGAGTGAGATGTTTATAGAGAGACAAATAAAAGGAAAATTGGATTAGAAAAGAAGTACCTGAAGTTTTCCTAGTAATCTTTCGTACTTTGACTCTATTTTTAAATTAATTTTTTTGCCTATCTTTGAAGCGCCCCTCCCCTCTTAAATCTAAGATTTGGATTTTCCCCTCATGTTGACACTTCCCCCATTAATAGGAAAGTAAACTAGGAAGGCAAAAATTCTAATTTGGTTGTTAAACATTAATATTCGTGATGAGCAATAACAACGATGGTAAGTTTTGAAAAATTGTATTTTTTTTAGCCTTACTTTTGGTAGTAAATTTGGTGGTGGCTAAGTTTAGCTTTGATGACCCCAAAAATTCCAATAAAAAGACTTCCGTTGAGATGAAGGATAATGGCTTAACAACAGGAGGGAATAATTTGGACTTGAATAGTAGCAGAGGTGGAGGAGATCACTCTTCTTATGATGCCAAAGGTGGATCTAGTGCAGCGGCCGTAAGATGCTCTGTTACAGACAATTCAATGGACATGTCCATCAATATAAATTTAGGAGTTAATGTCTCAAAACAAGTTACATTGGTAGCAAAGAACTTGACGGTTGAACTTACTAAGCGTAATAAGTTTTTCCGTAAAGTTGTGACCCCAATTTTAAAAAGTGTTAATTTCATGGCTTCACCTGGGCAGCTTATTGGTATTATGGGACCTTCAGGGTCAGGGAAATCAACACTATTAAATGCTCTTTCTGGGAGACTCAAAGGTAGAGAGTATAATATTAAGGGGTCTGTAGCTATTAATGGGTTTACTGACATTGATTTGGGATATTTGACTCGAATGGTTGTACAGGAGGATTATTTACTTCCTTATCTCACCATTAAAGAGACGATGGATATTGTGGCAGGTCTGAGACTTCCACATTATTCCAAGAAGGATCGTGAGGATAAGGTTATCGAGATTCTTGATATTATGGGACTTAGACATGTACAAGATACATATGTTGGAGGAATTTCAAAGAAAGGAATTTCTGGTGGAGAAATGAAGAGACTTGGTATTGCCTTGGAATTGATTCAGAGTCCTCCAATCTTATTTTTAGATGAGCCAACTACAGGTTTGGATGCTGCTAGAGCTCATGACTTGCTTTCTTATCTTTTATCCCTGTCTCATAGTACCGGCATTATAGTGATTTGTTCTATTCATACCCCAAGATCGCAATCTTTTGTTCTGTTTGACAAAGTTGTTCTTTTAAGCAAAGGATTTGTTCTAGGTCAAGGTTCTCCAATGGACGTTGTTACCTTCTTTAACGACGTTGTTACACCTTTCCCTGATAACTATAACCCAGCGGATTTCATTATTGATGCTACCTCTCTTGTTGAGTTGGTACATAAAAAAGTAATTTCATCCTCAATATATGTACCCAAGGATGCAACTATAAAGGAGATTGAAATAGCTGAGCTCAATTTGGATGGAGAGGAGCCCCTCTATGCGTTCGAAAAGTCAGTATCGAGAGATGACATTTCAATGAAGCTTTTTGGTCTAGAAGTTCCTTCTATTAATTCTTTGGACGAGTTCCATAAGATCTACGAACAATCAGTGTATGGTGAAAACGTTAAAAAGAGTATCGATAATCATTTAAGGTGTGTTGATACAAGCAACCCTCAGAGTTTATTTGAGAATTATGGAAACATTGATTCTGCGAATATGAAAATTCTTCCAACTCAAACAATTTGCCAGAAGATTGCCAGGCTGTCCCCTATTCCAGGTCCTATCCGTTTTTGTAGAGAGATGAAGTACCTTACAAGGAGAATAGTTCTTAACACCTGGAGAGACCCTAATGTAACACTCGGACTACTTCTAGTTAATACAATTATGGCTATTATTATGGGAGGAGTTTTCTTCTCACTCCCAAGATCTGGGGCAAATGATTTGGATACTGCTCAAAATGCAAGAAACATTTTGGGATTAATTTTTTTTGTAGCAACAAGTATCTCATTCTTTTCCGTTAAAGGGCTTGTAGTAACTGTGGATGAGCGTTTTGTTATGAACAAAGAGACCTACTCTAAGATGTATACGCCTATTTCTTACTATATTTCGAGGATGGTTTCAGACTTCCCAGTTCAACACATTCAAACCCTAATTTATACGACGATTGTTTACTTTATGACTGGCATATATGATAAGAATTTCAAAACCTCTTTGGCTGACCAGTTTGGACTTTGGACCATTTCTACCCAAGCTGGGGTGTTTCTTTCTTATTCATTTTCATATGTACTTTCCTCGTTTAGCACAAGCAGAAGTACTGTATTCCAGATATTCCCACTTTTCAGTTTGGTTTTCGCTTTGCTTGCTGGTTACTTTGTCACGTTTGACCAAATTCCAGTCTGGATTAGATGGTTGGGATGGATTTCTACAGTAAGATATACTTATACTGGCATGGTATTATCAATCTTCATTCCAGGAGAAAGATTCTCGACAGTAACTACAGACTTATTTCTAGAGCAATTTGATCTATGGACAACTAATATTTGGCTTAACATTCTAGTAACTATTTGCTTGGGATTAGCATTCAGAATTCTTGGATACTTCTTAACTGCATTCACTTTAAGGAACTACAAGATTGCAAGTTAGATTATCATCAATTCAAAGGGTGATACGCAATTTTATAGCTAATAATCTGTTTGAGGTTTTCCAGTTGGTGTTTTTTGGCACTGAGATGGGTCTACCTCAAATTCATTCTGTAATAAAATCAAGAAGCAGGGAGTTGTGAGTTTCTTATATAAGAAAGGAATATTGTCTTCTCCCACTAACTTAATGCTTTCGCCCTATTATTTGTAACTTGGCTTATTAGATAATTAGAATTTGGCATTTAAGACTTATTAGGAAATACTTCATACTTTGAATAATACTCCTTTATTAATGTATATAAATCTTTGAGCACATTCTAGTGATTTGAATATAAAACATAATCACTTGTGTTTTTCCTATTTTTTTACCTAATAATTCTCTATATACACATTTATAATTATTCATTTAGGAAACTATCATTTTAAATAACTTCTAGCTTTTGACCTCAATAAACAAGTATATGAAAGCTACTTATAAATAAGTTATTAATATAACGGAGGTAGCTGAAATAAATTAGGAAAGCCCAATAGACTCAGCAGAAAGCTCTATATCAGTGGATTCGAATTTATCAGTGCCAGATGTATCCGAATTGGTAGAAGTTTCAATTTTCTTGCCAATAAGAATCTTCTTTACAGTGCTGCTAGGTAGGGTTGGAGGCTCAGGCTCAAGATCTTTGCTTGACCAACCAACAATTACTCTTTTCTTAGTTTTTCCAAATCCTTGGTAATAAAGATATCTGAGAGCTTTGGAGATAGAGGAATGGATTGCTTTAATTCCAGCAACAATTCCGGCAAATTTTGCTGTTCTATCAAGATTTAAGGTTACCGAATTATCTTTATAAACAGTTCTTAGAATATTTTCAACTTGTAGAACTTCTTGTTGATTGACTTCTTGGTTGGTGAAATCTGCTCCAACCGTATTTACTAATTCATTCCACCACATTTTAAATCCAGTACTCATCGTCATCATACCACCACTGATACTTTTACTTCCAGGGAATTCTGTTCTATCACTTTGTTCCGAGAATAACATCTTAATGAATTCTTGTACTTTAACCAAATCATTATCAGTTTGAGGGCAAGTTAAATTTTCTTCTAATACTTCAAGGGTTGATCTCATATACCCAAAGTTAATAAATTTTATATTTGTTGGGGACAACTGGGTTAATGCATTTAAGTTTTCTTCAACCTTTCTGGAAGACCAACTCCAAACAATACGGTCAATATATATACTTTTGGTATTTAGATCACAATGTAGAACTCTACCTGCAATTGAGTGATGCTGCAAAGTTAAAATAGCTGCGATTACAGAATGAGCCAGAGATAACTGGGCTTCTAACCGTAGGAAAACTCTGTCTCTATAGTTAAATTCACCAGTTCTGGAGCTATTTAGCCACTTCGCGAGTGCAGTACTTTTAAAGAATTTAATAATGTCTTTAAGAGAAGGTCCCATTACTCGTTCTTGAATCAAAAGCCCTCCCAAATATGATTTGCTTTCGTGAAGTTGTTGGTTTAGATTTTCATTGCTTCCAAAACAGATAACTGGTGGTATCATAAAATCTGCACCAACACCATATGTGGCTGAAGGTTTAGTGGGGAATTGCTGATTTGATAATAATGTTACATAAAACATTTCTCTTGTTCTTGTTTTCTTTGTGGAGACTTTTAGCATTATATTTTCTGGTACGGATCTTGGAATTGATTTATGCTCACTTTTTCCAGGGTGAATGTAGTAAAAACCCTCCCCAATATTAGAGTACATAAGAACACAGTTAACAGAGGGAAAGATATTTTTGGCTTGATGTGGTAATCCAAATTTTGCTGTTGATGAATGTTTAAGCTGATTAGGAATTGGAACCACAGGATTTCCTACTTCATTTGAAATAATCATCCCATAAATTGACCTTACTGTTAGCACTGCATTAGTTAAAAATCCGTTGGTTACTGGCTGCATTCTAATATTATATACTACTTCATCAGTTGTGGAAACTTTGTTTCTTGGTATTTGTTCAAGTTTTAAGTGTTCTAATACGTTTTCTTCAAATTCAATATCGCATTTGATAAATTTAAATGGCAGAGACCAACAAAGTGCTGCCAAGAGATTTTGTTCAGAATTATACTCTGAGATATTTGGTTGGTTGGCTTGGTATCCATAAGAATGTGATATTAATAATATAAAAAATGAATACAATAGAAAGACAACCTTCATTATTAAATTTTATTTGTTTGATATGTCTATAACTCAGTAGCTATTGAATTTGGTGGGTTACTTAAGTAGTTATTCGAGTATTATTTTTGTATTTAATTGATTAACAAGTAATAAACAAGAGAACACACAGTTCGAATTTTTCTGTAGAAAAGTTTTCAAGTTTCTTGTTAATTCAGAAACAAAAGGATCTAAAATCAAAAATATAATAATTTTGAAAAAAAATGAGGAACTATTCTATTAATTATAAAATAATTAACACTAGCTCTTATTTTCCGAGTGATAATATTTAAGAGGCATATTTAAGACTATTATTTGTATTAATTTTATAAGTATATATGTCGTATTAAATCTATTGGGACTGAAACAAAGATTGATATACTGCCATAAATCTCAATTATATCTTTCTGACTCCTAGAGATATTAGAATGAATGAATATTTCAATAATTCCGTCTCAAAATAATAATATTGAAACAATAATTGCATGACTTGCGCGCCTAATGATCTAAAAAGAATTAAGGTTTTGCATGACAAAATATGGGGCAATAGTAGAGAGAAAAAAAAAAATATATATATATATATATATGTATATATATATATTTATTATATATACATAGATATATAATTTGTATTTGTTAATACAAAAAACCAAACCCGAAAAATATTGATTTTTGTATAGGAATGCAAATATAGATAGAAACATAAGTGATATAATGAAGTTGCTCAAGAAAGCTTTAGGGCTCACACTTTGCTTAATTTTTTTAATATGGAATCCAGAAAGAGTAAAGGCAGCAAGGTTTTGGAGACCCATTTTTGGTACAAAGTATAAAGCTGAGAAAGATCTGAGAGAAGATTTGTCTGGAACATTGATCGTGTAAGTTTTTGATTCTTGATTCTTAAGTTGTGATTAATGTACTTTTCAGAGATTACTGTTCAGTGTTAACTCCAAATCAGATAAAGCTTTCTAATCTATTTATAATTGTTTCAAAAAATTTTTCTGTTAATGGTAAGTTTTTGATAGGTTGGGAAAGCCTGAGATACCACAATTCTAAGTATATTGTTTAAAAAGAGTTACCTAACCGAGGAATGAGACTTAAAAATAAAAATAATTAATTTAAACTTATAGGAATGTCTTTGTTGGATGCATGTTATGTAGTATATGTTTTAAGAGATGGTTATTTTTCAGCCTGTGCACTTGCCTTGGAGTTAACTATCAAAGAAGACGACAAAGTAAAAGATAATCGATTAGAAATTTGTAAGGAAGTATTAAGAGTAGCTAAGGATGATCCAGATATCAAAGATCTGGTTCATGAAGCTCATCCTGACAACTTGCACAATATTTTGGAGAAAGTAGAGTCAGTTATTAAAATGGGAATGGAAGATTTGGGAGGTGAGGCTTGCTCTAAATTATCTCAAGAAGAAATCTCAATAGCAAACGCTCTTGTAATAATACTACTAGAAGAAGGGTACAAAATTAGTAGAACAAGAGCCTGCACAGTTTTGTTATCTTTAAAAGAAGGTTCTTTGGAAGATTGTGCTAAGTCTTTAAGGTCAGCATTAAGAGGGCACATAGAATATACACAAGCTGAAAGGTTCTGTCAAGAAATGGCAGGATTTGCGAGCAAGAAGTATCCTAATATCTCTGGCAAACTAAACAATGGACACATATTCCCAATTGATGGAGTAAATTCCAACTTAAAAAATAAAGTAGAGGCAAACGAAGCTATTTTGGTTGCTCTTGCGATTGATAATAGGTGCCATTTAGATGAGCTTGACGTTAGACAGATATTATTTACAAACTATCCATCTACAAACGTAGTAGTTGACAGGAGACAACTCTTTGACAGATTTCTTATTTTTTATAACAGAAATAAATCTGGAAAGATAGCCAAAAGATGGTTCAAAGATGGGGTGCTAAACGGAGTTGAAGAGGAAGAAAGTAATACTCCATTGGGACCTAAGATGGAGCTTGTAAATCTTACAAACCAACAAGCTCTTCAAACACTGTATTCTACTTATAGAAGTTTGATTGGCTCTTTTAAAGAGACTCAGAAATTTGTACAAGATATTCAATACCAAAGAGGAAGTATTCCACAAAGTCTGAAACGCCGGTTCTACATGCAAATTCAATTTGTCAAATATATGGAGAAACATATTGGAGCTTTGAAGGAATACATTGAATCTGATAATACGGATATATATTCTGCCTCAAATCTACCCTATGGTATTTCGGATTTGAGATCCTTTTCAGAATTAGCTAGAAAGGATTGGACTCACTCTTTTGTTGAGGATAAGCCATATGAAGAGATGAATCGCTTTTCATTATTCTGTTCAATATTACATAAATCTGCATTTAGACTTGCTTTATTGGTAGTTGGAGTTTCTCATAGTATTTTGGGAAAGACCAAAATTAAACTTCCAGATGCATGTTTGGCAATATCCCAAGTAAAAAATGACAGAGACCATAAAAATTCCATTAAACTGGCATTATCATTGGTATTTGTAAATAATCAGAAGATTTTAAATCTTGATGAGCTGGAAACATTGTATAACCTTTTGGTTGCTTCAGTAGATGAATCCATCAATGAATTCTTGCTTGGAATTCCTGAAGAGTTTTTCAACTTTGATGATGAAAGAGATATTACTGACGAGAAGCTTGAACGTTGGATAGCAAAAGTTGAGCATAGACTAACCAAGGTAATTATTGAGCCAAAATCTATTTTAAACAATATTTCTCTATTTGATGTTGATATGATTATGCAAAGTATATCTCCATTGGAAGCTAAACTTCAACTTTTAATTGGAGTTTCATTAAGAAGAATTCACGAAGCTTTGGAGGATCTAACTGATATTGAGCATGAAATGAGGAAGCTTACAAATAAAATAGAGTTTGCAAGGATTCAGACTGACAGTAGCAGTGAAATTACAGATACTCAAGAATACAATCTTTTAAGTAAGAAAAGGGAAGAAAATCTACAAAAAGTAATAGATCTTGGAGTAGAACATGCTGGTTATTGTGCAAAAGCTATTGATATATTTGACATTTCAGACAGACCAATAGTTCGAAAGGTTCACCGTATTATTGCAATAAATACTGAACTCAGAAGATTGACTATCAGCTATTCAAAAGCTCAACAAGATAAACCCATTTTTAAATCCAACAAAGTTTTGCTTAGAACCTCTATAATAAACCATAGAAGAAATTTAGCTAAGAAAATGCTTGAGGAGTTAATCATAGGAGAGGCTTATAATCCAAGTGATAATAGGTGGTACACAGACTTAAATGATTGTTTCAATAATTTCGTTCCGGATCTCAAACTATCATTAAAGTTGGATCCGAGTCATATTGTTGAACGATCATCTGGCTTTTCCAAAATTAACCCAAAGAAGAAGCCACCCAAATACAATCTACTTTGTGACAAAAATCAATTGAGAAGATTTAAAATATTTCAACCAGATTTAGAGAAGATATTTAAACTTGCAGAAATTCCAGTTATAGATTTCGAAGGGAATAGACCTTTGATGGCAGATATTTTAACACTAGAAGGATGGGCTCCTCTTAAGACTACCATTCATGAAAAAGAAGAGCCTAATATTCCCTGCTCTATAGCTAAACAGCTATTTAGAAAAATTGTTTCTGACATATCACAAAGAGCAACAGGAGGGACTTCATTCTTCAATATTCCTCTTGTACACCTATGGTGTGCTGACCATATAAGGTTTAGGAGAGGAAACCAGGCTATTTGGAGAAACCTAATCCCTAGGATTTGGTCTATTTTTATAGAAGAGCCTTTAGATATAAGCAAACTGAGATCTAACAAATGGACGATTAGCAACTGGTTTAGATAATTAACTTGAGAATTTTGTATAGTTAGTTGAAAAAAATAGGTTTCCATAAAATAAGGAATATAACGATTAGAATTTTCCATGTAAATCAAGATTGTTTCTAAAGTGTTTAAATAGTACTTTTAAAATTTGTCAGAGTTGCCTAGAGTAGAGAGATTACCTTATTGGTAAACATTTTAGGAGATTTGTGAGAAGATTAGTAGAAACAAACCAATAGATCTACTTGAAATAAAAATTTAAGAATAGTTCAAACTCTGACATTAAGTATGACTTAATGCAAATAAAGGTAGCAAATGTTCGGAACAGGAACAAAATTAATAGAGTAAATTTAGAATAACAAGTAAATAAATATTTATTAGTGGATAAATACAGATATATATAAATATATATCTTTGTAAATATATATATATGTATTTATGTATATATATATATGTATATATATATATATATATATATATATATAAACATATACATATACTCAAATATATTGTCTGTTGAATAATCTATTCAGCTGGAGAAATTCCAAATAAAGAAAAATATTTGGCGCCAAAAGGGTGAAAAATATTGGATGAGGGGGAGGAAAGGTTTGAATGCGTTTAGGCGTCAGCCAAAGCAAGTATTAGGAGGCAAATGGTTATGCAGAAAATAACTTACAAAAAGAGGGTAAATAAATGAGACAGGAAATTGGAAAAAGTCTGTGAAAAAATCGAGAATTTGAGAAACGGTTACGAGATCGAGGTGAAGAAGATAGAAGCGTCTGAGATCAGGATCAGGCACTCTAGACGAGATCCAGGAGTTAAAAAAAATTGATTAACTAGTAAAAAAGCAAAAACACTTATAATTTATAAAAATTCGATATTTTACTTAATTCCTGGAAATGGAAGCTCGGGAGTCAATAGATGTAAAGATGGTAGTGGAAGAATCAGGAGTAGAGACGAATTTAATTTCAGGTACCGAGTGCACTACTGAAAATACAAATTTAACTCTTGAGGCCCGAGAAAATGCAGTAGTTGATCAGAAAGATGAATCGATGAAACTAAAACAGTCGGAACTGGAAGTGGATCACGAATTAATTTGTATTGATTTCTTTTTGAGATACATTTCAAATCTGTATCCTTTATGGGCAGAATATGGAGATAACTTAATGTTTCATATAGCTCAAATATATGGAGCTATTAGCAAAGAAGAGTTCAGACCATACTTGCAGATAATAGAATGTATTGGATTGAAGATGAACGAAAAAATGAAACCTGATCATTATAAAACTATTTCCAGTGAGTTAAATCGTAAAACTAGATCTAGTAATTCTATAATTGATAACCAGGGATATCCTCTGGATATCGAGAAGTGTGATTCCCAGGTTTGTATTCGTGCAATTTCTCATTTAGACTCTTATAGGGAGTGGTTGGATGGAATGCTAACTGGGACTGATTGTAGATTAGAGTCTGTATCTCAAGTTTCTGAAAGTCTAGAGGGACAGATTGGAAAACCAATTAGTGAATGGAAGCCAGCCAATTTAACTGGAGAATTGGTGCTTCCTCTAGTTTATCAGGCATATGTCACAATGGAAATAAAACGTGGAGGAGATCCTGGTCAAAATGGTAGACATGTAGAGGACTTTAGCTCTGCTGTAACTGAGAAATCTGGAGGTTTAAACAATTTAGGGAAGTCCAGCGTACCCAACAACTCACCATCCAAAGTGGGAAATGAAGTTGGTGTTACTTATGAGAAAAATAGAGATCGCTGGGTTGCAGTTTGGACAGAGAATGGTATTAGAAGAAGCCGGATTTTTAATGTTAAACAGTATGGTTATGACACAGCAAGAGAAATGGCTATTCAGTATAGAAGAGAACAACTTGCTAATATTAACAACAAAATTCCGACTGTAACTCCTGTGCAAGCCGTCAGAACTAACAAGAGAAGCAGAAGATCCATAGAAGGAACAGGCCGTTCAGGAAGGACATCTCCTTCAGCATATAATACAAGAAACTCCTCTTTAGATGCAATAAGCTTACAAAATCCTGATTTTGAGGTATTTTATGATCAAGAAAAGGATTCATGGATTTGTAGAAACTCTGTAAATACTCTAGAACAAGAAACTCTCTTTTCTGTTGAAGAATTTGGTACAGAAAAGGCGAGACAGCTTGCAATAGAAAAAGCAGGTGGTTTGGCTGATGAGACATCATTTACACCAGTAAAAAAAGTTTCTTCTAGAGCTTCAGCTTCAAAAGGAACATTATTTACTCCGAAAAGAAAGGATTCTCAAGGTACTGATGGTACCGCATTAAATGTCTCAGGAGAAGGACATGCAACATCATCTTCATCATTTAGAATAAGGATTGCAACAAATGCTTCAAATTCAAAGGGTGAACAAGGATCAGGCCAATTTGGGAATGGTACTCAGAATTTTTCTTCTGAGCAAAATACAGGAGGCAGATCAGAATCAAGGAAATCTGCCTCTGGGGAGGAGTTTTTGGTATACCACGGAAAAAAGTACTATTTTGGGCCTGTGATCGAGGGAATACGTTATGATAAGATCCAGAATAGGTGGGTGACCGGCTATGTTGGACAGGATGGGAGGAAACGTTATAAATATTTCAGTATTGGAGCTTACGGATTTGAAGGGTCCCGTCAGCTTGCTATAGAATATAGAGAAAGTATGTACTCAAGTACAAAAGGTGTTGATAAACTAAGTGAGTTCCTACAGACTGTGATTCAAGGATTTCCTGCACATGAAGATGGAGTTCTGCAAGATGTCTCATTTGAAGATTTAACGATACATAAGGGTCAATTAAAGGATGGATCAGAAAGATGTTATCTCTGTATTCCATCAAAAGGAGACTTTTTGGTGACAACTCCAACAGATCCGGGGGATGAACAGGTGAATTTTCTACTTAATAGGTATAGATCAGTTTTACAAAATAATGGAGGTAAGGAAGAACACCTACTTAAGGAGTCTATTTTGGCTTGTGTTAGGTCAGACCTTAAGTCGCCCTCAGCTTTGATAAATTCTAGCCTCGACACAATTACACAAAAAGGAGAGAATTTAGGGATTCCAACAGAAATTCAAAACGAGACTGAAGTTTCAATTAGATCGGAGGACGTAGTGATGCAAGATCTTGAGAAGAAAAAAGAAGGTGATGATAAAGTTGTCAAAATACTAATAAACTCAACAAACGAGACTTTAAAGAAAGAAGGTAGACAAGAGGAGTTAATCCAGAGTTTAAAGGAGGATCCAGGCAAGAAAATAGATGAAGGAAGTTTATTAAGTGCTAGTCCTGTGGTAAACTTGGATTTTTCAAAGGGCATTGAAGAGCCTTTAGGTTCTCCTTCAAAAATGGGAACCCCATCTTCTAGAAGTACGGACTCTATACATGATTGTATTGTAACTACATATGACGACTCAATGTTTATAGAAATTGAAGATAAATCGTCCCCTAATGGACGAAAAAGATTTTTTATTGGCCCAGAAATTGATGGAGTTTCGTATAACCCTACAATACATCGCTGGGTTACTCAATATGACATAGATGGGGTTTCCATGACCAAAAACTTTAGTGTAAAAAGTTATGGTTTTGAGAAGTCCAGATATTTGGCAATCCAGTGGAGAATTAAATATAATGGAGAGCCTTCCCAGCTAAGTCAACTCGTCCGAGCTCTCCATGACCAGGGAATAGAGTATCCTCCAAAGTGAACTTGCTGCTCGTTAGTTTTCCCTAGCTTGTTGCGATTTATGATACCTAAAGCTCATCTTCTTACTAATATTTTTGCTTTGAAACTACTCCTTCTTAAGTAATTAGTTTATATTTAGCTCTAATTTTTGTTAAAATTGCTTTCTTGCATGCGTTTTGCATGAGTAGTTGCCTTTTAGTGTTTACCGCCGGCGGCAAATCTTTATAGAGGTTTTAAAATTCGGAGATCTTGATAATACAAATAAGGAGTGACAAAAAAAATTGGAAAGATAATAACGGGAACAAAGATAATAACAAAAAAGAAGGGATATTTAGAACTTTTATGAAGCTTAATTTAACAGGATTTCTTGGGTTTTTAGCGATTTGCATAAAATTAGCAGTTACATGTGCTAATAAGCATGCATGGGAACCAAAACTTTATAATGGCTTAAAGCCACGAAATGAATGTATAAGAGAGACTAGCTCATTATATTCCGAACTTTATAGAGATGGGTCTAAGAAGATAAACGTTAGCTCAATGTATAGATTATTGCCATCTGGTCCAATAAAACAATTATTTTATTTTAAACAGAGTAGATCAGCTGCATTAGAAACAATCAATGTACCATTGGCTTTAGGTCTTCATAGGCCTCAAAATATTTCAGAACCAATAAATAGAAGCGTTGCAGCTTCAACATCTCACCAATTTTTGATGGAAGAGTTTTACATAAGCAGATTTATTGAATTTACAGTAAATAATATTGAATTGCCACTATCTAATATATTCTTAGGGTCTTGTATCATATATACATATAGGAGTATTAGGAATCAGCTTGGAATTTCATCTTCTCTTCCGTACATACAAAAAGTTGCTACTATGACTTTCCAATTACCAAATGTAAGAGATGAAAACTTTAGAGAGATTTGCAAACGCTATATGACTAGTCTCTCATCATTAGGAAGAAATAACTCTCCATCAAATTTGGCTTCTCAAGTATGTTCCCAAATACAATCTTGTATGGATGATTCAAATTTATTAAATTCAGTGGTAGTTCTAAGAGAGACTTTATCAATTGATCCAAAAAAGTTAAATATTCATGACTCACCAAATAGAACTAAGTTCATTAGTGATATTGGAAGCAGATTTCAAGGTAGACCTCTGAATGTAAATTTGTTGAGATTGTATAAATTGGTTTGTAAGCTAGATTCAATTATAAATACATTTTTTTCTAATAAATCAACCGATGCTTTTTCTGTTAAAGATCAAAGTCATATGGATTCATGGCAGCAAATAGTTGAATATTTGGATGAAAAGAATTCAGGGGACATGAAATGTGAGGACTTGTTGCGACTTCATTTAAAGGCTTTCCCATTATTTTCAACACAGTTGAATATAAAAAAAAGGAATCATCTCAGTAAGCTCCTTTGTAAAACTTCTGAACAAGCAATAAATCAATACTTAATTCCACTACCTCCAACACCAATTTATTTTCAATATTTAATGTATTTAAATGAATATTTGGAACTCCCGTTGAAACTCATTTCTAAGTCTCAATGTGTCTTTTTACTCTCAGCATCTTATACAGGAATGTTTCCAAGATTTGAATATTCCACAGAGTTAACCATACTATTAGATCAGCTTAAATCTAAAACAAAGGAAGGCTTTCTTCTTCAATGTATCCAAAATCTCCCAAGATACATTAATTTGGCAGAAAATACTTTCGTTCCAAAAGAAAGGATAGTTATTGACACAAAGAGAGATTCTTCAGAACTTTGTAATGCAATTCTTAATTGCTTTGAATCTGATTCTCCACTTTCAGAAAATGACTTAACAACTCTTTTTATTGCAACCATTTCTTCCCAAGGTGGTGAATTCTATAACCAGTTTCTCCCGAGAGTGAAGTTTATTACAAGAAATTTTGAAAAAAAGAAGACTAAGGAACAAAAAGTTGAATCAAATATAAATAATATTGCTGATAGTAGATTACTAACCCCAATTTCAGTAATAAATGCTGTTAGTAAAACGCATGATCCAACAGTTACCATTAAAGTTCAAAAATTTTATTCTTCCTTAGTTAGAATAGGTTTACTTCTTACAGACAATAGAAATATTTTTGAAGCTTCAAGAAGTAAGAGGCCGTTAACATTTCCAAAGGAGTTTGTTTCTGGTAAACGTCTTAATGAATTGGTTCCTTCTATTTCAGAAATTTCTAAAATTGTGTCAAAAAACTTAGTCCCATCAGAATGTGCTTCAGCTATTATTAAAAGGCATCCAGAATTGAGTGGCATATTTTTCACATTAACTTCACTCTGTGAGTATGTGCTCGATAATTCATACCCAACTCCTTTCTCAGATATACCTTACCTTTTAAAACTTGTAACTATTTTATCCGATAGTTACGGGTTTTCTATTAGCAAGATTAGAAGGATTTACGCATATGCTGCAGGTTCTTATGCTATTCTTGGCGTACAGATCAGATTATTACCTTTATTTTCTTTTGTAAGCAAATATAATGAAATGAATGAAAATTTTAAATCTGAATATAACATTTGTATTGAGAATTTCCAGTTTAAAATGTTCTTTACAAGCTCTCAGATTCAAGATAAAAAAGAATCTTTCTGTAGATATGTTACTTTGGTTCTTGAAGATGAATTCTATGAAAGAAACATCATGTTTGCAATCAGGACATTTTCTAAGAAGTCATCTGTTGAAGAAGATTGGTATAATTTGTTATCTGGTCTCTTTAATGATGTCAAAAATTCAATGGTTAATTCCATTGGGTCTAACCTTACTGTCGGCTATTCAATTGGTGATGGATCTAAGTTTTTTCCATTTTTCATTTCCAAGTATATTAGAAGTATTCAAAAATCAAATTATATTGGCGAACTCACAAATAGAGATATCATCAAAATATTTACCCAAATATATTTAAATTACGAGGCAATTCCAGATATAGGTAGCTCTTCTTTCATTGGAAATGCATTGAGATATGAGTTTATTTCTTCAAAGGATTCCTCCAAAGATATGAGCAATTACAAACTGATTTCAGATGAGCTTTATGGTCTTAGATATCTCTTCTCTCGTGAAACTTTGCTGGAAGTTTATCCCTATTTAATTGAAAGCTGTATAAATGCCACATTAGAATATATGAAGTTCGTTTCAAGTCATGATTTGGACCATGAAAAGATTACGAAAATATGCACATTCACCTTCTCTATTCCAAATAGGGAGCTCCCTACTCAATACAAAACCAATGCTTTGTTTATTAACTATTTGATAAATTACTTTAGTATTCCTCAAGAAGCAATTTCACAGCTTCATTGTATATACGAAGTAATTAGTGCATTCTCAAACTTCTCTGAAGGAACTCCATCTTTTGAAGTTTCTCTTAACTTTGGGTTAAACATATATGTACTCACACATGGATTCAGAAATATTAAAGAAGATACCTTCGGCGATAAATGCAAGGTTGCTGCCTTACTTTCAAATATCTTAGACACAAATAAAGATGCTACCATATATGAAGAGGAAGCTTCATCAAAAACTAATTTTGGACGTTCTCTTCATTATCATAACTTGAACCCAATTAACACTAAAAATGTTTCTTCTCTTTGCAGTACAATTATGCAATGCTCAAAACCCAGTTTACGTGATGGACCTATTCGAGAATTTATCAATCAAACCTTTTATAGCTTTATATACAATGACCATCTTTCCGAGGACCCTCTTGCTTCCACAAACATTTTATTAAATAAGGATTTCAGCGGAGAAAACATATCAAGAAACCAGATTAAGCACAAACTTGAAAAAAAAATTGAGAAACTTATTCTTGAAGGTGTGGAAATTACTTATGATAATAAGAATGTCAAAATTCAAGGCCTCAGAATGGTTGAGTCCATTAGGTTGTATGGTGTTTTTCATGATAGCTTCAGAAACTTATTAAAAGATTTTGATGGTAAAGATTTAGTCAGTGAATACGGCTTCTCTGGTTTATACTCAGGAGCTAATCCCATTAAAGGCAGAAATGATTCTATTGATGATCTTAAAATCTTTAGCATTGAAACTGCTGCTTTGGTGGTTCATGAAATTTCGAATAGTATTTTAAGGAATGAAAAGGCTTCTGAAACACAGAGTTTCGTTCTCTCTATTCAAAACAACACTATTAAATACTGCAGAGAACATTTAAAATCAGTTCTTTCTGAAGCATTTAATTCCCATGAAATTAATTCTATTTGTTCCATTGCATTTTCAGCCTTTAAATATTAATATATTAACTGAATTAACTTAAAATATATTTTTCAAAATAAACATTTATAGAAGCAATGACATCTTTTAGGCTTTTAATTTATTTACTTATAGGTTTAGTCTAATTATAATTTTACATGCAGTATTTGCAAAATTGCATGTTGCATGCATTGTTTTTTTGTACTACTAGCTAATTGGATTCTAAAAATTAAATAATAGCTTCATTCTCTAAGTTATTCACAAATTTAATCAATTTCAGACAATTTAATTGAAGTAAAATCCGAAAAATCTAAACTAAAGCTCAAAATGAATACAAAAGCTGCATTTTTTCTTCTTAGTGTGTTGTGTGCTAACGCTTTGGCGGGAAACTGCGGGAAATGTCAGAAACCTGCTTTGGGAGTGTTTTGTATCTAGTATAGCAGTAACAAAGAAAAAGTCAATCTTTTGTATCGAGACAACCACCTGGATTCCTTAGAGGTTTTAGTATTCGATTTTAGTTCCGAAAATGAAGATCATTTTATTTTCTTTTATATATTTGGCTGGAATAAAGTTTAATATGGCCACAGAGTCAACCCAAATGTACAGCAACTCATTTTCCGATGCCAAACTTTATGACATTCCAATCAAGTTAAGGGGCCTAGTCGCACAGAACAGCTTAGACCAGATGTACATAGTATTTCAAGATAGAGTAGTCCCTGGTGCAGAACTTGAAGAAGGAGAGGTAAGTCAAACGAAATATTTCTAGATTTGAATTTTTAACTGAAATTAAAAATACTCAATTTTGTTCAAATAGAAAATTGGCGTGTTAAAGCCATTTTCTGGTTTTCAGCAAAACCAAAATACTGATGTTAGTCAGCAAACGTATAAGGTATCTCAAGAAATTCCAATTACTTCTCCATGTAAAGCAAAGATAGAGGAGATATATTGCTCATCCAATAGTATAGTTGCTGCAGAAAACAACAATGTAAGTCTTTAATCAAAGTTATTGTTTATGAATTTACTCTTTTTTTTAGGGAATAATGGCACCAAAGTATATTCTTTCATTTTCATGTTTAGACTTTCCAGAAGAAGACCTGCGAACAAACAAGAAAGATGATTCTGACGGTTTAATAGAAGTTTCCATAATCTCAAAAGAGAATTCCTTGGTTGTGGATGTGCCTGATTCAGAATCTGTACAGGAGGGAACCGTATTACTTGGGATATGGCTTGACAATCTTGTTTTTTTAAGATATGAAGCTACCAAACCTATTCAAAATCTCAAAACAGCATATCCAAAAACTCAGATGATTAGTCATAGATTTCAAAGAGGGGTTACTTTAGTTATGTTTGAGATAGAACAACCTCTCGCTTCCCAGAATATAATTAATGACAATAATACAGACTACTTGTCTCAGATAGAGCCTCTTAAAGAGAATTCAATACCAAATCAAGAGCAAACTGAAAAGGATGATATTAATAAGGAGGTTTCAGTTGGTGGCTTTGAAGGGGATCAAAGTATCCAGCCATTGGACGCCAGTCCTACTAATCTAGATGAGACTCTTGAGAATGATCATTTTGAAAATCAAGAAACACTCAACAACTTTGCTCAACCTAATAAAGACGAATTACAGGAAATTAAGAGTGACTCAATAGTTCATAAAGATAAAATTCAGCCAATTGAAATTGCTTTGGATAACTCTGCTGTAACTTATTCAATCATAATGAGGAACCAACTCAAAAAATCCAAGCTCCATAATTTGAACCAAAATTTTGATTTGTTAAATCAAAAAGCAAAGTGGATTGTTAGAGCTCCTTGCCCCGGGGTAATTACCACCAAAACTTTAACTCCAAGTATCAAAAGAATAAGTCAGGGAACAGTTTATGCATATATTGAATGCAGTAGCAAAAAAGGCAAAACAAAGAAGGGTTCTGCCTCTAAAGGCCAAGAAATTCCTCTAATCATGCCATTTTCAGTCAAAATCATTAGAATTAAGGCAAATCTACAAGAAACTCAAGAAAAAGGTCTCTATTCAGCCCAGGTATCCAAAAATCAAAGTATTCTGAGTGGAAAATTAATTAAGGAATCCAAGGATATACCTGCACATTTAATATTTGGTAAATTCCAACTAGTAGTAGCTCCCTGTAGTGGAACACTAGGAAATACTCTTGAAGTTGGAAAATCTGTCAAGAAGAGAGATTCCATATTTTCTGTAGAATGTACTGAGCCTGGAAAGGATTCCGTAATGTATGGGCTTACAACTAAACCAGGATTGGTTACCAAAGTTTTTAGAGAAAACAGAGCAAATGTTAAGGTGAGTCCCCAATAAAGGTGCATGAAACAATATATATTATTTTAATTATCTAACTCTCTATTTATATCTATTTAATTTAGGAAGGGGAAGCTATTGCAATTGTGAGAAACAATTGGAAAATCTTAACTTCTCCATGTGATGGATTGTTGATTTACACTAATACTCCTGGTCTTGCAAAAATAGGAACAAACATTGCTGTGGTTGTATGTAACGATAATAAATTTAAAAGAAAGAATATTCAAGCAACTAAGAATTTTATGATTCTGGAAAATATTCTCCCAAATCCATCATTTGTTTCTAAGAAACAACCTTTGATTGTAGTAGATGCTGCCAGATTAAATTGGGATCTTTCCGACGATTTGGATGACTCTAATACAATAATGAAGACTTATTCTCCCTCAAATACAAGAATGAATATAAAGAATTCAAAGTGTAAGTTGATTATTAATATATATGCATCGTTTTTTATTCTAAGCTTAATAACTCATATCTTTTCTTTCTCCAGTACCTTCAAATATAATCATTCAAAACGTTGTTTCCCCTTGCAATGGAAATCTATTAAGAGAACAGGAACTTAAGATAGGATCTCAAATTGGTGAAAATACCACATTTGCAAAAATTAAGTGCAATAGAAAAAAATCTTACTCGTTAAGTTCAAATACAAGTGCAATCATACTTCAGAATAGTGTTTATGAACAAATAGGAGGAGAAATAATTCATGATTACGAACCTGATAATTTCCAGATCTCTAAAGGAGACAGTATCTTACAGATCATGTTTATACATAACGTTAAACATCACATAATCGCTTCCCCTTGTGATGGATATGGATATACTTTCAATTCTGCAGGTAATAAAGTCACTAAAGGAAAGTACTTCGCAGCAATACAATGTAAAGAAGAAGATAAAAGCAAGAAGACTCAAAAGATTAAAGCAGTTAAAGATATGAACATAGTTTCATCATATATCTATTTTAAAAAGAAGTTTTTTAAAGGTGATCCTCTATTTATTATGGTGGAATCTAACTAATAAGTTATTCATGCCAAATCAAATTGAACATCTTGGGGCAAACAGAGTGTTCAAGTGAAGCTAAAGAGTCAATAAAATTATTTTTAAGTATTTTAATGTTAAAGACCACATTTATCTAGAATTGGTTAGATTTACTTGTTATTAAGTTTCTGCTTTTTAGATTGTTTTTTAGATCTCTGACATTTAATACAAGATGGCTTTTTAAACAGTCTTCTGAAAAATCTTGTAATTTTATTACCTTTCTTTTTATTTGGAGTGGTTTGCTCACCGCCTCCGACTTGAGAGAGATCTTGATATTGATTAACACTTTCAAGAATATTTACATCTGGAATGTGTCTTGATAGCTTCTTCTTAAGGTATTTATTAGATTGTATGGCTTTAACTATAGGATGGAAACGTTGTTCAAGATATATTTTAATCTGTTTGTTTAACACATCAACAAAATTTAGATCTGAGATTTTCTTGAGTAGTTTACTTCTAACGGAGTTCTTGTAAGAATAGAATGCTTGGTAGAGAATCTTACATTGTACTAGTAAACTATGTCTGTCTTGATTATGGCCAGTTATAATTTGTTGAAGAATATCCATAATATTTGGATTGGTGACCTGAATTAAATGGTGTAAAAGAGATCTAATAGCTTTTGAATGCTGTAAGAACTCATTTGAAAGCTCAAGGAATTCAAGCTTGAATTTTTTAGTTTTCTTTCTCCATGACCTCTTTTTATTGTAATTTTCTGCAACTCTTAGTGTCTCTTGTGCAAAATTGACAAATTCCCTGATCTTAGGTTTATACTTAGTAAATTCACTAATAAAGGTTTCAGTAACTACGCTGCTTGGATGTTCTGTTAACTGCAATCCAAAGTTAATAGTCTTGATCTTTTTTGCCTTATTGTAGCAAACATTAATTTCCTTTTCTTGTTCAGGTGATAATTCCATATCCTTTGGATGTGAAATGTTCAATTCCTTATTTTGTGCACTATCGCTTTGGTATGGAGTACTTTGATTCTCTAACTGGTTGTCTTGATTTTCTAATTCATCAATTTGTGATCTGCGATCCATAATGGCTTCTGGAATTTCAGTAACGGGAGCATCTTGTGGTTTCAATCCTACAGGGAGTTCTTTTAGCGTGTTAATGTAAGAGAACGGCATGTTTGCAAAGCTATTAACCTTTAATTCATCAGTAGCCTGAATATTTTTTGGGGAATCATTAATAGAGCCCTCTTCAGCTTTCTGGAAATTCAAATTCAGTTGAGTTTCATCCATACTACTTTGATCAGAATCTTCAAATCCTGTAGTTGGCACTTTAGAGAATGACTCTGCATCACTGTACCCTTCATCAGTTGTCATCTCAGTTTCTTGGGTCTTTTCTGGGATATTTTCAACATTATTTGGTGGTACTGAATACTTTGGGCTTTCCTGTTTGTAAGTGTGGCTACTTTCAAGATATTGAGTGTTCTCTTCATTTTCAGATTGTTCCGGGCGTGATTCCTCAACTAAATTAGCATCCACCTCTTTGGTAGTTTCAACTGGTTGTGATTCACCTTGGTTATAGTTGGGATTAATCAGCTTAACCTTATCCAAGAACTCGTCTCCTGAATAAGTAACCTGAATGGGTTTATTATCACTTTGAACATTGGATGGCCTTTCCCAAGTCTTCCCAGTACTAAATCGCTTTGATAAAGTACTTCTATATGTTCCTCTTAGCTTTTCAATTTCCTCTTGCAACAAAGTCTTACCAGAAGAACTTTGTGTAGCTTTCATTTCCTCAAATCTGTTTTTGAAGAGGAAGTTATTTCTAGGCATCTCTTTTTTCAAAGCTTCTACTAATTCATTCTCTTGGCTATTTTGAGGAACAAAAACAGAAGAATCTTTACTTGCACGATCAAAGTTACTTTTCATTGAAGATACATATTTGTTCGATATATTTTGCTCTCCTGGTTTTATTTCTTCATTCTTATTTCCTGCCCCATAAAGATTGAATCTTTCAAATTGTCCCACTAGAGAATTAATTACAGAAGCAATTCTTGGACTAACCTTGCCTGTTGTTGCGCTGGTCCTAATATAAGGACCAGAATAAATTCTTTTGTTTCCAACAGTTCTCTCCTCAACCGCACTGCTCGGAGGAGATGGAGGTTCAATTGAAATAGAAGCCGTTTTTGAAGGCTCCTGAACAAACGGTTGGTTTATTTTGTTAGAAACATCCATTAATGTTGCTTCACTTTCTGATGGTATCATTGAAAGATCTTCTGTTTTTGGATTTACAAAACTAGACTCTTTAGGACTCAGATCATGCACAGAATCAACTCTTCCAGAAGCTTTACTTTCGTCAACAAAGCCAAAAGAATGTTCAAGATTCTTTGCCCCTTCTTTTATGGACAAATCTATATTTTTTGAAATATCAGTACTAAAAGAAGTCTCTTTCTGATCTGTAGTCTGATATTTGTTGTCTTCCTTCTGTGGAAAAAGACTCGAACTTTCTACGTTTACCAAACTGCTTGAACCAAATTTGGAAGTTTCTGAAATACCAGAAGTCAATTGTGATGACTCCTCTCCAGGTTGAGATACTCTACTCTCTCCTTCCCCTGTCAAAAATATTGGCAACTTTGATTCGCTAGTCTCCTCAAAAACTACCTCTGATCCTACCTGGTCCTGCGAAATTTTCTTTTGTTCTATTGGATTTGCTTCAACCTTAATTTCATAATCATTTATGACAAAATCGTCAGGAGTTTTAGGCGGGCTTTCTATGTGGCTATCTGCATGCACTGCATGTGTTTCTGGTTCACTGAATTTGCTGACAGAATAAGTTTCTGGAGTTTTTGGAGTTTTCATTAGAGAGCTAGTTATTTCGACATTTTCTGTCAAAGGCTCAAGAAGTTTCTCTTGCATTTTCATTTTTTTGAAATTATTGCTAAGTTCTTTTTCCAAAATGCTCCCATCAAAGACTTCAAAAGAAGCTCGGTGTGAATCAGTCTTGGATTTTGGAGTATTCTCTAGTGATTCCATAATTACTGGATCGCTAAATTCTGATCTGTCTTTCCCAGAATCCGGCGTTTTTGCGTCAACTGAACTTTCTGGGATATTGTTATAACCATATTCTATAACTCCAGGAGAAGTTATCTTTAATCCACTTGGTAGGCCATCTGGAGGACTATCATCAAATGCTACACTTGAGTCGCCCTGAAATAAAGAAGCACCGATTGGTAAAGGTTCTGAGGAACCTTTACTATTGCTTGTATCATAATCAAGGGCACTATTTTCTGCAGAAAGCTCACTCGCCACTTTAGATGTTGCTGAATTCTCAGTTTCTTCATCCCCAACCACAACTGAGCTCCCGTAATTTGAAACATTACTTTGCCCACTTAGTTCTTGAGACGAATCAAACCCTGAAACTGCGAGTACAACTACATTAAACTTGTTATCTATCACTGCTAGCAGTCCAGAAATCAGAAGAATGTACTTAAATAGAGCTCTCACTCCTATATTTGTTCTGTTTCCACCAATTCTAATTTTTCTAACCATAGTTTTTTCCTAGTTTAGTCGTAATATGATCAACCAAAACTTCATTCATAAACTTCAAACTCCTAAATAATTAAATCGGACCCAATCATACAAATTAATACAAGTTATTTAAGAATCCCACTTCTTTAACCCCCCTAAACTATTGCTATTTCTATTTCCAGTCCTTTTTCTACCTGAAAACTGCATAGATCTTTTTTACAGGGGCGCCAAAAAAAAACATGTGCCCGCCTGTTACGTGAATCTGCATAAACATTCTCACTAATGCCACTCGTTATTTAACTAAAAAAACTACTCGTTTTCAGCTCGAAAACTGCTGCTAAAAATTACGGAAAATTAACTATATTTTGTCATTATCTTTTGTATAAACACATCCGTTCTCCATTAAAACATTACTTCATAACATCATCAACGGAGTTTAAATATTTAAGCATACTATTATTTCTCTGGAAAATCTTCTCTGGACTGTAAAACTCTCCATAAACAGTAAGGCATTTCATTAGCAATTCAAATAGTTTTCTGACTTCTTCCAGCATTGATTCGATTTCTTTAGAGAGCGACACCATTTTTTCGAATGAGCTATCAAAACGTTGTTGTGCAGTTTCTGCTAAATTGGAATCAGACTCTGAAGATAAAACCGAGCGATATTTATCTGTCATTTTAACTCTAAAGAAGAATCGATCCTTTAAAATTAAGTAATCTAAGTATTGTTGCGCATATTCTTCACATTGGAGCTTTGTTGGCTTGTGCTTATTTGACTTTGTCGAAGACCTAATACTTAGCAAGGAGGTATGCTGAATTAAAACGTTTTCATTTAAGTTTATTAAACATATAACTAAGAATAATCCACTGAACAACTTTACAAAACTCATCATTAAAAATATTACTATCTCACTTTCTTCGTGACTTTTTTACTTCACAAATAAAAAAAAAAATTTTAAACACCTCAAAATAACCTCTATTTCCGTGTTCTTAAGTCAGTTACACAGTTTGTATGCAGGTGAATTAAAGCACCAAATGTCTTGTTGAATTCAACACTCAAAAAAAAAATTGACGGAATGTTCAAAAAGAAAATTCAATCAAATAACGAAGAAAAGAGTAAATTAATTTCAACAAAAAGCTCAAATTTTACTCTATTAAGAGATTACTCAGAATCATAAATTTGTTCTGAATCCTTAAGAAATTAAAAAATAAACATTGGGTATGGCGGTAAAATTGTGATATTTGAAAAAAATGATAAAATATAAATTAGAATATTTGAGAAGGATCAAATAGATGACCTGATTACAGTTTTTCTATATAGTTCGAAATCACCACTCTTGAATTCTTTTAGGGTTTTATTTATATGGTCAATATGCCAAATTGAGTCAGTAACACAGGAAATTAAGTGTGCATCGTGACTAACAATAATAACACCTCCATTGAAAGAATTAAGAGCAACAATTAGAGCTTGAATTGCATCAAGATCAAGGTGGTTTGTAGGCTCATCTAAGATTAGTATGTGAGGATTTAGATATGCCATTATAGCAATAGCAACTCTGCTTTTCTGACCTCCGGAAAGAACATATAGAGGCTCTAAAGCGAGGCTTCCTGTAATTCCAAATCTCCCGAGGAAATTTCTGGCTTTTTCTTCAGAAATATCCGACCCAGGATATCTTGCTTGTAGTTGTTGAATAGAGTTAAGTGTAAGGTCAAGCGAATCTATGTGATGTTGGGCAAAGTAACCAATTCTAATCTTGGGATCTCTTTTAATCATTCCTTTGGTTGGGTTGAGTTGCCCCATAATGAGTTTCAAAATGGTAGTTTTTCCGCTTCCGTTTCCTCCACAAATTGCAATCTTAGAGTTGCTGTGTATACTCATACTAAAGTCATGAACGATATGTTTGATAGTATTACTAGAATCTTGTGAGTAATAGAAGCTGATATCACAACATTCAATAAGAGATACAAAGTCCCCGTTACTTTTTCCGGTATTCGTAGATCCAGGTGTATCCATGGTGTTAAAATCAAAAACAACAGTGGGATCTTTTTGGATTTCTTCAATAATGGGGAGCTTCTCAAGAAATTTGATTCTACTTTGAACTAAGCTTGCTTTGCTAGCATTATATCTGAACCTATCAATGAATTTCTGAATTCGTTCTTTTTCAGCTGACTGTTGTTCAAACTGTTTCTTTTTAAGAATTAAATCATTAGATCTTGCCTCCTCAAATGAATCATAATTCCCCTTAAAGTACGTTAGCTTGTGGTCATGGAAGTGTATAATATCAGAACATACTTGGTTGAGAAAATCTCTCGAGTGGCTAACAATCACACAAGTTCTGTCCCAATCTTTAAGGAAGTTTTCAAGCCAAGTAACTGCAAGGATGTCCAAGTGATTTGTAGGTTCATCCAAAAGTAATACATCAGGATTAGCGTAAATTGCTCTCGCAAGAGCCACTCTCATTCTCCATCCTCCTGAAAGTCTAACAACCTTTTCTCTGATCATTTCTTGGGTGAATCCCAAACCAGCTAAAATAACAAAGGCTCTATTTTCAGCAGTATATGCGTCAATTTCGGTTAATCTCTCGTATATTTGGCTTAGACGTGCATTATTTTCTTCTTTGAAAAACTCCTGTTCTGTAAGTTCCTCATCACTTCTAGCCAGGAGTTTCTTTTCCTCTTCTAAAAGTGCAAGTCTTTCGGTATCAATGCTTAAAACTGCGTCCAAAACTGTTTCTTCGGGTTTGTAATGTAGTACTTGCTCAACACAAGCAATAGAAACGTCTGAAGGAATTCCTGGGATCTCTCTTCTTACAATATAAGTCAGAAGAGTTGACTTACCAACTCCATTTCTACCTATTAGTCCGTATTTATGCTTCAGACTTAGATTCAATGACGCATCACTCAGAAGAGCTCTTCCTGCAATAAAAATGGTAATGTTTGCTATTTGAATGTCTGTTAGTTTTTGTCTAGACCTGTCAATTGGATGGTGGCACACAGGAACAGGAACTTCAAGCTTTTGTTTTTCCCACTGTCTTAAAAGTCTAAGTTGCCTCTCTTTTTCCTTAGCTGCAGCTTTTTGAAGCTTAATGCTTTCTCCAATTGGAATGCTTTTATTAAAGTTTCCACTCGCTCCCAAATCTAGATCAAGTAGAGGGTCATATTTGAACTTTTCTGTCTCAACTTCAGAACTAAGAATTTTTGTTGGTTCAATTACCTTTAATACTCCAGCAAGTTCATCAGACTCTTCTGGCTCAATTTCTAATTGGTCATAAATTTCATTTACAACTGAATTAATATCATCAAAATCACCATACTGCTTCAAGAAAATATCCATTATTTCAAATAATCTATCTTTAGACATCCTTCCTTTGTTTTCAAGAATCTCAGCATAAATTACCTTTATCAGGTACTCCAACACAACTTTATCTTCCAGCTTTGAACCACAAGCTAGTTCAACATATTTTGCAATATCCTCTTGATTAAGGGATGTTCCTGATTCACTCTTACCAATAATCAACATGGTTTTATCCTTTTATTTGGTTTCAAAACCCTGTTTACAAAGTGATTTTTCTTATTCTATATCTAACACCTTTAATATTTAATAAAATTCCCGCCAAAATGACGCCTTAGATAAATTTTGCTGTAATGACAAAATTTATCAATGAAATTAAGTTGTACAAATTTGCAGCGAGTCCAAAACTTAGATCAATAACTTGATTGAGACAAAACATTAAATAATCACTTTAGTTATAATTCAAAACTATCTGTTCCCAATATTTACTAACAAATTAAATGCCATTAATACACTAAATACTGATTTAAATTATATTCTAATTGCAAAGAGATCAATTTCAAACTAAATTACAATTTTACCATAAAAACTTTTAAATTGGATAAAAATCACAATTTTGCATAAACTTTTTATTCTATACCGTTTTTACAAAAAAATTTTTTAGATTTATAATTGGCGCCAAAAAAGGTATCGGAAGATAAAAAAAGGTAATTTTTCTTTCAGTAAAATAATTTCCGCGTAAAAAAAGGCAGGAAGAAAAATATAACAATTATTAAAAAAAGGGGGAAAGTTAGGCGGAAAAAGAGTTCATCATATTCCTAGACGGTCAAACAAAAGGCAATTGGAGTAAATTAAAATTAGAATTCCAATCAGTAGGATTTCTAGAAGATAGAAAAAACAGTAGGTCTGTCAAAATTGTTGGATCGTGTTATGTTTGAAATAGGAATTGAAAATTAATAGGAAAATTTTTGTCTTGGCAAGAGTTTTCTTAAGCTAAAGGCGAGATCCTTAGGGATATGGAACAAGAATCAAGGAACTCTCACGAAGGAGGGTTAGACACTAACGAAGCTACTAATGAGACTTTTGAGAGCTTAAAAGAGTCTGGCCCTCAAGACGTAGATGTCTTTGATACTAATGAGGTCGATAGGGAGACGTTTATTGAAAATAAAGATAACTTAGTGGGGAGTATCGGCAGGAATGAATTCGAGGACACTCAGAATAACCCCACTAAGATTCTGAGTTCCAGTGTCAAACTAGCAGACAATTCTCGGGCACAAAGACCAAAGAAGAAGAAGCGTCGTCAGCAGGGATCTGTGACAGGAGGAGGGTCTTTGCAAGCTTTGTTACATGCTGGCACATCTGATGATCACTTTTCCCAGAGCGATTCTTCTGCAGTATCAGAAGAGTCCAGGAGTGAGAAACGAACCCGAAAGAGGAAGTCTTTTGGCTCAAAAAGTCAAAAGAAGAATCGTGAAAAGTACAGGATGTACATTCATGATGAGGCTGAAGAAGATGAAGATGGGGAAGAAAACACAAGAGAAGGTAGCCACGAACGTCCTAGTCGTAGGAAAAGAGACTCTCGCTCATCATCAGAGGACGATGAGGAGGAGGATGATGAAGAAGGGTATGACGAATTGAAAGATTTTATTGCTGATGAGGTTGAAGAAGATGGCATAGACGATAGTTTGGTGTATAGAGGTCCCCATATTTTGTCTCAATCAGCTGTACAAGGAGAAAAGAATCTTCTGGCCCCAAATGAGAGATCTGATATGGATCATGAAAGTTCAGAAGATGACGATGATGACGAGATTCTTCGGGGAGGTCTAGAAGAGGATGATTTAGCTTTAATTGAGGAAAACACTGGAATACGTCTCAACAAAGATTCCCAAAAACACCGTTTAAAGAAGGTTTCTGAAACTCTTGATTCCCAAAAGACGTTGGTTGGTAAGAATATTGGAGATTTGGAGGATCTTCTTTTCAATAATGGTGATGATGGAGTTTATCAGGAGGAAGACCCGTTACATAGACCTAGGGATTTAGATCCTGCCCCTGGAATTGATTCTGAGGATTCTCAAGACTCTGATGACTGGATGGTAGATGATTTGGATGAAAGAGGCCTTCGAGGTGATGAGTTTAACATTATTCAGTCAGTTTTTGGAGATTATGATACAGTTATGGATATCCTTATGAACAAGGTTTCAAAAGTTAAAGACATAACAGAAAGTTCTATAATTGACTCTGAAACTGTGAATAATCCCAAATTTACTAAAACATCTGAAGAATTTGAAACCGAAAAGACTATAGTAGGTGGGGATCACGAAATAGATATGGTGGATGATATAGATGAGGAACTTTTTGGTGAGAGTCCTGAGAAAGAAGAGGGAGAGGTAGAGAACATTCAAGATAGAATGAAGAAAACTACTCTCCAAACTTTGCATAGTATTTCCGAACCAGCTGAATTAGAGGGGCAATTTCTTACTGACTTTGATGGTGAAGTTAAATACGTTGACATCCCTGAAAGACTTTATTTATTATACGGAACCCGCTGGAAGTCACTAAAAGAAAGGAAGATTGGTAAGGAAGAGTTACAACAAGAGGCAATATGGATTTCTAGGAAGTTCCTACAGACTTACCCAGAACTTTTTAAAGAGGAATTGTTAAGGAGATCTCACAATCTTGAGTTTAAGACATCTTTTCCATATGTCTCAAATGGTGGTGTGTTACAATTAGTTTCTAATGCAGTTTTCTCAGTTCTGGATTGGCTTCTAAATGAAAGGTTGGATATACCATATATCTCTTTACACAAAATGCATTTAATCCAGCCTCCTCTTAATGATTTTCTTCTCGGAAAGATAGTTTTTTTGGATTCTATATACTATAAGCTTAAGCTATCAATTGAAAGTTTTCAACAGAAACTTTTAGCCGTTCGTGAAAAAAAGTCTGTCTCAGATATATTTAGACTTACTGAGTCCCGTGAACTTCCTGAAGATCATATAATCCAGGCATTCCTTTCTGTATCTGGCTTACAAGAAACCCTAAAGTCTAGTTACTACTTTGATTCATCCAGAGACATTGATAATATTCGACTTTATTTCATGTATCACATAGATACACCCAGATTCAGACAAATAGAAGAAATTACTATTGGAGACCCATCAAACACTTCCAAAGGAACAGAAATTGGCCAAAACAGTCAAAGAAATTTAAACAGAAAACATAGGAAGAACTATATGATCGAGTTTTTTGAATATATTGAAGTAAATGAGCTCTTTAATGTTTGGAGTCCCTACATTGTTTCTCCTTATGTGTTGTCTCTATACTTGAAGAGTTTTACATCTCCACAATTTCATTGTTCGACACCAACAGGAGGTATTCCAGGACTTCCAAATACATTTAGTCTCCTACCTCCTGGAGGCCCTGTTTTAGAGAACTCCAAGACAGCTCTTTATAAATGGTTGGACAAGTTAGTGAGACAAGATAATCCAATGTTTTCAACCAGCGAAAAGGTTTTGGAATCAGTCATCATGTACGAAGCCAGACGTCTTGCAAGTTTTCCAGCAATTCGAGCCAAGACATTTGAGTATTTTCTTTCTAATGCTTGCATAACTACAGTGACAACAATCAAGGGAGAGAAGACATTGAGCCCAAATGGAGTCTTTTGGCTTGCAAAGAGACTCTTTAGAAAACCTGTCAACACACTCTTACCTGGGACTTATCTTCCACTAAATGATGACACTGGCTCAGATTCCCAAAACAACAATTCCAATATGTTGTTTGATGGATGTTTATGTTCTGAAGTACTGGAACTTGAGAGACGCGGATTGATTGAACTTATAGTTCATCCTCTATGTATAGATGATCCCGCTCCTTGGAGAGGATCAGATGGAGAGGCAAAAATTAAGGAGCGTTTCCTACATGAAGTTGGTCTTCTTGATTCTGGAATAGAGTCAAACATGTCTAATTCTCTTCAGAAAGGATCTCTACCAACTCCAATTTTAAACAGATTTGATCAAGAATTTAGAATGTATGTCAATAGTGATAATATTGATAACAGAATTGTTAGGAATATACTAGACGAACTGAAGTATGGGTATGTTAGTATTTCAGGCTCTATTTGGAGTAAGCTTGTTCAAATTCCTATTTTACATAGACTAATTGAGAAGGAGCTTTTTCCAAGTTTCAGAACTGAAGTAATTAATTACCTCAAAATGAGATCCCAAGAATATATTGCCGAACTTTGCTCACTAAATCTTCAGAAAAGACTTAGAGTCCTTCCTCCAAAGCACCCAGAAAGAGATGAATCAGTAGCTGAAGGTCAAAGAACTAAGTCTGGAGAAAATAATAAGGGGGATAGATCCAAGGAAGATAACCAATATGATTCTGAAGAAGACGATTTCGATAATTATTCTGGTAATAATATTGATAGTGATGATGATAACTTTCTTTCAAAAAGATCTAAAAATTCAAAATGGAGAGGAACTTCTGGGGATGATTTTAACATAATTAGAGAAGAATACAACACAAATTGGGGACTCAATGTAATATCATGTGTGGTTGAAAAAGCTCAAAATGGGTTTAAAGTTTGTGTAGTTTCTTTGGATATATTTGGAGAACTTAGAGACTTTTTGGTTTTGGACCATTTGTTAGGTAATGTATCTTTTAGAAATTCTAAATATAATGACAAGAATAACGAGAGAGACGCCCTAGGCTCTTTGGAATCTCAACGTTTTGACGAGGATATGGAGAATTTAACCCGGTTCGCAAAGATGTACTATCCACACTATGTTTGTGTGGGGATTTCAGATAGAAAGAGCTTGGAACTAGCAGGTTTGTGGAATAATATTCTTAAGAAAGTCAAAAAGAAAGATCAGAAATTCACTCCTGGATTTTTATTTGTTTCTATGGATGTCTCACGGGCCTTAGTACGTAGATCAGTCACAGATCAAAGAACTTCAGGAGCTCAAAAACCAAAAGGTCTACAATCGGAGTATCCAATGTATGTAAATCTTGCAGTTTCTGTAGGAAGACTTGTTCAGAATCCTTTGGCTGAACAGTTGCAGCTTTGGGAAGATTCAGGTAATGAAATTGAGAGTGAGTTAAGTACAAATACCCTTGGTTTGGATAATGATATTGTACTTGGAAGCTCCTCATCATCAACGGGAGCAAAGGATTGGTTTAACCCTATTACATGCTTGAGATTGCATAGGCTTCAGGATGTTGTAGATCCCAAAATGCTACAATTCCATCTGTTACTAGCTATTCGTTCAGTTGTTGGTAACTTAGGTGTCCAGATAAATAGGATGAAGGGTCATTCCCACTTACAGTCTCCACTCAAGTTTGTTAGTGGTTTAGGTCCTAGGAAGGCTAAGTCTTTGGTATCATATCTTGATTCCCATCCAGGTCCGATTTCCACTAGAAGCCAATTAAAACAAGATGATCATTATTCTGAGACAAAACAGCGAAAAGGGGCCGGTAACAATGATTTCTATGAATATGATTTCCGAGAAGGTGAAGAAAATCAGGCTGGTTGTCTCACAAAGAATGTTTACTTAAATGCTCAAGTATTTCTTAGAGTTGATGAAGATAGTTATAATGAAAAGGAATATAACAAGAATTTAAATATATTCGATATAAGTAGACTAAGTGATGAGGAAGACAAGGAGTTGGTTTTAACCATTCTCGGTAATATTCGTGATCAAGTCTCCGAAGAGACTGTATCTGGAGGCAGGCAAAAGTCGAAGGAAAAGGATGAAACATTACTTTGGACTTGGATCTCAAAAAGAAGTTCCAAGCTTGAGACTCTTGATCTTGAAGCTTATGCAAAGCTTATGTATGAAAACCAAGACAGACCAAGATTACTTCCTTATCTTAACAGAATGCTTAGAGAACTCAAAAAACCTTATGATTGTTCATTTGTATCAAGGGAATTTAGGGGAGTTGAGAAATCTAGACAACTCAGAGAATCTTTAGAGATTTCTAGAGAAGATCTATTTATTGGTTGTGAGATTACATGTAGAATTACAGCGGTTTTAAGCAATGCTAGGGGACCTTCCAGATGTCCAATTTCTCTTTGGTTTGACCAGTACAATATGAAGGTTATACTTGAAGATTTTGAATCTTTGTGGGTAGAGCTTCTGGACGAGTTCCCTAACTTACAGTCAGCTTCTTTTGACTCTTTGTTCAAGGTGAATACCCCTTTACAAGCCATTGTCACCAATATAGATTTTTCACAACACTGCTTATTTGTCTCTATGTCTCAAAGTAAAGTATGCAACATACTAAATTACCTAATTGATGGAGTATGGAGACAACAACAGTACCGTCTTGATATGATAGATAAACACAGACATGAAAGTAGTTCTGTAGGATCTCAGTCTCAAGGTGGACAAGTAAATAGTAATTTAGACACATCTTCCATTTCTATGGCCAATATGGCAATTCAGGAGTACCGAAAAAATGACTTTAACTTATTGCAGGACGATCTTTCTGCCTTAATTTGGACTGATATTCGTCATTTTGCTTTTATATTGTTCAAAAAGAATTTGAATGTGTTATCTACAAGTTCAGGACTGAATTTAAGTTCTGGCCTAGGTAAGAATGGTAATGGATCAGGAGACAGGCTTTGGGAGAGAGACGGAAGAGGAGATGGGAAGTATCATGGAACAGTATTACGTACAATTCATCATCCAAACTTCAGGAGTTGGTCTCACGAACAAATCGTTGAGCATATGAAAGTGGAAACAATACCTCTAGGAGAGGTTATAATTAAATCTTCAACTAAATATATAGATAAGCTGAATATGTATATTAAAGTTTGTGAGAATCCTTTTATGTTTAAGGTTATTAACATAGATGAATTTGATCAAAGGCTTCCTGGAGAGCTTGGAAGAAGACTTAGAATAGATGACTCAGATTTTAATGATATTGATCAAATCCTGATTCAGTATGTACATCCTTTAAAAGTTCATCTCTCTAGTGTATTTACCCATCCCAAGTACAGATCTAATATGGAATATCAGAATTTAGTTACTGAGCTCTTAGTAGAATCCTCAAATAGTGGTAACTCTATTGTATGGGGTATCACAGCAGATAAGCAGATTCCTTGTAGATTTCATTTAATTTCTGTTCCTCCAAATTCTAGAGTAGGCTCAAGTGGGGCCAGAATCCACTTTGAAGATGGAATTTATGTTAATCATAAGGGTTTCCAACTTTGGAGGAAATCTGAGAATACTTTAAGAAAGTTACTGAATTGGTGGAAAACTGATGGGTTCTTTAAGAGATCCAAACACTTAGAGGATTATAAGAGATATAAAGAATATATGGTGAGACAAAAGCAAGGAAAGACAAGTTCAGAGAATGACTTTGGGTCAAGAAAGTTTGGAGCTTCTCACCATAATACCTATCATCATAGTTCTGGTGGAGCTGGTTTTGGGAATGTAGGTGGAACTGGACACCAGAGCCAGCATTCAGGGAATTACTCACACTCTAGACATCACGCCGTTGAAAGCTTTAGCAGTCAGGCTGGTGGAAGCCACAGCAAAGCTGGTGGAGGAGCTCCTCAATATGGTTCTCATTTTCACTCTGGAGGATTCAGAAAATCTTTTCATGGGTATCCTCCTCAAATGGAGGGTGGTTCTGCTCATCATTACCCACCTCCAATTCCCGAACCTTATGAATCTGGCTTCCCAAGTAATTATAGATACTCAAGAAGATAACTCTCATAACTTATGATGGGGAAGAAAGGTGAGATTTAATTATTCGAGATCGCAAATTAGAGTTTGTAGATATTACTTTTTATTACTTCTATCGTATTAGATACAAATTAAACAAACTAGAAAGGATTTAATGTTAGTATTTTTATTTTTGAAAACTTTTAATATATTCTTAAATTCTATACTCCTATTAGGTGATCTAATTTAGTCCAGATAGATGTTTACTTAAACTTGTTTTAGAGATCTTTGGGACTTAGTAGTGGTTTTGAGAGAGGTAGTGATTCCTTCTCACTTGTGACGGTTGCTGTTGGCAGTAGTATATAGGAGGCTGGCTGACATACCTATTGGGTGTATTTTCCCTTTTGAACATGGATTTGTTATTTTGATCTCGGGGAAATACTCCTCCCATTTGTATAACTGGAGGTATGTATATATCCTGGGAAGAAACAAATCCTTGAGGCTGAGTTATTTTTCCGTATGGTTGATTTCTTTCAAATTTAGGGTTAAAGGGAATCTGTAGATTTGTTTTATGATGACTTTTAGGGTTATTTTCAATGGGATTTTGTTGAGTGATTTTTTGCAAGTACTTTGGTTCAAAGTTGTCTCTAGGTGGGGGCTGTCTGATTACGGAAAGATCTCTCCTTAAAGGAACTTCTACCCTATTTAGGTTTGACACATGGGGCTGATAATGATAGTAACTCGTTTCCAAACCGAGGTTTTGCTGCTTAAAACGTTCAGATTGAACAGAAACAGCTTTAGTTCCAACTCCCTCTGGCATTCCAGGTCCGACTCCAGCCATGCCTGGTACAAAGCCGACTCCTATTTCTCCAGGTCTGTTAAAAATAGTCTTCTGAGAGATATTGTTGGCGTGAAGAACAGGACTTTTTTCGGAGCCATAGTTGTAGTATAAATTAGTTGGTATCTCAGTTACCATTCTTTTAATTTGAGTTTCTGGCTTTGACTTCTCCTTCTCAGAAGCTTTCCTGGGGGTAGGAACTGCAACAAGAGGAAGAGCAGTAAATGTTAGGGAACTCTGTATTTTGGGAGAAGATATCTCTTGTTTTGCAGTCCTAGGAGTGGATTTTAGCTGGAGATCATGCCTTCTGAAAGGAGTAATGGGAGTTGGAGGGGTAAGATTGGCATCAGCCAAGAAAGGATGGTTAAGAGCTTGGATTGGAGAGGCTCTTTCAGTGGAGTTTTTTCTTAAAAGCCAACAACAAAGATGCCAAGCATCCGAAGGAAAGCGACTAGGCTTTGCCTCCTTGGAAATTTCTCTGATTGAGTTCAACATTGAAATCACCTGTGAGGTACTTCCATCGCATTCCATAGATGAGTTAATAGGGACAAAAGGTACATTTCCCATATAAAGCTCATAAATCAAGATTCCAACGCTCCAGGAATCCACCTTTGACGTTTGTCTCTCACCTTTAAGGATTTCTGGAGCCATATAACAGAAGGTCCCTGCCATTGAAGTACATCTCCTACATAGATCTCCACACCATCCAAAATCTCCAAGCTTAACTCTTCCATCACAAGAAATCAAAATATTCTCAGGCTTAACATCTCTATGTATTATATTCATCTCATGAAGGTAATTGATAGCTTTCAATATTTGGGTTAAATAGCTCACCACTTCATTTCTTGTAAACAGTATCGAGTCTTCTTCTTTAATATCGTAACTCTCGTCACTTGGAATGTATCTGTTTCGTCTTGCTCCTGCCCTAATTACACGGTTCTTCTTTTTTCTATGAATAATATTAAATAAATTGGTATCTACATACTCCAAAATCATAAACACATATCCATTTTGTTCCAAACACTTATATAACTGAACTATATTGGGATGAAAACACTGAGATTGAAGTTGGATTTCCCTTCTTAATTGTCCTGTTAGTCCCCTACAGGTAAAATGTTCTACACTCATCACTTTTAATGCATATATGTTTCCACTTCTCTTACTTCTAATCTTAAATACACTAGAATATGCCCCTCTTCCTAATACTCCTTCTATTCCGTCATAAATCTCAAAATGCCTCTGTAATTCATCTGGAACTGAATGTAACTTTGAAAGCAACGGCCCTGAGTCACCATAGAATGTACTGGATGTTATTTGTTTCCATTTTCCTTTTGAATCTATAGAATCCAGCGCAAGCTTAGGAACTCCTTTAGACTTCAACACTGCTCCCTCTCGTCTGTTCAATTCGTTTTCCTTTCTTGAACCCTCAATCCTCCCAAACTTATCATATCTCGGTTCTTCTTTCTTGACTAAACCCTGTCTATACCTATAACTATCATAGTTGTATTCCTCCCTCATGATTCCTCATACTTGCACATTTATTTGTCTGCATGCCCCATTTCCCCACAGTACGCGCCAAAAGGTTACCATTTCCCTCTCGTAATTACGTGTCTATGCTTAAGAATTTAAATAGAAATTGCAAATTGGCATTTACTTGAAAAGCCGAAACTAAAACTTTAAAACATAACTTTTAATATTTTTTACCAATACTTTACCTCTCAGGTAGAAATGATACACATATTATCTATATTTACTGGAACTTTGAATTTCCAACTTCCTCTTTAAATACATTCATATTTGCATGCACATGCAACTAAATAATATATACAAAATATACACGTAATATAAATAAATAATTAAATCAATAATAAATATATTTATATATATATGTTTATGTAATCCACCTTAATACACCTAATTTTACAAATTTTTCATTGAATCTGATTTCTTTCAAGCTAATTCTTGCTTTTTTTTCGTCTAAAAATTTATAATTATCTATGATGTTATTTTGTTTAATCATTTTTCCTACACTTAGTTATCCATATATAATACTATTGCATTTTAAATTCACAATAATATGGATTCTTAAAGCCTATTCAATTTTCTCAACAAATTTTATATAAATTTATTTAGAGGTAAAAGTTCTATGGTGATTTATAGATGATGGTTTCACACTTTTTTTAAAAATAGTGTCTGAATTGAAAATCTGAACGGGACAGTAACTTTGATATCCATTCATTCTATTATAATTATTTTCAGCATAGCTAATATTTCTAGCAATATTTTCAGAATTGATAGTTTGCTTTAAATAACATAATTCTGATCTTAATTGGTTAATCTCCTGCATCAAATTAGAATTAGGATTAGAATTAGGACTAACACCTGAAACACCTATTTGATGCATATAAATACCTTTGTTATTTGGTTGTAAGGTGTTCTTTATTAATCTATTCCCACCTTCTATTATTCCATTATTATAAATTCTTTTATTCCCCATATTTAAATTCTTTATTGAAAATTGAGAGGGATTCATTGTATTATATGATGATATACTGTTCTTATTTATACTACCAAAATGAACTAAAGAAGGTGATAAATTTTTACTTGTATTAGTATTGTTTTTTTGATCTAAAGTATCAATAAATTCCCCTTTATTTACATTATTTACATTATTATTCAAAAATCCTTTACCAAAATCTACCATATTAGCATAATTTATTATACTAGAGTTGTTTAATAGTATCTGATCTTTTGTTGAAATTCCAGGTGATGCTAATAATATTGGAATTTGATTTTTTAATTGGTTTTTTGTTGAATAATGAAACATAATTCTTGAAATCTCCTCAATTAAAAATTTTAAAGTAATTCTTGGAATGATTTGAATTTTGCTATTTCCCATATCTACTATATTTGCAAAATTATACCTAATTATGGTTTGAACACAATATGAAAATAGTCCCCTATATATTATTGATAATCCTATCCCATTATTTGAACATACTTTAATTTCTTGTGAAACTTGTTTTGGAGAAGAGCAAGATCCTAATATTATCACAGAAAGTCTTTTTTTTTTCTGAGATACTTTCTTAGGTTGAATATCTACTAATTTTACATGATCATTATGTAATTGTGGCATTGTTGATATTCTATGATGATTAAATCCTGCATTTTCATAAATATTAGAATACTCTTCTCCTTTTGTGTAATTTGATAAAAACAAATATGAGTAGTTACAATCCAAAAAACATGTCAAATTGCCTTTATTATTTGAATTTGATTCCGATATTATTCTATCAAACTCTGAAAAGCTAATATAATCATTTTCATTTAAATCTTTATTTATAGTTTGATATAAATCTGAATCATCTTTTCTTCCTTTTGAAATAACAAAAAATGGAACTTTTTTATCTGATTCATTATTATCATCAATTTTCTTTTCATCTTTTTCAATTAACTCATTATCATTTTTATTAGAATTTGAAAAATCCTGTTTATCTTTTAAAATGATAACTGGACCACAATAAACAAATACTAGATCATAAAAAGTATTTGGGAAGTTCATTCCATAATCCAAACCATTTCTAATACCATTCCCAAGATTATCTCCAATTACTCCATATATATTAGAAAATTCGGCATAATAATTTTGGTTCACTGGATTTTCTTCCATAGATATTAACCATTGAAATCCTTCTTTGAGAGATTTTTTTGATAATCTTACTATTTGTACTACTGCTCCATTAATCCTGTTCAATGCCAAAGATATAAAATTCCCGTATAACATTTCGGATATCTCACTTAAAAGAATTCTAATTTCTTTAAACTGATATATATTTGAAAGGAGTATTGCATATTCTATCACATCATTAGTACATCCTTTAAAATCCTCCGATTCTCCTGAAACTAACAGGGCTCTTTTATTCACTTTCATTCTTCCTGATATTTCTTCTCCATCTCCAAAAGAATGAAATGAATTCATGTTTGATACTTTTTTTTGATAATTCCACATCCAAAATGAAGTCCCGATCTTTAGTAAATTCTCTTTAAGCTTTTTTTTTTCTTTTTTTTTTAATATGGAGATTAATATGAAGGAAAAAAACTTTAAATAATTAAAATGATTTATATATTAATATTAATAAATTATTTCCATCCAATGCATTTTTGCATAATTTTCAAATCCAAAATGGCACCATGAGGGGAAATTTGGATATTTATAGACATATTTAGATTGAATTTAAGTAATATATTTATATTTTACTCTTTCAAACATAAAATTGAATCTTTAGAATTTTTATTTTGATACTGACAATGAATACATTTTGAAAGGTGTTTTCTCCAATTTACTGCAATCTTGGCCATTTCTTTTACAATACTTTGAAGATTCGTCTCATTTGAATACATTGTAACTTCTTGTGAAAATATCTCATAAGCTATTTCTGTTAATTGTCTGACTGAAAAATAATCATATCTACCAAATTGATAAACCATATCATATTCTCTCATTATTCTTCTTTTTATTGATTCTTTATATTGGCATTTAATTTTGTAATTATTTACTGGAATTTGAATATTATGATTATCTCTTTCCTTATCATCAAAATCTTTCAAAACTAATAATGATGATAAATATGATTTTAAATATACTAATTGTTTAATATATTTATTAGATTCCCATATTTCAGCTGTTAATGAATTAATCTTAATCAATGGTATATTCTCAAGACTTTTTAATTTTTCTTTAGACTTAAATGACACTGGAACAGGAGTCAAATTTCCATATTTTGCAAGAAGACCTGGCAGAATTGAACATGTATTTGGTCCAAAACAATGATCACAATAAAAATAACCAGTAAAACAACAGAAATTTAGTTTAGATTCTTCATCAAATTCCAGTCTGCTTTCACAATGATTTGTAAAACACTTGTAATTCTGTAATTCTAATATTAGCCTTTCTTCTTGTTTGTTTAATGGAATATGATAATAATAAAGATACCTTTCTCTTGTGTCATCAATATCATTTCTCATTAATTTTAACTCATAATTAATCTTGAAATAAGATAAGTCAGTTTTTTTACCTAATAACAAATGATTATCAATATTTTCAGTATTCTCTCTTTCAATATATGCATTAAAAAAATCATTCTGTGTACTATTTATGTTCATATTGTCTTTTTTATCTTCTATTTCAAGTATTTTCTTCTTATTATTATCGTAGTTTCCCTGATTTTCATTATTATCTAAACCAATTTCTCCAGAGACTGGAGAATAATCAAATATTGGACCCCACATATTCCCCAATAATTCTTCAATATCTTGAATATTCCCTTCATTATATACAACAGTGCGATCATCATCAGCAAACATATCATGATTTAAATCACAATTTGAATTGTAATCTGTGATAATTGTTGCATTGGAATTTAATATACTTGATTTTGAAATAAAATTTCTATCATCATAGATATTATAATCATTAAGACTAAAATTTTGTTCGAATTCTTGTCTTAGCAAAATATTTAATGAAGATTTTGAATCAAATTCTATATCACTTAGATTTGGATTATTTCTAACAAACTTTTTATCATTATCCTCACGGTGAAATTTTTTATGATTTATATTCCCAAAATTTTCATTAATAAACGATATTTCTGTTTGATCATTACCAAAATTGTTCCATCTTAATGATAATTTTGCAAAATGAGTCATCCAATTACTAGGAATATGAAAATTTTTGATTCTCAGACAATTCTCAAAACTACTGATTATAAAAATGAATTCTTTCAAAAACTCATTATACCTCAAAATACTTGCATGATGATAATACATTGTTATTCTCTGATTCCATTTTGATAAAGGATTTTTGATAGATTCAAGAAATCCAGTAAATACTTTATTCATTAAAAGAAATGATAAAAAACACATATCATCAACTTTTCCTAATTCATTTAGCTCTGGAAATATTTTTACAAAATGATACAAAGAACCATAATCATACTCATATATTTCTTGTGTTTTTTCCAGATGGTTTATCCCTATCAATATTCCATGTAAAACACATATCCTTACAATTTCAATCAAATCTCGTAAATGGGAATATTTCTCCAGAATTCCTCCATTATTAAACACTTTAAAAGTGTTTTCTTTTAGTGTATCAAGATAATGAATACTCAATTTAGCAATTTCCCATGTCTTTTCATCAATGAAACCATGAAATTCTGCCAAATAAATATCGTCCATTAAGTTATAAATTCTTTATATCTTTTATATAAACAAACAAAATCTTTCCAAAAGTAATTCCCTTCTTCAAACGTAAGTTTATAATTTGATAATGTTAAAGCTGATTATTATTATTGTAATTTTGATTTATATTAATAACAATTTGTGAGCATTAACATGGTAATTTATAGCTTGGCGCATTATTGCATAATCTATATATTTGCATTATTATATTAATTACGAAAAAGTGACTGATCCAAACTCTGTTGAGTCCAAACTACTCAAAGTACTGGATGCTGGGAGTTTAAGGAATTCAAATACTGGAACTAGCCAATATGGTATACCATGAGGAGTGTTGATTGCTTTAACATGTAATTTTTCTTCATTCTTTTCTTCATTTCCAATCAAATTCATCATTGGAAGCCATGATTTGGCTGGAACAAACCCATAACAAACAGACTCAGTGATCCTATTGTTTCCAATAATTACTTGTTTAGGAGTCTTGATAATTGCTAATAAGTGGTTTTCTTGATTTTTCAATTCAAATACACACTGACCCATAATTACATCGATTTTGATATTTTCAACATAATTTGGGATATTTATAATGGTATTTAGTTGTATATCAATTCCTCTAGGAGGAAGTATTAAGCGAATCTTTTGAATTTGAATAGATTCTACTTTGAAAAATGAACTAATATTTGATTCAGATTCATTTGTTTCCAGAATCTTCATTTTTCTCTTACACTCTGGAATTCCTAAGTTTGCTGTTAGTACAATGTTATCAAGTTTCAATATTCCAATAGATGATATTAATGCAATATCAATTGTGCTCTTGATTACCATATTGCTTATTTTCTCGTTGATTAATTTGGGTAGATTGAGTAAAGAATATAAAGTATTTGTGAATTGATTACTTTCATCATAAAACTTTAAGTTGGAATTTTCAAAGTTGAATTTCATATCCAAATTCTCCGTCTTTCTTTTATTATTGGAACTAAGATTATTATTATCCATATTTAAATTTTGGAAATTCTGCATATGCTCAAATTCTATAATATTTCGATTACTGGTTCTTTCATAAATATTTAGCCTATAATTAATGGATAAAACACTCATATATAGCTCCTTTGAAATAATATTTGGAACTTTTAAGTCAAAAACTCCTCCAATCGGTAGTTCTAAGTCATTTTCCCTTTTTCCCATAAATAATTGAAATACAATGTTTGATAAATCTATGTTCTTTTCCTTTAACTTGTCATTTATTGCTTTTTTAATTTCGATTCTATCTGAATCAACACTATTTTCAAATTCTATATCATTATTAAAAATTGATTGTACTCTACATAAACTTTCTTTAATCAGATTCGAGTTACTTTCCATACCTTTATCGATGTACTTTTGAATGTTAAGTTGAGTAAAATCATCAAAAATAGTTACAGGTATTTCAATTTTCTGACCATTTAATAATTTACCCATCCATCCCTTCCTTTTCTTATTGTTAATTTGATCACTTTCACCGATTGGAGGAAATTTTCCATCTTTTATCCAAGATCTAAATTCTTCTTCTGATAAATATTTAGGATAATTGAAATACTTTTTACAGTTTTCTTTCCCATCTCCATTTGTCTTGAACTCTAAACCAAAGCTTTTACCTTGAATTTCAGATTTTTCCCCTGTTATTATTGACTTGATAAAATGAGTAAGAGAATGGTTGATTTCAAGGGTATTTGGATCATTTTCTGGTTTGATTACTCCAAGTAATTCAAGGGTTGAATTTTTTTCAACCCTAAAATTGTTTGTGCCTATAAATCCTATATTAGAGTTATCAAAACTAATTAGAATTCCAAGAGGTCCAATATCCAGCTTATCCAGGCCTAATTTTGATAAAGTATCTGAATAATTAATTATTACTTTTGTTATCCAACTATTATTGAACCCTTCTCCCAAGATTTTGACACTGTTAGCATCAATCAAACTCGTAATATTTTTGACACTAAAAGCTTCAATGGTACCTTCTGAGTCATCTTCATCTTCTTTATAGTAATCATCAAAGTTATAATTATCGTCATCTGTTGAAGCATTGTCAGTACCAGTAAGTTGAATTTTGTTCTTACTACTTAATAAATTTCTTTTCAGATTTATCCCATTAAAGTCAGATTCTCCAAAAAAACTGGTAATTTTTGCATCGATCTTGGAGTCTACTACTTTCAACTTTCTATAATTAAAAAGTATACTTTCCAGCCACCTGTTTTTAATATCTTGCTGTACTTTGTCAGTATTTATTTTTAGATTCATATCAAATTCTTGAGTGTTATAACATGCATTAAATTTCAGAGGCTCATTTATTTCATCTAATTTCTTTGTTTGGCACTTATTGACGTGCTGAGCTTCTTGCTGATACTCATTCTTTTCTGTAAAGGATTCATATTTTGGTTGCATTCTTGGTACTCGTCTTTGTAATTGAGAGTTAGCACTATTGTTTTCAATCATACTGATAATCGTGGAACTATCTCTGTTAGACTCTTTTAAACTTCTAAATGATGAGATACGATCTTTCTCTTTGATCTCGTTCAGATCCAATGTTATATCACCATAATAGTTACTTTGATCAGTTAGTTGCGAGTTAATTACCATTGATTTCAAACTTATTGGGAAACTATCACCTAATGGATTAATATATCCGACTTTAAGATTAGCAAGAATGTTAAGATCTTCTGAATTTTGTAGAATTTGAATATGGGAGACATTAATAAATTGAATCAACCTATCCATTAAATCCACTTTAGTTTTTCCTGGTTTTAGTTTGTTAAATTCATATTCGACTATACTCTTAAATGTAGATAATGGTATTTTCATCTCAAAATCGTTAAACACATCACTAAAAGCTTCACTTCCGGAAGAGTCTCCTTTAATAGTTACAGTTTCCTTGGTGATGTCATTGTTTTGAATGATCTCTTTGATTAAATCTTTATGTCCATTGTTGAGTTTCTCAGGGAAGTCCAAAGAAACGCTCCAAATGTTATTACCCGATTTTAAGTTCGCATCATACCAAGTAATTTGAGTAATAAGTTCATTTCTATATAATACGTTGAACCTTAAGTTACCAATATTCTCCATGTGAAGCTTTGGGAAAAATAAACTCTTTTCGCTCTTTTTTTCTGAATCATTGCCAAGAAACTTTTCAAAATCAAGCTCAAATTCGAGATTTACTCTCATCCCACCCATTTTGTGAGAGCTAACCCAAATTTTGTGCATTTTGAATCCATTGTTGTGCAAAAATGAAGGAATTTCTGAAGAAACTTGGTCATTTCTTTCCTTCCTGTTGTGCGAATCATCATCAGATCTCCCAGAAAATCCATAAACTGAGGAGTAGCTCATCTCTTTATCCACATTTAAATTATTTAGCAAAATTCCAAAAATCCGAATGGACATTAACCCTTTTCCATAAAAAGTAATCTTCTCATCCAAAACTTCGTCCTTGTGGTTAAAATTTAAATTAGATGTCATGTAATTGATCAAATTATTAACTGAATCTTTATTTTTTATTGTGAACCTCCCTCTTGCTTTAAAGGTTCCATCTTTTTTGGCTGAAATCTGTGAGATATATAAATCACCTAACACTCCCTTCTCTTCTCCTTTTATTCCATAACTTATCTGCATCAATGAATGTATAAACTGAGTCTTGTATTTTGGTGTCTTTTCTAAAGCCAAAACTGACTCCACCTCAAATGAAGTCTTTCCATTCTGTCTGCTTATCTGAAAAATATCAATTTCCTTAATTTCCATTTTCGACTTCCTTATTTGTATTTCAGCAATTTTTGGAAGCAACATTAAGAATAAAATACCAAATAATGCCAAAAGCATAAAACAACCTCCCAAAATGGTAATACATATACGGTAAACTTGATATTTATTTGTCTTACAACAACCTGACATCTTTTTCTGAGCATTCTGCCCTTTACTGAACCTCATCTTACCTTCTTTCTCCATTAAACTAAGCTTCTCCTTATATAACTTTATGCGGCCATCAAAGAAATGCTCTCTTCTTGAGTTCCTCAAAATTGTAATAATAGAAGATTCTGTCCCCCTTGTACAAATTGTATTATCATCACTAATTACCTGGTTTGCAGATACTTCCCTATTATTTAAATCTATTTCTTCACTGTTTTCACTCTTAGAAGCTTTAATTTCTACCTCTCGTTTTTTTTTCACAAAATCTGTCATAATTTACACAATCATGTTATTCACTTTCCTATTTCTTTATTCTAATGCCTATATTATTAATATTGCTTTCTCTAAACTGTAAATAAACAATCTTAAATTAATCTCAGTATTTTTAAAAAACTCACTTTCCTACACCTTTCCTTATTTTTTTGGTATTTTTGCTTTTCAGGATTTTCTATTTTTTTGTTTTATTTTTTTATTTAAAAAAACGATTCTGAGTGCATGCATTCATGTATACATGCGAACGCATGCATGCCAAAAATGACGTGGAAATTTTCCGGAATTCTGTGGGGGTAAATTCTAAAAATTATACAAACCTGAAATTGACATATAATATAAATTCTAACTTATCTATGCAGTCCCAAAATTTTTTTCTTTTTTTTCTTGTGTATTTTTGAAGTTATCAATAGTTTTCTATGTGGACAGTTTTACAATAAAGAGGAAACATACAAAACGCCAACTTGAAGCATTAAGAAAGAGGGATTTCGAAACATTAGTTACATATTCAGCGGTTTATGAAGTATTTATAAAATGCATCACCAACAAAAAGTTATAAATGGAGTCATGATACAATTTTTTCCAAAGCTGAAGCAAAATGTGCAACTCAACAGAGAAATTTGCAAAAATTTGTAAGGCCAAAATTATAAGACAGCGGAAACAAAAGGGGGCATATCAATAAATATAGGGTACAAAGGAGTTTTGCAGGAGATTTAGTATTCAGATTAATCCATGAATACTGAATATAGTCAGTTAAGTTAACCTTGATAATAATTGAAGATTTAACATTTTTTTGTTGGGGAACCTTGGGAAACTCAGAAAGTTAGGGTAAAGAAGCTATCATCATGGAAACTAATAACAATGCTGAAGAAAATAAGGATGTAATTACCACAGTGAGAACTCCATCTGTTTCTACAGTTTCTCATCCATCAGGAAGATACTTTGATGCAAGGTCATGGGAAGAAAATAGAGATGTAATCTCTCTAAGAATTCAATCTCCAGCCAGTGAACTATATCTAGATGAAGAATTTAGTCCCAATACCATCATTGGGTCTCCAAATAGTATTGTGGATATTAAGACTCCACAGATTGTTGGGAACAATAAAAATGAAATACAAGGGGAAGAGATGACAGAAAATGATGCTTATTTCAAAAACCAACCTAATGAAAACATAGAATCCAACAGTCGTACGAGGAGGTCAATTTTCTCTTCTAATAGATTGTTCTATGTAGTATTCACAGTACTTATTGGATTTATTTTTATTATTGGAATATTGGGAGCTTTCTTTTATTTAGGTAAGGGTCAAGGTTGGAATGAAGTATTACTTAAAGGTTTAGAATTTAATGTGGAGGATATATTCGTGGACTTTGGGACAGATAAAGGCTTAGAAAAGATGGATATGTCTTTAATGCTTAATATAAATGCTCCTCAAAAGGAAGGTATTCAAATCAAGAATGCGAAGATGGTGTTGCCATTAGAAAATACACAAATTGAGTGGAATTCCATTCCAATTGCAAAAATTAGTAGTCCGCGTTCATTGGACATTTTCCAATCAGATAAGCTGAATTTAATGGTACATACAAGTTCAAATGCCACGCATATGGTAGGTATTAGCGGAATTATACATGATATAATCACAAAAGGATATACAGAAATCATTGTAAAGACACAGATGGTCTTCCCAGGGCAACAAGACAATGAGGAAAACCAATTCATGTCGAGAAAATTCACGATCTCAATGCCACTGAAAGAACTTATTACAAATATACAACTTTCCGATATTTCTTTTGACAGAGAAGTTGGTCATAACTCCAATATTATGTTCAATTCCAAAGTTTCATATGATTATAGAGGAAGAATCTTCGTAAATAACCTAGGAAAAATTTTCCTAGGAGTATTTCATGGAAACAATTATCTTGGGATTGTTAAAATTGATGATTCTGATATATTAATAGGAGGAAAATCGGAAATGAATCTTAAAGGTACCTTAAATATGCATAATCTGATCAAAGATGAAGCAATTCTAAAGAGCCTGAGGCCTTCTTTAGATTTTGGAGAAAATACAAGCCACCATATACCTATTAGAAGCTTTGATCTAGACATACATGGAGTGGGGAGTTCATCTTCATTAATGGATTCTGCTGTTAGATCAACAAAAACCACCTTAAACTTAGCAGTATTGCCCCCCCCTCCTTTGAGGCAAATCCCTATCCCAAGTATTTCTGTTGAATCTATTGTTATCACACCTCAGCTAATGGTTCAGATTAAAGGAAAACTAAGAACAACTTTCTATGGTTATTTAATTAGCAACAATAAGACTCCAAAAATGGAAGCTCTTAGCATTAAAGGAATTCTTGTAGATGGAGGGCAATTCACTATCACATCTTCAGATCAGAATCACGGAATTCCCCACCAAATTGGATCATCAATTTCACATTTCCCAGAGATAACCCCTTCACAAGATAAAGAAATTCCAATTCCAGGAGCTAATAATGGTTTAGATGGATCTCCAAATGTCGGAAATGATCTTTATAATGAAGTTCCTTATAACACTCTTACAATATCTCCATATACAGATAATTTAGAAATTCCAATCAATTTTGAACTTCTATTCGACGACTTTTCTAAGGCGTCACTTCTGAATAATAACAAAAGTTTAATCAAAGCTGCTGAGCTCCAAATATTATCTAGTTGGTCTTTTTTTACTGGTCAGCACACAGAACTTAAGAATATTAATCAATCCAATATTGAACTGCAAATGTTTAGTTTTCTACCAAAAATTCTCGAATTCAATGTTAAAGATGGCATCTTCCAAGCACAAATTACTCTCCAGTTAATACACTTAGAAGATTCCGATCATGATGAAACTTCATACAATGGTCCAATTAAAGTTACTTGGTTCTGCAATAGGGAATTTGGAGCCGAGTTTCTACTTAGTAGTGTGGTAGTCAATCAAATTGCTGCAAATTACATATTAAATTCAAATCAATTGATTCCCAACTACTGTACTCTGGAAAACTCCAAACTCAAGGTAGAGATCTTTTCGAAATAACTGAGTGTCTATAAAACAAGCTTATTACTAATATACACTTTTTAGAATAAGTTAAACTAAGCTAACACAAGAATTTACAATGGATAAAAATATAAAAATCTATTTATCATAAGTTACAACCAATATCAAATATAAAATTATGAAGCTAGGATTTACGTATTTTAAGTTTATAATCATCTTTTTTTCATATTAATTCATTTTTTTTCACCTTTTTAAATAGTACTATTTAACTTTTCCCCACATTTCCCGCCAAGTATGCTACATTTTTTTTTCTTTTGTATACCGGACTAAGGGTACCAGAAGTACTCAAAATTTTTTTTTATCAGGAGGGGTTTTAGAAACATTCATTTTAAGATTTCAAAAGGAAAAAATGATTATTTGCCACTTTTGAGGGATTTTTTTATAGAAAAACTTAAACATTTTGATTTCTAGAGGCCAATTAGGAAGAATAGAATAAAGAAATAGCATGTAAACTGGAAGCTATTTAAAGTTAAATTGAAAAATAAGCTGATTTGATTACATTTTAATATTAAATATATGAACAAAAGAAAACGCTCCAAAAAAAATAGGGATTTTGAATTAAGAGATGGACTAAAAAGGTCGAACCAACTAGACATAAGAAAGCTATTTCTGAGAAATGCCCCAAAAAGAACTGGATATAGGCCAGTTCCTGGTGTTTTAATTTATCCACAAAATTTTAGAGAACCAAGAGTTTTTGAAGCAATTAGTCATAAGAACTTGAAAAAAGAATGTTGCAATGAATTTGAGAATGGGATATGCCGCTGTGGTGACATTGTGGCTTGTCCTGCAAGCCAGGAATTCCAGTCAAAAAACAGCTCTGGGGAAGATTCTGCGATAAATAATGATCAACTCGAGGACCAAAATACTCAAATTCCGGACCCAATTGACTTTAGAGGTTTGAGAGGGATGTTGTGGTCAAAGATTAATCCGGAAAAGTTTGAAATGTTTGAAAGACGATTTTCGGAACCAAATGCAACAGGATCTTGTCCTATTGGTTTAACTGACAACTTTGAGAGTCCCATGTTCTTTGCAAATACACAGCCAGCTCCATCTAAGCTTTATGAAACGGCTGAGCTGTCTCAAGAATTAATTGACCAAGTAAATGAAGAAGACTTTAATAATTTTATGGATACATGGCAGAATTGCCTAAATCAAATAGATACTCTGGAACAAGAGATGAAAATTAATATTGAGCTTCAGCTTTCCATAGAAAATGAACTGGATAGGGGTATTCGTCTGCTTAAGCCAAGACTTAGACAATTAACTATTTCAGAGAGAAAGTTCTTGCACATTTGTATCAATTATTTGACTTCTCAAGTAGGATTTCCAAGAACGGATAGATTTTCAAATATCCAAAGCATGGGAGAGGTTGATATAAATAGAGATCAGGAGATTGTCCATATCAAGAATAGCTCTTGGTTCATGGGAACAGATGCAATGGAGTTAGTGAATCAACACCATAAGATAGCAGAATTACAAGGAAAATTGGTTCAGAGCCATTTGAATAATCAAAATAATAACTCCAACTTCTTGTTATCTTTTAATGAAATGGGTTTTGAAGATGATGAATCATATAGTAACTATAATAGAAATCTTGAGAACAAGATGATTAACGAAGATAGTGAGCTTAGTTTACATTGTAGGTCTGTTCTTTCCAAGTATCTGAGTGGTAAGCTTGAGGAGAGAGAATCATCCCTAAAAATGAAGAGGAATTTACTGGTAAGATTATCAAATATTCTCAAACTTTTGGAATCCTCACCTCTCTCAAATTTTCCCTTTACGATGAATAATCGCCATATGTTTTTAAATCCCATTGGGATTGGAAGAAGGAGTATCTGCTGGACAGTTTTTGATTTTTTTGATCTAGTTCCGTCAGTACTGAAATTGTATAGGTTGGATTTTTCAGCAAAGAATGAAATCCAGAAAGAATCTATGTTCTCTTCAAATGTTTCAATTTCTTCAAATACTCATAAACTTAAAATAGTGATGCAGGAATCATTTGCAAGATTAAGAACTATTAGGAGTGTTTTTAACTCTCAGATTGGTCAAATAAAAAAAGAAGAAGTCCCATTGGAGATGATTTTGTTTCTCAAACAAAACTGTAATGTCCACTCATCTCTAAATTCCAACACCATAAAGAATAGGCAGATGAATCACGGAGTCTCTGACGTTATATTATGTTCAGGAATGTTTGAATGGTACACTCCTTTGTCTTTGAGCTCTACAATTGTTGAGGTATACCCTCATCTGGAGTACTATGATATCCTTTCTTACGTACACTTGAATGGTGTTCTTGGTGAATCCACATCTTTGATGTATATCAGATCCCTTCTAAGATTGTTCTTTCTTTTTTCCTCCTTCAAAGATAGTAGTGGTAAAAAAGGAGTGAAAAGCTTTATTTTTCCAGTTAAAGCAAGCAGGGTATATATTAGAAAGGAAGAAAGCTGCTTTTTAATAGGCCCATTGGATCTTATTGATTTGGATTCGAAGACAGACTTGCTGCAAGATGATATTATTTTCAAAAAGAAATACCCAGTAAACTTGATGCAATGCAATAGTTTTACTCAAGTACAAAAGAATGACGATATTGTTAACTACCTGCCTCCAATTATTAGAAATATCATTACTTCTGATGATTCTCTCTTTAATATTGAAAATATAAAGCTCCTCAAGAATAGACTATTGGACCTTGGGCATCTCTGTGATATATTTGAAAAGATACACGTTTATATTATTGGTGTTCTTTTGTATTTTTGCCTAACTGGGAACTACTATAGTGTTGATTCCCAAAAAGATACCATATATTTAAATTTGTCAAGTGAATCAAAAGAACTTCTAAAGGCCATGTTGAACCCAAATATTGACCAGATTCCAAGTATTGAAAGAATTCTTGATTTTCCTGCATTACACCCTGAAAGACTTGTAGGAACTTTGGGAGTTCAGAATAGCTATAATTTGTTCCAAAACCAAATTTCTGAATTAAAGCTAATGATCTAGCATTTATAAGGATTTACACAAATATTCATTTTTAATACTTAAACCATCAACAATATCCGTAATTTTTCTTAGTCTGTGTATAGGTTTGAATAGTTTCTGGCAAGTATCAAACTTATATAATGTATGAATCATTTCCTTATGAATGACTTTAGGACAATTTGATGTGATTTCAACTACACATTCCCAATTGTTTTCTTCTTGGAAGTAAGAGTAAAGTCCACGAATGCCTTTATGGTCATCATATTGGAACAAAATTACAAAGTGGGGTACTTCTTTCAATTCAATAGAATCCATTGAATCTGCTACAAACTTTCTGATTTTTTTGTTATGTTCTCCTGATAGACTGATCCAAGTCAATGCTAGAGATATTACATTCCTGTTGTTTCTTTTTATCACCACTTCCATATCCTCTGACAAATCTGAATACTCATCAGAAAACTGCTTCTCACAATTTCTTGAGATGTTTTTGCCTCCTGTAAATTCATAATCAGAATTATATTCTTCTTCTACATCTTTATACGCATTAGTATCTGAATCCTCTGATAAATTTTGTTTATAATAGGAATGTATTCTTCTATCTTGCCCAGACAAGGAATTTCGTTCTCTAATATTAGAGACTTTTTCAAGACTAGAATTGCAATAAATACAATTGTTGTAGTTGTTAGAACAATACTGGGTGTCATTCCTCGCTCTCAAAGAATAATTTGAATGTAAGATTGAAGGTCTATTATAATTACTTTCAAACCCCAAATCGTAATTTAAATCTAAATTTGTGTCTCTATAGTATCTTCTCCCATTTATATATTCATTCTCCTCTCTAAATTCATCCATTCCACAGTTAAAACATTCTCTTTTCTCTCTCATACAGTTTCCTTTTTTTGAATATTGATGGTCCAAACAACTACTATGGAAGGATTTCTCACCCCTAGAACAGCACCAACATTTATTCTGTATTCTTCTCAATTCTTCAATCCTATCCAAATCAATATGTGGAAGTTCAGAAATTTGATCATAATGTCCACTCATATTTACCATACTAACTTTATATTTGGCCAAGCCTAACCTAAATTTTACTCCAAAATAATAATTTATCACCTGAGCTGTACCCACTAAAAATTATTTTTCCTTCCTGTGTCTTCAGAAAATATACATTAATTTTTTATTCTGCCTCCACGTAATTGACAATTTACAAACTTTGCATCCATGCATGCAATTACTTTGCATGTTTGTGGCGCCTAACAATAGTCGGTGTGGGGAGATTTATTTGCAAAACTGTCAAAAAGATTAAAATGTAAAAATGACAGGGAATTTATAAAATTTAGAGAGTTTTGGAAATTTCAAGAGCAAGAAAATGATGTTAATTGACTTTATAAATGACCAATAGATCAGGTATGATTAATTATGTTTTTCTCACTAATTAAACATAAATTTCAAATTTTTCCAAACTGAAGAAATGTCAACAAAAATAGTGTGGAGAATTTCTAAAATGTAAAAAATGGACTAACGGTGAGGTTTTCCGCTTTTTTTTAGTTTTTGGAATCAAAGTAGTTGGTGGAGAGTTTTTTATAGAATTTACAAAGAAAAACACACATTTATGCAGGAATGTTAGAAAAGATAATCATACATTTTTTAAAAGTAATTAGTAGGGCGGTTAATTGATCAAGAATATCTCCGAGGTGGGAATCGCATGTGCTTTATCAAGGATGTGGCGTTGGTGGTCAGATGATGGATGGGTTTACTATTCTTTGGAAAACTCTGCTGTCATTGAAAAATCTTGGAGAAATAAAGAAGTTAACATAATCATTAATGTTGGAGGAATACCATTTTTACTCAATCTCCGTCACTTTTACCAATTCAATTTCATTACTCAACGTCACAGAAGGATAAGTAGAGATATTTCTTCAGCTGTGTGGTTCTGGACTGATAATGATGACCAATTAAATCTTTACCAGCCAAACGTATCTGCTCAAATTGAGAGATTCTACCTGCATATTCAATGGAACCTTTACAAAGAGTCCCAAAATGATGAAAATAATCACAAAAAGTGTCAGAAACCATTCCAGGGCTCGGAAAACCTCCAACCAGCTATCAGTAATGATTTGGTTAAAAGACCAAAAGCTGGGAATTGTGTTGTTTGGAACCAATATGATATTTACCCAATAGAATGTATTCAAGTGAACAGAATTACTGGAAAAGAAAGAAAGATTTATAGAAGATATCTAAAGAAGGTAGAATATGATCTTTCTGATAATATAGATTCAAATAATGAAAAAGACTTTAATTTAGAATGGGAATTTACTGATACTAGTAAAGCTCAGATCCAAGATGCACTCTCAATTATTGTTGAAACTGGGGAATTTAGTTGTAAAGGCTATTCGAATGCATTCACTCAACAAGAAATTGATTTTTCTGTGTCCAAGTTACTAGAAGAAGTTCAAGTAGACGATGATTGCTGTTTATGTCTGGATGCTCTGAATAGGGATTTAGTTAAGCTGAAGAAATGTTCGCATGTTTTCCATTCAGAATGCCTAAATGATATGATAAGTCATTTGAATAACAAGACAACTTTGTTATGCCCATTATGTATGACTCCACAATGTTTTGGAAAAGGAAATTCTCCACCTGGAAAGATGAGATATATTGTTTATAAATCCGGGAATATTGAAATAGAAAGTTATCCAAATACAAATGTAATTGAAATTGAATACTTTATTCCAAGTGGCATTCAAAATAAAAGGCATCCAAGTCCAAATAAGCCTTTTACAGGAACTTATAAGATTGCATATTTACCATTTAATAAAAAAGGATTAATTATGCTTGATGGACTTGCCAAAGCTTTCCAGCTTGGACATACATTTAAAGTAAATAATGTCACTAATCCTTCAACAGGAGCATCAATGGAAATTGTTCAATGGGGTAATATCCCACACAAAATTTCTACTTGTGGAGGACCAGCTTTACATGGATTTCCTGACCCAAACTTTTTCAATACACTAATTTCTAAGTTATCTAGTTTGGGTATTCAATGCAAAACCAAGGAAATTGAATTTTCAAGTGATAATGAGGAATAGATCATTTAACTTAAAAAAGATATATTAAGATCAGGAAAAAATCTAACATATAAACTAGAATAAAATATTCTTTATGAATAGCTTTATAAGAAAATTATAAAAGATGTTTCTTTTCAATATCCTTAACCTTCTTCCACACGACCAATCCAAAAACTACGATAATGATAATCAAAATAATAGAAACAATGGAAGTTGTAGAAGACTGGCTTTTGATTGCTCTATGTACCTGGGATGCCACATCCTCCTTATTCTTTAAGGTATCTTCTAAACCAATAAGTGTATTAGTCTGATATTTCGAATGCCTGTCAAATAGTGTCTTAAGTCCAACAAGTTCTGTTTGGACAGTGTTTAAGGTATCACTGTGGTTTGTTCCTGAGCTAATTAATAGAATACGTTGCATCTCCTTAACCTCAGTAGTAAGCTTTTGAACCTGAGTAAGTAGTGAGTTCAAAGTTCTATGAATTGCTTGCTCTCTTGGAGTTGCCTCCGTGATATGTTTGTAAAGTATTTGTGAGAAAGCCTTAAGAGCCTCAGCAACATCCTTGTCTCCATGAACATGAGTATCTCTTAAAAGATCGGTGACTTCAACCTGCTCAGTATTGGAATCATGTTTAAGAGTATCTGGGATTTCTTCTCCAGCTCTGCTAAGATCCAAATTATAAACATTCATAGAAATGATAGAAATCCTATCAGCAACCTTTGGGTAATTAGGAGCTTCATGACCAGTATATGAAGAAAAACCAATAAAACCTCCATTTTTTATAGAAGATGGTATCGAATTAGCATCTGATTTAAAACAATCAATCCACTTTGAAGTTGGAGAAGTTCTAATTTGACCAATAATCCCTGTCTCTGGAGAAACATAGAGTCTGAATGTAGTAGGGCCATCCGAATTCACAAAGTTATAATAAACTCCCAGGTGTGTAGGGATATCTGTGTGAGAAGAAAATGTTTTTTCTCCATCAGAAAGAAGAAGCGAGATAGAGGGATTTTTCTTGTTGTTACGGTCCAAAAAGGAAAACATAACTCCCAACCCCTTTGGAGCATTTTTATACCCTAAAAGATTCCAAGATTCAAGATCCTCATTTGACTTGGGGTAAATTGATCCATAAGCTTCGCTTACAAACCAAAATGCGAATCCCTCTCCTTCTTGAGAATTATTTGAATTCCCAACAACCTCGAAAGTAAAAAGAATCTCAAAGTGAGAAGTATTCAGTGGGGATTTATTCCAAAATTGGCCAGTTCGGTTTTTAACACCAGGAACTAATACCACGCTTTTTCTAACAGGAATTGTTGCCATAGCCAAATCCCATTCAGAAAGAGTCGTGTCCAGAGTCAGTGGAGATTCAAAAGAATGTCTCATCATAACTATCCTATCAACCTTTTGTTGTTTAATGCTATCATGAGAAGGATGAGCTGCAGATGCAGGATCATCATTGTGAGCAAACCCAATATTCACTGAATAGATGTAAGTTATCAAGAAGAAGTAAATAATTTTCAAAACCATAGTAAATACCAAATGTCTTGAATTTAAATAATATAAAAAATAAGCAAAAAAAACCCCTTAAAGTTTTATATTAGATTTTCTCTCTATAGCCTAAGTTGTACCTGAGATTTCATATAAACCCAGTTCATATATATGTTTTCATAAACCAAATCTCAACTTTGATAAATTCAAGAATTCCTTGAATTTCTTCGTCGAATTTTCCTTAAAACTCTACCCCACTAACAACTAAGAAATTTCTAAATAATTTTTATTTCCAATATCTATTCTATAATAATGCCTGTCTCGTACCGGTATTACATGATTACACACATGGCGCCTAAAAATTGGCGCCATGTATTAATTCAATGTTACAGGAATAACCATGGAGAATTGAGCACAATACATTTTCTTGTTAGGTGAGACATCTCTAACTTCGTAAACAGAAAGATTTAGTGGAAAGAAAGGTTCTGAGCTTAAGTTCCTTTCATTAAATTCTAGGAACCCAAGAATCCTTTTTTCAATATCGTCTTTTGGATTGGAATCTTTTGAAAAGCAATAGAAAAAGAAATGGTTCATTGTGTCTCTAAAATAATAATTCTCTTTTGCTCTTTTATCTAAATAATTCCTCTTGTGAAGAACGAAACCCTGTAGCATGTTGAGGGAAAGTTCGGGAAGGTTGCAGATCCAGTAGAATGTCTCGTTTTGGTGAGAAATTGGATTTAAAGCATCCTTTTCAAACTTAAAAATCCTTTCTGGTTCTAAATTCCTTTCCAAAATTTCCTGAATACATTCGATACAATCTTTTTGAGAAGTTACAACGTTGTTTTTTTTTAGCTTGTTTGTAAGGATGTTGTCTTTTAATAGCTTAATTGCATTTGGATTCAAATCATTAGAGTAGAGAACACAGTCTTTATTCTTCATTAGAGGGAGAGTGAAGGCTCCAGCTCCACAAGTTAAATCAAAAACCATTGATTTTTTTGGAACCAACTCCACAATTCTCTGTCTCTCATTAGAAAGCCTAGAATTCCAATAAACCTCCTCAATATTAATGTTATAAATGATGCCCTGCTCCTTAAGCCTTGCCTTTAAATTATTTTCCCCAGCAATAACCTCCAAAGGGTAAGTTCTAAACGTACTTTCAATGTTTCCTGTTTTAGTTACTACTGTTTTAATCCCCGGGTTCTTATCCAACAAAATCTTTCCAAGAATATATCTATATTCAAAGTTATCATCATTCAAATTTAAGTGGGCTATATGTCCAACCGTCTCAAAACTTGAGACAATCTCAATATCAACTGGAATGCATTGTCTAGCACATTCTAAATAAGAAAGATACTTGTATTCAATTTTAAAATCCATGATCCCATACTCTGCGAAATCTACTGAATTTAAACAAATAAATACGTTTTTTGGCATTCTCATGTAAAAATCATCTGATAATTCAATTATATAATCTCCATCAAACTCCTGCCTTAATGAAAATCCATCCTCTAGCCTTATTTTCTTGTCACTAACCTTCTTGTAACTTTCTTTCAAGTTTTCTCCCATCAAAATTATTCTGATTTCACTGTTTTCTTTGTCATTTATTATTGGTGACACTCTTGGGAACTTGAAAAGAATATCATTTTCTTTAAACAAATTTTGTACATAATTACAATCCCCTCTTCTTACTCGAATAAATGGCAACTTATAGTTCTTAAAAATCTTTGAACTATCAAATTTATTTTGCAAATTTTTCTTTTCCTCCTCCATCCTTAATTTTGTTTTCTCAAATATATTTTATTTTTCAGATTTCTTTTCTTTTTGACATTTGGCGCCATTTCATTTTATATACCGGTATGTGGTATCGAAAAATTAGAAAATTTATTTTATGGAAAAAAATAATAAAAATATTAAAAAAATAATGAATAAGTAATTTTCCACCATTACTAGAAAAATATTTGTTATTATTGCTTTTTTTATCTCGAAGTTTGCATTATATTCACCTAATTAGAGTTCATCTATTTCTATATGTTAGATGACAGAGAATGCATTATTTGCAATGATGTTGAGGAATATGCATACAGTGAATTGACACTCGTTAAGTGCAAGAATTGTGATGTTTTTTTTCATAAAATATGCTATGGAATTTCAAGTCACAATGTTTCTAGTCAAGGAATTGTAATATTATGTGATCCATGCCAATATGAACTTCAAATTAAAGGAAAGCAACTCAATCAATTGAGTTCCAGTAAAGATTTGAAATGTATAATATGTTTTAATTCTGGAATATTAAAAAGAGCTCTTGTCCCTAAAAAGTTTGATCTATTTCAAAATTCTGAGTTTAAAGTTAATAGTCAAAATAGAGCTATATGGATTCACATTGATTGTGCTATATATTCCCAACATTATATATCTGTTAATAATTGGAGAACTATGTCAAATATAGAAATATTAAGACCACTAGTTTACATTAATGATAAGTCATGTTCCATTTGTAATGGAAATATGGGTTTACTTAAACAATGTTCTTTTTCTCAATGTTTGGAACATTTTCATATTCATTGTTTGTTGAAATCACCATCTTATAAACATAAGAATATCAAAATTGAAAAAAACCATTTACTTGATATTTATTGCATTAATCATTCCAAAAATGAGTATCAAATTTCTTTAGAACATGGTCAAAAGTAAGTTTAACACTATATTTTAACTTTTAATTATCTGGATAGTCACTATGATATTATACTTATCTACTTTATTCTTCTAAACTGAAGTAGAAGATATCATAGTGAAAGAATGACAAGCAGTTCATTAGTTATTTAATTCTATTTATTAATGATTAAGTAACCAGTCGGCTGTTTTACATTGATTATTTTATCTAAATATCAATTTAATACAATTAAAATAATTTATTTCATTTCAAATTCAACTTAACTAACTCACTTGTCTTTTCTTATATTATTAATCTTTATTTTCAGGTTTAGGAAATCCATTATTAAGTCTTTAAGGGAAGAAATTAAAACATTAGAAACTAGTCGGAATTTGGACAATTATATTAAAGCAGTTCTTGGCCTAAACAAAGGTGAGTTATTCACCTTTCCTGAGTTCCTGTCTTCCAAAAAAGACTTTATTGGCTTTACTTTGCTGTCAATTATAGTATCTTGTGATATTTGGACTCTTAGAACTACAGCTTTATTATCCTTAGCTGGCAAACCACTTCAAAAAGACAATACTCCTATATTTACTGTTACTAAGAAATCTAATATAAATAAGTGGATTAATCTTTCAAGGTATATCCCAGTTAGTCTTAAATATGTAGAAAATCTAATATCTTTATCTTGTCTTATCTCTGACATTATTGAAAAAAAGACAAATCAACATACAAGACTTGAAATATCTAATAACATCCTATATTACATTACTGACATTAAATTAATTCTAGATAATCAAACTATCAATGAGTGGGAAACTAAATATTTAGATTATTATAATATTCTAAGAAATAAGTTAGATAGAAGTAGTCTAGATATTAATCAGCTACGAGAAATATTCCAAGATCTACCACTAATGAATAAAAAAGATGGTGTATTTAATATGGCAAATCATTCTTCAAACCTATATCTAGCTATTAAATGTATTTTTAACAATATACAAAGACTTGATCTTGAGCTTGATAGAGTCTTAAAGTCCAAAACATTGGATTTGGACAAACTTAGATACATAAAATACAAGATAGAAAATGAAATCCCAAGTAATTCTCCTATAAATAGGCAGAAATATAATAAAGTTTTGATATATTACACTTATATGGAGAAGTTATTAGAAAGGATGATTAGGAAATTCAAGTTTGGGTATTTGAGACAAGATCTAAATATATCCAAAAATGAGGAATTTGAAAAAAACTTTAGAGACTTTTTTGATCAGATTGAAAGACTTAAAAGTACAAAAACTCTTATTGATTTTATTTTGAATGTTGAAATTGAAGAATACTCTAAGAAAGAGTCTGAGACAAAAAACAATCTATGTCAGGATCTTGAAAATTGGAGATCTTTTGATTTTCATCCAAATTCTCATATAATTACTTCTTTCAACTCAAAGATAGTAACTAGAGGAGTAACTTCAAAGAAAATGAGATCTCTGGTACAAGAAATAAATAAGTTTCAAAAGTGGGAAAAAATGGTTAATGAATGTTTTGAAATTCTAAAAAGTTTAGAGAGAAGATGCTTTTCTTCCAATAAAAGTCTTCCTAATAAGGATTATTCAACTTTTCGTGAAAAGTTTCAGAGATTTATTAATCAGTTAGATATACTTGAACTTAAAACGACTTTTTTGATCAAACAGATATTATCACTTAAGAGAATCTTTATAAAGAACAAAGATATCCTTACAAGATCTAAAGTTTTCAATCAATATGAATGTCTTTTGGAAGAATTTAATAGAGTTAGTGAGCTAGAAAATCTCTTAGAAAGAGAACCAGATCCAAACTTCAACTCAGTTTTGCTTTATTTTGATTTTGTTTTAAAATCTAGATTTTGTTTATTACCAAGGAAGTTCTATCAAACTGGTTTAATCTCAAAACTTGAAAAATACTTATTTTTTGAGGGTTATATAACTAGATCTCTAGAAATCAGAGAATTATCTTTTCAAGATGTAATCATTTTAAACCAATATTTGAGTTACAAGAAGGAAAATGCTCATATTCACATCACTCCAGAATCAGGAATATTTCAAGACTTTGAATCTCTTTTAATTAAACTTCTAAAAAAGTTTTCTGAGAATTTTGATCTTGTCTCAAAGATCTATTTAATACTTAATTATTCTGAAGAGTATTCAGACTTTATTTTGAGTAGTTTCCAAGATTTATCAATTTTGGATCCCATTATAAAATACTTGATAAAGAGTAAAAAAGACTTTGATACACCCACAAAAGGACTTTTCAACTATTTAATGACCTTTAATTCTAAGTTAAGATCTCAAAAATGGGATTCTGATTGTGATCAAAGCCATTATGGAGACCTTGAAATTATAAAATGGATATACAAACCATTTGGAACCAAATTCTCTTTTAAAGACTACCAAGAATATTTTATTGACACTGTTAAGAATACTGACTTTGACAAAGATCTTTGTCTCTTACAGCAAAGGGATCTTAATACTATTATTGAGATTCCTTTTATATACAAAATAAAGCTAATTCAGAGATACTATATTCTTGAGACACTTTCAATTCTTATAGATAATCATTTCCATTATATAGATATTCAAGATTTAGTTTCTAAGATTTTTAATACCAGGGATTTACAAATATTAGTAATGATTTGGAGAAATCTTAGATCATTAGATATTGATAGAGATACCTTTCAAGATTTCAAATCTCTAAAATTGACTTATTCTCAAGAAAAAGAAAATCTCAAAGAGTTAAATAAACAAGGACTTATTATGAATGATTATTTATATAACTTGGTTATGGGACATTTAATAGAGAAGATTTTGGTGGATTTTCCAGTAAAAGGAATTGTCTTTGGATCTATTGATGATTATCTAGTAGACATGGAATGCATCAAAAAGTATAATATCATAGGTCAATCTGATACAAATCTATTAATCTCCGAAATCAATGAAATAAAGCTTCTAGAAGACAGTCTTAAAAAGATAATTCAAAAAATGAATTCGGATAATTTTAACCATAAGAAAAGACTTATTGAGGATATTTTAGATCAAGATTTGAATTTCAAAACTAATCTGAATAGTTGTGATCTCTTTCAAAGTTATAATAAAAGAGAATGGGACGATATCTATCTTCATCAACCTATTAGTTATGATGAAGAGATTATTGGAAATAGACTTAAATTAGATTTCCAAGTAAAAAGGAGAAATAACTTCTTCTTAAAAATACATATTAATAGTTTATTTGATCAGGAAAGTATTTCTATAATTAAATCTAAAAATCCTAATATGGGAAATCACTTTGAAACTAAAGAATCTACAAATAACAAAAAAAATAAGAGTATCAGAAATTTGATAAATGAGTACCTCTCTATAATAGAAGATGAGAGAAATGAAATCTTGTTAATATTGGGTAGATCATCTAAATATGGAGTTCATGTTATTGGGAATAAAGAAAATAAGTTAATTTTTGAGATTGATAATTTATTCAAAAATTTGTCTCAAAAAAAGGAGATCACATCTATTCTTAAGTTTCTTAACCATTTAGTTAATGATCTGATACACTTCGAGATAGCTTTTATCATTAATATAGCAAGATTGTGTAAGATTGATTTGAATGAGAATTTTGTGCTTAAAGAATGGTTCAATGATACTTATTTAAAAGATAAAACTCCATATAAAGTTTTCATAAGTACTGAGACAATTTTAGAAAAAGATAATAATGCTGTCTCATTTTCAATCTATAAATTAATAAGAAGAATATCTTTGGAATACCTTAATTTGGTTGAAAATTGGGATCAAAAGTACTCAGAAATAATTGAGAATAGAATAGAAAAAGAATCTAGTAGAGAGTTTTACAATGTTTTATTAATATATAATCAGAACAAACTTTTAAGAAGGATTTTCCAAGGAGATCTTGATTCTACTGCTATTAGATCTTATGATCTTTCAAACCGTGAAATTATTCATAAAATAAAATCTGAGAGAATTAAAGAGGAATATCAAAAAATGAGAGATTTAGTGGGAGATTTAATGATCCCATTTAAAGATCACATGAATAAGACTTTTGTTGACATAGTTACAAATGGTTTATATGATATGAAATCTTCAAGTAAATTTTTGATCTATTTTCCATCTAGTTTAATTGAATCTTTGAGAAGCAAAGAGTTTGAGAATTATTCTGGAAATCCTTTAAGAATTTTTGTAGAAGAGATCTCAATTATCTACTTTTCTGAAGATATATCTCTTTTATTAATTAAAATTAATATGACTTATAAATGTGAATCATTCTATGTAAGTCCTGAACTTTTAATTACATTGTCTAACGAGATAGATTTGAAATATGGTATTTCAACTCGACAATTATTCATGGATTCTTATTATTTTTTTGTTAAGATTTATAAGGATTCTTTAACTACTGAGAACTATTACTATATTAGAGAAAGTAACAGGGCTCAAGATTTAATAGATTTTGTGAATAGTAAGTTAAAGAGTTTTGAGACTGAGATCTTGACAGAAATGGGTTTTTCAATTAGTTCAAGTAAATTTGAGAAAAATAGAATTAAAATGAATTTGGAGGCTTTTAAAATATGTAAAGACGGAAATAATTTAGAGAAAATAAAAAATAAGAAATTAATTATGATCACAGATATAATCAGCTTGATCTCAAATATAATACTATACAGAGTCTTTTTGGATGGTCTTCTAATAGAGGATGATAATTTTGACAAGAAAATCCACTTATTTAGAAGAAACTACTCAGTTCTTGACTTTGATCTTGCATTAAAATCTATAGTAATGTACCTTAGTCTAAGAGATCTTGTAGAAGATTCATTTTCTAAAATTGAGAAAATGAACTCTAGAGATGAGATCTTCGCTCCAATTGAGATATTTAAAATCTCAAAAGAGCTTTCAATACTTACTGAATTGTTGAATAAAGAAGAAATATCTATTAATATTAAAGAGAGACCCAAAATACACCATTATCTTTTCGAAAAGGAGTCTATGCTAATTGAAGATTTTCGGACTTGGGAAATTGCTTCTGATAGTTACCTTTTTAAAGGAGATTCTTATAATAACCAAAGTTTTAATTCAGAATTTTGTTTAAACACTATACTATGGGTTCCAGAATATGAAAACTTTAATACAGTTTCAGATATAATTGAACTGATACTATTTCATATCAAAAAAATCAAATCTTCAAAATTGGAATTGTCAAGTTTAGAGATTTCTAACTTAATTAATGCTCTAGAAACTAAAAAGAGCTTAATCTTAGAATTAGAAGAGAATTCTTTGAAAATTCTAAAGGAAATTAAACTAGATGAAAAAGAAAATTCTAGATTTGAAACGAAATCAAAACCTTTTTTACTTATTGAAAAAGTTATACCTCCTCCAAAAGTTAGCCAAAAAATGGTTTACGAGTATATTTCAAAAAAACTCTTTAAATTGATCCCGAATTTTAAGTTATTGAATCAAACCCTTAATATTTTGCCATACAAGGGATTTGAAATACTAAACAAATATTTTAATAACTCAATTCTGATGGATAAATCCTTAATTTCTACTTTAAATATAATTGGGGATCTTGAAACAAAATGTGATCTTGAGACAAAACAAGATTTAGAGGGTATCGTGTCTCATAATTTTGAATATCTTTCAAAAATTATTGATTTAAGAATATTGATCAATGAATCAAAATTATCTTCAGAGACTTTGTATAGAGCTTATTTAAAGTTTTTTAGAGGTATTTTTAGATACTTTTTGGTATATGGAACAAAACATAGATGGGTAGACATTTCAGAGTTACAATGTAATAATGATGAGAAAGGCAAGAAAAGAAAGGAGATTTTCGTTCCAATTTTGGAATATGTAGTTTTGAGAAAACTTTATGTAGAGTTTTTGTCATGGTATAAATTCGATAAAAGTGTGGAGCATTCAAAAGGAGCTTTTCAGAATTGTGAATTTATTATTTTGGAGTCTTTATTGTCTTGTTGTAATTATCTAATGGAAAAGGTATCATTTAGCCTTGGAAATGTAGAAAATGAATATTTAATAAATCATTGTATTTTGAGGTATTTATATTTTCAACAAGAGAGGGAAATTATAGATAAGCCTAAGAAGCTTAATTTAATGATTGGAATATTAGATATTGGTGAGTACTTAGTAAATTATTTTGATATAATAGACATGGAATTAATTATAAAACAGAGCTTTACTAGGATTAAGAATCCAGATTTAGATTATGATAAGTATGAATTAGGAAGTTTAAGTGTATTTAGTAGAGTTGATAATAAACTGATTCATCACTTTTTAAGAAAAAACAAGATTCAGGTTTCTATTTGTGGATTAGAAGATGCAAAATATGGTTTAATAAGTAATATATATTATATAAAGGATAACAAAGAGAAGATAGATTTTAGATGGTCAATAGGACGTATTTCATATTCTTTAAAACCAATTCATGGTGTTTACTTTCTTAGGAGTTATGTAAAGCAGTATTTGGAGTATATTTTCAAAACTTTCTACAATAAAGAGGATCAAGATTACATCAAGAAGAAGGATCACTCTATATATCTTGAGGCTTTTGGTGAGGAAGATCAGCTCTCTATTGAAAATCTTTTTCGAATTTTGGATAAATATTTGAAAGATGTGATGGATTATTCTTTAAGGTTAATGCTTAAGTCTTTCAAAATTAAGAGTAATAATGACCATTTTTCTTATTCAAATTTGTCCAAATACCCAAGTTATCTTGAGGAGTTAAAGAATAAGTGGATGATTTTTGGACAAGATAAATGGATTAGTGAGCTAATAAAAGTTGGAAGTCATATTAAGATGAGTAAAGGTACTAATAAGAAACGAATTAGAGAGGAGAAAACAGAGGAAATGTTGGATATTGATAAAGTCCCAATATTGGTCAAGAATAATAAATCCTATACAGGAAAGGAAAAGGATTCTCAGGTTGAGGAATTAAAGAAAAGGAGTTTAGATATAAAGTCTGAAACAACTAATAATATGGAAGAAAAAACAGAAATGGTTGATAATGTGGAATTAGAGAAAGTAACAACAAAAGGAACCGATATTATAGATTTGGAAAGACTTAGGACTCATGAAGGAGCCAAAAGTGATTTAAAATACGCCTGGTTGGGATGGTTAAGCTTTGGTAAAAATCAGGAAAATGTAGATGAAGATGTTTTAGAAATAGGTATATACCAAATAAGTAATCAGTTTACTAAGAAGAACGATAATATATTAAAAGAACTGAGTAGATGCTTAGAACTTAGGTATAATGGAATTAAATACTCAATGGAGATAGTAGAGAAAGCATTAGGAAACAATTCAATGGTGGTTTTGATCTCCTCTAACTGGTCACATCACTTGAGATTCTGTAAGAGCCAAATATTTAACCGTATATTTCATTATAACTATAACTGTGAGGATTATGAGATCTTTGAATTTGAAATGGTTGATAAAAATACTACTAATAAGGATATTTTCAATAATAATAGTAAAAATAGAGACTCTAAGAATAAAAAATCTGAGGAGGAGGTAAAACCTATTGGGGATGTAAGACTTTGGTTATTTCCATGTAACCTATCTAATGAGAATTCCAACAGACTATTTTTTAGTGGGAATTTAACAAGAAAGAATTCGGTACCTTTACCAATTTCAAAATATTATTTGATAGGAATGTTGGTTTCAAGTTCAGAGGTAAAACAGAATTTTGGTTTTGGTTCTGGTTCTGGCTCTGGCTCTGGTACTAACTCAGATCCTGATCTTGATTCTGGATCTGGTCTTAGACAAGATCCAGATGAAGAAATCTCAGTGATGACTAGTTTGCTTCCAAATCAAGGACAAATGCACAAAATAGCACAATATTGTCACAATAAGTCAATGAAATCCGAATCAAAGATGGAGTTCCTCATAAATAATGACATGTTTTCATCAGCAGGAACCCTTCTCTCCAGTCTTTTGTCTATTAATGGGAATTCTAGTCAATTAACTCATAGTACATCTTTATCCAACAATCAAGATAACTACTCAAATAATATATACACTTTAAGAGATTTAGCTAAGTCCATAAAACGGAAAATCTCAGAAGGATAATATAATTACATAAAGTAATGAATTTTTTACATATTTATAAGCTTAAATAAGATATAAATGACTATAAGAATATATTCAACTAATACCTAGTTTTGTTGATGTTTTTTAAACATATTTCGTATAACTTTTTCTTCTCTCTGTTCATCTTTTAGTCTTTCATAGTGTTTTCTTCTAGAAATTATATTCAAGTTTTGCTTCTCCACTATTTGATTATAAGAATTAAAGGACTTTCTGGTTAGTATATACATATTTTCAAGTTGAAGATTCTTATTTGCTAGTTCTGATCCTCTAGTCTTTGTTTCTTCAAAACCCGGAAGATACCATCCAAGTGTCTTTTCTTGTTTCTTCTTTAGCTCCTCGTGCTTTACTTTGGTTTGAGCTGCTTGGATAAACCTCAACTAAAGAAAGTCCAAGAATAGTTAATATACAAATCTACTACACATTTTTCTGGAAACAAAAACTTACAGCTGAAACATTTGAAGATAACTTGATCTGCTTACCAGACATTTTTAATAGGATAAAATACAAAAAAAAAATTAAGACTTAGTCTATTAATTAATTTTTTTTTAATACATTAATTAAAATAGTAATTCTTGTTAATTTTTTAAAGCTAAAGAAATTAGGCGCCAAATGCATGTTCGATACCTAACACCGGTATGTGCGAGGATTTCAAGATCCATTGATTTTTTTTTTTTAATGGGTAATATTGTTTCTGAAAAGTTAAGTAACAAAAAGAACATTAATATTGACTTTTTTTCCTTAAATATGATTTTTCAGTGTTTTTATGAAATTAAGTCCAAGGAAGAAAGTTTGGGAACCAAATACTTCCAAAAATGAAGGTGAATATTTGGTAAATCAAAAAAAGACTGGTGAGTTTTGAGCTTTGATTTTGGAAAAAGTAACCCATAAGAGTGAAATATATTGGAATACAGTTGAATAGTCTGATAATGACTTCAACATATCCATAAAGTAAAATGGAAATAAGAAGGAAATATACTTGAAAGAAGTATCCAAACACAGAATAGCAGTTTTGAAAATGATGAAGAGTTTGATTAATAATAGAAGAAGTATCATTTTTGTCTTTTTCAGACTTTTTTATGAAGAATATTTTAATTGAGTAAACTGTTACTAGTATAAAGGGGACAATTAGGATAAATTTGTCAAGTTTTTCAATTCTCCAATAGTTAAATATACCATTACTCCAGTATTCATTTTGGACAAAAGAATATATATTTGGGATTAGGAATTGGCACCAGGGACGGGAGATTGAAATATTTACACAGTATCGGAAATAAGCATAAACTAGATAAATAAGAAAAGGCAGGATGGTTGAGATGAACAAAATAAATGCAATAAACCAGTGAACAATAAATGATAAGATGTTACCTATTTTTGGACTGGTTGAAACAAAGTAGAAGAATAGTGGAATAGAATTCAAGATCCCATTTGATCTAATCCCACATGCCACTGACATACAAAGTACTGATAAAATTAAGTAGGTAAAATTCTTAACTGAGAAAAAGCCAAACTTGTGAGAGTTTGATTCAGCTCTAAGAATGAGAAAAGCTCCCCAAAAATTGAAACATGAATATAGACTTTCAGTATACATTGACGAATTGAAGATATTTGAGCTTGGAAAGAGGAAGAAGAGAGTAGAGATTCCTGGGAAAACTACATTTTTTATCTTGATCTTGGAGAATAATTCACATTGAAATAGATACAAACCAACAGAGGCTATCACAAATGCTAAATTGCTTAATAATGTACCAACAATCATATTGACCAAAATACTCGTCTTATTGAAACAAGATATAACTTTTGAAATTTGGTTTACCAAGATGGGATATAAGGGTAAAAAAGCATGCTGGTGTTCATACTCATAATCATTATAGTACGATAGCCTCAAATAGTATTCACCATCCCAGTTAATAAATGATTTGAATAGTTTCCAGGTGAGTGTATTTTCTGAGTCCTGGCTATTATCCAGGTATAAGTGTAGGATCCCAGTATTTCTTATATTAGAGAACAAATCATTTGTCAAGAATGAAATGAGAACACATAGCAGACGGGAAAAAACTGCCAGAAATATGACTCTTCCTATGTTTAATTTCATTAATGATATCCATGTAAACTCTTGAAGTTTTTTTAATAGAAATACGAGGATTTTGTAATATTCTGAATGTATTCTGTAAGCTTTTGATTTAAATTATAATAATATGACTATCCTATTCTAATAAATTTCTCTCAATATTATTTAGTTTTTCAAATTGATCTCTTTAATAATTCTTTTAAACTAAAAATCAGAGTTTTCAAGAATATTTAACCCCATTCAAAACATGATTTTAAGCGCATTACTTAACACATTTAAAACTAAGTTGGGCTATGATGAAATTCTCCAAAAAAAAGGACAGAAGTCACATAAAAAAAGACTGAAATTTGGGAGGAAGATAATACACAATTAAACACATAAAATTTGTATACTCACACTTATTTTGCCGAAACATTTTTCAAAAATACATTTACATACATTTTTTGCTATTACGTGGAACACCGGTATAGGGGAAAGTGGCGCCAATATTTGAATGTCAAAAATGAAAGGTGGTTTAAAAAAAAACGGAAATATGGAAAATTTTAGTAATGCAGGTAGTAATGACTTATTAGAAAAGATTTTGGAGTTAACTAAGAATGGGTATGATTATGAAGAGGTTGATGGAGGGGTTGAGCTCCGATTTTTCTATTTGAATGATTTAGATGGAGGCATTACTTTAGAAAAAGGCAATGCCTATATTAATAACCTATTTACAAAGTTCATAGAGCTGGGAATTTTTGAATATAATTGGGATACAGTTCCGTTTTCTCTTGAACTGGATAAGGTTGAAGGTGTGGATTGCGTGAAGTGTTGGTTAAATTTGAGTACTTATCATCTGGATGAATGGTACACTATATATCTTTGCTACAAGGTAACAGAGAATATAGAGAATCTAGCAGTCCAAGCAGTAAACAGTGATGGAGATCCAATTTTAATAGACTTGGCAGACATTTTACCAGTTTGGATGAAACCAAATAATTCAGAAAATCGGTGTTTTTTAGTAAATGGGAAGGTTTATCTAATTCCACCAGAGTTATTGGATAACGAGAGAGAAATTTTGTCTCTAAAATCTGCTCTTGATATAATAAAGTTTCGGGTTAGTCGTTGTTATACTAAGGAATCCTTTACAAACGTTTTCATGGAAAAGTTTGAATCCATTTCAAAAATTAATCAACAGGAGAAATCTCATAATTTCTATGTAATATTGCCAAGAAGGATAGCTGAGATGGTTTTGGAGTTCCATTACTTATTGGTGATCTCACTTAAGTATCTTTTGTACAACAGATGCGAGTCTTCAGAAGTGAGGGTTTTGGAGAAAAAACACAGTTCTGACAAAGGATTGAACTTATTTTTGCCAAAAGACCTAATTAGAATAAAGATTTGTATGACAAGAACTCAATATTCAAGATTTATCAACGAGGCTCTCTTTACGATGCTTCCTTCAAAGTTTTCAAGGAATAGCTGGATAAACCATCTCCCAGAAAATCTTCAAAATAAGAAATTCCACTCAGAACTTTTACATGGGTGTCTTTTGACATATGGTATTTACTTGGCATATTTAATAAATCCAAGTAATTCTTTGGGTTTATTCATCTGGAAATTCACCAATACAGACTATTTCAAACTAAGGGAAAAAACTGATTTTCAAACTATAATTAAAGATTCTCTGGAGCTTATGAAAGACCTCAAATCTCAAAATAATGATGATTTTCGTACATTATGGATACATTTAACAGATAATTTAAAACATTTAAAAACTGTTTTACCTTCTAAAGATGGTGGAGAAGATGGCCAGTGTGATTCCACTTCTTGGATGAACAATGAAGAATACTCCAAAAAGCTTATTGAAGATATCCAAAAGATTTACTCAGAAAACTCCCAATCTTTTCAAAAAAGAAATATCAATTTCACAGACATTTTAGAAGAAAATTCATATTTTGATGGCATCGAGTTAAATTTTGATGGCTCTCATTCCACTCCAGATTATCACAATGCAGATTTCAGTGACCTAAGCCTAGAGAGCGACTTAAGTGAACATGATTTTGAAGAACTAGATGAGATCATGAGAAAAATGGATGATGAACTCAAAAGAACTCTCAAAACATCTATTCCTACTTTAAACGATAACAAAGAAGCAAGGAGGTTCGCTGAAAACACATATTCTAATGCTTTAAAACTAGAAGAAACATTTGGCATTGTTGGACCTGCGACTGTATTCAACAAAATACAAAAGTAACACTAAAATTTCCTCTTCTGTCGATTTATATTCGCACTAATGATTAAAGTGTAAAGATAACTTAGCTTCTTTTATTTAGTTTCAATAATTATTTATTTTCTCATTATTAACCTTCCTTTTAATTAACCACACAAATGGCGGCACGTTTTCCCGCCCAGCCAGTACCGGTATTGATTAAAGACAGAAATAATAAGATCATAATCAATTAAAAACGGGCGGGAAAATTAAGACTGAAGCTTTTAATTTTTTTACTTGTATGGTAAATAAGTGGGAAGTAGAAAAAGGAGGGGTAACAGTTATCCTTAATGTCATATAAGAATTAAAATAATAAAGATTAACATTTTGGGGTAGAAAATTTTTACAATTTTACAAGAGAGTTACTCAAAAAAGGTGAATTAGAAATAAAGATGACATCCGTCGTACCAAAGATCATGGATGAGGGAGCTCAGGAGAGCAAGGGTGAGTTGGCTAGACTTCAATCAATTGTAGGAGCAATAGCAATAGGGGATCTTTTGAAGACTACTTTTGGTCCAAAAGGGATGGACAAGATATTACAACCAATTAAGGAAGGCCCAATTGATTCAACTCCTATAGTGACTAATGATGGTGCTACCATCTTAAAGTCAATTTCAATAGATAATCCAGCTGCTAAGATATTGGTTGACATTAGTAAACAGCAAGATAATAGATGTGGAGATGGCACAACAGGGGTTGTTATCTTGGCTTCTGAGCTACTTAAGCAGGCTGAAAGATTGTTAGATCAGAAGATCCATCCTCAAGTTATTATTTCTGGATATAGGATGGCCTTGGAGGAGGCTAGAAAAGCTCTAAAGTCTAATTCTTTTAATAACAGTGACAATCGCGAAATCTTTGAGGCTGATTTATTAAATATAGCAAGAACTACTTTGAGTTCAAAGTTACTCACAGTTGAAAAAGATCACTTTGCTAATCTGGCTTTAAAAGCTATTCTTAGACTTGGAGAGAATATGAACTTGGAGTACATTCAAATAATTAAAAAAGTTGGAGGCTCGCTTCAAGACTCTTTCTTAGAAGAGGGATTCATACTTGAGAAGAAAATTGGAGTTGGTCAACCAAAGGTTATGAGAAACTGTAAAGTCCTAGTAGCAAATACACCAATGGACACAGACAAAGTTAAGATCTATGGTGCTAGAGTTACTGTCGATAGTATGAATGCCGTTCAGGAGATTGAATTGGCAGAGAAGAAGAAGATGTACAACAAAGTACAGAAAATCCTTAAACATGGATGCAATATATTTATTAACAGGCAACTAATTTATAACTACCCTGACCAGTTATTTAAAGAGGCAGGGATTGTAGCTATAGAACACGCAGATTTTGAAGGAGTTGAGAGACTAGGAGCAGTATTAGGAGCAGATATTGTAAGTACATTTGATAACCCAGAAAATACCGTTCTTGGGACTTGTGATCTCATGGACACCATTATGATTGGAGAAGATGAATTCATTCGCTTTTCTGGGTGTAAAAAGAACCAGGCATGCACAATTGTATTGAGAGGAGCATCTTCCCATATTCTTGATGAGGCTGAGAGGAGTCTCCATGATGCCTTGGCAGTTCTTTTCAAGACAGTTAGTGACGGAAGAGTAGTTTATGGAGGTGGATGCAGTGAGATGTTAATGAGTGTCTCAGTTGATGAACTTTCAAAGAGAGTTGAAGGCAAGAAGAGCCTTGCAATTGAGGCATTTGCTAATGCTTTGAGACAAATTCCCACAATTCTCTTAGACAATGGAGGTTATGATAGTGCTGAGATAGTTACTAAGCTTAGAGCTCTTCATTATAAGGGTAGCAACGTCTGTGGAATTGATTTTAAGACTGGCCAACCTGGAGATATGAAGGAGCTCGGTATTCTCGAGTCTTTTGAATCAAAACTCTCACAGATATGCTCCGCTACCGAGGCAGCTGAGATGATTTTGAGAGTCGACGAAATTATACGTTGTGCTCCTAGACAAAGACAGGGAGTTTAAGGAGTTACTCTCGTATATTATATGTTAATGTTGATACTAGTAGATTGCTAGGCTTAAATAGAGGCATGACTAGTTAAACTCTAAGTTTTGATAATTAGAAAGCTATTAACTCTTCTTTAAGGTTTAATTTGGAGGACTTTTCCGTAGAATTTGACCAATTTTTGAATTATTTTTTTAAAATTAAGATCATTTTTTTTTTGTGTGTAAATACTTTAATGCAGCACTACCGGTATTGGGCAATAATTGGTAACCGGTACAGGGGAAAATTTTTTTATATAAAAAATTTAGGGGGAAAAGAGGGGTGAAAAAAAGTCTGAATAGAGTTTTTTTAAAGTCAAATAAACTCAATAATGCTCAAAATGAGCGGAATTAAAATGTATTTTTTAAGTATATTGGCGTTATTCAGCTGTATCTTGGTGGTTGTTAAAGGAGAAGCAAGTTTTGATGAACTAGTTTCAACCCAAATTACCAGAACCTTTTACTTGACAAAAAGAGTTGCCAAGGTAACTATGGAAGTGAAAATTAAAAGCATTAAAGGTGAAATTCATGGGTTTGAATATATTTTTAATCTCCCAGAAGAGCAGTTTTCAAGAGTTGGATTCATTTCAGCTGGAACTTCCTCTATTAATGCTAATAACTTTAAGGTTGAAAGAATTGAACCAGAAAAAGGGTTTAAGATTGGAATAGGAGATCTCACAGACTTTGAAAGGACTATATTTATAGAATATCACATTGGAAATCCTTACTCAGCCTTGCCGAAGGCTATTCGACTTGGAGAAAACCAACTTTTAGTGTTTGAAGATGAGCTTAAGCTTAGGAACAAATATAAAGTTACCAAGGAGAAGTTAATAATTCAGTTTTTGGCAGGAACTATTATAGAGAGGATAATTCCGACATATATGAAGCGACAGGAAAACAAAGTGGTTCATTTGGTCAGCCAAGATAAGGAAAATGAAAAGTTTTTGGTACATTTTTCACTTAACAATCATCTAGTTTACTTTTATTCAGTCTCCCGAATCATTGAGATTTCACACTGGGGCAATGTAAAAGTTAAAGAGGAATACTCAGGAGTGAATATGGCTGCTCAAAACAAAGGAGAGTTCCATAGAAAGGAAATAATGATTCTTTCAGGACAAGGGTTTGCCAGGATGAGAAATCCAGGGACAGTTTTACCTCAAAATACCCACTTATGTTTATTCGTGGATCATATTCTTCCATATAGAGCAGTTGGATTGGAGTACTATGACCAGATAGGAAATATTTCGTACTCAAATGCTTGGAGAGTTGGAAACTCACACACAATGCTCCAAATCCAACCTAGATCCCCTTTAATGGGTGGGTGGGAGTTCGACTACACCGTGGAATACAATCTTCCTCTAGAAAACGTGGTATTCTATGATCAAAATCTCAAGCTATACATGCTTAACCTTACAATGATGCCTTCTGCAAAAGGAATCTATTCAGAAAATGTCAACACACAAATCAGGTTTCCAACAGGCTCTTCCGACATTTCTATAGATTTCCCAGCGAACAACAACATCCCATCTCTTGTCAAAAGCGATAAGCTAGACCATTATTTTGGCTGGCTCGACATTTTTAAGCCTAGGCCAGTACTAGTATATAACATGAGTTCCTATTATATTCCAGAACAACTTCTACTTAACTACAAATTCCAGGCATATTACAGAATCAAGTCACACATGATTACTTTCTCAGGAACTTTTCTAATTTCTTTCCTCATTTTTATTCCTTTCCTTGTCGTAATTTTTATTAAGAGGCTTAAAAATCGGCACTCCACCAAAATTAAAAAGGAGTAGAGTTTTGGCGGGAAAATCATGCAATAGAAAGGCCATATATTTTGGCATTTTAAGCAAAATGGGTTAGGCGGATATTGGGAGGTGCTGGAGGTAGCAGTGAAGATTTTTACATGATTAGACAGATAAATGTGAGAGATTGGAGTGATATATAGTGTATCTTAACTTTACGGGTATTTTAGAGTGACAGGCGTGCATATACATATATTGTCACACAGGACGGGTATGGAGGGTGCAATAAAATAAAAAAAAAATGGGACACACAAATGAAGGAGGTGTTCCAGGCCTATGGAGCTTTACAAACTCTTTAGGAGATTGAAAAGTTTTTATAATTTTTCTGATGAAATTTGGTTCAAACTGAAGGACACATAAAAAGATACAAAACTTGTAGATCTATCCAATTATCAGTAGGCTTGAATGTTATATATACCAGAATCAATCAGAAACTAATTAGGTTTATAACTGGGGCATTATCTGATTTAGGAGAAAAGAGTGTTTGGAGATTCAAAAATTGTATGATTATGTGACGATGTATACAATCCACGAAGGATGTAATAGTATATCAGGAAATTCCAGGATTTATGACGTACCAAACAGACATAGTTGGGATAATAATAATGGTAGTACAGATAATTTGAGATGTGATGATTCTAGTCCTAGATTCAAGCATAACTTTAGTTCTGGTTACTCTGAACAGAAATTCAAATATCATGGTGGAGAAGAGGCAGATTTTACAAGGAACCAAGGCGATAGATTAGCAAGAAATGGCAGTTTAGTGAGGTCTACCATTTCAGGATATGACAAAAATGTTGGAGCAATGGAAGGGAGTTATGAACATTTGAAGAACTTAGAAATTTCAGAAAACCCCAGGGGAGTTCAAAAGTTTGAAACTAATAAGCATCCAATAAGTGAAGAGATTGTGGAGAAAAGGGGTCATGAGTACGAGACTTTAGCTCTAGATAAGAACACAAAATTGAGTAGTAAAAGCGGTACTCAGAGCTCATTGAACCAGGCTACTTATAAGAAGAAGGTGAATTTGGGAGGATTTACAGAAGTGGATTGGTATAAAAAGATTCCAAATTGGGAGAGAATCATAGATGAAAGATATACAAGTGTTTACAGTTCATATGATAGGCTTGAGATGATAGGAACAGGCACTTATGCTAAGGTTTGGCTTTTAAAGGACAAGATAACAGGGAAAAAATATGCAGGAAAACTTTTGGAACCTCATACTTATCCATCAGACACAGTTGAAAGGATTGAAAGAATGTTTCAGTCAGAAATAAAGAATCTCATAATAAGTCAATGCCCTGGTGTGGTAAGGTTACACAAGATAGTAGTAGGCCCAGAAGGTAGTTTGTTAGTTCAGGATTATGTAGACGATGGTACAATCTGGAGAGAAAACTGTTGTGTGAGCGAATTGGAAGCTTTCCAACACTTTATTCAACTAATTCAAAGCGTACTATACTTCCAGGATAAAGGAGTAGTTCACAGAGATCTAAAACCAACAAATATTTTGAGGTATTCAAACAAAACAATAGTGATCGGCGATTTTGGGTGGAGTGAGCAGACTAAGAAGCTGCATTTAAGCCCCTCAGAATGGCCAGGAACACTTGAAATTAATCCTCCTGAAGTTTTGACATTTAAAGGTCCTTTGACTGAAAAGATAGACAATTATGCAGTTGGAATGAACTTATTGTTGTTTCTCACTGGTAGGTTTATTTGTAGACAAAAGGGGCTGGATGTTACAGAAGCAGCTCCTTATATTTTAAAAGTAGTAGAGTTAATTAGGAGTGACTTCAATAACAAAATCCTAAGTAAGGGTAAGCAAAAAGGCAATGCTCAACTGAAACAAAGCCAATATTTCATGTGGGAGATTTTTATTGGGTTTACTGATCCTAATCCAAACACCAGGTGGAGTATTCAAAAAGCTCTTTTCCACCCAGATTGCATTCAACAGCTCTTACTTTGCTTCCATAATAACTTCCCAATTTTGTGGCATCCTCAGGTTATTGCAATTATCAAGTCAAATATAATACCTAATATTGTTACTTCTTGCCAGTCTTATATAGAAGATGAGAAGCAGTATTGTGAGGGGAATAAACAACGTGTGAGTGTAGGCAAGAATACAATGATCAATTTAAGCAATGCTGATCAGATTCATATTCATAATATTTCACATAATACAAATTTCAATAATTATAATTGTGGTCAGAATCCGGTTTCTGGCAGTATAGAGTCCCAGAGAAGCCATTTTAAGTCAACTGGCACGTCTTTAAGGCCTACAGAAGGATTTTCAGGACAAACACTCTTTAATAATGATGGCCATCAACATAAGTTAACATTGAATAACCAGTTTTTACCTGGATCTTCGGATTATAACACAATTTATAATAGCGAATTTGCAACGTCGTCACGAAAAAAGACTTCAGTGAATTCCTCCTCAACTAATTTGAATTATACAAATAACAACCATAAGTTTGTTGGTGTTGAAGGTTCTGTTATAAAACAACCTCACTTTATTAACAATTTCCACTATTAACTTTCTAATTGTAAAATTTGCAAATAAGATGAATTATCTATTTTATAATGATTAAAGGCTCCCATTTAGTTCTTAGAATTCCAATATAGTATATTGAATAATTTTTATTTTATTCGGCTTATAATTTTTCTCTTATGAACATGTGGGGAGTTGCATGCACTGCCACGTATGGCGGCAAAAATTTGTCATGCATGAATGACGGCATAGCTGTTAAGGTGAAAAGTATGCAAGGGGGGAGGGAATGCATGCACTTTACATTTGTAATAGTTAAAAAAGTGGTTAATAGAAAAAATAAAAATTTGAGAATGAACAAAAGAATATAGAGGAGTATGTTGAGATTTGGGATTTTATTAAATATAAGAACTGGAATGACAAGAAATAATCAATTTTCTGGGAAAATTAGTGTGAATAATAAGGCTAAAGAGAGAGAAAAATGAGTGATTTAAGTGGGATTCGAGTATTATATCTTCATGGGTGGGTTTCAAATTGATTAAATTCATTAATTTATGATATTTATATGTAAATATATATTTTTGAAGTTTATATGATAACTACAAGTCATATAGAAAAAAACAGATAGAGGAGATTGTTGGTGTTTCATATATTCGATCTCCTGACCTGAGGTATAGAACTCTGATAATGAGGTCCAAAACTGGATACATTTTGACATCATTACTGATTTTTATAGCATTAATGTAAGTTTGATTTCAAATAAGTACAAAATTATCACAAGAAAATTGTTTTTTCTTTTTAACAGAGTAGTTGAATTCTTAGTACCATTTAGTCTTGGACTGAAGATTGTACTACCAATATTAATGGTAAGTTTAGAATATTTAAAGCTGGATTAACGATTAAAAGAAAAAATTAAGGCATTTCTAATTGTTGTAGGATACAGAATAACTGGGATCGTAGTTTTGAGGAAGTGTGCCAATATTGCAAAAGATATCATAGAAAAGAACATATTGGCTTTCAAACCTGAGATAGTTATGACATCAGATTTCTCAGCAGTTAGCATGAGCAAGGTGAATTCAAGGATAAGCAAAGTACCATTAATCATGTTTTCTCCATCAATAATAAACTTTAAAAGGTTTACGTTAAGTAGAATGGAATTAGAGCCCGAAAGGTTTCAGAGCCTGATGATTGTTCAAAGCCTCAATGATAAGATTGTACCAACAAGGGATATAATGGAGCTAATCAGTGGATTTAATGAGGAACAGGTAAGAACTCACTTTGTACAGGGAGTTGGGAGTTTACTTCCAACCTATGCAAGTCTTTCATCTGAACAGTTGAAAGAGTATATGGTTGAGATTCTGCAAATGGCATCTGATAATAGCAGTATAAATGGCGACTCCCAAAACATTAATAATACTGAGATGCAGAGGTTTGGTAATAATAGCAATACAATGGAGATGGGAGTTGACAAATTGGTTAGTAATAGATTACAGACAATGCATACATTTACAAAAAACAACTATGGAATTAATTTACCCTCGTTAAGAAAACCAATTTCGCTGATTAGTAGAAGCCCAAGAAACAGCTACTCCAGGTACAAAAGCCTTAGTAGTGAGTTAAATGATTCAGGATACAATGAGGATACTGAACTTGATGAGAATGAGCAGTCACCTTTGATTGTTTCCAAAGAAAAACAAAATACAAAGTCGATATATAATCCAAAACCTAGTGATACAAACGAGCTATTTAATCAGTTAAAGTACATAAAGGAGGATAACAGCAGTGATTATAATAGTGACAGAACATGATACATTCAAGTTAGTATTGACTTGAGATCAGAAAAGTCTTCCAATATTGGCGCCATTTTTAAATTGAAGCATAAATTTCTAAGTATTAATGTAAAGAAACGGCAAAGCCATGGATGGGACTCTGTATATAATTCTGGATTCAAGAAGTCTATTTGTGTATGAGTACACTGAAGATCACCAGCTAGGTACTCAAGATAAATTGTTGGTTTCAGGAGAGTGTGTATTGAATTCTGTATTTCAGTTTACAAGGCTATATAATTTGAGTACAGGCAAGAAAAAGAGGCTGAATATATATATTTGTGATTCAAATGGCGAGAATTTAATATTTGATGGTTCTATCTCTGGCTTAACGAAGGAGTTACAATTTGAATTAATGCCAAAAATGTTGGAGGAGATTTCGGAAAAAATAAAGCCGGGAGAGATGAAAGTGAGCCCAACAATTTCTAAATGTCTCTGTAAGATTAATGGTACAAGGAAAAAGTTTGGGTATAACAGGTCGGAGAAAGACCGCATTATATTAGTGGATGCTTCAGATAAAGATGATTATATTTCTCAGTATGTATCTTTGCTAAATTGTGGGTTTGCATCACAGAAATTGGTAAGTTTGATAAATAACTCAAATATTCGCCTTTCAGTTACAATTTTGAATCAGGATGTGGTTATTGATGTTGTAAGTGTGACAAGAAATCCATCTCCATTATTGAACAATTTGGTAGATATATGTAATGGGTTAAATTTGAAATATTCTGATATGGCAGATTCACTCGTAGAAGGAGGTGTTGAAATAAGTGAAGATAACTACGGATTGGATCAAGGATTGACTCCTTTTTTGATTTTCCATCTATTACCTTCCATTCAGGCTCGAGAGGAGTTTTTTGTTTCCATTAATAAGACAAAACACACAGGTTTGGCTGTATGTTTTTGTCATCATCAGAAAATTGAAATAGGATATGTATGCTCATCGTGTTTGTCAATATTTTGTTCACAATTTAAGGCTCCAATATGTTCAACATGTGGGTAAGTTTCTTTAAATAGATCAATTAATTGGAATATAGTTATTACAATATTTCTTCTCAATTATAGAGCTAGATTAAAAAGAATACCTATACAGCAAAAGACTTTAAGTAGCTTAAACATAGAGGATGGGAAGAATATATATTAGATCTGAAGACTATAATGCCGTAATTATAGTCAACGATCTTTATTGGCATAATATAATTAAGGAGATAAAGGGAAGAAAAAACAAGCTATTTAGAAAATTAATGTAAAGTACTTAATCAAGTAATTAATTATAGCATGGGTCTACAAAGAGAGTTCCACTTTAGATCAGAGTCTTCTTTGAAACAAATAACAGTTATTTTTTTAGTAGAGACTTTGACTCTGGAAAGTTGAGAGTCTATAGGGTTAGAAAGGTTTGCAATTTTAAATAGGAAGTTGGTATTTTCGGATAAAACTTCCAACGAAATTGTATTGTTAGTTACTTCTAGATTTGGTTTCCCCAAGATCTCAAGAGGTGATTTACTGGAGATCAAATCAGCTAGATCTTGTAAGCTTATATATATTTCAATGCTTTCTCCACAGTCTGACCATGAATACTTTTTAATCTGAACGTTTCGAGGTTTTTCGGAAGTGTTCTCTTTTTTATCATCTTTATGCAGCAAAATTGGCTCTCCTCCAGTTACTATTCCTGGTCCTTCAAAGATCTTTGCATCCTTAAGGTCATGAGAGTTGTTTTTGTGAGCATAATAGTAACTGAATTCTCCTTTTTCCTTGATATTGTTTCTGAGAGCAGAAATTTCCTTGTCATTTGAGCTCATTTTCCCTTCTTATTTTATTAATCTCTTCTTCTTTGAAAATTTAATCCGGCTTGGCAATATTAATATTCTTCTAATAATTATAATATAATATCTGACACTTGGCGCCAAAAGTCAGAGTTAAATATTAAATATGTGAATTTAGGCAAATTATTAAAAAGAGAAATGGAAAGTTAGGAAAAAAATAGGAAAGGAAATAAGTAAAGTGGGAGAAATGTAATATATGATAATGCAGAAAAAGGGAATGTGTGAGTACAAATTAATCTTCTAGGATTTGGAATATAAGTCCAGCTTTATCATAGAAGCTACAGCTGAGACCAAAAAGAGTATTGTTCATTCTGAATGTGTCAATTCCATATACGATGGAATTATGAGAAAATTCAATTTCAGAATCATTTGGGAGTGAAACATATTGTTTTTCGATCTTCAGGTTGGGGTCTAATTTCAGATATTCAAGTCCATAGTAGCATTGTGCCATTCCAAGATAGTCTTCAAATTGGTTAATTCTCCAAATACCTCCATGGACTTTGTACTCATAGATTGGAGAATTCATTTGCCTTGAATCCCAAAGTCTGAGGGTTTCGTCATAACTTCCAGACCAAAATAGATGGTTTCTATCTGATTTTTGGATACATGTTACACCCATAAAGTGAGATTTCCCGTTTTTGATCACCGGTTTATCTATACAGCTCACTCTGAGGTCCCATAAAGATAGGGTGCAATCATCAGCTCCAGTTGCCAGAAGATTTCCTTCTTGGTCAAGAAAGGATACAGTCCAAACTTCGGTATTTGGATGAGCGTAGAACTCGTTTTCGATCAATTCAGAATCCCTAATAATGAAAACTCTTCCATCTGAAATGCTATAACAGGTTTTTCTAAAGTCAGAATGAAAAATTTAGAAATGGGTTATTCTAAAAGATATAGAAAAAGTAGAGGGAAAACTGTTCGCCTCTTCTTTATGCGTATTAGAGCTTACCTGGTACTATTATGGCAAATACAAGACAGGTCTAGTCCGATTATTTGGTTGTTATTTTCTATACTTTCAGACTTAACGGAACTAAGGAGCTTATAGCTGGAAAAATCTGGGTCTATTCTAAAAAGTTTAAGGCTTTTGTCAGAACAAAGACAAGTAATGTGAGTGTAATCTGAGCCCTTGAAGTCCTTGCCTTTAGGGTCCCATTCAAAATTAACGACACCTGATTCTGCATTGATGCACATTTTCGGCTTGTAATTTACAAATCCTTTAGTGCCAGAGCAGTAATTCGGGTCCTCATGAGTTCCCAGAACTGACAGAATGTCATAAATGTTGATTCCCCCGATTCTGTGCTGAGATTTTGCATCCTCAAGACAATAAAGACCAACCCCAAAATACCGGTTATCTCCGCCACTCATATATATACAATCTGCTGGATGCTCGAATTCGAGCATCCGCCGTGCATGCAGGCGCCCATACACTTCAAATTCTGGTTTGCATGCACTGGGTTCAGAATTAGCATGCATTGGCAAACGTCAATATGCAAGCAGGAAAAAAAAGGAACGTGGTAATAGTTAGCCAACAAAAGTGGAATTAGCAATTAATCAAGGTAATTCTCACCCTCAAAGGCAATAATTCCAGGAGCCTCTTCTTCCAAGAAGGACTCTACTATTGCGTGTTTGGTGAAATTGGGTGTAGAAACCAAGAAAGGCCTTTTACCAAAAAAATAAAGTAAGTGGCGGACAGCTAGAAAGCTAGTTAAAGACCAAAGAGGAACAGAACCAACTTTGGCAGAGAAAACTGTCAGAATATTGGTAGAATACTCCAGCCCTGACCTTTAAATATTGACGAAACCGTGAACTATTTGGAATTAATATATATTAAAAATATATACAAATTAAAAATATAAGGTGAATATTTTTAAGGCTTAAAATTTGGGCGGGTCTTTTATCCAAGACAGTAGGAGAGTAGAGAAAGAAATAAAATAATTTTTTTTAGAAAGCTATAATTTGAGCGTGAATGACCAGATAGCTCTAATATTGGCGAAAGAAAGATGAAGAATTTTAACTGTTAGGTACATGGCAATTGTCTCAGTGGCCGATTCGTCTGCTTCTTCAATGGAACGATTGAGCTACGATAGATCTTTACTAAGGAGTTCAGCAGAAAGTTATTCTCCATTAGAGAGAGCTATAAAATACTCAAACTCGAAGGTGGTTTTGCAAAGATTAGTTTTGATCAGGGAGTTTATAGATATTTGCCACGATGTTGGGTATTCAAAAGCAACAAGTACTTTGTTACCAATATTAGGAAAACTAATTCGAGACAACGACGAAGATGTAAGACGGGGAGTATTGAGTATTCTGGGTGATTTGGTTGGATTTCTGGTGCAATCAGATTTGGAACAGGGTTATAGTGTGGTTTTATCGAGTATTGTTCCAATTATTAAGGATGTTTTAATGGGGGATACTCAGCAAACAAGTATTTCAGTTAAGGAGGTGGCTTGCCGTGTTGGGATAACTCTTTGTTCCCACTTGAGGCATTCAGACAGGGTTGATTCCATTCTATCTATCAGCTTGGCTCTTGCAAATGATTTAGAGAATGAGGATTCTAGATGCCTAGCAACATGGATGTTGAATGGTTTGGCAGAATATATGGGGAAAGATATTTGTATGCAGTTCATAGTTCCCCAAATCAAGTGTTTGGCTGATGACCACAGCGAAAGGGTTCGTATGTTTGCAGCAATGAATCTATGCGAGGTCATTCGGATAACCCAGAACTTTTCAGAGTTACTTCCAGTTTTCAAGCGTTTGTTACTACAGGACTCAAATGCAGTTAGGAAATGCGCAATAAAAGTCATTATTGGGATCTTTAGCAGTATCAAGACTATAGATAACAGTATATTCTCCTCTTTTTTAATTGAAATTCTAAGGGATGTGTCTGGCGATGACTTTAGCAACGATCTTAAAAAACAGATTGGCCCTTTGATTACTTTATTCAAAGACCCTGAATGTGTTCCTAGAGAGATTCTTGATGTTTATTTGGCTATGGGAATGAATTTTGAAGAGGATGGGGATACGGAATTTTTGGAAATTGACTCTAGAGATTCTACAGTCGAAGAAAATAACTTGGTTTATTACGAACAAACCGTTGAAGAGGATAATCAGAATTCTAAGGTTAATACAGAGGGAACTAACAGCAGGAAATCTTCAGAATTTAAAGAGATTAAAGAAAAGCAAGATGACATTTCCTTACTTCCTTTCGGAAGCCACCTTGGGTTGACCTTTAAAGAACAAGAGTTGAATGGACCTTTGTTTTTTTGCTCTTACAGCTTTGCATCGGTATTTTCACATATGGGCCCCAGTTATTGGCCAGAGTTTTCGCAACTCTTAGCTCAGCTTGTTGAGAGCAATCACTATTCAGTGAGGTTGCCTATAGCCGCTTCTATGTCTTTAATTCTTGCCACTGCACTCTCCTGTGGTAATAGAACCCATTCACATCTTATTAGACTCAACTCCTCTATACAAAATCCTCCATTTTCAGAAGTATCTAATGTGGATAATCATAGTAATATAAAAGACAAGGAGAAAAACGAGAAGACTAGCGCAGAGATCAAGAAGGAGCAGAATGAGTTCTGCAATACAATAGAAAAAGGGGTTGATTTGTTTTACAACAATATCCATCATGAGCCCGCTAAATGCCTTTTGGCTGGTTCATCCTTTAAGCTTCCATGCTCTAAGGGATGCCAGCTCCGTACTGATATCCTTCCATTCCTGCATGAAATAATTGGGAAGCTACTTGATGATAATGATATTTACGTAAAGAGAGCTATATTCAGCTGTCTATCTGACATTATCAAATGCCTTCCACACAAGGAGCATGTAGAACCAGTAATAAAGAAATTCCCGGACCTCCTTAACTCTTGTCGTATTGACTGGAGATGCAGGAACATTCTAGCAAACCAGATCAGAAAAATCTGCATAGAGCTCCATCTCCGTAACATGGAAATTAGGAAGCAATCAGAAACTTCTCAGGAGCTATTTACTGGTAGTTTTGCTCAGAAATACTTATCCCCAGTAGCTTTTTCGCTGCTTTTGGACCCAGTCTCTGAGGTAAGGAAAACTGCCATAAATAGTGTTTCCTCTCTTTTAAGGATCTCATCCCCATTTTTATGGCACTTCTTTCAGAACGGAGGCAATATTCACGACCTTCCCAGTCCTATTCACTCGCCAAACTCCTCATCTGGTTCTAAGAATGGTGTTCAGACTCTATCCGCCCCCACCTTGGTCTCTACATCAGTTTCCTCATCTTCCCCCTCACCTTCATCATCTCTCTCTATTGACGCCCCTAGCTCCATAGCACCAGTAAATATTACTGGTAACTCTGAACCATCCTGGCCAAAGGAGGAGAAAAGAGATCTTTCTACTATGAACAATACAGAGAAGTCTATCAAAGAGAACCACGACATCCTTTACAAAACCTTTCAACCCCTATATATACATAAACAAAACTCATCAGTCATATATTCGTCTATCTATAACTTCTCTCCAAGTTCATCCAAGACTCTAAACAAGGTTAGTGGATATATTGGTGAATCCAGTTCTAGTTCTAATTCGGGTACTATTCAAGCAGTTGGAGCTTTAAGTAGTAACTGCAACCACAACCATAACAAAACTACCAATGCAACCACGTACGATGATGGGTTCAATTTTTCGGAGAAACTCCGAGTCTTGTTTTCTCTTGATGGAAAAAATGGTAACTGCAAGCTGATTAATGAACTTGCTCTGATTTGGTGCATCCTCAAGACGTTTGCAATTTCAACCAAATATCATCATAGACAAGAATTTATCCAAATGTGTGATCGTTTTATTCGAGATATCCCCAGAGGTTTCTTCTATGCCTACTTCCTGAATCCTTTGATCTTACTTGCTTCTGATCCAGTTAGAAATGTCAGATCTACATGGTTAAGAGTTATTGGACCTCATATTAAGGACTCTGGTAGATTAGGTCAATGTGCCAATATAGTCGCAGCATGTAAGCTTATGAGTCTATCAGAGCTCGACAAAGAATGTAATAAATATCTATCAAACATCAAATTCCTACCAAAAAGTACCCTAAAACGGGTGGACTTTTTATCAGTTAAAGACATTACAGGAATTATTGGACGGACTGCTGATTATGACGACATTCTCAGTTGGAACCAACAACCCCTAATCAAACAATTTAATCTTTATATGGAAGAAGTTTTAGGATCACTTTGGTGTATTGATAATGTACCTGGTTCAAGTTTATTGTCATCCTCAAACACTAACTATACTAATAGAAAGCCGTTTTATTCTTCTGAGCGTTGTTCCGATCTTACTATGGAATATGAAATGATGCTTCTTGAAGTAAGGCCTAACTCATCTCCCACAAACATTTCATCATTGGAACCAGTTATCACTTCTGATACTAGTAGCTTGGAATTTGGACCGTCCAACAATGACTTATTTGTAAATAGCAACGCTTTATTTTCATGTAGACTTGGGTTTTCCAGAAGATCTTTAGAGCTCTCCGAAAATGATTCACTATTACCTAACAAAAATCCGGATAAAATACTCTCATCAGACAATGTTTCCTACAAGACTCTAGAATCCGACTCATCTTTAGATTTCCCCACATCTTGTGTTTCTGAATCTACATCCATTTCAAATTCATTTTCGGTCAATTCTTTGGAGATACTTTATAGACCTGGAATTCCTAGGAGCTACCCCAAGTTCATTTGCCCTTTTGGGACAGATACATCCTTTCAGAATGAAACAGAACCAGAGATGATCTTAAAAGCCCGCAGAATCCCAAGAAAAAAGACACAAAGAGACCATTCCCAAAGGCCTAAACAATGTCAGAAACTCTCTGTAGTCTTCGACCACAAACTACATGCGGCTACCAGAAACTTCATCATGGTTGATATCGCTAGAGCTGCAACCGATGATCTATTTTGATATCGTCCATCAACATCAGTGAATTTGGAAATAAGGTACGAGAAAAAAGAGAATTTATAATGGAGTACCTAATCCTCTATCCACCTATAATAAACTTTTTAATTAAATAATCGGACTATTCTACACTTAATGGACTAGTATTTTAATCAGGAATGCTTTTGTAGTGATCAAATATATATTCAACTATTAGATTAATTAACAGCCCTCCCTTCTATATCTTTAGTATTTCTTCTGGGAGCCATTCTAAGTGATCCGGAGACAGAGAATTTATAAGTAAATAATATATATACCTCCTTTTCAACTAATCTTCTATATTCTTTAGAATTCTTTTTGCCTTGCATATTATAAACTCTATAGAATTCCTGTACTCATCTACTTTATTATCTAATCTCATTTGGTTAATCTCCCTTTCGTGGTCTCTTACTGTCTGCTTTAGAGCTAAGTCCAACTCTTTAAGAAACCCGTCAAGTTCGAAATCTACTGCAAGAGATTTTTCTTTAGAACTAAAATCCATTAGTAATAGTTATTTTGTCGATACTTGCATTGTAAATAATAAATCTCAAAGGCCCCGCCAAAATCATGCAGCGCTTTTTGGCGGGTTTTTGATGGTGTGAGAGGATTGTGGGAATGGAAGTAAAAATAACTAAAAAAGAGAAAGATTAATCAATTCGAAGTGATCGGAGGTCTAAAAAGAGGTAGAAAGAAGAAAGAAAGGAGAAAAGAAGGGTTTGAACCGATAGATTTTGAATTGAATATAAGGGGGAGGGAGAAGAAGGGCAAAGATAGAAGAAAAACCTAAGTTTGTCAGTTTGTGTACGCATGTATATATATAAAAAGTAGAGGATAGATAGTAGTACTGGTTTTTTTTGTAGATTTCTGGGAGTAGAAAATAAGTGAGGAAAATGAGTGACTTTAGTGAGAGGAATTTGGAATACAGATTGGACGATTCAGGGCAGCAAGTGCAACAACAAGAGCAAGAGCATATATCGAATGAAAATAAGATTCCAAGTGGTCCTATAATAGCAACATTGTGTTGTTTATCAGCTTTAGGTTTGAGAGGAAAGGTTGTATCTACATTTTCGTTCTTCCCTCCAAAATTGAGTGGGCTAGTTTTAAGGAATCAGGACGGAAGTGAAATAGAGTTTAAGAAGGAGTATATACGAAAAAGGTTTGGACTGGAGACTATTATTTTAAGATCGGCAACTAATATAGAAAAGAGGTTGGAAGATTTGTTGGTGGGAGAGAGAAAGGCCGATATTTTCTGTACATGGTTAGAGAGTGGTAGATCGAAGATTCCAATTTCCTGCATTAGTATATCTCCAATTAACAAGGAAAATGTTATTAATGATGAGATTCCAACATTTATATTTAGCCATGGAAACGCAACTGATATTGGAAGTATGTTGCCTTGGTTTGTTAACTTAAGCTTGAAGTTGAATGCCCACGTTTTGGCTTATGATTATAGATCATACGGACTTTCCAAAGGAAAACCAACAGAGAGAGGAATCTATGCAGATATTAAGGCGGTGTATGAATATGCAAAGGACGAGTTAAAGTTTCCAGCCAATCGGATTTTTCTATTGGGACAAAGCATTGGTTCAGCTCCAACAATATATCTTGCAAAAAAGCTTGGGAAAAAACTAAAAAAGAATTCGGGGAAATACCATGCTTCTTCTAGGTCAAATATTGATAGTGAAAGATCAAATCTGCCTTTGGGAGGAATCATTATTCAATCTGGCATAGCTTCGGGTCTTAATGCTCTTTTAGCACCAGACTATAGAAGAGATATTCCATGCGATGTTTTTCGAAACTATAAGAACATTCGCAAGGTGCCTTTTCCTATCCTTATTTTGCATGGGACTAGTGACCAAGTTATTCACATTTCAAACTCTAAGAAATTGTTTGAAAACGCAAAGGATAATAAGTTTCATCCTCCAGTAACTACCTGGTGGATTGATGGGGCCAACCATAACCTCCCAGGGCCAAGCCCCAAGAAGGAGTACTACCAAAAGATTGGGGTTTTTATTAACTCTGTGATTTAATTTTTAAAGTTAGCTCTTGATTTTTGGCTAATTTGTATATTAATTAATTGCTTATCTCATTTCTGCATCTTTTGGTTTCTACCGCCTTTAAATTTGATTTTCTATAGTTAATGGTTGGAGAACAAATATCTTTGTTTCTTTAGTCATAATGTTTTTTGTTGTGTGTGCCTGTGTGTGGCTGCCAAACTCCTATATAAAATCTCCAAATGCTCTCTACTTTTCTTTTCCCCCAGACCCATTTAAATTATCTTATTGATCTATTGCAACTAAAATAATACACTTACGTGTCCACATGCAAAGCCAGATTTTTAATATACCGTCATTTTTACTGTCAACAAACAAACAATTTGCATGGTGCTCGATTTTTGGTAAAAATAACCGCAGTTTTGGCGGGAATATTTTAAGTCAGGCATTAAAGATTTATTTTCAAAAAATTAAAAATAAAAGGAAGGAATTCTGGTGATTGTCCGGTTCTTTCCGAGAATTGAGATAAAGAGAGAAGTTAGCGAGAAGATGTTATTTCGATCAGGTATAAGGCTTTACAGGTCAGTTGTATGCCCAGCAGAAATAAGAAGGGTAGCTGTCAGATTGGGAATGTATTACTTGAGCTCCGGAAAGGAGTTGAGTTTTGGAAGCAAAGCTAGAAGGGAAATGTTAAAGGGAGCCAACGATCTTGCAGATGCGGTAGGAGTGACTTTGGGTCCAAGAGGCCGGAATGTTGTAATAGAGCAAAAATTTGGAGAAACCCCAAAAATAACCAAGGATGGAGTAACAGTTGCAAAGGCAATTCAGTTTAATAGTGGTCCAGTCAATTTGGGTGCTCAGCTATTAAAGGATGTAGCAATATCTACTAATGATGAGGCAGGAGATGGCACAACTACAGCCACAGTATTGGCAAGAGCAATTTTCAAGTCAGGTTGTGAGAAAGTGGATGCAGGATTGAATCCAATGGACCTACTCAGAGGAATCAAGCTTGGAGTGAAGCATGTAGTTGATGAGCTGGATTCACTAAGTCAGCCAGTTAGGTCTCACGAAGATATTTTGAACGTTGCAACAATCAGTGCAAATGGAGATTCTATAGTTGGGTCTCTGATAGCCCGAGCTTATAGTAAAGTTGGTGTGCACGGTACCATTAATATTGAGGAAGGAAAGACCACTCAGTGCGAGCTAGAAATTGTTGAAGGTTTGAAACTTGAAAAGGGTTACATATCTCCATACTTTATCACAAACCAAAAATACCAAAAGGTTGAGTTGGAAAATCCCTACATATTGATTTCAGAAGGTAAAATATCATCTCTGAAATCCATCTTGCCAATTTTGGAATTCTGCGTATCATCTAGATCTCCTTTGCTCATAATTGCCGAAGAAGTTGAAGGAGAGGCTCTGACAGCCTTAATTTTGAATAAGCTTCAGCTTAACCTAAAAGTTTGTGCAGTAAAGGCCCCAGGATTTGGAGAAAATAGAAAACAGATGCTTAAAGATATTTCTGTCTCAGTGGGAGCTCAGATCATTCAAGAGGAGTTTTCCAAAGCTAAGCTTGAACAGCTGACTCCTAATCAGGTCGAGGAGTTTCTTGGGAAGTGCAAAAGTATCTCAATTTCCAAAGATGAAACTATTATTAAACAGGGAGAAGGGTCCCCTGAAAAGTTAAAAGACACTATTTCTTTGCTTAAATCCCAGATTGAGGAAAATCACAAACTTTCCGATTATGATAGAGAAAAGATACAAGAAAGGCTTGCCAGACTAACTGGTGGAGTTGCTTTGATTAAAATCGGTGGATACTCTGACACTGAGATATCAGAACTTAAAGACAGATTTATCGATGCTTTGAATGCTACTAAGTGTGCAATAGAACAAGGAATCGTCCCAGGAGGTGGTTCTGCTCTTCTTTGGGCTTCCAGAAACCTTGGAAAACTGTATTCTCAGAGCCCTCCTCCAGGGAAAACTCTAGAGGTTTCCCAAACATCAGAATCCAATCCTATTAGAAACTATGATATGGCAATGGGTGTTAAGATAGTAGAAGATGCATGTAAAGTTCCATGCCACCTCATTTCTTCCAATGCAGGTTTTGATGGTTCAGTAATTGTAGGAGAGCTTATTAAAGTCTTTTCTCAAGGAAGTAAACACTTTGGTTTTAATGCTCAGACTGGACAGTTTGTGGATATGATTAAGAGTGGTATTCTTGACCCCACGAAAGTCGTCAAATCTGGACTTAGAGATGCTGCTAGCATTGCATCTTTGATGGCTACTACCCAGGTATCTGTTTTTGAATCAAAAAACCAATCAGAAAAAATGGGTTCTCCTGAATTAATGTCCTCATCTTCCCCGTCCTCCTCTTCATTTGGCTCACTTCCTGGAACTTTTTATTAGTTGGATAATACTCAAACAACTTAAAATGTTTAAAGAAATACAAACCTTATTACAGTTATAATTAAATAAAGAATGTTGAAGTTGAGTTAAACCAAGAAAATCTAAATTATCTACATTAATAATCAATTCAACATTTTCATTACTCTTTCTTTAGCATCCTTGATTGAAACTCTATTAACTGGATCTAAAGATAACATATCCTCAATCAGCTTCCTTGTTTCCATTGAGATATCTTCTCTGTGAAAAACTAGATTACTGGAGTTCTCCCTTATGGATTTCAAAAGTTCTCTTGTATCTTTTCCGAAAAATGGAGGTTTTCCATTCAAAATACAATACATTACACATCCTATTGACCACACATCTCTTTTATACCCATCTACTCCATCTTTTGTGCACTCCAACTTAAAACACTCTGGAGGAGCAAACAGTTTAGATCCTTCTATTGTAGGTAATTGAATTAGTTAATGAATATTCTCAACTTTCTCCCCTTCTATTTCCTCCCTTCCTACTAAAAGAGCTTAACTTACCAGAATCGTATATTAAACCAGAGTCATCAACTATAATACAAGAGTTAAAGTCCGAAAGTTTTACTAAAAGCCGGGAATTAAACTTAAGGTTAGGATCTGGCTCTTCACTTTTTTGAAGAAAGTCTTTTCTGAAGTAGTCCCTATATTCCTTGAAATCGAGCACTCGTTTTAAAGAGCTATCCAAGTTTTCCTCTTCTTCATCTTCATCAGTATCTTTTTCCTCTTCCATCTCTCCTTTTCCTTCTCCTTTTTGCTCCCCCTCTTCTTCTTTTCTTTCTCCTGCTTCTCTTAATTCTCCCTTCTTCCCTCTCCTTTTCTCTCCTCTACCTCGTAAGAGCCTTATTTGTTCGGTTTTTGCTTGAGATACTGAATCAAAAATCGGAGCATCTTCCCAAAGGCACTTTTCTTCAAAGAATTCCTCAGATTCGTCTTCCTCCTCATCCTCATCCAAAATATTCAAACTTCCAATAGAAACCATATCTAATTCATCAATTCTTTCTGTTAAAAAAATGTTTTCTGGTTTAATATCTCTGTGAATTATTTTATTCTCATGTAAATATTCAACAGAAATTAGTAATTGGTACAAAATAAATATAGAAATCCTTTCATTATAAACCAAAATCTTCTTGGAACCTTTAATTATACTATATACTTGACCATTTTTATTCCAATACATTAGTTGAAAAGGTAAATACTCGTGAATTAGGACAATTTGATTTGACTCTGGTATCTCAAGCAAGCCAAAAGTTCTTGGTATACTAAAATGATTCAGTTTCCTCAATATCAAATACTCCAAGACCACCTTTTCATATACAGATAAAATTTCTTTTTTGTTATCTCCTCTAACCAAAACAACTTTGTGAGATTTAAGACATGATAATAACCCTACTTTAAGTGTCCTTAAGACATTTTCAACACTATCTCTATTAAAAGAAAACAGTTTTCTACCTCTATATGCCCTAAAGTAACTACCTTCACCTAAAAATCCTTCCTTTGACGAATCGTAAGCATAATTATTTAAGCAGTAACAAACATTCAAATCCTCATTTTCTATATTTCTTTCAATTAATACCCAAAGAAAACCATTTTTATTTAAATTTAATAAACTTTTTGTCCTTAGAATCATGTTTTCTCTCTATTTTTACCTGTACAGTCTTTTTACTCTCACTTTTGGTTTATTTCCACATTTTTTTTTATTATTTAATTTAATTTCTAATTAATTATTAACTATCTAAAAATTGTGCATGCATTTTTCCCATGCATGTTTTCCCGCCTAAATACATAAGTAATTTCCTCAAATAATAATCATGAAAATGATAAAAGAAGATTTACACGAAAATAACACTAAAAACGGAATGTCTAGTCTTATTATAAGAAAGTAGGAAGAAATGACAAAGACAATAAATATAAAGTATTGCATGAAGATATGAAATAAGGATCATAGGAATACGTGGTGTCTAGATTATGGGTACCAAGAAGGTACCAAGATAATAAAATAGCACATTCATTTTTACACAATTGTAGAAAAAAACAAGTGTATTGAATATAGTTTAAAAGAAACAAATAAAATTAATTTTTTCTATAGATATTCAAGATGTCAGAAACAAGAAGATCGTTTTTTGGAAGCATAGCAAATGGAGTCAGTAATTTTGTGATGGGATCAAATGAGAAGGAATATAACTTAAGAAATGTAGCAAGAGCATCTGCATCTTTTGCAAAGCCAATTATTGGGCAAGTATCAGAATTTGTGGAGTCTGGAAAGAATTCTCTTTCGGATTCTTTTGTATGGAAAGACTATCATAAAGGTTACATATCAACAGAAGAAGCAATAGATTTAGCTTCGACAACAGCAAGAGAGGTGGAGAGTTCTGAGCCAGAGGAGTTTAAGATTAAATATGAAGAGAAGATTAAGAGTAAAAGTCAGGTATTTTCTTATCCGTCACCTCGTTTGGATACATTGTCCGAGGTCTTTTCGAATTCAAAGGAGAAGATTCAAAATTGTCCAATATTTTCAAAAATTGGATCTTGTGGATGTAATATTTTTCAGAGTCTTAAATCAGGATCAATAAAAGTCTTTAGTAATATCAAAAACCTAATATTTAAGGCAATGAATTATATAAAGGATTCTTTTAAATGTTGTGATCAGACTATTCTCTTTTTGAAGAAGAATTGGGGGATCTTCTCCAAGAATGCGAATAGGATGTTACTAAACATTAGAAATAATCCTTTAGAGTATCCAAAAATGATGTACCACTTTATTTATGGATTCTTTCACAGTATTTATCAAAGGATTTACCATTATAGACATCCAGAAGTCCATAAATCAAAAATTGCAGCCTTAGGAAGCACTATTAAGAATATTGGATGGTCTTGGAAGAAGTGAAAAAGTAAGTTTATATTTTGACAGTAGTCATTTGGAGGAAGGAAAAAGGAAAAAGGAAAATACCAAAAAAAATGAATGGAAGCGAGGGAAAGAGAGAGAGAGAGAGCAGGAAAGAAGGATGAAGCTAAAATATCCAAGTTGATTTGACTTGGCTTATTTCTCTTATTACTAACTAATTAACTTATAAATAGCTTCTCTTTAAATGAACAAGAAGAGCTTGGGGGAACTCATTCTTGCTCAAACCAAGAGAAACTACAAAGAGCACAAGTCTTTCAAAAGGGGAAGAAAAAATGGAGGAATGAATATTTGTAGTTCTTGTTGCCTTTATTTGTGGCTAATAGTACTACACTAACCTCTATATGCTCAGCCAAATAAAGAAATATTGGCAGTTAATAAAGGGAAATTATTCTTTTATATATTGGAAATCTTCTTATTTTTGTTCCTGTTTATTATTTCCGTTCACTTTCCTAATTTTATTGTGCATGCATGCAGATCTAAAATTTGGATCTTGAGACAATACGATGTATTATTAGGTACCGGTACCATATATTTAAAAGAACTGATTAGAATATAATAGAGTTATTAGTTGCGAACTAGATAGTCAAACAGGTAAATAATTGATTAATTTCTAAATTAGAGGCTATATAAAGCCTCAGTACATTTATCCTATTAAATCTAAGAGAAGTTGGACTAGAAGGCGGAAGGAAATGGCGGGAATTTTAGTAACTAAGATGATTTTGTAGGCTTAGATTCACATGTTTGTTTTTTCTCAGTAAAGCTTCATCATATTGTTGGAATTTAATAAAGTCGTTTCTGGACTTCCAAATGATAAAGAAAAGGATGATTTTCCATGCAAAGTTAAAGAAAGTGAAAACTTTGGAGAAATTACGAAGGTCACCTTCCTCAGAACTAACACTCCATGCAGGGAAAAAGATTTTCATCCAAAATATGTCAATAATAAGTGATATAAATATTGAATAAAGGATAAATTTGAATCCATTATCAGTCCATCTAGAGGAGGCAAAACCCTCATTTCCAAGATTACACCAAAAAATATAACAGGTTGTTAGGGAATCTAAGTAACATGATCTGGTAGCACTAGTAATCCATTGGAGGAGAAAGGATATAAAGATTACATACTTATAAAGCACTTCCGGGCCATTCATCTTAAATTGAGTAAGTGAGTTATCTAGTTTGTTGGCTAGAAAGTCTGGAACAGATGATAGATAGGAATATAGAGATAGATTGCTCGGTTTTGGTAAGAAAGGTTCGTCCAGATAAACTAGTTCATTTTGGTAAGTATTTAAATCTTCCATTTTCTGATCTCTTTTTTGTTTGAATTCTCGTACATAACTCTTATATAAAATATGTCTTGAGTATAACCATTGGCAAGAAATCAAAAGGGATCCTAAAACTACTTCATCAGCATTGCTGTAAATCTCTTTTTTTAATTCATGCTTTCTTTGGTCTGCAAGCTCATCCAAGATTACGTTACATCCTCCTAGCTGCAGATTATTTCTGCTATCCAATAAGATAATATCCAAATGGTTTGCCTCACTCCCAAATTTTCTCTCAATCTCAAAGCTAAATAACTCATTCCAAAATACACATTTCTTATCATATTGAAACTTCTTGCTTTGAGTTTCAATTACCTGGTCTTGACATTCCAAGTGGACCTTATATCCTGCATCTAAATTCATCTCCTTCTGCAAATCTAAACTTACTACCTGAATCATCAGCTTGCTCTCCTCTTGATCATACTTGCTTGCAACATTTTCGTATCTCCTCAAATTGTTCTCAGCTTGCTGTCTAAGCTGTTCCAACGCCTCAAACTCCCTAAAACAAGTATCCAACATTGTTTGGAGTTCCCACCTCCTCTTCAAGTAGCTATCCTTAAGTTGTTTTCCACTACATTTTCCCATATGTGTTGGCTTTATTGATAGAAACACATTCCTAACTACATCTTTATTAAATTTTATGTTAGAAGTTTTTATTCTTTCCAAAATTTCTTCCAAACCATAATAATCACAATCTTTTATACCCATTATAGCAAAGTATTCTCCCAAATCCCTATTTATTAATTATTAGTTAAAGTTTCATTCAGCATTTTAAGCCGTTTTGAGCTTCCCACACTTACCTCTTAATCTGCTGAACAAAAGCCTCTCTATTCCTCTGCATCAAAAGAGGTGCCTCTGAAAATATTGGAATTTCCATTTTCAGTATTTTCACTTATTAATTCCCTTTTTTCTTGACAAGCTCCGTTCTAATCCTTTTTTTTTTCTTTTTCCCAATTACTTGTATCTATTTATAGGTTTTGGCGGTCAACCCCCAATTATTGCCAGTATTACCAAGCTTAAAAATAAGTCTCAATACCAAAGCTGAATCCCACTTCACCTAAATTTCTTTGGTTCAACTCATTCTATTCATTCGAATCTGTTAGAATAACCCAGATTCTTTATAACTGATGCTTTTTTTCTTAAATTCCATATTAAGTCGACTCTCCCAATTGTTGATTTAGCTCTCTTTGCCCCCCCCTCAAAAACACACACACAAAATAATTATTTAAGCAGAATTACAAGAAATTTGGGTCCTCGTAAAATCGTAGAAAATTACATGCAGACACGTAATACATGCAAATATGCATTACGTGTATAATCAACATAGGGAAAGAAAAAAAAACAAACATAAAAGTTATACTAGTGTTTAGGATCTTATAACTATTAGATTTGAATCAAAAATTCTTCTAATCCAAGACCATGTGTAGTTACAGTATGATGAGGTATTTAAGTCTGTTAAATCTTGAGTATCTACCTTAATCTGAGCCGAAACATGGTGCACTCTCTTTGAAATAGAGTATTCTAAGGTAATTTCGCACAAACAAGGAAGATCTAGGGAATTTTGTAAGTCCTCAACCACACAAAAAGTAAAGAGCTTGAAGGATTTCTCATCTATTTCTCCGGAAGCAATGCAAATGATTCCCTCTTTCCCTAGATCATCTTCAAAAGAAGACATAAACTCAAAGTTCTCGAAAGTCTGACAGTCCATTTCTTCTTGAATCTCTAAGCTCTCTTTCAATTTATTCCAAAGTCTTTCAAACTCATCAGGTTCCATGAAAACTGACTGTTTAAGTCTTAAATTTGTGGATTTTCCTGATATTTTTGAAGAATTTCCTGTTATTGTCTTGATATTCTCAATACTTTTTGAATCTCCAAATTGAGCTTCTGTCTCATTGCATAGACAATGTCCAAAAAAATCAAACTTTACTCCCATTTGTTTATAATGTTCAGATACTATGGAGCATGTATTAAACTCTTGAAATAAGTTATCATTCTTCCATCTGAAAAAGTAGTCCTTAAGAATATAAATTGAAGGTGGATACTTTCCCTTAGGCATGTATTCTCCAGAGTCATCTTGGATGACAGTCCTCGCAATTTTGTAATCAAATTGGAGTAATCTGTAGTAAAATAGAGCCAAATCTTTGACATCTGGATAATCCATTCTTTCTATTGAAAATTCCAAAAGTCTACCTAATATTGGTCTCACATCTTCGGGAGAATCAAACAAAAGTCTACAACAACTTGTAATAAGAATACTAAACAAGTTGGATGGCCTATTTATTAGGCTTTCTATGTTGTCTGAATTCTTTTCAAATACATCAATCAGGTTTGTTATAATATAATCAAGAATCTCTGCCTTGTCACAATATACATAATCTGGGAATTTTGCCATAATCCACAAAAATGAACAAATTCCTCCAGTTTTAAAGCTAAGTTTCTCAATAAGGCTTATCTGGAAGTATCTTCCAATTAATTCTTCTATAGCCCAGGGAAAAGACTCTGAAACCAACTCCAGACCCATCAAAATTGGACTAAGTATCTGTTCTTTCTCTGATTCCATAAGATCTTTTGAAAAATTAATATAAGCTTTAATTATATGGTCATCCTTAAGTGTCTCACTAGGTTTCAAATCTTCTGGAGTACTATCTAGCCTAATTTGAATATACTTAATTATTAAAACTGACATTAAATAGATAGATTTATGTATTAGAGAAGGATTTCCAAGCTCATAAGAATAGTGGTAGAGCTCTTCTAAGATATATTTGGTGTTTTCTTCAGAACTTAAAAAAGGAATCAGATCCAGCTTAATATCTTGAATATAGTATGGATCTCCATTTCTTGACATAAGTAGTTTGTATTCATTATAATAGTAAGACAGTATTGAAGATGATGAATAAAAGGTTCTGTTTGGTTCTTCAATAAATATTCCATCTTTAGAATAATTTGAAAAGAATGAAAACAAAAGTCTCATATGAGAGTAAACTATCACAGAGATTTCTGGTATAGAGGTAGATGCATGAGTAAATAGTGGAGACTTAATTCTCTGTACTACTTGGGAGAATAACTTTGGATAAGCTTTTGTCAAAGAAATAAATATTTGAATGCTTATTAGTAATACATTTACACTTGAATGTCTGATTACTTCCTCTAAAGAATTTAAGATCTGAAAAACATCAGAAGAGGGTACCTGTTCTTCAATAGTAGATTCTAGAGGATATGGCTGATCTTGTTGAACTATACTTGAAAGATTTTGAAAGATTAGTTGTAAAATATGATACTGACTCCATTCATTGAAAGACTTAATATTGGTAAGAATCTTTAAGATAAATTGTTTTGTAAAAGTTGCTCCTCCTGTTTCTTTATTGATTTCATTTAAGACATAAACCAAATTAATTATTGTACTGGGATCTAACTCTGTGTCCAACATATAAGTTAGGGTTTCCAATAAATTAGTATTCAAAAAATTGTTTTTAGAATATTGAAAAAACTTGAGACATCCCATTACTGCAGTCTTTCTGACATATCCAACTGAATCATTGAGACCATTCCTTAGAATTGGCTCAATATATTCAATGGCTATTGGGATTTTTAGAGAAGAAAAACTTCTCAGGGCAAGACTCCTTATTACTGGGTCTTCATCCTCACTATCTTTCCTTAAAGTATTCACCATCAAAAGAGCAAGCTCTGAGTTTCTCTCAGCATAGTGAGTTAGATATAAGTATATGATTTTCTTCTCAACTTGGTCATGCGTAGCACTGGCAAGAATCATCAGACTATATAAGGAAGAGACGTCCACTCCCAAAGTCATAAGTGCAATGGCTTTCTGAAAAAGTTCAATTCTTTTTTCTCTATCCTTAATTAATGTAATATCCTGAAGTTTCTCGTACAAATCATTAACCTCTCCTCTTCTGTGATCCACAAATAGCTCGTTTTCATTTTGGTTTTCAATATTACCTTCAGCTGTAACTGCTGCATCTCCATAGTTAATAGAAACAACTCCTTTTCGCATCTATTTGGTGTGAAATAATTTGGGTCTTTTTTTTTGAGTTCCCACAAATTTACACAAATTTTTTTTTTTTGCTCTTCTGATTTCGCATACCGGCATTTTTAAATGCCGGTATAAGATTTTTAAAATAACAAAAAATTACGTGTACTGTGCCGGTATGGGCAAACAAAAATGAAATATATTAGTTTAATTTGATAGACAAAATTAGAAATAAGGTGAGCTTAAAAACTAAATAATGTAGTATAAGGTTTATAATTGAGTAAATATTTGATTCTTTTATAAAATTATTCAAAGACAAATTTCCGATATGTTTTGCAACATTAAAAACTTATATATTTCTTCATATTTGACTATTAGCAAATTAAATGTATAGATTTAAATGAAATCCCTATCTATTTGTTGACTCCACAGTTATATATCCTTTGTAGAATTATCTAGGAAAATTCTACAAAGTTACAGAGGTCGGTTTCATCATTGATCGTTCACTAGCAAGAAAACAGAAGAACAAAATCCCTAGAAAAACGTGAACCATCATCCAGATCATTATAAAAAATGTGACAGGGTTTGATAAAAAATATTCCGTCATTGTCTTTGTTGTATAGGTATCTGGATCTATTAGCTTTCTTTTTAAAGGCTGAGCAAGTACTTGGTGTAAAATTGACAATACCATATAAAAGTAGTAAACTCGAAAGATTTTACTCTTAAAAAAGTATCTAAAACCCAGATTTATGTTCATTTCTTTTCTTTTCTCTTATTTATTAACTTAACTAATTTACAGCTTTATTGGATTTTTTAGGTATCGAATAAACACTCTTTTGTGTGTAAAAATAACTTGGCGGAAAATAATTTAATTTATGTCAATATTACATGATAAAATGGCAATTTAAGTATAAATTTAAATAAGATCACAAAGGTTTATGAAAAAAATTTAAAATTATAAAAAAGCTACTTGTTTTAATTCTTTATTTAAAAGAACAAGTTGGATAAAACCATTAAAAATTCAGAATTGATTAATTTAAAAATTATTTTTGTAGAATAAAAAAGGCGTCGACCACAGGATTCGAACCTGTGCGCGGAGACCGCACTTGATTTCTAGTCAAGCCCCTTAACCACTCGGGCAGATCGACTCGTCACAGCGATCCGGGATAAAAAAGATTATAACATTATAACTTAGCTTAATACATCCAAGAATGTACGTAACTTGGACCAAATGAGTGTTCTTTTTGAATTAGGGACGTAAAAACAGGCCTCATCTCTGGCAGTATCGAAGATAACAAAGGAAAAGAAGCGAGTTAGTGCCCAAAATATTAGAGAAATGAGTAGGAATACGAAAATTGATCTTGAAAAGTTACTTCCTTCGTGCATAGTAACTTGTATTTGGTATCTTGCTGCCTCAAATTCCCTGTTTAAATCGATACTTTGTTCGACAGTTAGTGGTGTAGCTTCTGAATCACCACTGAAGTGAAACGTACTTTTAAATGAATTATTTAAAGTTGCTTTATCAACCTCTTTATGATGATTTTTTGTAGGATTATTTTTTGAAAAGACATCTTTCTTTTGAGTAACTTCTTCACTAAATAAAGTATCCCCATTTACTTGGGATGAAAGAGCAGCTGCATATTTTTCAACAATTGACTTAAATTTGGATGGAATGCTAACTTTTGAAGGGAGTTGTACGGAAGGTCTATTATGATCATAATCTTTAATATATTCAGAATTCAAATCAATATTAATAGGTTCTTCTAAAGATACCAAGTCATCACTATATTCTTTCTTGTTAGTTTTACTTTTAATAGCCTTTAGTTGTAATAGTGATAATGGTAAATATTGAAAATAACTATACAAATTCTGACGATTAATAATCTTTTGCATTAATGGGGAAATATTAGTAAACATAATAGGCTTAATCATTTCTTTGTATTCTTGGATAGTATATATATTTGTAACAATTTCAGAACTTGTGGATATGTGATTACTCAACTGTATAAGTGATAAAGCTTCTACTTGATATAAAGATCTATCTTTAATATTGATTGCTTCCATTTTAGAAATAGATGACTTGAGTTGCTCAACATACGCTTCTCCTTTATATAAAGGTGATTTAGGATCCATTCTTACTTCATTGCACATAGGACATAACAAAGGCATTGGACCTCCAATAATTATATCGAGGTTTTCACCAATTGTAGGATCTTCAACAATTTCTGTTGGAAAATGTTTAAAGTTTTTTCTCAAACTACATTCTAAATGCCTTCCAAAAATTCGATAATCTTTTGCACATTTATTAACCCATATTCTGCAATTCTGTACTTTATTTCTTTCAAACCTGACTAGCCTTCTATAACAAGCTCCACTGGTTGTGATATATACAAATGGCACAATCAAAAGTAGAATAAAGAACAAATTCAAAACACGAATGATGATTGGTAATATCTTGCAACAAAAACCCAATACTCTTGTTCTTTTTGACGGGGAGAAAAAGTAGCTTCTTGGTATTCTGCTGAAAAACTTAAAACTGAATCCCAAAATAAATGATAATAACGAGATTGCCAAACTTATTATTGAAAGGGAATAAATTGAATATATTAATAATATATAAGATCCTGGAATTGGGATCATGTTAAACATTGGAGTAATCCCACAATGAGTGAATGAACTTCCTGGATCGTTGGGGTCGTTCACAAAATGATCATAATAGTTATTATTTGGGTTTGAGTTGGCTATAAATCTTACAAAAATGAGTGCTCCCACTCCATAAAGTAAATATATAGAAGACTGAAAATGATGCCATTCCTTTAGCCTCCAGCTTTGTCTACCCTGCCTAAAATCCTCCACCCTTATTTTAAAGCTTTTTTTTATTCTTTCAAAAATTTCGTTACCTTTCATATTGTTTGGACATTTATTTAAAATATGAGTTTTTTTCTTAAATTGCAATATCTTTGACCTTTTGACATTTTGCGGTCACCCTATGCACACTTAATCAAAAACACCAATTTTGGGTGTTTAACCAATTTACCTGTTTATATTCGTTAATTTAACAACTTTTCTTCTGCTTTTAATTTAACCATACAAAAAATAATCTCAGCTCGATATTTCTTTTTACAGTAATATTTTATTCCTGACCCGCCATATATTGTTTCCCATTTTTATTTTATTAAATAATCAATTTTAACTTTTACTTTGAAGTTAAATTTTAAAATAACTGAAATAAATATGATTATTCTCACTTTCAAAACTCTCTCTCACATTATTCACTAGTAGTTACTAATTAAAATATAATCATTTCTATTTCTTAAGTGTTAGTATGACTGATAACTGTGCATGTGACAGTAATGCAAAATACAAAGCAGAATTCTGTCCACATAAACTTATTACACGTAACAAAACACCGGTACTAAATCCGCATGCAACCAATTATACATGAAAACATGCAAAGAAAACAAATAAATACATATAGAAGAGAAAAAAAATTATTTAATACAAAACTTGGATCATTAAGTAATAAAACAATAAGTAATCTAAGCCAAATTAAGAATAAAATTGTTTAGCTGATTCTTTTACTTAAAAATCACAAACAAAAGAACGTTAAGCATGAAATTATCTCGATCATAAGTAATTAATCGGTCGAGAAAGTACTAAGAGGAAAACCAATAAAAGTTAAGCTGTAAACGTGAAACTATTTAAATCTTCAATAAATCAGTAGTAATTAGTGGTAATATTCTCTCACTTTCCTTCAGTCCAAAAATCTCCATCCCTACCATTTGAACCAAGTAAACTTGGATGAAATAGATTCCAAGAGTTATTTGCAGCATCAATCTTTAAGTTATTAACATCTGATCTATTGTATAAATTATTAACATCCCTTATTCCCATTTTATCATGACTAGGAATATTATCAATAAAATCAAACTCATAATCATCAAAGTAGTTATTTGATAGAAAAAGTTGAGAATTTGGAGTAATTTTAACTTCATTCTGACATCTAATTGAATCTTGGTGAGATGCCAAAGGAATAGAACTTGAATTTAAATCTCCAGAAAAGTTGCATTGATTAAGACATGTGTTTGAATCTCTATTTTGTTGAGTATTGTAAATCCCTGTAACTCCGAAAGCAGGATTTGATAAACTCCAATCAGAGTCATTGTTATTTGTCTCTAGTAACTTTTCTGAAGAGTCTGACAATGAAAGTAGCTGTAGGTGCATTAAATAAGACATCTGTTCAACACTTGTCCCATTTCCATAATCATCTATATTACATATAGGTTCCTGCTGAACCAATTTGTTCTTCTCGTAATCTATTAGCCTACCACTTAATAAATTCTTATTTTTATCATAATAGCCACTCCATGCAAATCTTCCAAAATCATAGTTTGGTAATAGAGACGATGGATCTGTATTATCATTGAGTCCTTCATTACATGGAAAGTTTAAACCTATTGCATTATAAGGAGGTGGAGGAATATTTACATTGTCTCTCGCATGTACAATGTCGTCTCCATCTAGTACTTTAGGAAACGCACTTCTTGGATTTGGAGAACATGTAATCCTATCAACTTCTTTTCTTTGAAAATCTCTATTAACAGCTTTACGAGTATCATTTTTAAGCCCGGTCGTAACAACATGATTTTGAGAATGTGTAGGAGTATCACATCCTGTCGATGGTGTAACAGGTAATTCATTTGTGTTGTTAACTGGTGTCAACTCTCCTTTTAATAGTTCATTACTTAAAAATTGTCTATTTTGATTATTAGAGCTGGCTTTGTTATTAAAACCATTTCCTCTACCATTCTTTTTAGGTGAGTTGTTTGTGCTTGAAGATGTTTGAGATTTGTTCTTTATGGAATATTTACTGTTTGGATTCCTCGTTGTTGGGTCCATTATGGGAGCCAAGTTTGAGACGGCCATGTTAGAATGTAATGGAGAATTTGATGGAGATACTGAGGAAATTGAATTGTTATTTATAGTAGTTTCCTTATTCTTTATAATTATTGGATCATTCAAATCTTCGGATAAATCAATTTCGTTAAATTTATTGCAATCATGAACTAGTCTTTGACGTTCAATTACTTCTGGTCCTTGAACTGGATCGAATTCTATAGTTTCTGGATTTCTTAACTCATCTAAGCCATGAGCAAATGGACAATAATGCTTTGTACATAGTGGATATTCGCGACATAATTGAGTTTTATATACTAAAACATGGTACATTTGCTCTTCTTTTGTATGAGAAAACATACACATTCTGCCTCTTTGGCAATAATTCTTAACACGCATTTTTTTATTCTCATTCTGGAAGACCACATTAGGACATAAATTTGGTCTGTAAGCATATTCATAAGGATTTCTACGATGCCAGGAAAGACAATGTGAAAAAGGGCATCTCTCATCAAGCTCGCATACTCCATGTAAAGCCTTTCTCTCACATATTCTCGTCCTGAAACGAGAAAGTTCAGTCATACTCATATTTTGACTTAATGGCATTTTTAATAACCCTCCTATTAATTAAGAATAATATTATTTGATGAATAATAATAATAAACTTGGATATTAAATAGTCGAAGCTCAATTGTTGACAATATATATAATTTGTTTCTGTAAAGAAAGTTTTCGGTCAAGGAACATAATATTACACTTGGAAATGTTATATTTAAGCGTTAAGTAGTGAATTCTTACTCCTCGTCTCAAAGTTGTCGGAAAAATTTAAATCGACTTTTTTGTAACGTGATAGTTACCCTACAGGATTATTTTTCGACCGACGATTTTATGTTATGTCTCATTAAAATGTCAGATAATAACACGTATAGTGCGACCTAGGCAGTTATACTGGTCCATAGTTATCCTGTATCGTCCATTATAGTCTAATTATACATATCCAAGATTGGAGAGACGCGGGAAGCTTATGTGACGTATTGTTTATTGTGATTTTTGAGGAACAAATCAGTGTTTGTCTATTGTTGGATATCAAGTTATACGTACTGTTTATTTTGTTAATTTGAATAGAGGAATTTTTATTTTGGTGTGAATATATATTTTTTTCTCTAAAGGATATCACTCTTTGATTATTTGAAACTAATTTGCAGTTTAGGCGGCAAATAGTATTATTTAAAAAAATAAATTAAATAATTTATATTAATAGAAAAGTAATTATAGCTTGCATAGAATTGCGCACAAACACAGGGTAGGATATTTTAAAAATGTTGAGGTGCGAGTTTGAGGTTTTTGGTAAAGTTCAGGGTGTCTCCTTCAGGAAATACACATTTCTTAAGGCTAATGAACTTGATATTTTTGGGTGGTGCAAAAACACTTCTTCTGGTACTGTAATTGGCGAGCTTGAGGGAGATGAAGATTCTGTTCTCAAAATGTAGGTTGAATTATGTGAATACTAGAATTGAATTAATTTCAATTTTTAGGATTGATTTTTTGAAAAAAGAGGGTAGCCCTGGTTCTGTAATTAATAAATGTGTGGTTTCGAATAGTCAGACCGTGACAGAACACGTATTCGACTCATTTAGAATAAAAATGTGACATTTAGGTTTGAGGAGTATTTTCTTTATTCACTTCTAATATTAGATTCATGGAAAGGACTATCAATAATGCTTTAAATTCCAGCTCTTATTAATTTGTAGTTTCTTGCCTTTCCATACTAGAAGATTGAATTGAGAAACCAGAAACCAGATGCAGATAGTTTGTTTGACAAATTTTACGGACTATTTACACTTTCAGTACAACCTTTTTTGGACTTCCCGCCTATTTATGTATAAATTACATGCAGTGTATTTTTATAGTCTACTTTGCAGGAACTATTTGAGGTGGGGAAATAAGAAATTAGAATAGAGTTTTTGCGAGTTAAAAAATATGGTTAATAAAGAGTAGTGTTACATAAACATTTAATTATATGAGAATAATAAGGAAAGTGGCAAAAATGGGAATTTAGGTAGAAAAAAAAAGTGAAAATTTGCTTATTTTTTTTAAAACGTATTTTTAAGGAGGTAAAACATATGATTATTAAATGCATGCAAAATAATTAGTATTACATGCAGGAAATTATATTAGAGTGTGTATTAAGATGCTTAGATAAATAGAAATTAAAGTCTAATAATTATTTATTTTTAATGTCTAGAATTATTGGTTTAAGCAAATTAGTGGATATATATATAAAGCATTAAATAGAGTATTATTATAGGAAATAAAAGCAATTCATATTAATATGAATAATTCAGGGAGAGAATTACTGGTGGGGGAAGAAGTGGAGAACGAGCAAAGCCAAATAACAAAATTAATAAACTGTGGAATGAGTGCATTTAATGAGTTAGTTATTAAGCCATGTAGAGAAAACATTTTCTTACTGGTTTGTATGACGAGCCTCTTAATTTCGTCAGTATTTAACTCTGTATTCTTTAAGAAAATGACATCAGCAATGCCAAATCATGTCTGGTTTTTAACGCAACTAACTTCTGCTTTATATATTCCATTATTTGGATTTGTAATACTGGTATCCTACTTTCGAGGTGAGCTTTCAAGAGAGAATTTGGAATTTCCAATGTCAAAATTTTGGATGATGGGATTTTTTGATGCATTTAGCAGTATCTTAACTTTACTTGCAAGTACTCACACATCAGGAGTAATGCAGGTAGTTCTTGGGCAAATGTGTACCCCAATAACTTTGATAATGCTTTCGTCGATATGTAAGGATCGATTTCATAAGTTACAATATATTGGAGCTACTACTATGGTGATGGGTATATTTATAGTAAAATCAACATTACTATTTGGAATAAGAGAAGGAAATACAACAGAAAACTCAAATAAGCTGGTATTTAACATTTTATTTGTAATTGCATGTATACCAGCTTCAGCAAGTTCAGTTTATAAAGATCTTTCTTTTAGAAAATATTCTTCTTTAAATGAGAATTATCTACAGTTTTGTGTTGCAGCCACTCAAGTAATCATAGGATTTTTCTTGGTACCAATCAACAGTTTATCTATACTCGGCCCCTTGAAGATAGAGATGAATCAAATTCCTTCTCTTTTGTTTAATGGTGCCAAGTGCCTATTTTTAAAGAAGAATTCTATCACTGATAGTTGCGGGGAAGAGTTACAAAGACCATGTGATGATTGTAGCTTCGTGCAATTTCCAGTCTTAATGTATTTAATTGCAAATGTAATTTGTAATGTTTTTAGTGTATTGGTATTGAAATATGGGACCGCTTCATCAGGATTTATCGTTTCAACTCTAAGATTACCTGTTACTACTTTAGTATTCTTTTCCCCAAAATTGGTGGGGAAAGATGCAACTGAGCCAAAATTAGAAGACCTAATTGGGGTTCTTGTCTTGATTGTGGGACTAGTACTCTACAGACTTGGGTCTTTGAAAATTAGTCAGGAAGAAGAAGACATTCAGGCGGAAGAAAGATTAGAAGACAATTACTACGAATTAAGTTCAATGACATATTCCAAAGAGACACTAAATAAAATAAAAAGTAACACTTCATCAACCACTTGTTCTTTTAATATAGAATATGACTCATCTCATTTTCATAGTTCATAATTAATTAGCAATTATTTCCAAAATTTAATTCATTTTAAAATATTAAAAACTATTATTATCTTAAATACCATTTTAATTTCTTGGTTTCTCTACCTCTAACTTATTCATAGAAAATTCTCAATTTATTTCATGTGGATGAATTAAGTATTTTTTGTATACCGGAGTTTGCATGCATTTTTTTGTATGACGAAAATGTAAAATATACTTGCATGTAATTATGTGGGCATGTCATAATTTTTCAAGAATAATAGAAAGATGGTATTTCAGGACATTCTAATAAATTTGATGATTATATATCGAAGTTAATTTAACTTGTAAATAATTAAATAAAATGGACATAGGGAACAACGTGGAAGAGCACCAAGAATATATTTCTGGGCCATACATTGCATTAATTAATGGCACAACTCAACAAAGAGAACCGAACAAAAAGTTGAAAAACATAATAGTTGCAACATTAATTGCAATATTTATTGTTTTGGTCGTCACTATATCTTTGTATATTACCAATAATACTAGCGACAAGGTGGATGATTTTTCACCAGGGAATTCTGTTGATCCAACAACTAAAGAATACAGGAAAAGCTTCGAAGAGTTTAAAAAAAAATATCATAAGATTTACGCTTCAAAGGAGGAGGAAGATCGAAGGTTTGAGATTTATAAACAGAATATGAACTTTATTAAAATTACCAATAATCAGGGGTTTAGTTATCTCTTAGAGATGAACGAATTTGGTGATTTGTCAAAGGAGGAATTTATGTCAAGGTTCACAGGATACAGAAAAGATTTGGATGATAATGAGGGGAGGTTTAAAGCAAGTAGAGTGTCAGCTATTGAATTTGAGGAAGATTTTGCTATTCCAGATTCAGTCAATTGGGTGGAAGCTGGGTGTGTCAACCCAATAAGAAACCAAAAGAATTGTGGATCTTGTTGGGCTTTCTCTGCAGTTGCAGCATTAGAGGGAGCTATATGCGCCCAAACAAATCAGGGATTACCAAGCTTGAGTGAACAACAATTGGTTGATTGCAGCAAAAAAAACGGCAACTTTGGATGCAGTGGAGGAACAATGGGATTGGCTTTTCAGTATGCAATCAAGAATAAGTACTTATGTACTAATGATGATTACCCTTATTATGCTGAGGAAAACATATGTAGGGAGTCACTTTGTGAGAATTATGTCGAAGTTCCAGTAAAAGCTTACAGGTATGTATTTCCAAGAAATGTTAATTCATTAAAGAGTGCTTTAGCTAGATATGGACCAATTTCTGTTGCAATTCAGGCTGACCAAACCCCTTTCCAGTTTTATAAGAGTGGAGTATTTGATGCTCCTTGCGGGACTAGGGTTAATCATGGTGTTGTTTTAGTTGGATATGATATAGATGAGAATACTAATAAAGAATATTGGCTTGTGAGAAACAGTTGGGGTGAGAAGTGGGGAGAAAAAGGATACATTAAGCTAGCTCTTCATTCTGGTAAGAAAGGAACTTGTGGGATATTGGTTGAACCTGTATATCCAGTGATTAGTCAATCTATTTAAATGAGATCATAATTGGCCAAAACAACCTAAAATATCAAACTAAATACTTTTATTACAACAGACAGATTTGAGTCCTGAAAAGCATTCTATTCATTTAAACTTTCCAGATTTAATTATTTATTCGATTTTAATGGTAAATTTACAAACTTATCAATGCAAAAGACAATTGATTGTATATTACTGGAAGTTCATAAAATTCATTCCTTTGAATCCTATTGTTTCAAAATTTTGAAGAAAGTAAATATGTAATGATAAAAATCCTAAATAAATGACGAATTTCCTTTTATAAATCATTTTATTGTTAAATGTTACATTATTCAATTTTGCCCCTCCGCATGGTCTGCTGCATGTAAGTGAGTACGTAAAGTATATTATACGTGAAAGTTTTTATTGACCACATAAAAAAAATAAAATATAAAAAGCAAAAATAATTATTAGGAATTAAAAAGGTAACATTCAGGTATAAATATATGTGTAGTATGGATAATTAAAACCATTAAATGATTAAGTTAGGAAGGAAATGAAATGCTTGGATTGAGACATTAAATTAAAATTGAAAATTTACATAATAAAAAGTAAAAAGCCATGAAAGATTCATTTAAAGTAACTAAAACACGTCAAAAGTGCATAAATTTGACAGAAGCTCATTTCAAAGAGATCATTTCGGAGTTGGAAAATGCTGCTCAGATCATCACAAGTCAGAAAAATGAGATAGAATCTTTGGAGATGGCATTAAATGCCTCCAAAGATGAGATAGAGCTTTTACAAAAAAGTGATAGGGCTTTAAAGAAAGAGAAAAAGAAGCTAGCGATGGATAATCAAAAAATCTCAAGCGCATTAAATAGTGAAATTGAAACACTTAAAATGGAATTACAACATTCACAAAAACAGGTAGAGGTTTGGAAAGGCCGAACAAATGAATCAAAAGCTTCTTTAAGAAAGTTCTTGGAATCAACAATAATGGATTCTGGTGAAGATTCGATTAATAATGGAACATACATAGAAAGTTATGAAAGTACAATAATGAATTTAAAGAATCAATTGGATGAACGATTATTAAGAGTAGAGCAATTGGAGATGAATTATCAAAATGTTAGTTTGGAAAGAGACGAGCTTTCTAGTGAGGTAGCTAATTTGAGGGCCAAGAATAAGTCAAATGAATATGAATTACGTGAATTAAGAGAGAAACAAAGAAAGGAAGAAAATGAAAGAAAACGTTTTAGTATGCGTGAAGAGAAACTATCTAACGAAATTGATAGTTTATGTAAAAAATACAACACGGAAATTGATGAGCTCCAAAAAAAGAATAACTTATTAAATGATGAGATATGGGAGCTAAATCGTACTATTAAGAGTAATAATAATAGCATTAAGGAATTACAAGATCAGAATTCCAATAATAAAAAGTATTATGAATACTACATTGCAGGTAAAAAAGTAGAAGATTTTATTACTAGCAAGATTTCAGATTTTGAATCTTCTGTAAGAGTACAATTAACGGCTTTAACAAATTTGGTACATAAATTTGAAAAGAATAGAATGACAAAAATGAGTCATTCATTTAAGGGACAAAATCCTGTTTATACAAGAAAAAATGCATTAACAGAGATTCAATCATTTTCCCCTGTTATCCTAAATGATAGCGGAAAGGCAGATACTTCTGATATGGAAGAAATTAATCCAGGAAGAAGGAATCAAGAAAATTATTCATCTACTTTGAGATTATTTGAAAACGATGATTCTCTGATAAATAATTCAATAACAATAGCAACAACTGCATCTTCTGGAATAATTACAGCTAATAACAGTCAATGTGTGAGCAATAACAATTCAAACTCCCCTTATATTATGCCGAAATCACATACAAAGTCTGTAGATTTGAATTCTCTTAAAGGTTCAAATGTTGTCCAACAGAATGATTCTAGTAATATTGAAAATTTTTCTTATCAAGAATTGACCGAAAACATTCCCCCAAATTATTCAGAATTAGTAAAGGAAACAATGAAAGTCTTAACTCAAGCCTCCAAAGATCACCAAGCTATTCTAGAGAAGATTCAGTACCTCTCAGATAATATGGATGATGAACAGGTAATCAATCAGACTCAATATTACCAAAATAGCAACAAAGGCATAAAGAGTGAAGAAATTTTTAATAATGAGAGTGCTTACTATTCAATTGGTAATGAAGAAATTTGTATTAATAAAAAACGACCAATTGAAGATGACAATTGTTCAGAATCTAGTGTAATTTCATTTCTAAGTGAGCTTTAATAGAATATATAAAAAGATTCATTTTGTGATAATTAGAAATATATATGCATCAAGTGAGTCAATACAATACACACCATCATTATATTAGATGATAAATAAATTTACATATATTTTCTTTTATTCTTTATCTTAAAGCTTAACTTGCTTGTTATTCTCTAGTTTTAATGCCGGGCCCTAAGCCGGCACATCAAAAATTTGGGCGGGCGAAATGTGGCGCCTCCCACCGCTGTTAAGGACGGGATAGTAGTAATTATGTCATAGTTGACAGGAAGAAAACAAGTGAAAGGAATATAATATGGACCATAAGAAGAGAAAATTGGAGAATGAGATAGATGGCTCAATAGACCGGTTCCCATTGAGCGATGAGAGTAGGGAGATTTTGAGAAGTAGAGGTATAGAAAGATTATTTCCAATACAAGCTCAGTCTTTTGAGTCTATTTATGATAAGAAGGATGTATTAGGAAAAGCAAAAACTGGAACAGGCAAGACATTGGCTTTTGTTCTTCCAGTAATTGAGAGGTTGTTAAAGAAGGGTAAATTTGACCCAAACAAGCATGGAAGGCGTCCATTAGTTTTAGTTTTACTTCCAACAAGAGAATTAGCACAACAGGTATCAAATGAATTTGAATTGATGAAGGGGAAGGATAGATATAAGGTATGCAGTGTATATGGGGGCTCTCCTGAATATCCTCAGATTCAAGAAATAAAGAAAGGAGTAGATATTGTTGTGGGATGCCCAGGAAGAGTTTTGGATTTTATTGAGCGTGGTATTTTGAATGTTAGTAAAATATCGGTATTAACATTAGATGAAGCGGATAAAATGTTGGAAATGGGATTTAAAGAGACAGTTGATAAGATTATTGATTTTGTTAGAAAAGAGACTGGAGATCGAGAAATGCAGAATAAACAAAATAAATTTCAGGTGTTATTGTTCAGTGCTACTGTACCTCCATGGGTAAAGAATATCTTAACTGAAATTATGTCAAGTGACACAGTAACTGTGGATGTAACTCATATTTCAATTCATGGAGAAGAAGAGGATGAGGCAGCCACTAGAAGTAGAGTTAGACATTTAGCAATACAATGTGCTTATCCTCAAAGAACCGGATTGTTAGGGGATATTATTACAATGTATGCAGGTATTAGCGGTAAATGTATTATATTCACTGAGACAAAACAAACTGCTAATGAAATAGCAATGAGGAGTGAAATTAGTAAGATGTGTCAAGTTTTACATGGTGATATACAACAAAACCAAAGAGAAATTGCTTTACAAGCTTTTAAAGAAGGAAGGTATCGTTGTTTAGTGGCAACAGATGTTGCAGCGAGAGGATTACATATTGATGATGTTGCAGTGGTAATACAATTAGCTCCTCCACGTGATATAGATACTTATGTACATAGATCTGGAAGAACAGGAAGAGCTGGAAAATTTGGGACTGCTATCATGTTTTGTAATATGTCAGATTATCCATTTTTATCAAGCATTGAAAGAGCTAGTAAGATAAGTTTTCAAAGAATTGGAGTACCCCAATATGAGGAGATTTTGCAAAAGACTGCAGACTCTATAGGTAAGGATCTATTAGAAAAAGAGATACCTTCAGCAATGTTGGATTGTGTTAGAGACCCTGCTAAACATATTATTCAAGGTTTATGGAAAAAGCTTACAGGGAAAACATCTAGAAAAAGGCATAGATCTGGGAATTCTGATGATGAGGAGACTGAAGCTGAATCAAATATTAATGATAATGATATAGATGATGACATGCCAGAAATACCGGATTGTGCTGTAAGAGCTTTAAGCCATTGCTTATTAGAGTTAACAGGTATAAATAATGATTTAAAAAAGATTCCTTATCGTTCAGTATTGAATGGTAGAGAAGATTTCAAGAGTTATATTATTACTTTTAATAGACTTAAAGAACCAATTGCAAGTAATAGCTATGTTTGGAGGTGTTTAAAAAGCAACTTGAGGGGTTGCGAAAGTTTAATAGAAAGAATACAATGTATGACATTATTGAAGAAAGGGGATGGAGCAGTTTTTGATGTTCCACTGGGATCAATTAGGCAGTGGGAAAGTGCAATTTCTGGCTTTACCCCAAAAATGAATAGTAATTCAGGTTTCTTCCAGATTGTTCCAGCTACAAGTAATTTACCAGAGTTATCAATTCCAGTTACTGACACTAATGCAGATTTTGGCCACAATGGTAGAATGAATAGCCAACATATTTCAAATAAGGTCGGATATAGACAGTCCAGGGGTTCCAGAGGAGGAGGAGGAGGAGGAGGAGGATATACTTCAAGAGGAGGCTCAACCTCAGGAGGTTCTAGAGGTGGGCTTTCAAGGGGGGGAAAACGTTTTTAAGTAAAAGATTTAAGTATTTTAAGAATAATAGAAAAAAGAATTGACATAAAGAAAGATAATTAGAGAATTGATCTAGTTTTTTCTTTGCTAATTTTTTTTCTTTTGATTTTTCCTATTTAATTATTTTAGTATCTATATTATAATACGCATGCAGTGCAAATTTTTACTGCATGCAAACATATACCGGTGTTAAATTACGTGTGATTATCTGTCCACATGCGAACAACTCCACTTTGGCATAGTGAAGAGAAAGAACTGAGATTTTGGTTGAAATGTACGTGGTGGATAATGTCGGGAGAATTATTATTTGAGATATTGGAAAAAGATGAGATAAGTTGTATTTTGTGTTTATTGAAGAGGGAGAATATTGAGAAGTGATTATCACTTGAACAGGAGGCGTATTTTCCGCTTTCATCTATATGCAGAATTAAGTTGGAGCTTCCAGGGAGTGTGGAAAGTTCTAGAGAATCTAGAATAGCAGATTTTCTGAGGTCCCACAAGTGGATTTGATTATCAAGGGAAGTAGAAAGCAAGTAGTAACCATTATTGGAGAAACAAAGGCTAGAGTTCCTGTTTATATTTGGGTTGGTAAGTTGATTATTGTTTCTGAAAGAATATTCGAGGGAAGAAGCTTTTTCAACGTTTCTTATATCCCAGATATCGATAAGGTTTCCACTTGGTGCGATTCCACCCAGAATAAGCCCGTCAGGGTGTGGTTTAAGTTGTGAATATGAGTGATTTTGCTCAAGTTTATGAAGAAGAAGCTGTTTTCTGGATTCCAGGTCAAACATAGAAAACAGCCCTTTATTTGAGGAGTTTGCAATTATGTGTATTCCCATAGGATGCTTTTCAAGAGAGTCAATAACTAGATCGGATTCAAATGAAGAATTGAAATCCATAAGTAAGTGGGAGTTAAATGACTTATCGTCTTCTTGGTTCCTGGAGAAGATATGAATTTTGCTTGAGTTTTGGAAGCAGGCAAGAACATTTAGAGGAAGTTGGTTAGTACTTTGTGAGGAATAGTGATCTCCTGAGAATTTTCCGATCACAGAAATAGAGACAGCCTTTTCACAGTTTTGCGGATAGCTTATAGGGATAGAAGATACCTCTTCAACATCAAAGTCAACACACGAGACAAGGATCTCACCGTTTTCCATTCCAGAAACATAAATTTGGTCATTGAAAGCTACTCCAACCTCCAGCTTGGAACTACCTTTAAGTTTCACTTCTTTCTTTAAAGAGAACTCTCTGACCTGCTCAGCAGGTTTAAGGTCTGGGAAAGACTGCCTTTTCCGGATCGGCCTCATTTTTTCAGAATATTCGGTAAAAAGATTCTCAATATTCTTTGGAATATCAACAAAGTTCTCCTGGGCTCTAAATCTTTTTCCTCCCCCACTTGGAAGACTTTCATTATTGTTTTCATCTTTTTCATGAATACTATTTTCAATTTCAGCCAACCTATTGATAGCTTGGTCCTTTTCTCTGGTAATTCTGGCAATCACTCTGCAGGCAGCATCATGTTGATAAAGGCTGTGAGTTAGTTGTGCTTTTGCCTGCTCAAGTTCAGATCTAAGTTCGAACATCTCCATTGCCATTGCGTCCCATTCAGTTCTGAGAGAGTCAAGAATGCCTGGAATACTTGTATTCTTAATTAGTCTTGGTTTGAAACTACTTGTGGACTTAACTTGAATCAAGTCATCCAAAGAAAGTTCGCTCTTTGTAATTGGACAGCTGTTGTTACATCTTATGTACTCTTCTATGAGTTTTCTTTCAAAGACATACCCGGTTTTTGAGATCACGGGATCTTCAGGAGTAATTCCTGAAATTGAACAAATCAGTGACATAATTATCAACCTTATAAAAACCTGGGATAAACAAATTATTTGATATAATTCCAGCTAATGTTATAAATTTCCAGTAATATATTCAATATATATAAAATTTGTTTAACTTCCAGAGTAGTACTTTAACTACAAAAAAAAACTAAACACTTGCTATAATCCACTCCTTTTAAACAAAAACCCAATTTTATTTCTCTAAATTTTACTCGTTTGCCTCTAATTAACCTTCCTTTTCCTTCCTGAATCTCAATGTTCACTATTAAATGTTATCTCAATTTTTTTCTTCTTTTGTGATCTCCAATTTTTTCTCCTTTATTTTTTGACTCCAAAATTCCCGCCTAATTGTGGGGCGGTACCGGTATTGAATTTTTTAATTCAAAAAACTGCATACCGTCATGCATGCAAAATCGTATTCGAGCATGTGGATGCAAAAAATGGTAAACATGCAAAAAGACACTGGTGCGTAGAAAATGTAGAATTTTGACAGAAAGAGTCAAAGGAGATTTTTTAAAGAAAAATTCATTGGAAAAATAGAAAATAAGTTCAGAAGAGGAAGTTAGTAACAAGAGTACAATAGGTTGTGGAATTTCAGATTCAAGAATTCTACAAAGATAAGTAGCAATAAGTCAGGAATTGAATGATGATAAGCTAAAGTTTAAAAAAGGAGTTTCAACTTGAAGAAAAGTATAGTACAAGGAGGAGAAAATAAGAATATATATACATATATTTAAAAAGTAAATAAGAAGTAGGCCTAAAAGATGCAAAAGACGAATATTTTGAGGCTATTGCCATACATATTGGTACTTCTTGGAAATAAAGCTTTCTGTAATATATTTAATACAAGTTCAATTTCAATTAATGTAGTAGAAGGTAGAAGTTCAGATTTAGAGTTGGTCATAAAAAACCCAGCAGACCACTCAGCAACTCCAGAAGTTCAAATAATTGAAAAGATATTTAGTCCATATATTATGAAACAGCAAAAACCTCCAGCAGATGATGAACAATACGAACATATGCTTGGAGAATTCTCAGAAATGGAAAATTATGATGATGAGGACCATGATGAAGAGCAAAATCAGCGAATTAATCCAGAAGGAACACCCAAAGGTCCAGGAAGCAGAACTAAGGGTATTCCAGGAAGATTAATCATTAAGTACAAAGAGAAAGTTTTAAGTAAAGCGGTAAAGGAGCTGAGAGTTGCAGGGATTATGTCAAAGAATGGACAGTATCCAAAATTGGATGGTGTGGCCTTCTTGACAAGAGTTGTTTCAGCTTTATCAGAGTCTGCTGATGAGCTCGTAGGAATTAAGTCAGCCACAGTCCTGGAAGCTCTCGACATGATGATTGTCGAAGTATTTAATAACTCCAAGGCATCTGAGTACATCTCAAAATTGTCTGCAAGCCTTCTACATAGTGACGAAGTAGAATATGTGGAACCAGACCAAGAAGTCAGGTTAGCAGATTTTGGCATAAGTTCAGATTCAGGAGCTGTTTATCCAAATGACCCTAAGTTTGGGGAACAGTGGGGGATGTATAACAGGGTTGCAAATACTGATTCAAAAGTTTTAATGGCCTGGAAACACTTGGGAATTAATACCTCAGCACCTAAAGGACCAGAAGGATATTATACTTCAGAAAACCAACCAAAAAGGGAAGTTATTGTTGCAGTAATTGATACTGGAGTGGATTTTACTCATCCAGATTTAGTAGATAATATGTGGATTAATGAGAAAGAGTTATATGGGAGACCAGGAGTGGATGATGATATGAATGGTTATGTTGACGATATATATGGCTATGATTTTGCAAATAACAGAGGAGCACCAGTTGATGATGAAGGACATGGTACCCATTGTGCAGGTACAATTGCAGCAAAGGGAAATAACTACGAAGGGATTTCTGGGATTAACTGGAAAGGAGTTAAAATTATGGCTCTCAAATTTCTTAGAGGAAATGGTATTGGCTTTCTTAGTGATAGTGTTAAGGCTATTAACTATGCCATAAAAATGGGAGCCAATATTCTATCCAATAGTTGGGGAGGAGGATCTTTTTCCCAAGCTACTTATGATGCCATTAAAAGAAGTATTGACAAGAATATGCTGTTTGTGGTTGCAGCAGGAAATGATAGGAATAACAATGACATTAGGCCAACTTATCCATCAGCTTATCAGCTTCCAAATGTCTTGTCTGTAGCCGCAATAGATATACATGGGAGACTTGGAGTCTTTTCAAATTATGGACATAGAAGCGTAGATATGGCAGCTCCTGGAGTAGATATCTTATCTACTAGTTCAAATAAAGGTTATAAGAGATTGTCAGGAACTTCTATGGCATGTCCATTTGTTTCAGGAGCTGCTGCTTTACTATATGCTTTTGATCCAAGTATGACTTTTGACCAAGCAAAAACACTTATCTTAAAATCAGTAACAGTACTTCCAACACTGAGAAATTCTGTTCGTACTTCTGGAACATTAAACATCTATAGAGCCGTTCAGATTATGAGCCAAGAAGCATATAACCAGGAAAATGGTAAAGAATCTCCCAGAATGGGTATTTCTTGGATTACTTTCAAAGCTCCTGATACTATTGGGCCTCAATCCAGTTCTACACTTAAGCTTAAAGCTTATGGAGAAAAACCTGGGTCTTTTACATCTACTTTGGTTGTCAAATTGTTAGATTCTAATGATCGGGATGTTACTTTGGCTCAAGGGAGACTTAAGACAATCATTAATGTTGTAAGTATACCAAAACCCAAGGCAATTCTACCAAATGGAAATAGTACAAACCTTGGATTATCTTTCATGGGATTAGAAGGAACAAAAACCTTAATTCCGATTTCCAACTCAGGTATCGGTACCTTAGAATATATGGCTGAGTTTGTAAATATGGAAGGAGAATTAGGATCTAAAAAAAAAGGAAAGTTTAAAGTATATCCACCTTTGGGTACCATACTTACAGTAGGTGAAGACCAAACAAATAAGGATCTTCAAGTTAGTTGTATTCCTAATTCCCTAGAAGGGTTTATTAGTGGTCATTTAATGTTGAGATATAATAAGGGAGGAATGTCATCTTCATCCTCTTCAACAAATAAGATCTCTGCTAAGTCTACAAAGATCCCATATGTTAGAAGTAATTTATTTACCGAGACATCTTCTATAATAAATACCCTATCAAGTAATATAATACCTCCAAATGGCAACTATGCCTCTTTATCATCGAGCTCATTCCCAGTTGGAACTGAAAGATTAGCAATTAAACTTTACTGTAAAGGATATGGTATAGAAGTTAGGCCTCCTTCCATAAACAGGGTAATTCGAATTCCAGAGACGACAATTTCTGGCTATTTAATATTTAAGGGACTAGAGAATTCATTCAAACCAAAAGTCTACTTAAGATTTAAGTCTTTAAGGGACCCAAGCTCATCAAGGTTTGAAAGAGAAAACAATAAAAAAGATTATCTCAGAAATATTATTCCAATTAAAGACTTATCTCCCTCAAAATCCTACTTTAAGATGATCCTCTCTGGAGAAGATCTTCCTGCGAAAAAAAGAATCATTCATAGACTGGAAGGAATGGATTCTGAGGAAGGAAAAACTAAGATAGTGGTATCTTTGGATGATGTAATTATACCCAAATCCAATGTTAAGTTTGAGTGGGTAGACTTTGGTCTTCATCAAGAAACTATTCTTACAGATCTATCCAATTCAGATGATGGAGTACAGAAAGTAAATCTTCCACGTAGCTGGCATTTTCTTGGGGAAAGAATCGACGAGATTTATGTTTCAGTAAATGGATTCATCTCATTTAGTCCAATATATAGCGAAGCATTTGTACCAGCCTTACCATCATATGCTCCTCCTCATGGCATTTTGGCCCCATTATGGACGGATTTCACAACTAAAGGGAGGAGAAAAAGTACAAGAATTGTCACTTTCTTTAAAACTGGAGAAGATGAGGATTTTGGAAGTAGAGATAAATATAGAAGAGAAATGGATATGGAAGAACAGGAAGAGGATGAAGAGGAGAACGGGGAAAGGAGGAAACAAAATTGGGAGTTTGTTATAGAGTGGAGGAATGTGTTTCTGAAATCTGAGCAATATAACTCCAAATCTGCAACATTTCAATGTGTTTTGAATAGTAATGGATCTGTCAGATTTAACTATTTGAGTATTCCCTGGGATGATTTAGAGGATCCAGGAAGTATTTCATCCTCGGGTAAAGGAAATTTAGCAATAAGTAGGATTTCATCCTCAACAATGCTTGGATGGGAAAGCATTGATGGAGTAAGAGGTAAGTTGCATTTGTTTGCATATTAAAATTCATTCTTGGAAATGGAATTATTAACTTTTCCATCTTTGTTTCTTTAGGAGTTGGAATTCCCTGTACTGAGAAGTTTCCTACATCGGAGTCTTCAATAGAACTATACCCAGAAAATCCAAAGATTCCTTGGTTCCAGCTTAGTGAGACGATTGTCCCACCCCTACAAAGAGCTCAAATGGTCTATAAAGTTGGTTGGAAGGCTACTATTCCGTCATTTTTTGAAGATCAGACCTTTAAAGGGCAGATTCAAGTATCATCATCAGATGGGGCTGCCTCCATCATCCCAGTCTCAATTACTGCAATTAAAGAAAGGACAAATCAGGCTCAGTCTTCTGAAGAATTAGAGGGGGAGTATATTGGGATTTCTGGAGAATCTGGAGGATCTGAAATGGAGAAAGTTGGTAGGCTAGACTCATGAATGAGGATTAGTTGGATAACCTATCAATTCTTATATCCAGTTCACATAAATCTTATTAGGAGAGGGAGATAAGAGTCGCTTCCTCCTGCTCCTAGAGCAAAACCCTCTTAGTTCAGGCCCATCTTTAGAGCCATAAACTATAATTTAACTATTGTCAAAGAAAAAATTAATTCTGTTCGTCAGTATTTTGTCTGTTTCTTTCTGTTTTCCACCGAATATCGTCTAAAATTTACTTTATAATCCTCCAAATCTTCTCCGTCTTCTTTTGTAATATGGCTTTGTCTTACCTATTAACCATCTGAATAGTGGCGCCATATTATTTATGATGAAATTTTGCCTTTATTGTATCTATTACTCAACTTTCTTTATCATTCTAATTCCAACGGCAAAAAAAAGAAAGGCAAAATCGGTTTAAATCCCTATTCTAAAATAAATGTACTAGTACTTTATGGGATGTTTAAATTTGTTTAACTTAGTCATTTTTATTAATAATAAAAATAAGCCTGCTAATTTGCATGTATGCATGCATGCATTATTTTACTTTTAATTATAAGTACTTTGGCGGGAATTTTGAGAAATAATAAATTTGAAGAAAAACAGAGGTATAGTAATAAGTGGAAGATGATCAATTCGAAAAGACTGAACGAACTTTTAAATCGAGAAATTTGTGAAAGTGATGAGATTAAAGCAATCATGTAAGTTTTTAATTCTCCGTCTCCCTAGTCCTCCCGTAAATTATTATAAATATTAAATTCATTAAAAATTACAAATCAAAAACTTCAAAAGGTACAATGTGTATATAAATGTGATAGTATAGATAAAAAGGTTTTCTGTGGGGTGCATTTTGCTTGTAAGGAGCAACGAGAACAGACCACTGAGTGATTTTTTTTTAGAGCATTTTTAGCTCATTTCTCACATATTAACACTGTACTTTATTATTTAAAATAATATGGAGACTACTTTTTTAATCAAATAACTAACTTAATTCTCCATCTTAGCCTTGTTAACAAAGAAGGAGGAATATTTTCTCTTGGAGTTAATAAAGAAAGTATAGAGATTTCTCAAATAAACCATATTTCTTCAGTATTAGTAAGCTCTTTTAATGAGTACAAATCTAATAACCAAACCATCAAAGACCTTTATTTAGAAAGCTCAAATGGGAAATTCATTATTGGTCACACTCATTTTAAGAACCTATTTCTGATTGTATGGTTTGAATACAATGCTACTATTGGAAAAGTACATATTAAGTTCAATAATATAAATAATGCTTTATCTGGATAATTAATTATTTTTCTCACGAAATCCACTACTCAAAATATAATTAAAGAATATAAATTCTATAATTTTTTGTAATAAAAGAGAATGTTTGTCCACATGTTTTAATATGTATTGATGCATGCAAAAGACACGTAATACAACGGTAAAAATTACCAATTAAGGTTTGAAATAAGAAATATTTCAAAGAATGAAAATTTCATAATTAGTATAAATTAATTAAAACTAATATTTGGTAATAAATTACTTTTTTTTATTTTTATTAGCTGTTTTAATGGTGGACTTTAGATCGTTTTTAAGAGTATTCTTAACTTGGTTAAAAGCGGAATGTTGGCCAATAAGAGATGAGCATGATTTTAATAAATCTTTTTTTGCAGATTCTCTAGTTGTAATCTTTTCTTTCTTGGTTAGTATCCACTTTTTCCTTGGCCTAGATTGAATTTCCTTTTTATGCAAAACTATGTTTTGTGCTTTGTTAACTTGCATTTCAGCAATTCTAAGTTCTTTTTCCGTGATATCCGCCTTGATTGCATTTTTTACCTGCTTTTCAGAATTTGATATCTTTTCCACCCATTCATTTATGTTATTAGTAGCAAAAGTTCTTTTCTTCATTATTGAAGAAACATTCTCCTTTGTATCCCCTTTTCCTGTAGATGATTTACCTGACCTAAGTACCTGTTTCATTAAAGCCTTTAACTGACTTCTCTCGCTTTGAGTATATATTGTAATGCAATTACCTTTAGATCCAATCCTTGCAGTTCTTCCAACTCTATGTATATATCTGGAAGCTTCTAATGGTATTGTGAAATTAATTACTGCAGAAACGTCTTGTACATCCAATCCCCTTGCTGCTAACTCACTAGCAAATAATATGTCAACTTCCCCAGACTTAAACTTATTAAAATTCTCCAAACGTTTTTCCTGTGGTAAGAATCCATGCAACTCAGTTGATGACAATCCAAAGATATTACCTAAGATTGCACATCTATGAGCTTCTTTCTTTGTTTGGAAAAAAACTATAACTCTCTTTGTAAATATTTTAGTTAAAATATAAAACAAAACTCCTTCTCTCTCTTCTTCTCTAGTTATCTCAACAAACTCTTGTTGTAATGTGGATGATAAACCTGTAATTGACAATAACTCGGATTCCCCTGAATTGCCTACTGACTTGATTCCTGATTTGAGACCTACTGTGGATATCTTACATGGTTTATTTAAAGCCAACAAAGCTAAATCTGATACTCCTCTACTTAATGTTGCTGAAAATAACATTATCTGTTTAGTCCTAGATGAATATCGAAGGATCTCCAAACATTCTTGACGAAATCCCATATCCAGTAATCTATCAGCTTCATCAAATATAATTATTTCCAATAACTCTAATTGTATACTTAATGTATTTAATAACATATCCAAAATTCTACCAGGAGTTGCTATAACAATATGTGGTTGGCATTTTAATATCCTTTCTTGCTGCTGAATATTCATACCACCGGTTATTACTGTCCTTGTTATCATTGGACAATACTTCACTAAAGATTCTAATACTCCAAAACACTGCATTGCTAATTCGCGGCTCGGTAATAACACCAGTACCTTTGTACCAACACCTCCGCCAACTCTTCCTAATGACGATACTTTTGAATTACGAATATAAGGAGACCTCAATAATCTCTCCAATGCTGGCAGTAAAAATGCTGCTGTCTTTCCACTTCCTGTTTCTGCCTCAGCCATAATATCTCTTCCCGATAATGCTAACGGGATCACCTCCTTTTGAATTAGTGTTGGCTCTACAAAATTCAAATCACTCAATGCCTTTAGTAAAGGTCTGCTTAGTTCTAAAGAACTCCACATCTTTATTTTATCTCACCTTTTTACCTTGTTTGTAAACTAAGCAATTGTCAATTTTTACTCCACGGGGTGCCCGCCGGCGCCAAACGACCTCAATATTGGTTTACCCTATTGATATACTCAATAAATATATAAATAATAAACACGTAATATTGATAATTTTATAATGCACTTAAAATTCCATAATTACTGTTATTCTTCTTGTTGTTCATTTTGTTCCTTTCCCTGTTCTATTTTTGCCAATAAGTCATACTCCTTTACGAGCTCTTCTTCTATTGTTCTAATATTTAATGTGCCTTGCTGATATGCCCGGATAATATCTTCAATATTAGCATGTTTAAATATTTTGTGGGAAGTCAATGCTTCTCTGGAAGAAGGATAGCTTGGAAGTCCAATGTAATCTTCCTGGTTAAATTTGAACTTACAAACGGCTTTTTTTGTAGAGGCATCGTATTCAAACTTAAATCTAGGAAAAAGGTGGGAAAAATAAGGGAGTTATTTGTTGATTTAATTTAATGAATAAATTTTGTATTTTGGCTCTTATTTAAATTATCAGAGCTTATAAATCAAAACTTACCCCTCAGCATGTTCGCAATCCAATTCATAAGGAAGTCTAATCAATCTGAAACACTTTCTCTTCTTTAGTGTGTATCCAGGTGGGCATCCTGAAATTTGAAATTGAAATATTTTATTCAAAAAATCAACTAAGTTTGTACTTACCCTTCACAATTGCCCTTGCTCTATTTGCCAAGCACGTATATATTGGATGAGGTTCATATTCAGGTGTGTCCCAATTTCCTATTTCCATTCCTAACTTTGGCCTTGGATGTGGGCAACGTAACTTAGGTTCATGTGTTCTTAGTTTTAAACATGTTTTTAATTCTCCATCCCAAAACCAGCCAGACTGCTCTCCCCCACACCTTCTGTCAAAATCGGGGATAACCGTTACTTTAGTTTCACATGTTGCCTTAGAATTATCCAGAGAGCTAACTAGCTTTGCACCTTTAGGGCATTTCATTACATATTTAGCAGGTTGTGGTGCTGTAACTATTGGGCAATATTTATTATCTTTGTACTTGCATTCTGCCTTATATGTCTCTCTTCCCAAAGAATCTGTTGTAGGAATCTTGATTGGCCTTGAATACAATTTCCTTACACATCTTTTTACCTGTAATTGCTGCTGCCCCACGGATTTTAGCTCAAACCCCTCTGGGCAAATCCTTCGAGGAGGAATATATGAAGAATATTTTATACATAAATCCTCAAGATTCAGTCTAAAACTTCAATTATTTCTGAATCAACCAAATCGCTAAAGTTATTTCAAATCAACTTACTATCCATGGCAATACTTTTCGTAATCTGAAATCATTGTCCCAATACAATATCCATCTACCAGTGTTGAATTGCCTATGCAAGGCTTAAAAAAATATTAATTTCAGTTTTGCTCTTATAGTTTTATTGAAGAGAGAAATTCCTTAATAAAGAAATTCTTCTTCCTTACTTACCTTATAAATCGGAATTGCTTCATCATCCTTATCTATATAAGTACACGAATTATATTTTGTATCAAATGAACCTTTGTAACAGACTTTTCTTGCCGGAATAGTAAGCGATATAGTTGGATCCCCCAATTTTGTAACTGGAGGTGCTCTAGTAAGGATCGGTTCTCTTCTTGAATTCCTATATTCTTTTACATTGCTTGTTGCATTCCAATCATCTCCTTCAACTTGATAATTAAAAAATAGCAAGCATATTAAAATAGTTGTTCGAAAATATCCAAATTTCTGTTTGCTTTTCATTACTAATAATACCAATTCATTTCACTTAAACATTTTGACTGATGCGTTTCAACATTTTTTCGAGGTACATTAATGAATTTTCTATTTGAAAAATCATGACCAGTTCTAACCACCCACGAAAAATATTCATTTTTTAGAACAAAATAAAAAAATAATTTTTTGAATATCGTAAATAGCCATTATTATTTTTAGGAAATATATGTTTAACCAACTTTTGTATTTAATTTGCAATTATTTTTTTGTCCACATTATTGCACACATTCCTATACCGGTATTTACATGTACCTGCCATGCAAATTTGGCTTTACATGTGGACAGAAAGTGTTTATTCGTGCACCTAGTGGCATCTCTTTAGACAAAAAATAATTTTGTCACTTTTGGTTATGTATTGATTTTTTTTTTCTAAACTGGTAATTTTTCTATAACTTTTGGCTAAGTTTTACCATTCCCCCATCTCCCTCCAAAGCTTAAGTAGAATTTGGAAAACTGAAATAATATAAATATATGTGTGCGTTTATCTGGGAGAGTAAAATTATCTATTACTGGTAAAAATAATTTAATCTCTACTCAATGCCTGACAATCTCAGTCCCAGTAAAAATAAAGTCGAGCTCTTTGATGTACTTGAACTTGATGAAGAAACAAAAAATCATCTTATCAAAAATGAGATCAAAACAGTTCCGCAACTATTATTAGATAACCTAAGGAAAAAAGGGCTGAAAAGTTCTCAAGAGGTAACAATTTATTCAAAATGTAGGGAAAAAATCACGTGCTTTCCAAATAATGTCGATGCTGAGGAACAAAAAATTAATTCAGGTAGCATTGGTATTGAAACTGGATTCATTACAGGTAAAACATTATTAGAGGTGGCAAAAGCAAACTGGGCCCAGAATGAAAACTTTAGATCACATATAAACCTAGGATCTGATATACTTATGGATTTTTTTGATGGTGGGCTTCTCATCGGTGAAACAACCGAACTTTTTGGCCATGATCTACCGGTTATCAGAAGAGTAGTGCACTGGATTATATCAAATACCATGTTTAACTCATCATTAGAAAGTTTAAACTCTGAAACAGATTCAGAAAAGTTTTTGCCATATCAAGTTATTTATATTCAAACAACTGATAATAGTTTTGACCCAATTTTCATGAAGAAATGTTTTCAAAAATTGTGCGGAGAACTTGAATTGACACAAAACTCACAATACTCAACAGAAATCAGTCACAACATGGAACTCCTTCTCTCAAATATTTGTATAGTGACTGTAGATGATTGTTTCCAGCTACAAAAGCTACTGTGCGATCTACCAAGAATTAAACAACAAGAACTAAAAAGACTTAAACTAATTGTTATTGACCCAATTACATCATTATTGGGGTCTCACAACTTTATTGAAGCACAAGAACTTTCAAATAATTACTACAAGGAAATTAAAGGCAAAGTCTTTATAGTTGGAAGACTCATTAGGTATGTATCCAAAATTCTAAATATTTCCTCAATAGTCATTTCACTAGCTAAACAATCTATCAAACAAACAAATGCAGTCCTTAACTACTGTTCAAATCAGCTTTTATGCGATATAAATTACCCGAAGAGTGTTCATTTTGAAGGAATTGGGACATTCAGTATTCCTCCTCCAACAAGAGCATTTCTAACTGAGATCGACTATAATTGGTTCCTTTCACCTCATAATCGAATTCTCATTGAAAATATTGTAAAAGTGCACGAAGAAAACGCGGGAAGCATTATTGCATGCAATCCTCCAATTCCCCACAATATGAGAATTTTGAGGTGGACCGTTTTCAAGTCCAACAGACTTCCAATTGGAAAATATGTATGTGTAATTTTTGACAAAGTTGGTTTGATTGAATCAGAGTGCCAGTTTTTGTAATCCTTCAGTATATTTTTACTTTAATATTTTGGTCAAAGACTAAATGTCAAGTCTTAGTAGACATGACGTGCATCAAAGTGAATGCTAAGTAATAACTAATCAAAGAACTGGGACAAAGGGATTTTGAGTATAAATAGCCAGATCTAAAAGGTAATAAATTTGGAATTTATGGATTGGATAAGTACAATAGAGCTGCAATTTAAATTATTGGAACGCGAATTTACCTGCAATTCCCAATCATATTTTCAAAGGTCTGAAACGAAAAAAACCGGTTTTTAAAGATTAAAAGTTAAAATTATACTTTAATCCATAATAATTGGGTAAAAAACTAAACTACAAAAATTAAGGAAAAGCGAAAATGCTCGATAAAAACAAAAATGCAACGGCTAAGGACAATACAAATCTTCAGGATGTGAAAGTAGCAAATTTAAATAACAGCATAGGTAAGCTGTTCGAGCAGTTTGGTTCTAGTGGTGAATTTAAGATAAACATGGATGATAGACTATGTATGCACTGTTGGATTGTTAAAAGTACACTCTATTGTAGTACATGTATGTGTTTCTACTGTGCTTCATGTGCGCATATGAACCATGTATCTGCAGGTAGTTACCACGACATTATATCAGTGCATCATTTGTCAGTATCTAGAACAGATACAGCAAAAAGCCTTCAGGAAAAGCGAAAGAATTTATGTAAGAGACATAAAAATAAAGAATTAACTTATTGTTGTACAAGTTGTAATTATATGCTGATATGTGAAACATGTATAATTATAGATGGTCATGGTTCTCACCTATTATTAACATTGGCTGAAGCCATTCCAAGAGGAAGACAAATCCTTCTGCAATCTCTTTCATCATTGAATGCAGCTTCGTTTTATATGTCACAAAAAATTTCAGAAATATCAGCCTTAGCAGAACAGCGTAAATCTGTTTTCGAAAATAATTTAATAAACGTTGAAGAAACACAGAAGTCTTTAAATAGAGCAATAGCATCCGAAGAACAGCTTTTATTCACTGAGATTGACTTATTAGCAAACAAACTTAATCGTGGAGGAGAAGACATATGCAAAAGTTGTGAAAATCTTAAAGAAATGCTCATAACTGTTTGTGGTGAAGTTAGTATCATACTTCAGCTATCCAAGGAATCCCCAAGCCATTCCCTGAATAGATATGTTAAGATTAGTAATGTTGTTAAAGGCACTTTAGATCCTTCATATAGAGTATTGGTTCCAGAGCTTCAACATTTGAGTGTTCCTTATTGGAATTTATTTCCAGAAATCATTGATGATGTACTGAATGATACAAACAAATACACTCAGGAACATATAGACCATGCAATGAAATTATCTGATGCCATTACCAAGATTGCTTCTGGAGATATTTCCGTAGTTGAGGATATTGGGCAAATTAATGCTCAGGTATATGCAAAAAGCAACTCCGAAAATGAACGAGCTGCTAGGGCCAAGGTTCATAAAATATTTACAAGCAAACTAAAGATGATTCAGCATGAAAGGCTGAAAAATATACAGAATCCTCTAATTGCTCCAAAAAGTTCATTAAAGCTTGATCCAAAAAATAAGGCAAAATCAAAAGCAAAGGCAGCTCAAACTGGACCAAAACTGCAAGAATGGTTGGGACTACGTGATTGGAAAAATAATCAATCAAGGAAGCAAAATAATGCAAAGAATAAGAATCCAAACGGTTTTAAAATCCCTAATGAAGCTTATAATTCTACTTCTAAAGGTAATAAGTCTATTTTTGATGACTTAGGTATTATTAGAGCACTTTCTGATGGAGACATAAAATTTGATGAAATTGTTGAGAAAGATATTGAAATTATGACCATAGGTAGAGATAAGAAACTTGAAGCCTTAGGAAGAACAAAAGAAGAAAAGTTACAGACAGAAGAGTTCTATGAGTCACAAGTGCATTTTAGTGGTACATTAATGGGTGCATGTATATTTACTAAAAAAGATGATGGTATTGAAGTTTTTAAAATGGATGATGAACTTACTAAAATTAATTTCAAGTATTGTTTTCCATTTATTGTCATTTATGATGCAAGTAGTTCTGAAAAACAAAATTCCAAAATCATGGATAAAGCCTATTCAATTAAGGGAGGGATGAATGAGCATGCATTACCTACTATATCTCCAGGATTAGAAAGAATTGATATCCCAATAGTCCTTGGAAAAATAGAAAAGCCCAAGAACTCGTTATTTGTTGCAGATATACGTCAATCAAACATTAGGATACAATCCATACATTCTAATTCCATTACTCCGGAAACATCCAAATTCTTAGGTGCAACTGCTAATTCATTGAAACCTATAGAAGATGGGTTTGAAATTAGTAATGTGATTAAGGGAAATACAATTGATTCTTGGGTTTTCTCATGTCCAGATTTTAACACAGCTGAAAAATGGATTTCAATGCTTAAAGGTGAGGATTTGGATGTTAAATCTTGTATTAAAAAAGTTGGAACAGCTAGGTTATGCATTAAATCTCTTGCAAATAAAAGAAATAATCAGAAAATGTCCGAATCTAAGTTGACAGAGAATCCATTAGGAAGCACTGAAGAGCAAGCATTTATAGATGTAGTTCCAAAGATACCAAATAATGCCAGAGAGAAACTCCTTATCTCTGTTCAGCCTGACCATCACGAACTAACTCAAACAATTATATACGAGGATGATGAAGGAGAATATTACGAAGAGCAAGAAATTGAATTACCAGATGTAATGTCAATTAGATTAGATAGAAAACTTTCTGCAAAAAAAACCAAATCTCTTGAAAAGCTTATGATACCGTCAATTCTCAAGATAGGAAAAGATTCAGTTATTCAAATTGAGAAATTAAATGTAATTGGATCCTCATTTGATTCGATGAATCTACAAGTTGTAGCCTTAACGAAAAATCGATTGTATATTACTTCCCCTGAAATCTTTGAGAAGAACCTTTCACATGATTTGCTTTTGGATGAGTATTCTATACAAGAGAAATGTTTTATTGAGCCCATAAATTTGACCGATTCTTCTGATCCAAGCAATAGTTCCAGATTCTACGTAATTTCCCCAAAATTAAAAGAATCACCAAAAAAGAACGATAATTCAATGAATAAGAATTACTTTGGTTTCGAATATGGAGAAAATCGTCATCCTATTAATGATAAAAATAACAACCAAAATGATAACAGCAATAATACCGATAGGACTACTATTAAATTTATTTGCCCAAGCAAAGATAGTGAACAAATTTGGTTAGACTCAATTTACAACCATACAAAAAAGAAGCCACTTAAATATTGGAGGCAAATCCTAGATGGAATAATTGTTAGACACAGAAGGAGGTTTACTTCTCCAAAGTCTTCTAAAGGCCCCAAATCATTAAAGAATTCTGGTGCGCTCTCTCATTCCAAGCGTAGATCCTCAAGAAATAATATATTTGAAGAAAGTGATAAATTCACAGATACATCTACTCACATCCAACAATCAGATATGGAGGCCAAAAATCTTAATCATCATGACTACCACCATAATGATAAGCATGGAAGTAATGAAGACAAGAAAACCAATGAGACATCAAATCATTCTAAAGATCGAGAACTTTTCAATACATCTAACTCGGAAGGGAAATCAACTCATGAGAATTCTTCTCATAAATCAAGTTTTGAAAATGTTAATAATCTCAAAAATAACCAAAACTTTGTTAGATTTAACTTGAATAATCATGATGATATTGGAAAAATTAATCGCACTTTGTCTTCAAAAACCTTCCAAACTTCTCAAGATTTTAATAAAATATTTAGAGATAAACCATTTTCTGGAAACTCCCCATGAGTTAATATGAAAATTCCGATTATTTCATTTTTTTCAACCATTAGTTTGCGAAATTCCAATATATTCCACACCACGTAATTAAATGCATGCATTTTTTTTGGCCTGTTTGGCGCCAAACTAAAAATAATTACTTTTATATAATTAGTCAATTTAGAAATAAAATATTTTTTTAATTATTAATAATTTTTATATTTTCTTGATTAAATGGTTACATGCCAGAGAGGCTTATTTATTCAGAGGTGGGTTTTTTATCTTGAGTTAAATGGAGCCATTAAGTGGGTGAAGTGGTAAGAATTGCTAAGAAAGCCTTTTATAGTAAATTTTAGGGAGGCTTATATACTAGAATATCATGGAATCCAGAGGCTCATTCAACTATTAAATTTCGAATTTAACTTTCCAAAGTGATCCAGCATCTCTTGAAGTAATAAAACAGATGAATATGGTTAAGCCGTTCATCCAATACCAGATTGATGAGGAGGCAGTGGTATGCTCAGGTATAACAAGCAAGGAATTGGAGGTAGGCTCTTTTATTAATTCCAATTTGGCGCCAAAATTTAAATTTTTATTGAATTCTTTTAGGCTGAGTTTTTCAGAAGGCTAAGAAATGCAGAAAGACCAAAAGAGGAAATGAACAAATAGAAGGTACTAGTAAGACAACTAGAGCGAAATAGTTGACTATAAATAGTGGAAAATTTACTGAGGGCAATAATTACATAATATATATAAATATTTCTATACATTAATAATTTATGATGTATATCTAATATACAAATCTTTGTAGAAAGGGGAAGAGAATTACTATAGCTTTATTCATATCTAGTAGTGTAGCATCATTAAATAGTTCCACCTAGATGAGATATGTGGGGTCTGGATTCCACCATGGCATCAGGGTGAAGATGTACATACCTATAGTTTGGTAAATTACACATGTTAAATATTTGACAGCCTGAACTTGGTTATCCTGTGTAGCTCCAGAAACCTCCTGAGCACTTTCTTGAACATTTGTAGTACCTTCTTTCCTTGAATTATCACTATGATCCTTTATATTTTGAGTCTGAGAAATATTAAGGACCTCATTTGGAGATAATACACCCAATGAATCCAAAAAGTGAGTTTCTTCATAGGCAGAGATCACAGAGGAACCATCCTCAAATTCCTCATTTGGTGGGGTTATCTTGGAGGAGACATCCTCAGAAATCTCATTTGGAGAAGGTATCTGGGATAAGAAGGGTCCTAAGCCTTCCTGGTCTCCAGCTTGTTCTTTTGTTTGGCTCTTAATTTGGTCAAGTTCTGAGTTAATAAGTAGTTCTTGTTCTCTTTCGAAATTTATCTGAGCTTCAAGCTCGATCTCTGCTCTCCTCCTCCTCAATTCCGCGAGGGTAGTATCCATTGGCTGGTTTGATGAAATCCTCTCAATTAGTTCTTGTAAGCCATCAAATAAGCCTCTAATATACAAAAAGTAAAGAGAAATCAAAATAATGTAAAATTCTTTGGAAACATCGAAGAACATGAACACAAAGATTGCCTTCATCAATATTGAAATGTGGTATCTTTCCCAAGGATTTATGGAGTACTTTTTCTCCCCTGGATAGGAAAATTCCTTGTTTTGGCTATCATACTCTGCAATTAGAGAGAACTCAGTGGTAATATCACACTCTTTGGGATCTGGGATAGAGCTGTCATAGGCTTGAGCTAATAGAATATGGTCGGGGTCCCCTCTATAAAATACAGAAGCAGTTAAATGTATCTTTGGACCCAAATCCTGACTAGAATCTGAACATATATTGGTTAAACTAGTAACTTTTTTCTCAGTCAAGTGAGCAAGTGGATCATGGAAACCCATGCTTAGCGGTTCTCTACTTCCAACTAAAAGGCCTTTTTCTTTGATAATCCTACAGAAGTTCTCTCGCCAGTAAAAATGCAGAGACCCATAATATGAATAAGCTAGTTGGCTATAAAATAGGTCCACATAATACTGTGAAGGTATTTGGCCATTGTTTCCACAAAGCTCAGTGTTTGCTTGGTTTTCATTCTCAAAGTTAGAAGATAAAACTTGTCCTTCCATATTAGTAAACAAGCGATTTTGATTTTCCTGAATATTAAATTTCAGGTAAATTTCTTCTTTTTATATATATTTTAGTTTATCTTTTGAATTTGAAATAAATAATTATATAATTGTTGGCGCCAAAATTATGATAATATTAATATTAAGGTGAAATAAAGAAATAGGGAAGTTAAATAAATATGAAGTTCTAAAAGAATGGACAAAGTTCCGGTCGAATTTAAGAGGAAACCAACAGTGGAAGAACTGAAACGGCCAGCAAGAGCTCAGAGCGATGGTTCTCTTCAAAGTAACTTGGCTTATAAGGAGGGAGGAGAACTATATAATATATGGTATGGAAAGTATCAATTTGACTACGATAAGAGGGGGAAATTAGCATCTAAAACAAAATGTGTTCCTGAGAAAGATTCTGGTTGGACAAAAGCAGACCAAGATCCAAGTACCAAGAGCCATTTTTGTCTTTATTTTGCTAAAGGAGCCTGTGTAAATGGGTCAAAATGCAAATACTTTCACAGAATTCCTACAGAGGAGGATGATGCATTGGTTTCTCCAATGTATGATGTGTTTGGGAGAGAGAGACATGCCCAACACAAAGACGATATGACTGGGACAGGTTCATTTAACAAAGAGTGTAGAACAATATTTGTGGGAGATCTTTATATAAATAGGTCAAAGACTAATTACTTGGAGGGAGTAAATAAGGTAATAAAGAGGGAGTTCTCAGTTTGGGGTCCAGTAGACTACATAAGAGTGATTCCAAGTAAAAACATTGCATTTATTCGTTATTTTTTAAGATCATCAGCAGAGTTTGCTAAGGCAGCAATGGAGAACCAAATTATTTTCAAAGGTCAGACAGAGCCAATTACTGTAAGGTGGGCATATGATGACCCTAACCCAACCAGTATGGAGAACAGCAAGAAGAGAAACGCAGAGGAAGTGGAAAAAATGGTTTCAAATTTGGAAACAGAGAAGAAATCTAAGCCAGATTTACAGGTAAATAACGAAATTGAAGGTTTTTTTTGCCACCTTAACAACTTAAACTATAATGTTCCTTCAGAAGAGGTGGTAAAAATTCAAAAAGATTACTATAGGGTTGAGAAAATTCTGGAGTCAATTAAAACTTCAAAAGCCAAAAACTCGGGTAAATCCGTAACGAGCTGCGAAGAAAGTAACAATGAAGAGAAAGAACCGAATAAACAAGAAGACAATTCGATTTATGATGTCGTTTTATAGCTAAGCCTTGATAAAATATATTTGATTTAATTCAATATTAATTACTAATCTCTAGTATCTCTTATTTATTGTCCACATGCAATTTTCCTATTGAATTTCCCCACAATGTATGAACACCGGTATGCTGACAAGATTGCATAAATGCATGCACAATGTGGATGCACACATGTAGAAACAGCAGAGAACTATTAGAAAAAAAATAAATTAAATTAAGGATGAGCTTAATGTTTAAAATGTGTAAACATCATTGCTAAGTGATGTCTGGAGCGAGAAATTCCGGAATTCTACAAAGGTTCTAAGTAAATTATGCTTTCAAGCTAAACAGGTGTATAATAGGGCAGCAGAATCTGGTAAACTCCCCCGACCATGGATGTTTGGAAAAAGGGTAAAACTAATTGTGGCCCTATAAAAGCTTTCTGATAGTTTGTATCCAAGAAATTTAAGCTTCAATATTATGTTCGTCATCTGGATACTCGTCTTCTTCAACCGGAACATCCTGATATTGTTGATATTCAGAAACCAAATCATTCATATTACTTTCAGCTTCAGTGAACTCCATTTCATCCATTCCCTCTCCAGTATACCAGTGCAAGAAGGCCTTTCTCCTGAACATGGAGGTAAATTGTTCGGCAACGCGTCTGAACATTTCCTGGATAGCAGTAGAGTTACCAACAAATGTTGAAGCCATCTTTAATCCTTTTGGAGGAATATCACAGACTGATGACTTGATATTATTGGGGATCCATTCAACAAAGTAAGATGAGTTTCTGTTTTGAACCAAAAGCATTTGCTCATCGACCTCCTTCGTTGACATTCTACCTCTGAACATCACACTAGCTGTGAGATATCTTCCATGGCGAGGGTCTGAGGCGCACATCATATTTTTGGCGTCAAACATTTGTTGGGTTAGTTCAGCTACTGATAGGGATCTGTATTGTTGAGATCCTCTCGAGGTCAGAGGAGCGAACCCAATCATGAAGAAGTGTAATCTTGGGAAAGGAACCAAGTTAACACACATCTTCCTTAAGTCGCTGTTAAGTTGACCTGGGAAACGTAGGCAGCAAGTTACACCAGACATGGCAACCGAAACCAAATGGTTCAAATCTCCGTAAGATGGGTTGGTAAGCTTCAATGTTCTAAAGCAGATATCGTACAAAGCTTCATTATCAATTACCTGAACAGCATCTGAGTTCTCAACCAACTGGTGAATTGACAAGGTTGCATTGTAAGGCTCTACTACAGTATCTGATACTTTTGGAGATGGGAATACAGAAAATGTTTGAAGAATGCGATCTGGGAATTCCTCATGAATCTTTCCAACCAATAAAGTTCCCATACCAGATCCAGTACCACCTCCCAAGGAGTGAGTTATTTGAAAACCTTGTAGGCAATCGCAAGACTCTGCCTCGTGTCTAACTACATCCATTACTGCATCCAAGAGTTCAGCTCCTTCAGTATAGTGACCTTTAGCCCAAATATTGCCAGCTCCACTTTGCCCAAAAATAAAGTTGTCTGGTCTAAACAAAGATCCAAAAGGACCAGCTCTGACTGAATCCATTGTTCCCGGTTCAAGATCTACCAAAATTGCTCTTGGAACATATCTACCACCTGAGGCTTCATTGTAGAATACGTTAATACGCTCCATCTGTAAGTCAGATTCTCCATGGTAAGTACCAGTCTAGAAAAAAGCGTGAAAGAAAGAAAATTTATTTAAAAAAAAAAAAGTCAATTATTTAGTTCAAATCATCTTAAATTGCTTTTAACACTCAACTTACAGGGTCGATCCCATGTTCATCAGAAATGACTTCCCAGAATTTAGCACCAATCTGGTTACCACATTGTCCTCCCTGAATATGAACAATTTCTCTCATTCTCTTTTATATTATTAATGGTAATAAGAAATCAATTAATATAGATATCCTAAAGTTAAAAGTAAACCACGATGAATTACCATCTATCAAGTATTCCCACAGATGGAAAATAATATAACACTTCTTCCTGAGGATCTCACTTTTAACTTACCTCAAGTTCCAAGATCCTAATGAATTTTATTTATGAGATACTCCTTATGATTAATCAAATTATACCTCCAATTATTCCACACAAAGGAAAACACTTGAAATTATACTATTCAATGACGGACCCCACTTTTTAAGTAAAAATTACGTATGAAATCAAGCAGAAATCAGGCTTCCATATGGATTACTATAGAAGCGGGTCAGGGGGGATTGGGACTATATAGATTTTAAGTAGTTTAATAAATGTTACTATTTTTACTCAACTTTCTTCTTTTCTTCTAGTAACCTAAAGCAGGTTATTGAGTCTATTCATTTTGTTCTCTTCTTTTCCTCCCGTGCTAACCGAGTTTTGTTGGCCTAAAAAGAATCTAATCTTTAAGTCATCCGCGCTGAAACTCACAATTTACAAATTCATCTAGAAAACAAACTAAAATGTCCGAGCCGATGCATTGTTACACATATACTGTTCTAAAAGCCTTGTTAATCTAACAATTTTCCCCTGTTTACCTACTTTGGTTTCTTCTCTCACCTCATATCTCGAAGCGATTTCCAATTTCTACTTCAAATTAGGTGTGGGGAGCGCCATGGCACATTCCCGCCATGTGGGGTATGTGCTACGATTTATCTTCCCATGTAATTGCAGGGTATAAGTGAACTTATCTAATTTTAGAAAAATGAATCTTTTTTCTTACAAAATTTAATTTATTTTTTAGTGATACTTCCCTATCTAGAGACCTCACTATGTTTTAGATTGATTTCATATGTTTATCTTCCCCACTCAGTCCACCTCCACAGCCCAGGATGCTTTTTGCAAGTGTTTTCGGTAAGTTATCAAACACATCAGTGAGTGAGTTCTTGATTTTTGAAAAGAAAATCTTTTTCTATTGTCTTTTTGGAAAAAGGTAATGACTCCGAAACCAGCTCAAGTCCTAGTTTGCAAAGGTTGATCTACATTGAATCATTCTGACAAAGTTCCCTGCATAGAATCTTCTTAAAACTGAGCATTAAGACCCAAGGTGTTACATTTGCTTCAAAAATAAAACATTTTTTTGTTATATGTTATTAAATGTGAATTTGGAAATCAACCATTTTTTCCTTCTGTTATTGTTTCTCCCATTTTTCCCGCCCTACATTTATTCGTCCTATAAATATATAATCGTCTTCCTACACAAAATAAGTTTGGCTTTGGAAGGAAAACCAACTTAGAGTGAGACCCAGTTAGTTTTCTTGAATATTCTTTAATCTTTTTTCTACCTCTTCCTACTTTCTAGCTTTATTTATTAATTCGGACCCCTTGACTTGAAATTGAACCCGCCAAAACAAAAAACATTAAATAGTAATAATTAAAAGAAAAATTCTAAAGCCTTTTTTCCCAGGATTAAGGGAGAAGGAGATTGAGAAGGAAAGGGGCTTTTAGAATACGCATTTCTCCCCTTTTGTTGAACTTCTTAAGTGGAGTTTTTAGGATTTTGTAAAATGTCAGATGAGGTGGACAAACAGAACAGGCCTGTTATAGAGGGTGGAGGGGGGGAAATGGAAACCCCAGAGCAAGAAAAGGCTCCACTAAGACCTCAGAGACGCAAGAAGAGGTGGGATATTGTTTCTGAAGGAGAACAAAAGGTTAGTACTTCCTTGATCTTGGACCAAAAGAGGTCAAGATGGGACACCAGTGAGGTGGAAATGGACAAGGAGAGCAAGGCGAAGGTTGAAATTCAAAATTCTGAGCAATCTTTGGAATCTGGATCTCTCCAGAAAAGTGTCAATGAAGAGAGGAAACCCCATCCTGCTTTTCAAAAAGAGTATACTGATCAGGAGTTGGACAAAATTCTTCCATCAGAAGGATATGAAATCGTGAAACCTCCAGAAGGATACGAGAACCTCAGAAGAGCTAATTTGGAGAACAAAAGAAAACTTTTGGAACCCGAAATCACCCTTTATGAGATTCCTGAACCAAACAAAGCCTATCCAGAGGAATTAAAAGAAACAAAGGATATGGCTCAACAAGGTTTCATGAGACAGGTATTTCACTCAGAACTTGGTGAGCTGTCATTAAGGATAGAAGATTTCCATTTCTTTGGAAAAATTTTTTCCACTGTTTCTGATGATGATCTTTCTCCTGAAGAAGTTAAAGAGCGATTAGTACTTACTTTACTTTTGAAAATAAAAAACGGGACTCCAATCCTGAGGAAAAAGGCAATGAAACAGATAGTGGAGACAGCTCGTGATCAGGGGCCTGGAATCATCCTAAATAGCCTCCTTCCTTTGTTAATGCAATCAACATTGGAAGAGCAAGAAAGACACACCCTAGTTAAGGCTTTGGATAGGGTCCTTCAACGTCTAGGAGATAAAGTTAAACCCTATGTACACAAAATCCTGGTGGTAATAGAACCAATGTTAATAGATCAGGATTACTATGCACGTCAAGAAGGTAGGGAGATCATCTCAAATCTTGCCAAGGCTGTAGGATTGGCTACTATGATTGCAACAATGAGGCCTGATATAGATCATCCTGATGAGTATGTGAGAAACACAACAGCCAAAGCCTTTGCTATCTTGGCTTCAGCAATGGGGATTCCATCCCTGGTTATCTTTTTACAGGCGGTTTGCCAAAGCAAAAAGAGTTGGCAGGCAAGACATACTGGAATCAGAATAGTACAACAAATAGCTATTTTGCATGGCAGTTCTATACTTCCTCATTTAAAGAGTCTGGTACAAATTGTCTCACATGGACTCAATGATGAAAACCAAAAGGTAAGAGTGATTACTGCCCTCTCTCTAGCATCATTAGCTGAGGCTTCATCCCCTTATGGTATAGAAGCTTTTGAACCAATTTTGGGACATATTTGGAAGGGAATTTCAGAGTATCGGAGTCGTAACTTAGCCAGCTACTTAAAAGCTATGGGACAGATGATTTCTATTATGGAAAAAGATCAAGCTTGTCATTACATCAAGGAAATTTCTCCAGTCCTAGTAAGGGAATTTGGTTCCCAAGACGATGAGATGAAAAGAATAGTACTGAGAGTCTTGGGACAATGTGTCTCAGTGGAGGAAATTGGGTCAGAATTTGTTAAGCGAAAGTTATTAGGACCTTTTTTTGGGCAATTCTGGACCTCCCGTAACTCCCTTGACAAGAGAACTTCTAAGTTAGTTGTGAATACAACTGTACTACTATCTAGACAAGTTGGACTGGAACCTATTTTGGATGGGTTACTGCTATTTCTTAGAGATGGAAGTGAAACATTTAGAATACAAGCCTTGGAAGCTGTTAGAAATGTAATGGAGAATGTCCAAGTAATCCACTTGGAACAGAGACTAGAAAAACTCTTGGTTGATGGGATTTTGTACATTTTTCAGGAAAGTTCTGCTGAGGAAGATACTTCTGTAGTGGAGCATGTAGGAAGAATATTGACTTTATTGGGAACAAGATCTAAGCAATACTTGCCCCAAATATCCTCTATAATTAGATGGCGTCTGAATACTCCATCTCCAAGAGCAAGACAGACAGCTGCAGATTTGATAGCTCAAATAATTGTAGTTATGAAACAATGCGAAGAAGAACAGATGATTGCTCATATTGGATTGTTTTTGTATGAATATTTGGGTGAAGAGTACCCAGAGGTCCTTGGGAGTATAATTGGCGCCTTACATGCAATAGTTACTCAAGTAAGAGTGGAAAAGTTGAGTCCTCCAATTAAAGAGTTGGTTCCAAGATTAACTCCAATTCTGAAAAATAGACACGAAAAGGTACAAGAAAATATCATTCAACTTTTGGGATGTTGTGCAAAAAAAGGAGGAGACCTTGTATCTCCTAAAGAATGGGACAGAATTTGCTTTGACCTTTTAGATAGTCTTAAGGCAAACAAAAAGTCAATCAGGAGAGCCTCAGTTAAGACTTTTGGCTATATTGCAAAGACTATAGGACCACAAGATGTTTTGGTAACTTTGCTAAACAACTTAAGAGTTCAAGAAAGACAGCTTAGAGTCTGTACAACTATTGCTATTGCCATTATTTCAGAGATTTGTATGCCTTACACAGTGCTTCCAGCCATAATGAATGAGTACAGAATTCCAGATCTTAATGTGCAGAATGGGGTCTTAAAAACCCTCTCATTTATGTTTGAGTACATTGGAACTATGTCTAAAGACTACATATATGCTCTGACCCCTTTGTTGGAGGTGGCTCTTACAGATAGAGACCAGGTTCATAGACAAACAGCAGCCTGGGCATGTAAACATTTGGCTCTAGGAGTAGCAGGGACTGGATGCAATGATGCTTTGACCCATCTACTTAACTTTCTTTGGCCAAATGTCCTTGAGAACTCTCCCCATCTCGTTCAGGCAGTTTATGAAGCCCTAGATGCTTTTAGAGTGGCTCTGGGTCCGGGAGTTATCCTAAGCTATTTACTACAGGGACTCTTCCACCCAGCAAAAAAAGTTAGAAGTGTCTATTGGAGGATTTACAACACTTTATATATTGGGAGCCAAGACTCACTAGTTCCATTTTTCCCACAAATTCCTCCAACAGAAAACAGGAACTTTGTCATGAACGAACTTTTCTACTGCATTTAACATTCAAGATAAACTTAGATTAGTAAACAAACAATTATTAACATTGAAATAACTTGGTAATGAAATTAGTCTATATCTAATATAATGTAAAGAATGAAATATGAATAAATTTTCCTATTTATTTTTGTTTATTGTTTTTTTAACAAAAAAAAAACTAACATTTAATGTATTGCATGCACACATGTATTAAATTTGGAAGGCGGGAAAAGTTAAACGATCTCGGAATTTAGTGTGCTGGTATTATTTGGAAGATTAGTAATATTTTCTTCAGTTGGAACAGGAACTCTGTCTTTGATTTTAATGTAGCTTCTGTAAAATAAACCAAGCAAAAACAAGTGTGACAAAAAGGAAATAGTTGTAAATAACACTTCGTGATACGGATGTGACTTCAAACTTAATAAAATAAATCCGTAGTATTTAATGCTATTTATATTAGATGCAAAAGCTGATATGGACAAGTATCGAGGTAAGGGGGCTAAGCTACCAATTATAAACTCCGTAATAGAAATATTTGAAAAGCCAATCAAACAGTTGGAAATAAAATTTGGGAAAAATGTAAGTTTTAATAAAATGACAAGTATAATCCCATATTCGTTTGTTAAATCCGACCAAATATTGAACGTCATCTCGGGAGACTTTTTAAAATATGGGTAAATAAAGAAACGAACGAACAAAATTGTTGCTATTGAGCCTAAATTGACTGCGAGAAATGTATTCAATGTGGATAACACTAATCCAGATGAGAATCCAAACTTTTTGGAAAAGTAAAATGAAGTAATTGCAATAATTGGCTCCAAGTTCATGGGAATTATGGAATATAATACAAAAGCAAGGAACATTAATGAAAAAAAAATGAGTGAGTTGTCCCCTGAGATCTGTTCTATATGCTTTAAAAAGTATAAATTATCATTAAAATATAGCATGAGTGGTATCGTAATAATTGCCAATACAATAGCCAATATGGCAAAAATGATGCATTTTGCTATATTCTTTAATAAATTGGAAAAACATGATTTGGATTTGGATTGAGTAGTCATTGGATTTTTGTTTAAATAAGAAGTTATTTACATTAAATTGAGCAAAAATAAATTATCACGCAATATGATTATTGTAGAGGTAGATGTTGATGAGAAGAGAGATCAGTCTTGGCGGGAAGAAAATGTTTTAATTATATTTCCCTCAACAGAATTGTGAAAAAAGTATGAATAATTTTAATTTTTTTCAGGATTTTTAAGGCTCTAATCTTGATCTAATCTTATAGAAGGAATTAACTAACAACAAGAGAACTTCAGAGAATTAGAAATAGTATTGATGAATTTAGAAATACAGTTGGATTGCCAAATGAAACATTTCGAGTTTTGGCGGGAATACATGTGTTGATTAATGGTGGGGCCAGATTATTTTCTTTAGTATGAGTTATTTAAGTAACTTATTGAATTTTCCAGTTGGGAAAGGTATTTTAATGTGACTTGAACTTGGGATAGGTTTTTTAGTTTACGTTTCATCAATTAGATACGGTTTATAATGATACTTTATTGTGAGGGATTTTTTTTAAAAGAACGAGGAATTTTTCAAGAATCTGTTTAAGTAATTGTGCAAATAAAGAAATTTTTATTGCGAAATTGATAAGAAAATTGCTTTTCTCAAAAGAAACCTTACCATTTCTACAAAAAAACTCTCATTTTCCCTGCTTTCGGACCTATTAAATAGCAAATTTAAGATTTATTTATATTTTTTTAATATCATTGAAATTATATTTTATTAGCTTTAGTGTTTATTTTAAGAATGTCTAAGTATATAAATAATTTTTTTGATGGAATTTTATCTGTAAATCTTTTTCGGAGATTTGGTGTTTTCAGAGCACTTGGCATATTAGGTTTGGAGAGTCAGACGAGCAAAATCGATTGGTTGAGAGTCAAAATTAAAGAGAAAATATTAAGGTGATAAGAGTTCATAGGCGTAATCAAATTAATAGAGCATTATTTGGCATTAGTATTAATATCTATAAGGCAGATGTATTCAAATAAATTGCATGTCTTCCCGCTCAATTTCAGAAGTATATTACAAATTATCAATTTGATGGAAGGGAACAGAAGAAAGATGTTCTTCTTTCAAAAGAAACTCAGTTTTCTGAGTAATTTCTCGATACTTTTGAAATACGATGTAGATAAGTACTAATACGGAAAGTACTGTGAGTGAAAAGAATAAAAGTGCGTATTTAGGATGAATATAAGTGATGTATAATTCTTGTTGAATGCGTTTATTGTCATAAATTGAAATCCCAAATAAGATTAGGGAAATTTGGGCTGGGATAACTGCTAAGTTTCCTATAAATAAACTAGAGATTGAAATATCTGTTAGACCCAATAAACAATTGCTCAAAACGAATGGCAAAAAAAGAGAGAGTCTAATTAAAACCACTAGTAAAATCCCTTTTTCCTTGGCTACTTCGTTGAATGCAGAAAAAATTGTGTACTTGTGAGTCATTTCTTTGTAATATCCAAGAAAACAACATCTGAAAATAGTAACTGTCAAGAAAGTACTGATTTGTGTGGCATTAAAACATATAAATAAACTTAAAATTACATCAAAAGTTGGGTCATTAACCCTCGAAGTGAAAAACGCCATAGATATTAGGATTGGTTCAATAGGGACAGAAATACTCATTAATAGTGAAATGATTAAGGTAGAAATTGTTGTTGTAATAATAGTGTTTTCTTGAACTTCTACGGAAAACCTTTCTATCCAGTGATTAGTATCTCGAAAATGATATAGAGAAAGCATTATCAGTATTGTTAAAATAGTTGTCAGTGCAAATTTTAATGCCATATATAAACATATTTTCCCACTCTCCCTTCTAAATACTAAAAATTCCCCCAAATCTTCAGTCATCTTGAATTGGTGTTGTAGCTGAACTGGAAGAAAGATTCAACTACAATCCCAGAAATCCTTCAAAATATCTTAACCTGTAATCCAAGATCTTCAAATTTTTTATTCTTAAACACTACAAAATAACCCATATCTAACAATAATGACGGGACTGCCCGCCTGAATATGTGGGGAATGTCATGTAAGACTTTCAAAATGATATTATTCAAGAATTTTAAAATAGAGAACAAATAATGAAGATAAATAAACACTCTTTTAAACTAGTTTGAAAGTTAGTGTATAATTATCTAAGATTTGTTGTAAAGATGACGAATTCAAGTTATCTTTGAGTATTCAAACTTTAAATAATTTTAAATAAAAACTTAACTAAAAAATTAATTCAAATGAGTATTTAATTTAAATAAATATTTATTTTATATTGAAGTAATAGGAAAATTGCCATGTAAAAAACTTATTTTTTGTATGCATGCATTTATGTGTTGCCCGCTCAAACATAAATATTAATTATAATTAATAAATTAGTTCTTGAGAGGAAAATTACAAAAATTCAGTTTTTTGTGGCATCCTGAATTATCAATGACCTCTGAATTTCTAGTGATTTACAATAAATATTCTTTTTTGTATTGCACACATCTAATATTATCCACTTCTCTCCTATTTGTCCAGATTCATCTAATGAAATGTTTTCAAATCATTATTACCACTCAATGAAATTTTATCATTTTTTTGATTCATAGATATCTATTAATTATGATAAAAAGAACCAAATAATGGCTTAGCTGGTGAAGAATGTGGAGATAATTCGATTATCTATTATACTTACTCTGTAAACCGTATTACTTTCTACTTTGAAAATTTGGGGTAAATTTTGAAACTTTCATTAGAAAAAAAGATGTTGACTAGAATATAACTATTATCATTGTTAGGTTCCTAATAAAAATATCTGTGGAACCAATATAGATCAAGCATAGCAACATATTGAAAAATCTAAATGGTGAGAAAAGTGAAAGTCTTAGTAATAAAAGCAAAATCCCATGATTTGTTGCTATTTTGCTGATTACCCAAAACAATTTGTATCTGGAAAATATCCACCTAACTCATTGAAAGATGTAAATAGAACAATTAAAAATGTTATTAATTTATTTATTTTGATGAAAACAATTTGTAAAATAAAGAATATGAGAGTTATAAATAAAGTATTAAGAATCTATCTGTACAATAATTCCAAAGTTACTCTCTTATTTAAATAAACCAGGTATAAAATCTAACATTAGAATAAGGTATAAATAAAAATAACCTATTTACAAAGTATATATAAGAGTGTAATATACTTTAATTAAATTTCCCATTTCATATTTTATTTTCAATGTCTAATGTAATTATGAAAGATTGATTAGTTATATTATTGACAATTACACAATAACCCGAGGACAACTTATTCTAAAAATATTTACTAAGATTCTGTAGAAGATTTTATAGAAAATACAAAATGTATGCATTATATTTATAGAAAAAATCTTGATAGAATTGAAAATACAACTGCATTCTGTAGTTGTTCTAGTTAAAGAATAAAAGGTTAGCTCAGAAACATACAAAAATTAATAACTAAAAACCCTCAATATCTACCAATAATGAACCTTAATGAAAAGAAACTCATATTGGAAGATTTTGGAACCATCCCCTTAGGCTAGCATTATTTTATTTCAGTAAAAATAATATTAGGTATAGTAAAATAAAAAGGAAAAGCCCGCCAAAATCTACTTAAATCGGTTTAATTATTAGAAAAATATTGTTAGGTTAATACAAAAAATAAGTAAATGTCAAATGAAGAGAAACCGTTTTCATATTTAATACACAAAGTACTGAATATTTTGCAGTCAAATGCAACTCCATTAAGAAGAAAGGAAATACATAGTTTACTTTATAAGGATGGAGTACAAATATCTCTAGAAAGTGATTTTTGGACAAAAATACACTTGCACGACAGAGTATTTTTGGACCAGGCAACAGGTAAATACAGTTATAAATCTCCATATGATAAGCTAAATAGTGAGATTTCTCTGTTGGCATTTGTGAGGCAGCATCAAGATGGTCTTTTAATCGATGAGGAGCTATTGAAGGTAAGTACCCTTAAAATCGAATCAAATTTTCGTGTAAATTGTAGAATTTTGTTGATTATTAACTTTATTTTAGACAAATCCCAGCATGGAGAGATGGATTCGAAACTTAATGTGCAAAAAAGCAGTTAGGTGTCTCAGACAACAACAAATAGCAGGTAGAATTAGATGTAAGAATGGGGGACTCGCGAGTACAGGATCTTCAACTGGAACAGGTTGCCCCCTCTCATCTCAAAGGCCCTGTGAGTCCTGCTCTTCTCTAAAAGGAATTGTTCTTTACCCCTTAACTGAAAACGTAGGAATCGAAGAAATTAAGATGGATGATGATATTAAGGAAACATGGAAATCTCTAATTCATAAGAAAGGAATGAATTTGGAGGATATTATTCGCACTACAAGAGGTGAAATGGCAGTTAGAAAACTTCTTGGCCTTGACAAAACTTCCAATTGCTCTGAACCCACTTCCAAAAGACGACAAAACAAGTCTTCATCCTCTAACGGAACCGAACTAAAACGAAGAAGAATCAAAATTAAGAACTCGCACATTTTCAACAACTCAGATGAGCTTTTTTCTTTTAATACCTAGCCTTCCTTTTCATTTATAGCTTCTTTGATCATTTTTTCATTTATTCTGTTCTTCAAACTTCAATTTTTAAGCATGCTCATTTTTTGGCGCTCACGTCACAATGGACTGAGCGGGAAAATTTCATATCGGTATAGAAAGAATTTATAGTTGAAATAAAAACAAAAAGAAAAAGTTGGACGAATCCTTGATTAATTTGTCTTGGAAGAATGACAACGAACATTTTTGCAGGTAATACAGGAGATGAAGCTAGCTCATCTAGAATAATTATAAAAAATCTTCCAAGTTATCTTTCAGAAAAAAGATTAAGAGATCATATATCCTCGATTGGGTGCAATATAACTGATGTCAAAATAGTTAAAAAAAGGTCAGAGAGCAATCCAAAAGTAGAATCTAGCAGGAAGTTTGGTTTTGTTGGCTTTTATTCTGAAGAAGATGCAAAAAAAGCTTTAGAATACTTTAATGGAACATTTATTGATACTTCTAGAATTCACGTCCAGTATGCCTTCCCTCCAGGTTCAGATTTACTTCCCAGACCTTGGAGTAAATATTCCGTTGGCAGTTCTCAGTATAACAAGAGGAATAATATTAAAGAAAACACGCAGGTTATTGATAAGGAACCAGTAACTTTAAATAAAGAAGATGATTCGAAGAAAGAAAACTTTAAGAAATGGATTTCTCAAAAGAACTCAAACAAGAGTTGGTTAGACTCCGCAGATCTTTTGGATAATAGTGAAATTAACTCCGTTAAGAAAGATCATTCTAGCAAAGTTTCAAGTGAAATTGTGAAACCTACAAAAGCTGGTGTTTCAAATATAAGGAAGCATATACAATTTTCTGAATCTGAGTCAGATTTAGATTTAGAGTCTGAAACTAAACATGAAACATCTAATGATAATAATGATAACTCCAGTACAAACGTATCAGATTCTGAATTATTATCTGAATCTAATATAAACTCGGAAAATGATCAGGAACCTGAGGAAGTAGTCGATATTGGGGAGCAAATAGCCACATCTCCTGTTGAAACTTCTAGACTAATGGTGCTAAATATTTCCTATTTTACAACAGAAGAAGATTTGAGTAGGTTCTTTTCCAAATGGGGTGAGGTTAAATCAGTAAGTATTATTCGTTCACCAGATTCTGGAGTTTCAAAAGGATATGGATTTGTCCAATATGAGTTTTCTGAGCATGCAATTTCTGCTTTATCTCAAGCTCATTTATCTCTTCTCCATGGAAGAGTCTTAAGAGTGTCTCCAGCTTTCAATAAGCCAACAAAAACAATTACTGATTCTTTAAACGAATCCAATGTAATAATACACTCCAATTATAAACTCAAGGCTTTAAACAAGAAAAAAGAATCCTCAACAGACAAAAAAACTTGGAATTTGCTTTATATTAGTGGGAATTCAGCAGTTAATGCTTTTATAGATAATGAGGATATTAAAAAACATGAAATTGTTGATGTGCAAGCTCCAGATTTAGCCTCTAGAGTATCTTTAATGGAAACTCACGTGATTTCCGCCACAAAAGAGTGGTTAAAAAAAGAGGGAATTTCTGTTAGAGCTTTTGAGGTGGAAGGAAGTGATATATTTTCAGCAAAATTAAAATTTGAGGGAGTTGAGAATACAGAAAGGAGCAGGGATACTATCATCATTAAACATCTACCTTCAGAGCAAGTAACATTATCTGAACTTCAAAAAATTTGTTCTCCTTTTGGTAGAATCAACAGATTATGCTTAAGTCCAAGCAAAACTATTGCGATAGTACAGTTTTTAGACGAGTCCTCAGCAGACTCTGCTTTTAAGAGATTGGCATTTAAAAGATTCAAAAGTGTTCCATTATACGTAGAATGGGCACCTGTTTGTTTGTTTGTCTCAGAAACAGAAACCCAAGAACAAAAAGAATCGGGAAATATACTTTTGAATAAAGAAGCTTTGAAAAATGACGAAGATTTGGACAATACAAATGCCGTCCACGTATTTGTCAAGAATTTGAGTTTTGAGACTACAAAAAAAGCTCTTGAAAATCTCTTTAAGGGAGTTGAAGGATTTAAAGGAGCTACAATTACAATGAAGTCTCATTCAGACTCTGATGGAAATATTATCAAGAAATCAATGGGTTATGGTTTCCTTGAATTTAAAACAAACGAAAATGCCAAAGAGTGTGTCAAAAGGATGCAATCAATCACTTTGGATGGACACACATTGGAACTCAAAATCTCTAAGAGCTCCAAAACTTCTCAAGTGGTTAGTAACACTTCACTCCCTTACGGAACCAAGCTTAACGATATTGGAGTAAAAAATGTATCAAATAAACTTCTTATCAAGAATCTTCCATTCCAAGCAACTAAATCTGACATTATGTCCTTATTCAACTCTGTGGGTACAGTGACTTCTATTAGAATCCCAAAAAAATCAGATGGAACAAACAAGGGATACTGTTTTGTCGAATTTCTTGGGAAATTAGAGGCTATTTCAGCATTAGAACAGTTCCAACATACTCACTTGTACGGCAGACATTTGATTATTGAGGTGGCAGAGAACGACGATGACTCTTCTTCTAAGAAAAAAAAAATAAAAAGTAGCTAACAATGTAAATAACACTCGACTAGTATAGGCATATTTATTAAACACAATTTATATGGTTTTTACTTTCATTTTGGTTTATTGATGACTAATTTTCCTGTTTCCTTCCTTTTATCCACTTTGTGCCTTTGTTTTCTGTTTTTAACATTTGTTTCTTGGCGCCTAAAATAGATAATGTTTGCATGCAGGTAATTTGCATGCATATAGAGCAAATATTAAAGATAGCTCCCCACACACACACATATGAAGTCATTTGATGTAGAAGAAGTGGAGTCTAAGGTTAATGGAAAGGAGAGTGAAAAAGACTTTCAAAGTAACACAACTTTAGGGAAAAACGCGGATTTTGAAGAAAATGAGAAGGTAGAGAACGAAATAAACTTTGAAGCTAAGTTTTTCAGTCGAAGAAATTTGGTAAAGATTACAATAGGTTCTGTTTTGAGTGTTTTAAGTGGGATTTCGATTCCTCTGTTTTTGCTTTACTTCGGGTTAGCATTACAGAAAATACCCCATAGTTTAAATTATTCTAAAGAGCAATACCATGATTTCATGCAATATATATACTGTTTAATTGGGGTGACTTTAAATTCATTCTTTTCAGGATGGCTCTCTATTGCCATATTTGAAACTCTTGCAGAAAATTTTGTAAAAAATATAAAGAGAGAAAGCTTTCAATACTTATTACAAATGGATGAAGATTGGCATAGAGATAATGACCATGGTTCAGTTTCTTCAAAAATGATAGCAAACTGTGCATTAATTAGAGAAGGGTATGGAATCAAGTTTTCTCAATTAATTTCAAATGTCTCACAGTTTTTATTTGGTTTTGTTGTGGGTTTTTACAGAGGATGGAGAATGGCACTCGTAATGTCGGCTTCTCTTCCATTAGTAGCTGCTGCTGGATTTTTAATAACAAAAATACATAAGTCTTGGGGAACAAATACCCAAAAAGTTTATTCTAAGTCTGGGACCTTGGCATATGAAACTTTAAATAATATAAAATTGGTTAAATCCTATTGTTTGGAATCCTATATGTTTAATAAATACTATAAAGTGGTTACGGAAGTTGAGAATGTAGGTCAAAAAGCATCTATATTTGTTTCTCTTGGAATGGGGTTTGTTTCCTTGGTTGTTTTCTCATCTTACTCACTTGGATTTTGGTATGGAGGAGTATTGGTAGCGGATTCAATGGATTCAGGATGTACTTCTATGGAAGATTTAAGCTGTTTTACAGTTGCAAATGTATTCAGTATATTTTTTGTGATAACAAACGCTTCAATTGCACTTGGACAATCCACTCCTTCTTTGGGAAGCTTAGTAAAAGGTTCTGTTGCCTTTAAAGAACTTTCAAAGCTCTTTAAGACACCTCGAGTTAGAAACCAAAGGGAAGCTTTGAAGTTTGGTAGCATAAATGGAGAGTTTAAGTTCAAAGACGTTTCATTTAATTACCCTGGAACAGAAAAAATAATACTCAAAAATTTTAATCTGACATTTCAACCAGGCAAAGTTACAGCTTTAATAGGAGGAAGTGGATGTGGTAAATCCAGCATACTAAAACTAATACTCAGACTTTATGATCCAGATAAAGGAAAGATACTTTTAGATAGATTAGACATTAAAAAGTATGATTTGGCTTTTTTAAGGGAACAAATTACTATTGTTGATCAGGAAAGTAAGTTATTTAATGACACAATTCGTCAAAACATCTTATATGGCAATAAAAATGCTAGTGAAGAAGAAATTGAAAAAGCTCTTAAACTGTCTCAAGCTTGGGATTTTATTAATTCCTTTAAGGATGGATTAGATACTCCTGTGGGAAACCAAGGTAGTCTTTTAAGTGGGGGACAGAGACAAAGAATTGCAATTGCGAGAGCTATTGTAAGGAATTCTTCAGTTATCATCTTGGATGAAGCAACATCAGGATTGGATGTAAGAACAGAATCTTTGTTTACACAGGCATTTCAAAAACACATCTCAGAAAAAAGAATAACAGTAATCATGATTGCTCATAGGCTACAGACAATCAGCTTTGCAGACCAAATAGTAGTACTTGATAGTAGCCCAACTGAGGGAATTAAGATCTTGGAACAGGGCTCTAGATCTGAATTGGAAAGCCAAAACAACGGAATTTATTCCAATCTAATCTTTAGAGTAAGTGGAAAAGATTTGGGGACTCAAAGCCAAAGTAAACCTCAGCTATTGAGCTCAGTTAGTGATAAGACATTAACCAAATTAGCAACTTTCTATTCTAATAATTCCAGTAAAAGTACAACCAGGCATTACTCACTTTGTAGCTTTGAGAGTCTGAATCAGGGATTATGTATTGCACAAAAAGATACAAAGGACTACAATTTAATGGTCAAAGACCTATTCAATGATAACTTGAGAGCTTTATCTGTGAAACTTCCTAAGGTTTCATCACTCAAAATATTATTACTACTCAAAAAAGATATTCATTTTCTTATTTTGGGGATCATTTCTGCATCAATTCAAGGAGCCAGTTTTCCAATGATGGGATATTTAATAGGAAAATTCGTAACTTCAGGGACACTTCCAACTTCAGATCTGGTAAGGACTGAAACAGGTAAATACAGTTTATATTTCCTTTTTCTAGCAATCTTAATCTTTTTGACAACTTTTGCACAAAACTCATTTCTACAGATCTCAGGGGAGCGTCTGATTAAAAGGCTAAGAGCAGAATGCTTCTATTCTTTGCTCTACCAAGATATCCAATTCCATGAAGAGCCAAATCAAAGTGCTATTAAACTTTGCGAGGTTTTGGCAGAAGATACCAGGCTAGCGAAGAGTTTGGTTGGAGAAAATATTGGACTTTATACTCAAAATATAGTCACAGTTTTGCTTGGGTTTGTAATATCTTTTACAAGTTCTATGGAACTTACCCTAATCATTCTTGGGTTCTTTCTTCTGTTAATCCCTACAGGATTTGCTCAATCAAAGATTATTAAAGGGAGTACTAATAGAGATATTGAAATTCACTCAGAATCTTCACGTAAGCAGTCTGTTACCTATATCCAGGAGATTCTCCAGATGCATACCATTATTAAGCTTTTCAATTTACAACAAGAATTCATTGGTAAGTACAGAAGAAGTACTCGTTTTGAGTACTTTAAAGGAGTGATGGACTCGCATCTCCTTGGTCTTTGTTGGGGTTTCGGCCAAGCCGTTCAAAACACTGCTCAAAGCTTTGGATTATGGTATGGAAGTAGAATGACTATTAATCAGAAGATTGGAATAGGAGAACTAGTTCAAACTATTCTAGTTTTAATACTAACTGCAGCCTCAGTATGTAGGTCACAGATATATGCTACTGACAAAAAGAAGGCAAAGATCTCGGCCAACAAGATCTTTTCTTATATTGATAGAACTCCCATTATGAGAAACAGGTACTACATAAGTATGGATGAGAGATGTCTTAAAGACTTTTCTTTATCAAGAGATCAAAGATCACAAGAGTCCATTTTGGAAGGTAAAATAAAGACTAAGTTACAAAGGTTCAGAAAATTCATTAAGGCTAAAGAGTTTGCTACAATCACTCCCAACAAGCTGGAGGTTTTGTTGTCTGGAGGAGACTATTGTGCTCACCGCTCAGAAATTGATCCAAGAAGAGGAGAGATAGTTTTCAAAAACGTTAGCTTTAGCTATTCAGAGAACTCTGAAAGCTTAATTCTTTCTAAAGTTAACTTTACAATCAAAAGTGGTGAATTTGTTGCAATGGTTGGAAAGAGTGGATCTGGAAAAAGTACTATTTTCGAACTTCTCGAAAGGTTTTATCCAATTAATAATCAAATTTCTGAAGAAACAAGAGCTGAGGGCAATGACTACCAGCCAGAAGAAAAACCTCTAATTCTCATTAATTCAATGGATGTTAATGAACTGGATGTAGGAGAACTCAGGTCTAACATCTCTTATGTACAACAGAATCCGATTTTGTTTTCTGGAACTATTCAAGAGAATATTCTTTTAGGTAGGATGGAGGCCTCCATAGAAGAAGTGGAGGAGGCAGCAAGGATGGCTCAAGCTTACGATTTCATTATGGAACTTCCAAAAGGCTTCCATACAAGGGTAAGTTAAGACTAAAAAGACATATTAAGTCCAATTGTTATAACTTCCACTATTTTAGGTTGGAGAAGGAGGCACTGAGCTTTCCGTGGGTCAGAAACAAAGGATAAATCTAGCAAGAGCTTTCATCAAAAACTCCTCAGTTCTTATATTGGATGAACCAACAGCATCTTTGGATATTGAGAATGAAGTCTCTATTATGAAGTCCATATATTCATACTCAAAGGAGAGGAATTCCACAGTCTTGTTAATAACCCATAGACTTGGAACAATTCAGAATTGTGATAGAATCCTACTATTAAGTGAAGACCTAGAAAACGGAGGAAGTACAATACTGGAGCAAGGGACGCATTTGGAGGTAAGTTATAAGGCATAAGCTAATGAAAATTTAAAAGAAAAATCTAATAACTTAAAATATCTTAGTTGATGGAACTAAATGGGATATATAAACATATGTATTTAGCTAATTCAAAAGTCTAAGTAATTAAAATGATCTTCATCCAAGTGCTTGAACCTTTCTGTTTAGAAGAAGAGGTGAAGAAGAGAATACAGCAAAACTTGCCTTGCAATCGAGCTTTAGTTCACTAATTGGAGAGCTTGGGTGTGTAAAAACAGCTTTCTGAGAAGTTAGAAATTTATGACACTCTAGATTTGATTCAAATCCAAGGCTGGAGGTAAGTACAGAGATCTCAATAAAGCGGAATGCTTTGGTCATAGTAGTAAGGGCCACAATAAGCTGTCTATTACGAAATATTTCAAATAGAAACCTGGAATTCCAAGGAGCCTTTCTACACAACTTAAAATACCTGTAGTAGTTACCTTCCATAAGTGCTTTACACACCTGAATTGCAAAAGAAATTCCTTTGAAATTCTTATATGGCTGTGCTTCATCCAAGACACGAATTAAATCAGCCTTCATATTTTGAAGAGTTACATAAATAATGTAATAACATAAGAATTCCTCTCTATTGGATCCTTCAAATTTCACGAGTCCAAGAGAGTAAAGTTCTTTTAGACGAGCTTGGCATTGGTTAAACTGACCAAGATCATGATTTTCCAATGCAACTCTGGCATTAAGCTCGTATACTTGAATGGTGAATAGGTTCTTGATTCCTTGAACAGTCAAATCCTGGCGAATGGATCTAAACTGCTCTTCTAAGTATTTCCAGTCATATTTCTTCTGCTTTTGGGTACTCAAACTTTGAGAATTGGTATAGTTAAGATAATTATTGTATACAAAGTCAAGAGATTTTCTCAAGATATGTTCTGGTCTGACCAAATTAGGGTCTGGAGAGGATGTGAGCCTAAGGTACTGTTTCTCTAAAGCATTAGAGAGACCGACAATCTTTTCAGTACTTTTCCCAAGAGCTAGAATTTGTTGCCAAGAAAGCCTTTTGTTTCCATTTGCATCCAATATGTATCCATCTCCTTCATACTTACTAAACTGACCATTTGTGGAGGTTGGGAAAGTGTAGTTTGAAACAAAATTAAACTGGTTTGATTGATCTAAATAATTACTTTTTGAGACGGATTCTGGTTTAGTGGATACATCATTCCCAAATAAGTTTTCAGTATTTTTGCCATGCTTCCTCTGCTTTAAATGCTTAATTTGCTTCCCATCTTTCTCTTGATCAGTTGTGTGGATCTCTCTAGCTCTTTTAGTTTTTAAAGGTGGAAAGCTTTCCTCATTTTTGTAACAGGAAGAGTTGGCTTCATTCTTCATAAGCTCAGTATCGAGTTGAGAATTAAATCTTCTTCTTGAAGATGGAGTTAGCTTGGATACGACGGTTGGATTAGGTGAGGTTTCACTAGGATGATCGATATCCTCACTCTGATCGAGATTCTTGACTTTAAAGTTTTGGATAACTTCTCTCTTGGGAAGGTTCTGGAGGTCCCAGTCTATGACTTTATTGGAGTTCTTGTAACGCTCAGAAATATGTTGTGAGTATGCAGAAAGCTTTTGGTTCCACTCAATGTCCTCCTTTGAAGTACCATTTGATCTATATGTGCTAAAGAGTCTGTAAATCCAGTTTTGGAGACCTTTGGACTTGTTTATTGAGACTGCTGAAGTTTGAAATTGCTTCGTATCCTTATTATGTAGAGAACTCTTTTGCTGCTTTTGCTTCTGTTCTCTAAACTCTTTTGGGTTTGAAGCAGCTTGAAACTCTATCTCACTCTGTGCTTGAATCGCATTTTGAATGTATCCTGTCCTTTCTAACTCACTAACGCAGCTATGAGCATATTGAGAGGATGTCGCATCATCCAAGCCATTTGCCTTGTAGGCTTTAAAGTAGTAGTCGTAGTAGTGAGCCTTGTACCAGTCTTCTAGGGATTTCTGGGCTGGGGGTGGGATTGTCTGAACGGAACCATTTGGATTTCGTATGTCTTGGGTTCCTTGAGACAATATCTGCAAAGAACCATTGGAGCCGCCACTAGACTGATTCCAACCTCGAATAGCCCTATTACCAACGCGAAACCCAGTAATTAAAGATGCCTGATCGGTTGGATTTTGCTGATTCATATATTCCTTTGAATCTCAAATACCTTTGTTTTGTTACCAATATAAGAAAGGCTTGGCGCCTAATTCCGCCAAGGTTTTATTTATGCTTATCAGTGTGTGATTTTTTAAGAATTCGGAGGATTGAGGGGAGTGAAATAGCTAGGGAGCAGAGTGCAACCAAAAAACTAATGAGTAGCTCACCTATATCGTTTCTGAGTAGTTTCCTGACCTCTGGGTGTATCCCAATTTGATAAACTAGGTATCTCTGTGTTAGTCCCCCTAATATAAAAGAAAGATAAATACGTCCAGAGCCTTTTTCAAAAAGGAAATACAGGAGGGATTGAAACATTTTTTTCGGTCTTTGATTGGAGAGTGCTGGCCTTAGTAGGGTGAAGATAAATGAGAGGCAATAAATAACTTGTAGTACCATAGTCAGCCCATTACTTAGCAGTAGTGACATGCAACCGCCATAGCGGAAAAGCAGTATTAGTGTCACATGCATGCAATACATGACCATACAGAAACGCCGGTATGCAGAAATTTGGTCCATGCCGCCTAAAGAGAGCATAAAAGTTTCAAGGATTCCATGGATAGAGAGTATTCCAAGTATGTAGAGATTGGCTGAGAATAGCTGAATATTTTCAGGCCTGACCCAGTTTTGGCCAAATAAAATACTGAGGAGGTTTTTGGAAACTGGTGGACCAAAACATATTGCTAGGATCCCAATGGAGGTAGAGAAAAACAGGAGCTCTCTGAGTGGGGTAAGTTGTACTTGAAAGTGGTTCATTGACTTACTATTATTAGTGTCAAGCTTAACTTCTCTGAAGCGTTCTGTTGCAATTTCTTCAATTGGAGCAAATAGAACCCTAGTAACAATGTTGGCCAGGTTGGAGATAACTCCGTAGTCACTCCATTCTTTGGCGGAAAAAAGGCGAAGTAAGAGTATTTTGTCAGTTTCCTGTAAAACAGTTGATTGGATGCTGGTGAGAATTTGTTGTTTAAGTATATTTTTGTGGTTTTTCAGAAAAAACTGTGATTTGGAGGATGTCCCTAAGGCCCCTGGGAGAATGATGAGATCTTTGGACCAGCCGGAAGTCTTGAAACAGGCGAACAAAGTTGAGACAAGAAAAACTGAGGAGTATATAAACTGGCCGATAGAGTAGTAGAGAATGTCCAAATTGGAACGTTTGAATATTACAAAAAATATGAGTAATACGCTCTTGGATATACCGGAAAACATTTCAATGACACTTCTGAGGAATACCTGCTCTTTTTTAATTAGGTTAAAGATTAAAGGCTCAGAAATAGATTCAATAATCGAAGAGATTCCTGCCAATATTACAGAAATATTAAACTGTTTGACAAGCCTATTGTCCAAAACTATGTTTGAAGGAGGATTTGACATCCAGATTAAGCTCATTACCAAGGAAAGGATGCTTGTTAATGCAATAGAAAGCCAACATACATTGATACTACTCTGTAAAATAATATGATAAGAATTCTCTTCTTTGTTCAGTTGGGTAGTCTCAGAAAGAGCCACTCTCCGAAAACATTTCTTGTTTAAGGATTGAGATAAGTTCGTAATTAACGCAATACTTACAAAACCGATTCCAAATAACTCTGGATCTATCTTCTTTGCCAGATAAATATTAAGGACGAAACTTGACAATTTGGAGACCACACTCCCAATAACAAAAAGAAACGCTCCCACTAAGGCAGAGTCACATCTTTGGAATAACGCTTTTTTCAGTGAAATTCCTGCTATTTTCATTCTTTATTACTCTGTTCCTCTTCATGCTAACTTTCGGGGGTTCCCGCCAAAATTGCAGGTAAATTGGCAGAAAAAATAATGGCATTAAAGTTAGTGGTCAAAAAGAGGTATCTATTTAGAGCTAAAGGAGGAGTAGGAAATTTACAGAAAGTGATCAAGGAGAGTTGTGTGGGAACTGGGAGAAATGAGCTCGTTTATTATTGAGAGATGCCGATCCTTGTGCGAAGAGACCGAGATTCTGGAGAAAATGGTGGTTATACTTTTTAGTAAGCTTCCAAGGGACTCGGTAACTTCATTAGTAATAGAAACTGCGATAAAGCAATTGGGTAAGTTGGATTTCTAGTCTGCTGGGATTTCTCAGAAGCCTTGGACTGATTTTAAATTTGAATTAACTATTTTCATATTAGGGATTCAAATTCAAAGTAATTCAAAAGAGATACTTTCTTTGTATCTAGATCATTCAGGGAAAAGAAAGAGCGAAATTTCTTATATTGGAGGTTCTAACATGAATGGTAAGTTAATTTTCTTTGATTTATTCTGTATTTTGGTTGATTACAAATTATTACTTTAGATACAAAGCCGGGATCAAAAGAATCTTTATGGACAAATTTCTACAGTTCGATAAAGTCAGCAACTTCTTCAGAAGGGGCCCCTTACGACTTAATAAGGCAATCTAAGTACGACACCAGATCAAAAGCTTTGGAGGAACTGGTAGTTGAAACTATTCGAGAAGTAGAGCTTGACGATATATTTGTTCCTGAAGAAGACCTTGGGAGAAGATTATACTTGGAACAGCATTATAGCAGGTACATTAATCTAAAGAAGTTAAAGAACTATAGAGAAACAACTTATATTAATAACGAGCTGGAAAGATTAAGAAGAAAAGGCAGGATTGTGGATAATAATACACAAGCTGGGATAGTTTTTGAGGAAATGGATTTTGACACATACTTGAAGGTTTTTGATCAGTTCTCAAGTATTCCAAGATACTTCAAGTATAGGGATAGTGATTATGATGATTATATTGTAAATTTATTGGATTATTTGCGAGGATTTTTTCTAAAGACACATCCTTTGTTGGATGATGGGATAATTCAGGACGAGCTAAATAAAGATTTTGAACAGGCCTGGGAAAATGGGTTGATGGCAGATTGGAGGGTTCCTACTAATGAGATGCTTTACTATTCTAAACCTTTCGACAAACTATTTTTTTCAGAAGGAACTTTCAATTCCCATATAAAGAGTAAACATTACAAAAGAGAATATTCCAAATACTCGGAGCTTTCTAGTGAGGAAAAAGCCAGAATAAAGGAAAAAAGCTTGGAACAAGATAAAATTATAGCCAGAAAGGAGTTTTTTATTGGAAAGTTTTCCCAACTTCTCTCAATACAGAGAAGAGAAGCAATTGATCATGTTAATAAACTACAAAGCAGCACTAGAGAAGAGCTGGAGATAGATAAAGAGCTAGAGATGAAAAACGGTGATTTGGAATCTCTGATAGCAGAGTTACAAGAATCCCTGGATAAACAAAAGACGAAGGAAAGTAAAAATTCGAATAATGCAGCCTACGACTCTGACTCAGATGATGAATTTGATGAGCTTCAAGACAAAGTCTATAATCCCTTAAAGCTTCCTCTTGGGCCTGATGGCAGACCAATGCCATATTGGCTTTACAAGTTGAATGGTTTAGGAATTGAATTTAAATGTGAGATTTGTGGAAATTGTAGTTACTGGGGAAGGAGAGCATTTGAAAGACATTTTTCAGAGACTAGGCACGCCAATGGGCTAAATGCCCTGGGAATTCCAAATACTTGCCACTTTAAAGAAATTACAAAGATTTCAGATGCTCAGGAGCTTTACTCGGCTCTTTGTAAGCAAGCAAAAGACCTTTCATTCGACGATCAAAACTACGTTGAAATGGAAGATTCCCAAGGTAATATCTTACCTCTTAAGTCCTTTCAAGATTTATTCAGACAGGGACTTATATAGTAGTGTTCAAATTAAATTTAGATATTACATTTTTTTCTTTATACTTTTTTCTTCCCTCTTCCTTTCTTTTATACCGGTTTTCCATGCATATCTGCACACTTTTTTTTGGCCACATGCAATTATGCAAATTATTGCAAGTAAAAATACCGGTATATTTACGTCTGTACAATTGCATGTGGATAATGATAGAAGCAATTTTTATATAATAGAAAAGAGCGAAATTTAAAGTGATTAGAAAGAATATTATTAAAGTTTAACCAAATTCAAAATTAAAAATTAAATCCAAGGCTAATTAATTAGATAGAAGGTGATTTTGGAGGGTTAGTATTGGCATTGTTTCCAATGGACTTTGTGGAGGGGGATTGGGGTGGTGAAGTTATATGAGTTATGGAAGGAGAATAAGGGTGTGACCTTTGGCTTTTAGTCTCATCCCTGCGAGATTTATTACCCCAATTTGTGTTAATGGTGGGTAAAATCATGTCAGAATTAGTCTCAATTGGGAAGTTCTGGGAAATCTCGGAGGCAAACACTTCTGGAGTGTGGAAGGTTACTGTGTTATTTTTATCATTTGCAAAAGCTTCCCAGTATTCCCAAAGAGATTTTGGAATGCGAATCTTCAAATCAGCTCTGCCTGGAGGTTTGTGAGGAACGAAGCATTTGAGATAGGCAAATCCCTGCGAGTATATATTTCTCATTTCATTATCTGATTCGGGAGGCTCTCCAAGTTCTTTGAGAGTGAATCTTCTTGCTTGGGTTAGAACTCCATCTCCCCAATCAACAAGTAGTTCACAGTCAAGCGCCCATAAATCCCTAACAAGCCTAGCTCCTGGCCAGTTGAAGGTAAGTTTGATATAACAAACATTTACTGGGAGTGGCCTGTGGCTAATGGAGGGAAATACATTTGGGAGAACTGAGGATATGAGCAAAAAAGGTTCTTCAGGATTGCCGATAGTGTTTGTGGATTCTTCTCCTTTTGGTTCACTCATGACATTTTCTACTATGGAAGAGTCAAATTTCGATCCATCTCTTGAGTTAGAAGTGTTAAATAATGGATGGATATTGATTTGAGTATTGGAACCTTTAAACTGTATGAGTTCTTCATAAACATGTTTGGTTGCAGCTCTGAATAAGTTCATTATTTTATTCTGGAGGATATATTCGACATTGGAAGTTGGAATCATATTACTTGAGTTAAAGTTATTCTGAGCAAAGCTATCAATGAATACAGAATTTTGGCTTTCAGTTTCATGGTTAGAACTTGGCAGATAAGCACTTTCGTTCTTTTCTCCGTTCATGTTTCTAGAAAAAATGGGGCCTGTCCTTTTCTCTAGCATAGATTTCTGAGGAGAATTGAACCCACCTTCTTCCGTCTTGTATGGAAAATGCGTAGCATTTCCGTTTTGGTTGTCGAAATCCAGAATACCAATATGTCTCATTACAAGCCTCCAACATGTTGGAGATCTTTGGTAGTGCTCTGTAGCAAATTTTTGTTTTAATATATGTTTGCCACACACTCTACACAAAGTTCTCTCAGTTTTATTCCATTGAAAATCAATCCTAGAATCTCCAACAAATTGGTCACCTCTAGTTACTTTTCGTTCTCGAACATTTTCACACTTTGGAAATTCCCAAATCCTTCCAAACAAACCATCAACAAGTGCAGTATTCTCCGCACCAGCAAGCCTTTGGCTTATTGGGTGGATTATTGCTCTTCTTTCTGGAGAAAGGGATTCCATAGGTACTACAGCCCAATCTGTACCAGAAAATAATACTGGCCCTTTGGACGTTGCCTCAGAAAGAATTGTTCTTCCCCAATTGTTTTTGATATTACTTTCATCCTTTGAACCTTCACCTTTATTTGCTTCAGAAGATACACGCATAGAGTTTTTTTGGAAATCCAATGATTAGATTTCCAAAGATATTATAAAACAAAACTATATATTGGTTTTTGTACAGGAAATCTATCAAAGAACAAGGTAAAATTCTTTGAAGTTAAAAAAAAAAAATAATAAAATAAACGACAATTATTCACTGTAATTATACCAATGTCTTCCAAGATTTCCTATCTTGGCTACTCAATTTATTTCAATACTGAATTATATAAAAAATCAAGCTTAAATCATGCAGCAAAAATGTGGCGCCTTTCTATGCATGTCAAATGTCTTATTTTGACTATTATTGTAGATATTCAAATTATAATAAAAGTAAGTAATGGATAATGAAAAAATAATTACTAAGAAGCCACTTGACAGATAGAATTTTAAATAATTACAAAGTTTATTTTTTCAGTTAATTATTGAAGAATTACATGGTATTTTATTAATCGATATACAAATGTGAATCTATAAATGGAATATTTGAGGGAACTAAAGATTACAAGTATTTAGTAATTTGAATAATGGTGTGGAACATATTGGAGCAGAGAAAGAATGGCTTGACAAAATTAATGATTATTGGTTTCGGTTCTGAGATAATTTAAGAAATTTTTCATTACTATTATCTTTATCGTATTTTGATTCTTAAATGAAAGTTTTATAATGGAGAAGCGATAGTAATTAATGGCAATTTTCGTTTAAATATTTATGGAGGGGTGGATTAAATCCAATCATCACCATTAACTTTGATATTTGGTTAAATATGTTTACAATTTAAGAGTTATTTTTTGCAGTAATTTCGAAGAATGATATATTGAAGAGTTGAGATTTGTGGGTTTTTTAAACATTGGAGTTACTTTCTATATTAATTTTCAATATATTTCAGTCAGGTGTGGTTATATTTTTAAAACTTTTAAGGCTGATGATATTTACAAAAAATGTTTCACATGACATTTATATAATTCACTGAAATTGTTATTCTAAGTTTTATCTACCAGTTATTATCCCAAACCGGAACTTATATTCCATCTCAACCATTTAAAAATTTTATATTTGAAATCTATTCTAATGGCTATCATCAAAACGTTACTAGGCTTTGATTCTTTTACTGAGCTATTTACAAGAGCATCTTTATTTGGTCATTTTTTGAGGGTTGTTACCTGGAATTCTTTCCATAACTCAATTTCACATAGCTTTCTTCTAAATCGCATGCTTATTTTTAACATAATTTCAATAAGTGATTAATAGTGCAAGATTGGCAGTAATACTGGAATTCCTTAATTTTTGTCATTTGAAGATTTAAGGAGAGGGAGCTGTGTAAGGTTAGAAAGGCTCGGTTTCAGTACCTAGTGACGTGTATCTACATTTTTTAATTAGGGTGGAATTTGGGTTATATGGTTTTTTAAAAGGGAAAAGAAAAGGATAGAATTATTAATAGGATTGTTTACAGCAGTAGCAGTAGTAATTAGGAGACGGGCTATTTTAATTGAAGAGGAGTAGTAGCTTCATTTTAGGTTATTTTTCTTAGCAAGGAAAGAAAATAATCTTGCTGAGAGTATTTCATAACTTGGAATGGGCTATATTATGTGGGAAAGTCAATTTTTGGTAACTATTTCGCCACTTTCTCGTTTTATTAAAGTGGTAAAGTGGGTACCTTTTTATATTTTGAGATCTAAAATATTTTCATATCCAAAATTGGTATAACCCAATACTAGTTAATATTGGGTACCTATGAATTAGACACGTTATTAGCTTTCCCTGTCTAGTGTATCGGTGATCACGACCATTTAAAATAGGGAAGCGACAAAAATATATTGTACAAACATATTGTAAAAGCAACGGGGTTTAGAGTTTGCTTTTTCGATGTCTTCTAGAGATTTAGAACATTTAATGTAGTATTTGTGCAGTGATGGTAAAATCACTAGTAATGATAGTATTAGCAATATTATTGCTATTGGTAGCAGTAATGGTAATGTAGGGAATTAAATTGAATGGTGAAATTAATCGCAGACATTTTTGCCGTTAAATGTGTAGTTTGAGGAAATTGAGCGCACATTTTATTTAATATATAAAATAATTTAATATATATTTAAAAAAAGTGTCACTCAATTATTATCACTAAAGTATTTAAATATTAAGGGCTTTAGCATTATTTAGTAAATTTCTGTAATGTCAAAGCTTGAGGAGGATGAACAACCGGTAAGTCTTATGTGAAGTGTATACAAATATGTATGGTCGTCAGATAGACTGTGGTGGAGGTCCGGAAAAGAGTATATTATGTTTCAAACAGAATTCTGTTTGAACAAAATTAACTTTTTTTCCATTATAGGCTGAAAAATAAAAAAATATTTTTTGATTGATGACCAGAGTTCTGAAAACCATATATAATTACGTATAACTTGTAAATTAATTTTTGAATAATTTGTTTAACTTTAATTTCCAACAAAATAGATAATATCATCCGAAGAATTGTCAAATGGGTCAGAGGAGGATGAAGAAGGAAATTTGGAGGAGGGATTGCTGGAAGATGAAACAGCTTCAGACGGTTCAGAGAACGACTCCCCACCGAAAAAAAGGAAAAAAAGGTCTGAAGGAAGAAATAAGGATACTTCGTCCTTTAGACATTCTAAGCGTAGCAGTAGTGGAAAGAAGAAGAGCTCTAAAAACCGGGCTTACAATAATGTGAATGCATTTTTGGATGTTGAAGCTCTAGTTGGAGAGGATGACGAGGAAGATGAAGGCGAATATTATGAAGATATCTACCAAGAGGAGTCGGAATACGCCTCAAATGCAGCTGAAATTGGAGCCAGAAGAAGAGCTGATCTTGAAAGAGATGATAACATGGGGAGAAGGCATTTGGGTGGTGCTGGCCATTTGGAAGAAGCGATTGCACAGCTTGAGCGTAGATATGAGCAAAAAGAAGGTGAAGTAAGCGAATTTGAGCGGGAGACTGAAATGGGTAGTTCTGAAGTGACAAGTTCTATGCAGGCTTGCGATGTGCTTCCAACTTCAAGAGATCCAAAATTGTGGCTTGTTAAAGTTGATCGTGCTGGTCTTGAAAAAGATATTTGTATTGCTTTAGTTCAAAAAGCAGCAGAATGCCAAAAACAAGGTAAAGAGCTGCCAATTTTATCTGCATATGTTGCTTCAAGTTATAGAGGTTATATATACGTGGAGGCAGAAGCACCAAACTTCGTAAATGAAGCACTTCAAGGGTTTACTGGAGTTCGTCTTTCATCTATAAAAATTATTCCAGTTAAGGAAATGACTCGAGTATTTTCTGTGGATATGCAAGAAAAGGAACAACTTATGCGTGAGAGCTGGGTTAGAGTTAGGAGTGGGATTTATGGTGGTGATTTGGCCCAAATATATGAAGTTGATGAACATGAAGCCAATGTAATTTTGCGACTTGTGCCTAGATTAGATATTCCTGCACTTATAAGAAAGTCTCAGAATTCACAGGATGTAACATTTTCCAAATCAAGGATCAGACCACCAGCAAAGCTATTTGACCGAGATAAGGTTGAATCACTTGGCGGAGTAGTTGAGCTCACCCACTTACGTGGAACAGTGAAATTTGCAAACCAGCTTTTTGAGCAGGAAAAGGGTTATCTTTTAAAGAAGATGAAAGCAAATCGTTTAGTTGTTGGAGATGCAGTTCAGCCAACAATTGAAGAAATTAAGAGATTTTTTGGTGTGTCTGATTTATCAGAGGTAAATATTGATTCAAAGACTCTTCTTAAAACTCAGAAGTCTACCTCTTTCTTTGTTGGGGATACCGTAACAATAACAAAGGGTGAACTGATAGGAATTAAAGCCAAAGTAGTAGCAGTGAACTCTGGAATTAATAAGTCTTTGGAAGTTTTACCAATAGATAAGTCACTGGGAATTACCGAACCAATTCTTACTCAGATAGATCTTGTTTGCAAATCCTTTGAGATTGGAGACTCTGTTCAAATTATTGAGGGTGTGAATGAAGGTGAGTCTGGACTGATTACAAGCTTTGACCAAAATTACACAATGGCTATAGTTTATCCACTAAATGGAACTCAACCAATAAGATGTCCAACTAATTACCTTAAAAAAGTTTCTCAAGATATTGTAGTTACTAGCGGACTTTCAACTGTGGATGGGTTTTCTCTGGATGACTTGGTACAACTTTATAATGGTAAGGTTGGAGTCATAGTATTTGTAGGAAGAAACAAGAATTTGAGATTATTAGCCACTACAGGAGAAAGTATATCAATAAAATCTTCAGAAATTTCCTCAAAAAGAAACACTTCTCTTATGCATCGTATTCCTGATCGAAATGGTAACATTTTTGGAGTAAAATCCACTGTTCAGATTCTTGAAGGTGCAAATGCTGGGAAATCTGGTAAAGTTGAGCATATCTGGAAATCCACTTGCTTTATCAAACTACCCTCTAAACTTGATGATAGTGGATATTTTACTTGTGAAGGGAGGCAACTTTTGGCTATAAAAACTGGTGATAACAGCCGACTAGATGCTGCTACAAAATCCGAAAATTCGAATAAGAAGGGCAATTCTGGAGCTAAAAATTCTGGCGGAGGATCTGGAAGAGTTTATGGTATGGGCTTGCATTCCAACAGAAGAGGAGGACCGGATGACGTCTTCATTAATCAAAAAGTTAGAATACTAAGAGGCAAGCACAAAGCTCTTCTTGGCTCCATACGTGGATTCAAAGGCAATAATGTCGAAGTTCTTCTTGATATTGGACCTCATACTGTTCTTCTTCGTAGAGAAGACATAGTTCTTGTAGGGACTACAATAGGAAATAGCCAGGCCTCCAGTTTTGGTGGCCTGGCTAAACAAATGAATACCCATCCTGTATCCCAAATGAAGCAACCAAATTGGACTGGCGGAAAGGAACTTTCTCAACAAAATCCTGACCATAGTGTCGATAACTCTAATCATCCTCCTCTATTTTGCAGAAGAGGAGTAGAAGTAACAGTAGTTTCTCAAGGAGAATTCTTTAACCAAAAAGGAATTATATCCGATATTTTATTCCCACCTGAAGTTCCTCAAGTAACTTGCTATATTATTTTGATAATTAACGGGCAAATATGCCCTGACGAAATGATTGCAATTGCTCCTCAAAGCATTTCTCCAAATAAACCCATTCCAGGTGAGAATTCAATTTCTGTCTCCCCTCAAACTGGTGTTTTTACTGGAATAATAGACTCTGTTGAAGGTGATGATTTTCTCATTATGGATAGCAATAGGCAGTCTACTACAAAGGTTTCTGGCCAATTTGTATTCAAATATCACACTCCTCCGGAATAATCTTCACCTAAACTCTCTTTAGAATTAGTAGATAAATTGCTTTTATTAATTTAAAAATAGTTTTGAATTTAATTAAATTCTGGCTTTGTTTTAATTCATTAATTTAACTAAAATAAAAAAACTTATTTTTCACAAAAATTTCATCCACATGAAATTTGTGAATATGTGCCGGTATTGCTTGCAAATGCATGCGTGCATGCACATCCTCACAAATAAAAAGCAATGACGTAATGACATTACGTGGAATTGCATGTACCAGATAGATAATATTAATTTAATATTGGTAGATAAAAGTAGAAAAAATAAATTTGAAAAAATTCGATTTTTTTTTAAAAGAATGATTAGAAAGTAACTTATGCGAAGCAAAATTCAAGCTTGGAACCAGTGGATAAACCATATCACAATTAAATTCATTTTCAAAAGTCCACTAGAACTAACTGAGTCGGTCAGATGGTTGAAAAAATTTTGCTAGTGATTTATTTATTGAGTTTTGTAAGTACTTCATTCATTCAAACAAGTGCCTGGGAGAGTAGGAACGATTCAAATTATTTTACATTTTCATATTTGGAGGACTGGATGCCAGAATGGACAAAAATGAACAATAGGTACTTATTTAACGCATTGTATTATGGCCAAGAAAGCAATGAAAACGGTGAAGTTGAATTGAACAATATGCAATTAAAACAAATTCAATGTAGAATTGTTGTTTTAACTGCTGGAGACGAAGATTTCAACACTTTAGTGGAGTTGGAAAGAAACCGAATTGAGTATTCGAAAAATCAAAAGTACTGTTATCTACATTTCTTTTGTAAAAAGTCTAAGAAGTAAGTTTGAAAGTTTTTTTTACTTGCTATATAAGAATCATTTTTTACTCATAAAATTAGAGTGGATGAATCTAAAGATAATTCGGACCAAATTCAAGGCAAGTTTAAATTTAAAATTAAAATTTACCTTGACACAAATATTAGAGCATGAATGCGTTTTCCCTCATTACTGGAGATATTTAGCAATTTGGAAGTTATTCACAAGTAAAAAATTAGTAACTTATAATAGAAAAATCATTAACCTTACAAGTATTGATTGGGTCTTGTATATGGATTTAGATGCAATGTTTACAAATTATAAAATCAAAGTTGAGCAGATTATTGAAAGGTATACTTTAAATAGCACTTCTTTAATTATTTCAGCAGATACTAAGTGCTATGATGAAAAATATCCAATAAACAATGGAATCATGTTATTCAAAAATTCCTTGTTTTCTCTTCAATTAGCTTTTCAAGTATTGATTAAACAGGTAAGTTTTAAGTAATCAGTAAAAATTGTATTTAAAAAAAGTAAGAAAATGAATATTTTTGATTAACTATATTTACTTGTGTTTAAAGGCTTATAGGAATAGTTTGCTTTATAATGGAACAAATCAATGGAATGCCAAAGGTATGTAATAATATTAATATTTACCCAATACAAAGCCTTATTTTTTTCTAACTTTATTTAAAGGTTTGAAAGACCAGCCTTTATTAACTAATATACTTGTTCAAGATAAAAAGGAAATAGATGCTGAAAAGGTACTCAAGTATTGTACATTTGTAATGGAGCATAACTTAGATCTTAATGGAATTGTTTACTCAAGTGACCATGTTACAGTAGTTTCACCAAGAGTCATGAATTCTGTGAGGAGGAGTTCCACACATTTTAGAAAAGATAACTTACTTTGGCATTGGAGAAGTGGAGATTGGATTGCGCATTTGTCAGGTTAGTTTAGTAATTCAAAACTAATATTAACTAAAAATTAATTTTCAATCTTCTTTCAACTATATTTAACTGAAAACAAATGAATTTTGATGAACAAAGGTCTAACTCCAATGGCATCTTCCTTAAGAAAGAAGTTTATTAAACAAGTCTGTGATTCATCTCCAGATGAGGTTTGCCCTTTTAATGTAAGTTTAATGGATTTTGAATCATTCCGAAAATCTTAATTGGCATAAATTAAATAATTAGATTATAATTGATAACAATGAACTAGTGGTTGCGGAAAACAAATTATCATTAATTAGGTATAAAAAAGAACTTAAACTTTTGAATCAAGGCATTTTAAATAAAGATATTAAGCCAGTTAAAAAGGATAAAAAGAAATCCAAATTAAATAAAAAATCAAAAATGAGTGATTCAAAGAATAGTAACTTAGAGTCTAATTTAAATGAAAACAACTTAAAAATAACCAAATTTGATGAAATTAATTCAAAAGAGAATGAAATAGATGTTTTTAAAGATACAAACATTCATGTTTCAAATGGCCAAAACTCTCAACAAGATTCTAATCAGAATTTTGTTGGGTCAGGATTTGATAGTAAGGATTTTACTTCAAATTCCAACCTTGAAGCAGAGCCCAACTCTGAGTTAGTTTCAGACGAAGGACTAATCTCAAACTCAGAGCAAGACCAAGATACGGAGACAACCTTAGAAGCAGAAATAGTTTCAAAATCGGAACCAAATCTTGGAAAAGAACAGGTTGTTTCAGAATCTGGATATTCTTCTGCCTCGAACTTTGATTCCGTTTCAATTTCAGGTATAACGCTAGAAAAAATCTCTGAAGAAGGGCCCGACAATAATCCGATTAATAAACAAGATCAGCCTGGAAATAGATTCGAAAATCAAGATCTAGATATTAATCAACCCTATGACAATAAAGTAATAAGTACTACTCCAGAGGAGCAGAATTGACCAAATAACGGAGAAGAAGAGAACAAAGAATATAAAAGCAAGATAGTACCAAAAATAAAGACACAGTTCCTTGCCCCCATAAGAATAGAACTAAGGAAACATACGCATTCTGGTCCTCAAAATTGAAAAAAAGAATTAATACTTAATTTACTATGAAAATCTGATCAACTACTAAATAACTATGGCATTATTGCAAAATTTACTTAGCTGCCTTCTTCTTTTCAAGCTTCTTCTTGTAGAACTCCAACTCTTTACCTTCAAGGATGTATCCATCACATCTACCACATTGACCTGGACGGGAAGAAACGCAAGCAAGAAGACGACCAATTCCGAATTGCTCCTCAACTAATGGGTCGACAACATTGTTCATCAATCTGGCCTTTCTAGTTGCGAGCAAGTGACCACTTGCTTTTTGAGTGTCCTTTTCATTAGTAGCTTCATCAGCATTCTTGCGTCTACCTAATTCAACACCATATCTTTGTAAATAAAATTGTCTAAATGGAGTAGCATCAATCACAACAATTGCATTCTTAACTAAAGTCTTTGTACGAACTAACTCGTTGTTAGATGCATTGTATACGACTTCCATAATACGTGCCTTTCTAGAAATACCCTGTGATCCCCATGAATAGTTTCCACTATCAAGTCTAAGAGCTCTAAACTTCTTGTTACCACCTCTGCAACGAACAACTCTAATTCTCGGAGATGCTCCGAGCTTAGTATTAGAAGCTGGACGACCCATCTCATACTTTCTCTTCTTAACAACTATTGGCATACGGCCACCTGTGGCACGATGCTTGTGACGGCTATCTCTGCTAATACCCATTCTGGATTTCTTCTAAATATTATTCCTACAACAGATGGAGATAAATCTGTCTTTAAATGTTTCTATTATGCCGAGTCCCAGTTTTCTTAGCGCAAAATTATAATATTTTAGAGACAGAATTTCTCTTTCATTAATTTTTCTTAGAAATGCAATCTATTACTGCCTTTACTAATATTATTATTATTTATTAATTTATATACCGGTACCCATTATATTCCGTCTCTAATTGGGCGCCACAAACGGGCGGGTTGTATTGTCAGACATTTATTATAATATGCCAAATTAATACTGGTAAAAGTATAATACTATTACTAGTAACCAAAATAATTAATATTGAAAAATACAGTCAAATACAAGTAAAAAACAATACTTAGATAGAAAGTGCGGAAAATTAGATACAACACAGGAATATACTCACAATGATAAATAGGAATAGAATGAAATAGCATAAACCGACTCAAATTTACTATCACTAAAAGAAACTATATTGTTTACCTAGTCTAGATCCGCTGCATCAGCATTTGTGTATTTTCCCTTCTTAGTTGAGCGATTCTTGCGAGCAAGAAGTTCCCTTCTGTCTCTGTTTAACTTGAGCTTGGTAATGACAACATTTGATGGGTGAATTCCAATTGGGACAGACTCTCCGTTTGTCTTCTTTCTGGTGATTCTCTCAACATTTATGACAAACTTCTTTCTGTGAACACGAGTGACAACTCCCTCGTAGTCGTGATTGGAACCTCTAATGACCATAACCTCGTCACCTTTTCTGATTGGTAATGATCGGACCTAAAAATTAAGATATATTAATCAGAATTCAATAATCAATGAAATCTACTTAAACTTACATTGTACTTTTGTCTAAGCTCCTTCGACAAAGGAGAAGCCATCAACTCTCTTCTTTGAGTTGATGTGGTGGCGAAATGGTTCTTTCTACACTTGGAAGCAGATGAACTTACGTCTGTTAACAGAAAAATTGAGTTAAAAAACTCCTAATCACCATCTAATCAAACCAAAACTTACCCTTGCTAAACTTCATCTTTGTTTTTGCCTTAAACTAAAATTCCTCAAACAACGAAATTTCTCTAACAAAGCAGAGACTAATTACAAAGCCGCGGCGGCGTCTCTATTTCAATCATTTTAATTTTAATTCCCGCCTAAATGTTAATAAGTTAAATTAACTTTCCGAATTACATGCAAAAATAAAGGGAAAAAAATCAATTATAATTATAATTAATTATTAAGAAACTATCTTTCTAAAATAAAATAATGAGCTTTGAAATTTTGCTTTTTTTGTTATAAGTGAGATCTATATAATGCTGATTTAGATTGGAATATAGTTTTTAGTTGCGTTTCCCTTTAGGGCATACATGTTCATCATTCATTACATGTAATAGAACTTTGTTACAGCTGTTATTAATTGCAGTATTATCGTATCCTTTGCTCCAGTCATAGCTTAAAGAGTAGGCGAGGAGTTTTCCGGAAGGACTAAATTTGATATCAGTTACTGGGGCTGGCATCGTCTTCATAATTGTTAATCTGGATTTGTTGTCTTTGTCCCAAAAAGCTATAGCACCATCACTCCCTCCGGTGGCAAATGTTCCGTACTGTAGGTGGAAGTCAATGCTATTAATAGAGTAGGCAATATCAGGACTGCTACTGGTAACTCTGTGACACCTAAAGGGGAAATTCTTATCTCTGTGAGATTCCTCTATGTGGGCTATAGCACATCTACCTTCAATTGAACCAATAGCAAAACCCGTTCTATCTGGGAAAAGAGAAATTGATCTTGGTTGAAGTTTTAGTTGTGTCTGGATTCTCTTATATGGAGTTGGAGTAATGTTCTGAAGATTCCAGACATACACTGCATTATCTGCTGCTGCTGCTACCAATGCAGGATACTTAAGGTCCATTGCGTATACTCTCTCAGGAATACTTAGAGAGTAAATGGGGTTCTGAGACTGCCCATTCCAAAATTTAATAGTTTTGTCCCAACTTCCTGTTACCACAAACTTTTGCTCGTCGCACCAAAAAATATTAGAAATCGGGGCATCATGCCTTCCTATAGTTTGGCTCTGCCTGGATGACATATCGTGCATCTTAAGCTCATTGTCACATCCTCCGGAGAAGAGATACCTGCTATCTGAACTTATAGCACAGTCCAAAACGGGGGCAGAGTGTTGAAAAGAGGCTCCTATTAGAGTAATAAGTAAATTTTGAAAGGTCTTAAGGGTATTTAGAAACTTACCAAACCGAGTGTTGACAGAATTGCCACCCATATGTTGTACCTCCCATACGGTGACAGACTTATCCCAGGAGGATGCAGCTAATAAGGAGGAGTTCATCGACCAACACACCTAGTTAGGAAAATAGAATTAATACATGCTCCAAAAAGTGTTCAAAAGTCGAATTATTCCTTTAGAAGATATAGACTTATGTTAAGATTTTGCCTTAAGGCACAACTTACCTTACTAATGGAGTCGTTTGGGCAGTTGGAGAGTTCTATACTGTTATTCACATTGTACTTGTTCTGAGACCCAAAGGAAGAACTGGAAAACATTTTTATCGTCTTTGAAGAATATTCTTCTAAGACCTGTAGATTTCAAATTATTTTTTTTTTTAGCCAATTATTTTGTGGGCATTTATTTGCGCCTATTTAAAAATTACGTGTAAATATTATTTAATACCGGTATAAGGAAATTTTGTTACAGGGGAAATTATTTATTTACATAATATTAAATAAAGCGAGATCCTTTCTATGCCAACTTAAATGATGAGAATTGCTTGAAGAAAGGTTAAGTGAAACTACAAAATATGAACAATGGTAAGTATTAAAGGCAACAATATGAGCAATTTCAAAGAGGATGAGAAAATAACCAAAATTGAGACAAGTGAATACAGAAATTACCAATTCCAGACTACTTACTACAGTGATTCTGTTGCAAAGTTTAATGCTTTGAAGAAGAAGACATATTTTCCAGTAGTTTTGGTTGCAGGAATAGCCTACATTGCTGCTCAGATTCTAATGGAAGGAATCCTCAGCCCTTCAACCTGGTTGAGAGCTATTCCAATTTTAATGTTTTTGTTAATATATTATAGAAGAATTAGAGTCAGAGACCAGACGATTTTGATTTTCTATGGTATTGGAGTCCAACTAGAAACAAAATATCTTTTTGGAAAAACCTGTACCTTCATTGAAAAGTCAAAGATACTTTCCGCTATTATCTACGACAAAATGACATATATGGAGCTTTCTCCATGTATAGGACTTGTAGTAAAGAATGAAAAATCCCTAATCATGCCATTTTCTGATTTTACAATCCCCACAGAAAAGAACATACTCATCTACAACGTATTAAAGATGATTTAATTAACAGTAATAGTTAATCAATACATATATCCAAACTATCTAATCTAGATAAATTTATAGATTTCTCATTATATTACTTAGTTTTATATTTTCTAATTAATTCATATTTATTCATATAAATGCCTATTTTGGCGCCAACATGCTCGAATTCGCGTCAATATCCCGCAATATGCAGACCCAAATTGCATTGCTCGAGGATGAGAAGTTCCTCACAATTAAAATTATAAATCATAGGATAATTGGAAAGGAACTGTACTAATAAAAATTAAGGGTATTATTTGTTGTGGGTAAAGTGGCAGACTGTTGGTTTAGGACAAATAGTTAATTGGCAGTAGCCTCAAAATAGTATTATCCATAGGTTTTTCAGGTGTCAGAATGCTCAAGGGATTTTGATTGTGTTAGCTGAAGGATTTGCAAAGATTCAACATAAAAGGTAGTAAATAACGTCAACCTTGAGAATTAATTGAGTACATATTTTTTTTTGACTTACTTTGGTTTGTTATATTTACAATTTGTACTAATTTTTGGTGAAATTAAATCAATTGAGAAACGGAATCAGTTATAAAGAATATTTTTTAGATAACAATTTGATTGAACAATTGTTGTTAAAATCATTGAATTAGAGAGGAAGTATAAACTGTGTCCTTTACTTTTCTATGGATAATCAACAGCTGGAGCTAGAAAACACTAATTACAGTGAAAGCTCGTCCAACACAAAAGCTTTAGCCAGCCTTAAAGGAAGCTTGCCAGAGGACTGTTACTATAGTGCAGATGAGGATTTCCAGCTTGAGAATGAGGAGGTGGTTAATACAAGCCTGGTAGCTCCTAGTGGAAGATTTTCGAATTCGAATAGGAGCAGTGGATTAAAGACTTTAGGAAATAACAGCCAAAACTTCAAACAGGAAAATGGCCGGAGCCAAAAAATCTCTTTATCTGGGCTTGAAAATAGATTTCAGGATAATATTAAAGGAAAGGGAAGAGTTTTTGGTAATGTTTACCAGTTAGAGAAAACTGGGATTGATGAGTATACTTGCCAAGCTTGTGAGCTTGATACAAACTCAAGCCTGTCAGTATTATCAAGTTCAGAAGACAATATCTCAGAGTTTAGTGTGTTAAGCGATACTGATATATTTTCACTTCCAGTTGAAAAACAAAATTCATTAATACTTAAAGCTTCTAAGATTGGGAATCTTCAATTAGTTCGTCAACTGATTGCCTCTTCCAAATTAAATGCTAATGCTACCAATGAAAAAGGGTTTTCTTCACTTCACTGGGCTTCTCTTAAGGGGCATTCCCAAGTGGTAGAAGAATTGTTAAATGCTGATGCTGACCCCAATTCTAAAAATATTATGCTCTGCACTCCTTTGCACTTTTCAGCCAACAATGGATTTGACGAGATTGTAAGCAAATTATTAAAGGCAGGTGCAGATCCTAACTCCGTAAGTGCTCTTGGACACACACCTATATTTTCTGCAGCTTTTATGGGCCATGAAAATACTGTAAAAACTTTACTTAAAAGTGGTGCCGATCCAAACCACAAAAATAAGCAAGGCCTAACTCCTAAAGGTGCAGCTGAATCCCAAGGTTACTCAGATATTGTAAAAATCCTAGAAGGAGCGTGCATGCACTGATTTTTGTATGGGCCAAATTATATGCTGTCCACATGAATGCATGCATTCATATATCAAAAATTGATGTATATTTCGAAGCCTATGAACATACTAGTTTTTGGAATTGAATGGATTATTAACTGTCTTTTTCTTGTCTTTCTTAGCAATGTTGTTGCTGGGATTCAGGAACTCGTATGGATTATTAATATTTGGAAAAGTTTGTAAGAGAAAGGAAAGTTAGTAATAAGACTAAGCAATAATAGTAAAAATTTCCATGTAAAGGTAGTAAGCTTAGAGGAGATTGTGCTTTTTAAGGATAGGAAGATAGGATATATAGAAGAGATTCAGAAAACTTGTTAGGATTTAAGTCTCTAAGTTTAATAACATTTAAGTCATTTTATACCTTATTCTTGACAATTAGTTAGAGTAGATAAAAATGGTGAAAAAGACGAGTAAATAGAAATATATATATTATAATAACAACTGCCTTGAAATAGAGAAGAAGCTTATATGGATAAAGTATGGTGTAGCTCTTTTATTGCGGTAGCAGAGGTTTACAATTATTTAGTGCGTAATCGATGTATTTGCATAATTGAGGACATGGGAGTATTTGAGATTCAAATGACCAAGAACATGTTTCAAATACAGGACAGGCTAGACAAGGAACATCTTCTGCTTCGGGTGTGACAGCAAGCGATTCCGGCCATTTTAAACACATGAAAAAAATCTCATTTGAATTAGAATTTCCTCCTTTAACACAAAGGATTTTAAGCTCAACAATAAGCATGTTTATTACGGACTGCAAATCTGAAAGGGATATATTCTTTCTGGCTGAGGATGAATCCATGTTCATATCATAATTGATAAACTCTAGTATTTCTTGTACCGTACATTTTCTTTTGCTATCAATAAAAGATATAATCTTCTCTTTAATATTGTCTACAAAAGCCATATCAAATTCACCGTTTTCATAAAAAGTACCTCCTGACAGTTCTTTAGAGGGTTCCAACGAAGCCAAAATGTAAACCTTTCTGTTCTTTACATGGATACTTTTTACTGGTCGAATAAGATTCCAATCATTACATAATACCTTTACTGCTCGTTGTACAACATGTGTTTGTAAACCTGTGTTTTTTCTAATATCGGCAGTCCAAATTCCATGATTACCCGCATCTTCTATTGAACAAAAAACCAGATACTCCTCATTAGATAGTTTATTAAGCTTACATGCAACTTCTTCAGTTCTTAATTGAAAGACGACTTTATTACTAGCAGAACTTAATAACCCAGATGATTTACTTTTTTTTACAGAGCATAGTCTTTTCTCAGTAAAAATGTTTAGTACTCGTACTATTATAGAATTTTCCCAGCCTAATGACTTCAAAGAGTCTGGGCTGAGCTCATTATTATTCTGACATCCATGGATATATGCTTCCTGCAATATAGCAGCTGTAATCTGTGTCTTACCGTTACCAGCTCCTCCTGGCTGACTCATTCATAAATACAAAATTACTTAATAATTCTTGTTAGATTTAGTAAATTTTTCAAGTATTTTGTATTCCTATTTTTCTTTCAAAATCTTTCACCACAATTAATTTTAGTGACCTTTGGCGCCCACAAATATGGCGCCAGAAGTGCAAGCATGCAACTGTAATTTGTATTATTGCATGCAAAGCAAAAACGGAGCAAAAAAGTCAAGACTGGGGTTTGGATATTATAAATTCGTGTGATTTTCTATTAATAATTTAAGGGTTATGGTTTAATCATAATAAAGTTCGAATTCTTTGGGGGTTGGAAAAGACTCCACCATAACAATTTCGTCGCGTTTAAGCTTGATATAATTAAGAATAAATTCATGCGAAAAAACTCCATCTTTAATGAGGAATTCATAATCTTCTTCAAGATATTGAAGCACCTCACTAAGTGATTTCGGCAAATTATATTCGTTATTTTGAGTTTTACAGGTGTTCAAGTAAGCAGCAGGGTGGATTTTACGCGAAATCCCATCAATCCCAGCACACAGAATTGCAGAGAATGCCAAGTGTGGGCATGTGGATGAGTCAGGTAGCCGGAATTCAATCCTTTGAGTTTTAAAACAAGAAAATCCTGATAAGGGAATTCTAATGGCAGAGCTCCTGTCACCGGCTCCGTAGGAAAGCCTGGCCGGTGTTTCGTAGCCAGAAACAAGTCTCTTGTAACTATTAGTGGTTGGATTTGTAAAAGCCATAATAGCCTTTGCGTGGGAAAGTAATCCTCCGATGAAATAAAGTGCTTTGTTGGATAAATTAAAATAACTTGATTCGGGATCAAAGAAAATGTTCTTTTCATTTTTCCAAAGAGAGATATTGATGTGCATTCCACTCCCATTATCATTTCCTAGAGGTTTTGGCATAAAGGTTGCAGTCTTGTTATTTCTATGTGCAATTCCTTTTATCAGATATCTTGTGGATTCCACAATATCAGCCGAATGGATAAGAGTAGAACAATGAACACCGATTTCGTGTTGGCAGGTTGCAACCTCATGGTGATGCTTTTCTACTGGTACTCCGATATTTTCGAGCTCTTCAAGAATTTCGCTTCTCAAAGATAAATCTCTATCTATGGGATAAGGAGCACAATATGCTTGTTTTAGTGGCCTCCTACTTGCAAGATTTGGCCTATTGTGGGGGTAGAAGGTTGTGTTGTTCCCAGAATTCCAATAAGCTTCGTCACCATCAAGGCAGAAAGAACTATGATTTGGTGAGCTATTGTAACTAACAGACTCAAAAACAAAGAATTCAATTTCTGGCCCAATAAAACATTTGTCAGCAATTCCAGATGACAAAAGAACTTCTTGAGCTCTTTTTGAGATTGACCTTACACATCCAGGTGAAGGCTCTCCTGTGTGGAATAGTACAAAACAAGCAACATGAAGTGTTTTTCTATTAAAAAATGGATCAATCCAAACTCTCTCAAAGTCCGGTACAATAATCATATCTGAAAAATCACCATACTGCATTCCTCTTACTGAACTTGAGTCAAATGCTATTCCCTTTTGAATATCTTTACCAGACTTAAATAAGTTAGAACTGATTGTGATATGGTGAAGAGACCCAAAAGTATCACAGAAAGAGTAGTTCAGATATTCAATATTTTCTGTCTGAATAGCAGAGTAAAGCTCATCAAAACCTTTGCAAACAAAACTGGAATTATTGAAGTTATTCATCCCTCAGAAAAATCTAATATAAATTGAAAAAAAAGCTCCAGAGAAGTTGAAGAATTTATCTTCCCCTAGATAAAAAATTATGCATTTTAATTGAGCGAGCCTCATGCTCCTCATTTTGTCCCAGATATCCTAAATTTGCATTTTAAAGCAAAAAACATGTATAAAGACCTTTTTCCCGGTTAAAGGATGCTGAAAATCGTAAAGGCGCCAAAATAGGAGATCACTTAACCCCGGTCTAAATGCATTAAAGAATTAAGTGTTTTTTTATTAAAATTTAAAGCTTCAAATTGAGAAATTAAAAACACCGTAACTCTTTTTGAAGGTTTATTGTCACAAATCTCTGGAAATACACATGCAAAACTCCAGAGATCTGGACTCAGGGACTGGCCTCTTTGGGCAAGGATCACTTGTATGGATTCCGTGTCCCAAAGAGGTCTGGAGGCCGGGCGTAGTCTCGAGAGTCGATGATTCCCAAATTATCGTTAAAGTTACAAATACTGTTGACGATTTGACGCTTGAGGAGGTTTCTGAGGAGGTTATTTTTAAGCTTCCTTTGGAGGTTGGATCTAATATAACAGGGGGGCAGCTCCATATAAGAGCAGCTGAGCAACTTTCAGACTGTGGTGTGGTTACTCCAGACGATCTTTGTGAGCTAACTCACCTTCATCAGCCTTCGATTTTACATGCAATTAACTCTAGATTTGATCTTGATAAGATTTACACATTCACCGGCCCAATTTTAATTGCAGTAAATCCCTATAGAGATTTGGATGGTTTCTATTCTATGGAAATGATTCAGAAATTTAGGTCGAAGAGTACTTTTGATGTTCCTCATGTATTCACTGTTGCTAATAAGGCATATTCGGGTGTTTGTAGCCAGAGGAAGTCTCAAACAATATTAATAAGTGGAGAGTCTGGTGCTGGGAAAACTGAAACGACCAAGTTTGTGCTTCAATTTTTGACAGTAGTTGGTTCATCACAGAATATCAGTAACTCAAGCAGTGGAAACTCAGTTAATGGAGTTGAGAAAAGGTATTCATTTATTGAGGATCAAATCATTCAAAGCAATCCTCTTTTAGAAGCATTTGGGAATTCGCAAACTTTGAGAAATCATAATTCTTCAAGATTTGGGAAGTTCATTGAAGTCCAATTTGCTGAATCTGTCTCTAATCCAAGTTTGAAGTCAGATGCGGGTTCTATACATATTACTAGTGCTTGCATAAATACTTATTTGCTTGAAAAGGTCAGAGTATGCCACCAACAGAAAGGAGAGAGAAATTTCCATATTTTTTATCAGCTTTGCTCTGCTGCAAAACATATAATTGCTCAGGGATCTTCTCAGGCTGAAAATATGGTATATAGATTTCCTTCTCATAATACTGAGTCTATATTATTTTCTGGTCAGGGTTCTGAAGGCATGATTTTGAACCATATGGCACAATTGAGGGAACAGTTATTTTCTAATCCTATGGAAATTGATCTTTCTCACATAGTTTCAGAGAAGAATTTCAAGTATTTGGAAGGTTCTGAATGCCTAGCTACTGACTTTCACCAGTTTGAAAAGACATTATATGCAGTAAGAACAATGGGGATCACTAACGACCAACTATATAACATAATCAAAGTAATTAAGGCAGTCATGTTTTTGGGTAATGTTAAATTTATAGAGAATGAGGGAGAGTCATCAATTCCTCATGAATCGTGTATTCAAGATTTGGAAATTGTTGCATCACTTCTTTCTTTACCTAAAGAGGATGTTATTCGTCTTTTGACTTGCCGAAAGATTCACCTTAGAGAAGGTGAGATTATGAAACATTTAAGCGTTCAGGAGGCTGAAGCAACAAAAGATGCAGTTTCTAAAGCTCTATATTCTCTGGTATTTGACTATATCTTACATTTGGTAAATGCTCAGATATCTAGAGAAAGAGTAAGTATAACTATTAACAACGAAGAAAAGGATAACAAAGGTTTATATTGTGGAATTCTGGATATTTTTGGCTTTGAATGTTTCCCAATCAACAGTTTTGAGCAACTTTGTATTAACTTTGCAAATGAAAAATTGCAACAGATATTTAATGATTACATTTTCAACATTGAACAGGATTTGTATATAAGAGAGGAAATAAGCTGGGATCCAATAGACTTTCCAGATAATGGTGATTGTGTTCAATTGTTACAACAACAGAAACCAGTTTTGGGAATTCTCCCAGCAATAGATGAAGAATGTTATGTTCCACAAGGATCTAATACTGGATTATTGAACAAACTAGTCAAAGAATACAATGGGAAGAATAGTAGATTCGAGATTGTGAAAAAGAATCCAAATAACTTTGTGATTGTCCACTATGCAGGACCTGTTTCATATTGTGTTGAGAACTTTATAGAGAAAAATAAGGACCAACTTTCACAGTATTCTACGGAGGTTTTATCAAACTCAGAGAATCCCTGGGTTTCTGATTTATTAAAGGCCAAGTTTTTGGAGAATACTTTGGACTCTGAATCCAATACAAAGTCCAAACGACAACAAACTCTCGGTTCATCTTTTAGGAACCAACTGAACAGGTTAATTTCAACTATTCAACAAACAAATCCTCATTTTATAAGATGTATTAAACCAAATGAGAATAATTCACCAGATGAATTTGATAGAATCTCAGTCTCAGAACAGCTAAAGTATGGTGGCGTACTTCAAGCTATCCAAGTTAGCCGTGCTGGATATCCTGTGAGATTTCCTCATTATGAATTCTTACTTGATTATATGATACTTTTTTCACCATGTGGGCAACTTCCTATTAGTAAATCTAAAGATGAATATGACAAATGGTGTAGGAGTATATTACATTCAGGTCAAGAATATCAAGATACAAAGAGTATATCATCTTTGTCTATATCAAATAGTGCAACAAGAAAGAGTCAGATAATTGAGTTAATGGAAAGCTTAAGCTTTTCTAATCTTATTTTGAAGGATGAACAAACAACCCAATGGGCGGTTGGGGTCACCAGAGTGTTCTTGAAGGTTGAAACTTTTAGAGATCTAGAACAGCTTAGAGTACGTGTTAGGGATACTGCTTCTACAAGGATTCAAAGCATGTGGAGAATGGTTTTATGTTCTAATCAACATAAAAAAGTTCTCAGGGCCATTGTTATTATCCAAAGCATCTGGAAAGGAATTTTATCCAGACGGAGACTCAAATTCCTTCTTAAACAAAAAGCTGCTCTTACTATTCAGACTATTTTCCGAGGACATATTGCGCGCCAAAAGTTGAAATGCATGCAGTTACGTGTCAGAATGATCCAATCAAGATGGAGGGTATATTTAAGGAGAAAGGAGGCGGAGGAAAAGTTATACATCCGAAAGATATGTTTAATTCAGTCTACATTTAGGATGTATTTGCAGAGAAGATATTTTGTTAGATTGTTGGAAAGTGTATTGAAGGCTCAGATATTATGGAGAGGAAAACTTGCAAGAAGACAATTCCAAAAACTTAAGAAAGAGAGGAATGAATTTAGTGAGCTGTTTTCAAAATATCAGGAGGCTTTAATTGAGATTCAGAAACTGAAATCTAACTGTTCACGTTTAGAGGATCAGCTTTATAAGGCTTTATCAGAGCGTAATGCTTTAAGGGATGAAAAAGAGCAACTAAGCCAGGAGATATTTTCTCTTAAGAATGATGAGAAAATTGGTTCTGACTCTCGTATTTTGGTTGATATTCCAGACCAGGACCAGAATCATGATAATAATCAAGTTTCACAAAATATTAACAATAATAATTCTATTTCAGAAGTATTTTCCCAATTCCAAAGTCAAGAAGGAAAAGATATTGTAAATGAGATGGAGATTTCAAGACAAAAAGAAATATTTAAGAGGCTTTTGAGGTTATCATCATATCCTTTTTCAAAGTTGGAGTTACTGGAATCAATTCCAGAAATATTATTTCCGAGGGATTCTCATTCAATTGTACTGAATTACCAAGACAGACAGATTGGGCTTCTGTTTGCAGGGTCATCAGGGAGTGGAGATAAACAACTTTTAGGGAGGTTTATGGTCGAAACAGGAGCTGGCTCGGTAGATGAGAATAGCTTACAGGTATTCACAATTGAGCTGTCAAACATTCCAGGAGCGCACGTAATGTCTACACAGGAATGTTTAAAAGGAAGTTACTATGGTTCAGAAGAACACAGCCATAGAGTTAGAGAATCTAGTGTGGGAGAGAGATGGCCACTTAATATAATGAGTATAACATCTCTAGAAAAGGATGAATTTTGTCAGCAAATTGAAAGCTTTCTCTCTAGAACAAGAGTGGCAATTTTCGTTTATGATGTGGCAAATGCTGAATCTTTTAGAGCTCTGAGGGGAGAAAGTAGTAATGGTGATTTTGGAATACTTAAAAAAGCTATAGAAAATGGATGCAAGGTAGTCTTATTTGGGAATTTATACAGAGTAATACACAAATCAGCTAATATAGAAGTAGATATTGAGCAGGTAAGAAAGATTTCTTGTGATTTGGATATTATTTCTATAGAGTCAGACTCGATTTCATCTTTGGTTTCCTCAATTGTGGGTATTATTAATGCCAGAAACCACTTAGAGCTAAAAACTGCTCAAATGGAAGATATTCAAGTAGGAGCTGAAGATAAAAGCCTTAAAGATACAATGGTTAATAAAGATGGGTTGGAAATAACTTTAGAGAGAAATACAATGCAACAAAAACAATTAAATAACTCTCTTTTATCCAAGTTTAATGATGGAATAAGAGCATTTGGTCTTAGAATTCCAAAATTCCCAGTATCAAAGACAGTATCAGATAGAAATGAATTTTTAGTGGCAACTATGGAGATAGAAGAGTCGGGTAACTCTTCTAAAGTTGAAAGGCAGGGAGGAATTGGACCAGTTATTAACATTAAAGATGATCAAAACAGTTCGGTTACTCATATAGTATTCTGCAGAGATATTCCAACTGAGCCACATACAATGCTTTTAGTTGCAAGAAAGAATGGAGTAATTCATGCATATTACTGCTACAAGACCCATTTAGAGGATGGTATTGTTGATGAAAATTCATCTTTAGAATGGTCAGGAAAAGTTGAAGAAGCTTATTCAAGAAAAGCACATAACAGAGCAATAACTTCTTTAGCTCTTTCTCCTGATGAATCAGAGTTTTTATCCACATCCATAGATATGACAGTAAGAAGATTTCTAACAGCTACAGGCCATGCTATTAGCTTGTTTTCTGATAATTCTCCAGTACTTGTTGGGTCTTACTTACCTTTTCTACCATCTTTATTTATTGTTTCATCTTCCAAACCACTTCTGAGAATTGTAAATGTGGATGTTGGAGTTGCTCAGAAGATTAAAACTGACTCAACAATTAGAGCTTTGTGTTTTGATAGTACTGGAATTTACTGTTTTGCTGCATGTAAAGAGGGAAGAATTTATGTTTTAGTAAACATAGCAGCAAAGTCTTCATCCAGAACTTCCGTAGAAACAGACTTCAGATTTACAGACAAAAGAGGAATGCAGGTCTGTAGCAGAGCCATTACGAATATGCTATATGTACATGGATCTTCTGACTATTCTAATGTTAGAAAAACGCATGTAAATGGCGCCATTGGCACAGGTTTAGGCGGGTTTTCATCCTTATTACCAGTATTAGTGGTAAATGCAGCAGACTCCACAATAACAATAATAGATATTCGGTTGCAGGCTCCAACTGGCCAGATAGATGTTTCAAATGTTCCACATGTGGTTTTGCAAGTGAGATTTAGGATTCCGAATCCCCATTCATTAATGCCTTTGAGGTCGTGCTATTCGTCTAGGAATGGTCTTTGGGTGGCATCCGCTGCGGAAGACTGTTCTGTTAGGGTTTTCCAGCTGAACAATGACTCCTGTGAGAAAGAAAGTTTGGTTTTGGCGGGTCATTCAGCTCCAGTAATAAGTACAGCAGTGAATGCATCATCCACATTATTAGCAAGCGGAGATGCAGATGGGATAGTAATAATTTGGAGGAGATTTTCAAAATCATAGAGCTTCAGAATTTAGAACGGATGTATCTATAGTGATATAGATACGGAGGAGAGAAGAGAGAATAAGGAGGAAAGGGATGAATTAGAAATTAGTTATTATAATGCTTTCTACTCCTAATACAACTTAAGGTGTGCAACGGTGCCAGCTAAAACACCTAAATCTGATACCGTTAACTAATAATTACAAGTAATAATTGTTATGTTTGGTTATTTTGCTGATTAGCTGGTTCTACGATACAAATAGAGGTACCCTTTTTCTTTGTGGGGGAAGTTATCCTCCTTGCTTAAATAGACTTTAGTATCATTAAATCTTACCCATATAGAGGAAGATGGTTCTTGGTGATCTTTTCGTTTGTTATAGCAAATATAGTGTCCACTGTGTACACTTTTTCCCAGATGGCAAATAACTCCAATTAATTCATATTTTCCAGGGCCATCCTCGAGCTCTGGAAGCTCTGAAGTATTGGGAGCAGTTACTTGTATCTGTGTCTCTTCAAAACTTTCAATAATACAAGGGTCATCAAAGATCATTTGGATAGCTCTTTCTAAGTTTTGGTTTGAAATCTTAAGTGCTTTTTCTGCTATATCTCTTGAGCAACAACATATAGAAACTATATTTTCAATAGCTTCTAAATCCTGAGGAGACACTGAATTATTTACTTTGGAAGTAGTGGAAGAAGATGAATTGGCTGAAGTTAAATCCATAGTGTTGATTGTATCAATGTTAGTTAGAATCCAATTGATACATATGTCTATATCTGTTGAAGAAGTATTTTTTACTGCCAGCTCAGCGTGAGATTTAGTAAATCCCAAGTCCAAAACAGAGCTCACCAAAGATTCTGGAACTTGGATCTCATTTTTTGAAACTATATCAGCTTCATCTCCTTCGGGAAAAGGTTTTTCACCAGGTTTTAGGTTTTCAGAACCTCTTAAATTCTCTAGATCTAGAAAATTCGGAACTTTAACACTTAAATTAATCTTTTTAGGCTTCCAGTCATCCGATAAATAGAATCTCTGCATGTGTATAATCAGGTACTTTGGCATAGTTTTTATAAAATTGGACTTCCCAGCCTTTCCCAGTTGGTTGGTACAAGGAGAGAGAAAACTTTCAACAATTTCTTCTTGTTTCCAATTGGAAAGCAAGAAGGAAATATCACTAAAACGTTCATCACTATCGCTCTTTTCCTGGTCGTTAGTGGTATTTGAATTTTGTGGAACAGAATCCTCATCCTCACAAGCATGCTTTGGTTTTTTTGACTGTCTGGTATCGGAACAATAGGTAATTAAGTCTTTAGGTATTGGAAGAGATAATACATTATTCAACTGAGAACTCAGTTTTACAGACCCAGATTGTTTACACTCGAGTCTCTCACCAATGAAGAAACTGAAGAGAGTGAGAAATTCTTGGATTAACTTTTGGAGTTCATTTGAGGCATAATTTAAATACTTTTTCAAATCCTCAGAGAGCTTTTCTTGAAGGAAAGTAAAATACTCGAGGGTATCTTGTTGATGGGATGAGGAAAATTCAGGATTACCCTTAGAAATAGTTCTTTTCAACATTGAGGGGAGAACATAAACCAAAAAAGGATTAATTTCACTTTCTGTTAAAGTTTCAATTATATTCTCATTAATTCCTTTTTCCTTTAGCTCAGAAATAGACTTTTGAACATCTTGAGAACGAGATGAAATCTTATATTTACGATCTTTAATTACGTCATTTGAAAGTAAAGCTTTTATTACTTTGGAGAACTGAATTACAATGCTATCTCTTGGTCTTGTTTTCTGAATAAAATTTGCAGAATAAATTTCCAGTAGATCCTGAAAATGACACGAAAATAATTCTCCTACCTCTGAAATACCCGCTAAAAGCTGTAAAATCACATTAACATAACAAGAATTACCAGAGTTCTCAAGTCCTACCAAAACTGCCTGATCTTTGTATAGCTTACTCATTGATACAAAACTCCCATCTTCTTCGGACTCCATTCCACTTGTCAAATCCAACTTGTTGTTTTGCTCAATTTGCATCTCTACTAAACTCTTTTCAGTTTTCTCAAGCTGCCCCACATTTATCCCAAATACAGACAGGTGTCGTACCAGGTGAGGGTCTACAACCAAGTCATCCTCTTGTGGGTCGTAAGAAAACACGTCTGCATTTCCAAATTGAGTTATAGTCCCCAACTTAACTGCCAAAGGCCTTTCTATGTGTTCACGATAATGGAGTAAGGCTGCTCCCTCTTCCTTCCCATCGAAACAGCCACCTCCCACTCCATATAACCTTCTTCCACAACCAATAAAGCCGTCTGATAAATTCAACCACAAATTTTTATTGGCTCCACACTTCTCGCATGCCCAACCTTTTGGAGGCACTTGTTTTGGGGAAGACACCTGGAAAAGATTCTCAGCATGTTTAGACACCTTTCTTTCTTCAGCCCAAGTAACTAAAGAATCAGTGTCCTTACTCAATTCCATATTCTGGTCATACTGGATTATATAGTTGAGCTTCTCAGAAAGCTCTCTAGGAACCTGGTCATCTTTTAAACTCATAGTATTCATGTCTGGAATACTTACCAAATTATATTGAAATAAGTCCTCAAAAAATGGCTTCTCTGGGAAATACCCTCCCTTCTTGCCTATAGACAAATTTGTGGGATTCTCAACATTTTCCGAATGATACTTTCTAGTGCCTTTGATACTTAAGTAAAGCCTACAACCACTCTGCTCATAATCCCAATTAAGGAATTCTGTACTGTAAGCTTCAAAATTTTTCAAATTAACGTAAAGTCCCCCTTCAGAAAAGTAATCCTTGAATGACAATTGACATTGTGACTTATAAACTGGGTCCTTTCTCTCTACCTTACTTCCAACCAGTTTCAAATACTCCTCAAAAAGTTCATTCATCCTTTCTACCCCAAAATCTTTATGAAAAAAAAATTAATAAATTATTAAATTGAATAATTCACCAAAATTTAATAAATTGATTTATATTTCTGCAAATGTGGGGCCTTTTGTGTACACCGGTGCATGCAATGCATGCAATTTATTTTTGACACGTAATCAAAAATTTTGAAAAAAAAGTAACACGTAATGGCTGAACTATCAATAATTTAATTAAAGTAAAAAATTCTATTAATTTTGTTCTTTCAAGTGGAACTTTGATAAAACCTTTATTTGTTTATGGTTATTCTAATATCACGCTTGCCCCGGCAATTTTAAACTCTGAGTGATTAAATATCTGTATTAGCACTAAAGTTGTTTATGATATTTACACACCTCTAATTAAAAAGATTGAGACTCAAATAATGAAAATAGTGTCAACAATAACAAAAGTCACTTGCCAGCTCCGCAGTTCTACAGCTGTGTGTTTGAATATTGTATCTCCTCCTTCCTCCTAGTCCTTACATGTATTCACATATACTCTCAGGCTGTATTCTCTTCTTGAATGCTTTTTTTTTTATTTTTTATTTTTTTTCTATCACACAATTTGTTCACATTTAGGCGCCATAGACAAAACAGCGTGTGGCGCCAGCACTACAGGGTGGGGTTACATGCTGAATGTGAGGATCAAAAAAAAGTCGTAACAGGGAAGAAAAGAAAAAGAAACTGAAGGAAGCGGTTCGAATGCAAGATAGTTCTGAAATATTTGGAATTCAATTTTGTGACCATAAAATCTGCGCATAAAGTTCGTGTCAAGTGTACAGAGGGACTAGAGAGGGTCATAAAGCTTATGATATTGATAGCAGGTAGGTAGAGTTAGCCAATACTCACTCAGATGAACTCTGGAGGTTTACCGGCCAGCTATTCAGCTAGAAAACGCAAAAATGGTGCGTGTTTTTTGTTATTTATTATGACCATGATAATTATGCTGTATGCTTGTTATGTAGTGATTCTTTTACAACCCTTGTTTGAGATTTACTATATAGGAGCATCAGTCTCAGCAGCATTCCATCTTGTTTTTGCTCTGTTTTTGATATCTTTTTACCAGTGTTCAAATACGGAGCCAGGAAGAGTTCCAGCAAAATGGGGATTCAGAGTTGGAGACGAATCCAAAAGAAGAAGATACTGTAAAGTTTGTCAGGTTTGGAAACCAGATAGAACTCATCACTGTTCAGAATGTGGAAAATGTGTTTTGAACATGGACCACCACTGCCCATGGATTAATAATTGTGTTGGATTCTATAATCGGAGGTTTTTTATTCAGCTTTTAATTTATGCTCAGCTCTCTCTGTTATTCTTATTTGTCCAGGGAACTATGTTCTTAATTGAACAGTATATTACTTTATGGCCATATAATCATGGGACTGACCCAACTCCACTTGGAAGATCTATTGAGGCCATGAAGCTTACATCTGTTATCGTTATGTTAGTTATTGTTACTCCACTATTACTTGCCTTATTTCCATTTTCGAGACTACATATTGGCTTTATTGTTAGAAATTTAACAACTATTGAAAGTTTAAGCCCACAAAGTCCTGAGTACGGGAGATATGATTTGGGGCCTGAGAGAAACATACAGCAAGCTTTTGGATATAATCCTATGCAATGGTTTTGTCCTTTCAACACCAAGTCCTCGAGACCAGTAGGTGATGGTGTAAGGTGGCCAGTTAGATGCCCTGAAATGGATGACCTTGAAATGGGACAAATCCCAATTTATAATCATCCAAATGTTACTGATAGAAATTCATATCATGGCCACCAGAATCTTTCTCCCTACAATAATAGTGGAGTTTACCACCAACTATAGCTAATTGGGAACTGCTATCCAATCAATTCTAAGCGAAACTCTCTAGAATCAATTCTCGTAGGACCTCTAACTTATATATATATTTACTCTAAATACACGTCTACTTTCTAATATACTAAAAAGCTTTAAATCCATAAAACTCTTAGAAAAGAGTCTCTACTAAATTTCAATATATTTTGAGTATACCTAAATTGTGAGAGACTGAGCACATTTGGCCAATCCATTTGAGAGATGGAGCAAAATCTCATTATTCTCCTCCAGTTTCGCAGTTAAATCCAGGATAGAAGTCAAGTTTTTGGAATCTGTTCTCTCCTCAGAATGGTCAATACCACTTTGAATCTTTGTATCTAATGATCTGCTTTCCAAGATCTTGTTGCAAATAGAGGTGGGATCCTCTGAAAACACCACCTTCTCAACTCCTCTATCCGAATTAGATATATGGCTGTTTAGCATCTTAATTTTACCTCCCACTAGTCCAAGTTTCTTAATAGTTTCTGCCTCTTCCAGGCCATTTTCAGAATTCTCAATGCAAAGCCTCCTGTGAAAACCTGTAATAACAAGGAGTAACAGTACAGACAACAAGGACCCAAAAACTGTGTAAGCTCCCAGGAAATGTTTATCCCTGATAATTTGAGACTTATTTATTATAGGAATACGAAAGAGAATCTTCTGTGCTCTTCTTAAAATTCGCCCCTTATATATGTTTGTATATAACTTGTAAATGTATATGTTAAATTTGAGTGCCCTTTTAGCAGTTCCTCGAATATATGTATCAGGAATACTCAGTAGCTCCATCATTCGAACAACTCCTCCCCAGCTTATTATTTCATTAGACTTCTTTCCACCTTCTCTCTTCGTATCGTGTTGTTGCGGTTTTATTGGTTTAGATTCATGTTCAGGGCTTTTCTCCTTTTCGGTACTAGTCAGACTCCTGGTATCTAGTTTCCTTGCAGGTATGGGCAAAGATTTTGTTTCCCCAGCTTGACTAGTCTTTGTGGTAGTAGAAGTAGTGGCATTATTATTTAATTTACTGCTGATGCTGCTTTTAGAAATTTGGGTATCTTTAGCTGGTATCTTTTTTGAAATTAAATTACCATCATTTTCAAATTTGGTACATATTTTGTTCAAGGCCTCGACAATTTCCAGCCAAATAGGATGAGGAAAGTTCTTTCGATTAGTTTTGGGATTCTTCAAAGGCTTTACATTTTGCTTAGGCTCCTTTGTTTGCTTTTGATTCTCTTTTCCAGCCCGGCCTCTCATGCTCTTCAGCCCTTCATGCTCCAATCCTGTGGGGCAAGTCTGAATTAAAGGATCTAAAATACTCGTATTCACATTCAAACATTTATATCTGTCTTTTAAAGTTGTTTCAGATTCCTTTTTTTCTGTTAAAGGTAACTTCAAAACTTTTTCTTGTTTAGGCTTCTCAGCTTTGGCAGATCTAGGGAAATCTCCTCTACTAGATCCTAGACGTCCTGGCTTAGGTAATTCTGAACTTTCTCCTTTGCTTGCCTCCTTAGGAACCTTTTTTAGGGCCGTCTCCTCAGTCTTATTAAGCTTTTTTTTGGTTTTGTCTTTGCCTAAAGGAGATGATGCCTTCTTTAGTGACTTTGGTTTGCCCTTAGTATTAGATGCTGGATCCACTACTGTCGCATTCCCTTTTGAGCCAGTACTTTCCTCTAAGATCTCCTTAGGAAATTCCTTTGCCTTTTCAAGATCCTCAGCCTCTCCCCTCGGCAAGGTATCGTTGCCGTTTGCGTATAGATTAGTTTTTGTTGTTGAGTTAGAAATATCTGAAGAAACTGACTCAGTAGTATTAGCTGTAGCTGTGGTTATGGAAGCAGAGTTTATGGCTAAGGAAGTAGCCTGAACTTGATCTGCTTTCTTAGATTCATGTTCTAGGCTTGGAATAGCTTTAATATGCTTTTTTTTTCTAGTGTCTTCAGCTTTGATCTTAATTTTCTCAGACTGGACCTCCGCATCCTCAATAACTTTGCTTTCTTCCCTTCCCTTACTTTCACTCTCAATCTTCTCGGTCTCATTTCCCTTTTTGTTTTCCCCACCAATTCCCTCAGTTGTTATTCCTGGTCTTCCCAAGAACCCAATCCCAGGCATTTTGGTTTTCTCTTGAGATGCTTTCTCCTCCATTATCTTGGCCTCACCTCTCGGTTTTTCGGTCTCTAGAGGTATGTTGTGTTTCCTCTCCTCTTTTCCAGCTTTTGCCTCATTTTTAGTCTCTATCTTTATCTCAGTCTCTGACTTCTTCGTTACTTCCGGTTCGCTCTCCCCCTGGCCTACAATATCTAAACCTACTTCTTTAATCTTTTCTAAAATACTAGTGTTATCTTCTTTTACCGCCTCGTAATAATCAGCCTCAGGGTTAATGTTCTGGAAGCCTTCTGTATCGCCGACTTCTTCACCCTGTTCTATATTCATATACTGTTCCTCGTCCCTTTTATAATAGATACTCCCGCTTTGATCCTCATTTTCTCTCTTAGCTTCTTCTTTAAAACCGTTTACAAAATCACTCACCTCGTCCAGGCCAGGCAAATTCGTATGCTCGAATTTTTGTATGTGCCCATTTGAATTGTCCACATGCAAATCAATGTCAGTATTTTGTTGATTTGCATGCGCTCGTTCATTGGAGGGAACCATTCCAAATGGGGAATTCATTCCATGTTCGGGATCTGAAAGGGTGAGGTTGTCAAATACATACGGGTTTCCCGTTTTTTGTTCATCATCTTCGAAGGAGAAAACATGAAAGTTCTCAGACTAATCATTTATTCAAGGCAAAAAAAGAAAGAATGAAAATCAGTAAAACTTAATTGCTCCCCCAATTTCACACTCTTCTTCCTCCAGCTTCTAAACAAGGAAGAAAAAGCAAATGTAAATGGATTTATCTCAACTTACCCCGACTTGTTCCACCACAAGCAGCAATGCTATTAAGAGGCAAACCACCAGGCCTTTAATATTAACTCCGCCTGGCCACAAAACCGACCCTTGTACCTTTAACCCAAAAAATCCCATGTAAATATACCTAAGTCTCTACTTAACCTTTCCTACTAACTTTATTTTTATTTCCACTTTTAATTTATTATTATCTTCATTATCCTTCCACTATATTTTTTTTAATTCTGTGAGGAATTTGCGCGCCAAACAAACTGCATAACTAATTTCCCAATATTTATAAAAAGTAGAAAAAAACCAACTTTAAAAGGAAAGCATGAGCCCATTTAATTTAGAGTATCTCTCTTACTCTTTTCTTTTTTCCAGTTTATTCCAACTCTTTCTTTTCCATCTGATTCTCCCCGTTTTATCATCAATGTATTTCACGACTTAAAATTACTTTTAAAATTACAAAATACTTAGCTTATTCTAAACTAAAATTGAATATATTTTATGTGGACTATAATTAAAACATATTGCATGCAAACTTTCTGCATGCAATAATTAATACCGGCATATAGAAAGTTTTTTTCAGAAATTAAAGTTGAATTTTATCAAACATAATTTCTCTGTCGTTTCCTAATATACTGTTGTCTGTTAGTAATTTGTCTATAAAGTACTGAGATGTTTGATTGGTCTGCTACCTCTGGGTATATCTGAATTGCGTGGTCAATCACTGACTTTGGAGGAAGGCCTTTTCTGATTAACTCATCTATGAGCGGCAAAGTGTGTTGTGGGAGTCCTGAAATAATGATTATTAATCATTTCAAATTTGAAGTCAAATAAAATAAAGTAATGGGTACAGAAGCACCTTTTTTAAGCTATTAACTTACCTGGTCTTTTATACTTTTGTTTCTCCTCTGTATGATAACCCCTGTGTTGTACATAACAAGTTTCATGGGATATCAGATAAATCCTCATCTCATACTGGCAATCCACATGTTGTACACACCTATAAATAATTAAAAATTAGAAATTCCGTATACTTAAAATTGATTTTTAATCTTTAACTTACCTATAAACAAAGCTCACAGCTCTTGGGTCCCTATATACATGTCTCATTCTATACTGGCTTGTCTGAACGAAATGTTCAGCTTCATCCACAGTAGTTCTAGGTATGATGGTCTTCCAAGCCTCTATTTCACCTATATACAATAATATATAATTAGATATATTCCCAAATGTTGACAATTGACTAACTTACCTGGTCTTCTCCTCCTTCCTCGCCTTCTTAACTTGAGCTTTTCCTCTTCTGTTAAGTAGTTATCCGAGTTCATAAAGAATTCCCCTTCCATCTGGTTTCCCATTGAGTAATTCTCATCCTCAATTACGCCCATTTCATAACTTTGATCCACCATCTTTGGTTTTTGAGATCCCAAATTCTCTGTAGAGCAAAACTTATCTTGCTGAAAATCGTGGTTTAACATTCCAAGATTCTCATCGTTGGTATTGTCATTAATATGGCTAACACACCCTCCATCATTCGTATTTATTGAAAAATTTGAAGAAATTGTCGAAGTTGTAGAATTGTTACTCCACCTTCTTCCTTTGCTCGAATCCAAGTCCACTATCTGGTGATCTCCCAACTTCATTTCAGATCCCATTAAACCGTCGTCGAATATGTCGATTCTAATGCTTTCCTCCGGCTCAATCCGAGCTCTTTTTTGTGTGTTTTCTATCTGGTACGAAATATCAAATCCCACCAGCTTAGAGCCTGTTTGCCCTGAATTTTGAGAAAAGGAAATTTGGTTGGGTGAGGATGAGGAAACCGCAGTAGTAGGGGTCATCAAACTCTGAGATATGTTTACGGGAGGAACAGCTCGTGGAGGAAGAGATATTGGTGATAGTCCTGAATTTAATTGCAATGATGGAGAAGATGATGAAGACGAGGATGAAGAGGCTGACGAGGATGAGGACGAGGACGAAGAAGAGGTCGAAGTAGAAGGAGCAGTTGTCAAGGCTACACTGCCTGAAGGTGACCCCAGAAATACATCACTATCGCCAGAAATACCCAAATTGCTTGAAGCCACAGGCATTTTGTAACAGGTATTCTGATCTCTCATAACCTTCTCGCTTGGATCCACGAGTGGGTGGGAATGAGAATGGGTTTCATAACTACAACCCATGCTCTCAAATTCCTTCCCTACTCCTACTCCTCCCAGACTCACCCCTAGAGCTCCCACCCCAATACCAACATCTTCGATGCTGTGGTTAATACTATGACAAATGTTGTCGATTGTGTGGCCAATGCTACCACTAGTATTGTTTTGCTCTCTACTGCTGTTCGCGGTGGAAATATCGTTCAAATTACTCGAACTTGAGCCACCTTCAATATTTTCCCCCATTAAGCCTTTAATCAGGTAATTATGGAAGCTATCATCAAGATCTGTACAGTCATAAAAGTTATTTCCTAATGGATCATCCATACTCACTGAGTTTGGATCATTGTAATCCACAAAGTGGGGCTCTTTAATATTCTCTAAACAGCCATCCTGACTAATCCAATCAATCCCTTCCGGATGATCCATTATTAACTCTCTAGAGTAGGGTTGGTTCCAAAGCGTCGAACTCTGAGGCATCCCTAATTCTATTTTAACTCATGAAAAATTTTGTGATAAATGCAGTCTTTTACTCAAGATGCTCATAAATATTGCAGATTAATAATGATGTGCAGCTACTCATTGCTTCTATTTCTCGAAGAACTATATTTAGAACATCTTTGCATGCATGCATGCATGCAATCTCGGTGGCGCGACAAATTATTATCGTGAACTAAAACATGCAAATATATGGCGCCAGCCCACATTAAAAAGGTATTAAAGAATTAATTAATTAATTTCATCTAAGTAGGAATGAGAAATAAAACCCAACAACTATTATTTAACAGAACGGTAAATTTTGGCTTTAGAGTCCCAAGTAACGTGACCACCTTTGACGAGGTTCCTCCAACGATCTTTAAGGCCCACTTCATCACGGTTGGTCAACTTGGTAGTAGCCAGGATAACTCTCCACTTCCCTAGTCCAAACTTGTTTACACCATCAATGAGCAAGTTTGTCTCTTCATCACTCCAGCGGCGATATTGTCTTGATATTCCAATATTCGGACTTGTTGAACTCTTTCTAACTGATGCTCTTTTTGGAACAGATTGTTGCTCATCGTCTTTTTTCTTTTTATAAACTATTGGTTTTGGCGTAGTGTCTTCGGATAAGTCAGAGCTTTCAGAGATCCCCCTTAATGAAATTTTTCTCCCAGTCTTCCCCTTGTCATCTGAATACAAGTTCAACCCTTTTGATTTCTCAGACTCTACCTGCTCATCATCCTTAAACACGTTCTTCCTCTTTAAGCTATTCTTATCATTACTAGCTTTCCCTGTCTCGTTACTCAAACTACTCGGAGCATTCTTTGTTACACTCCTTGTCGAATATTGCCTGACTGTCTTTTTTACATCCGATACAGCATCCTCTATTATATTCTTTGAGTTTAATTCCTGGCACGAGCTAGTCCCGTTTTGCGATTCTAAAATGTCACGAAAACCTTCTTCAGCCACTTCTTTGTCATGATCTACCTTCTTTATGTACTTACAGTCTGCCAGTTTGTTTCTTAAGCAGTAATTTAAAACCAACTGTGTCGTCTTGACAACCTTTTCGCTGTATGTTGCCTTTGGTCTCAACAAGTCCGGAAACTCTCTACAAACCGATACTGCCCTTTTAAACCCAGCAACTTCAAAAATTGAATTAAATGGCTCCTTAGGATCTGCGTCCGGAGCAATATCTCTTTTTTGGCAATCCTCCAATAATGACGTGTTTAGGCGGGTTCCCAAAGGTAGCATTGCATGTAAATTTGCGCATGGAAGTGCGTCATTTATTGCAATAACTAACTCTGAGAGATTGTCAAGTAGCTCATCAAGGGAATGTTTTAGAACCACATTGGTCAAGCATTTCATAAAATCTTCGCTTTCTGAGGTGTATTTTTCGAGACAATGTGCAACTGAATGCAAATCGGTATTTTTTTCCTTCATATTTCTCCAGATTTCCCAAACTGAATCAGAAAATGCAATAATATCCGAGTACATGTCTTTTGAGTGCTCAATATATTTAGAAAAAAATGGCGAAAGCTTCTCAATTAAAATGTTAAAGCTTAAAAGTGAAATTGGGCCATTTGGGTTATATAAAAAGTTTGTGAGAGTATGGTGTGTTAGCCAATGAAAAATCAACTTTGAGCAGAAAATCCTGCTAAATTCTATCAAATTATTTGAAAAAGTAACGTTGCTGAAGAATTCCTCATCTTCTTCAGACTCCAAAGAAAGCCTCCCTGCTTCTTCCCCTTTATTGTGAAATAACTTGTAAATCCATCTCATCTGATTCAAAATAAAATCTCCATCAAAACAATTTCCAGAAATCAAAGGGATTTCAAGCCCATGCGAAGACATATTTTTGTCAAAATCAAAAGGTTTTTTGGAACTTAAAGCTGCAATATAATAAGCATTAGTCTTTAAATTGTTTACTAATTCATGAACTGGATGAATTAATAACTTAAACAGCATATTTCTTATCTTTCCTTGAAAAGAAAGTTCGTTGGCAAATTCACAATTCTGTGATCCTGTCCACACATGTACTGCATAAATTGAAAGCGGAGACATTGATCTTTCATTTAAAAAGTCACAATTTCGAGTTAAAAAATTAAGAGACCATTCCAGTGATGCCTCCCCAACTAAATTCCCTTGTTGTACGAGCTTTACCTCAATCCTCGTATCATCATTGATGGGATTACTCTTTTCAAGACCACCACTTGAAATGGAGCTCTTAGCAGTTGCCGAGCTCATTACTTGCAAGATTACATCAAATTAAAAAGTAAAGTCAGACGAGTTTTCCTCTAATTTTGGTCTATTAATCTTAAACCCCCCCACAAAAATTCGTCTTTCTGTTTTCTCCCAGTTTGTTAAAAAAATAAATATAGAAATGGATTTTTTCTTTTTCCAGAATTTTCCCGCCATACTGGAAATTCTAAAAGAATATCCCAATCAAGTGAGGGAATCTCGAATTTGATTTTCAATCAATCTTTGATTATTACTAATGTGAGATTACCCATAAATTGTGTGTTAGCTTTGTATAATTGTGGAAATTCGATTGAATTAGAGTTTTAAAGCTGGGATCTGTTTTTACTCAAGGTTAAACACGGAAAAGAGATAAAGAAAACCTTCAGTCAAAAAGACCCTTAGTCTAATTTTTCTTAGATACAGCAAGGTAGTCACAAATGAGAGAACCATTTTTTCTGTTTGTTGCCTTCTTTTGCATTACGGTTCCTTGTTTGTCAGTAGTGAGTTATAACCAAACATTTTCAGATAAACAACATATAAAGCTTTTTGAAATTGATCATGAAAATAATATTAAGATACCAATTGATTCCATTGAAAGGATTCGGCAAATTGAATCTCCTGTCTCAATTGTCTCGTCCTTGGGTCTAGCTAGATCGGGAAAGACTACTTTGGTAAGATTGATTTTGGGAGAGTTATTATCATTTGAAGATGAAGATGAGAATGAATCTGATGGAGTTAAGTGGGCCCAAATTAATGGAAATGAATCGATTTTGGGTAATTCTCCAGATAGCACAAACTATATTCTTCTGGATACAGAAGCTTTGGTGATTGGGAGAGGAATCAATTCGTCGATTAAATTGGCAATCTTGTCCCTTATTCTTTCAGATACTGTTTTTGTGAACTCAATTAATGAAATGGATATTTTCTTAATAGACTTTATCAGGCTCCTAATCAGCCAGGCAGTAATGTTTTCGAGCTTATTTGTGAGGAAGCTAAACGAAATAAGTGTTCCAAATAAAAAGAGTTTGAAAAAGAACCTCATCTTTTTGATTGAAAATCTTCACAAAACAAATATTTCTTGGATTTTGCATAAGAATTCGGATTTAAAAGATAAACAAGATCCAAAGAAGTTCTCCAGAAAGTACAAAGATTGGCTTAAGTCTAAATTAGAAAAATATGTTTGGCCAGAAACATTCCAAAGTAAAATGTTTAGAAATCTGGATTCTTTTATTGAGAGATTCGAATTTTACCAAATTCCATATTTTGGAACTGAAGAAAAATATAATGAATACCAGTACCATAACACAATTCAAGATCGTGATCATGATCATGATCATGATCTTGAATTTGGCAAAAAGAGCTATAGGTCCATATTTTCAGATCTCTTTATGGCCAACTCAGGTGAAGAAAGGAGGCTAACAGGAGCAGAAATTGCAGATTTGCTTGAGCTATTTTCGGAACACTCATACGTTTTTAACTCATTTAAGCCCTTGGATTTTGGGATTGCAAAAAGTGATCTCAAAACAAGTACCTTGGTTGAGAATACACTACTCATTTTTGGCACTAGATTGGAGAACCAACTTTTAAATGAGAATGTGTATCCTCTACTAGAAATAGAAGCTGATGCAATATACAATAAAACTTTGAAAGATATCGAGTCATATTGGTCATCAATCTCGGAGTTTGACTACTTTGATTTTGGTAGTTTGCTAAGAAGTGTCCAACCAAACTTTGAGAAACTGTATAAATCCATTTTAAGTAAGAACTGCGAGCTGATAAGATCTCACTGCAACGATGTAATTAATCTCCACATTTCTCATGCAGCCCACCAGATTGAACAGTTCCATGAGAAAATCCCAATTCCACAATCTTTGTTAGTAGAATTCACAGAAAATTTGGAAGCAAATACAATGAATGATATAGAAATGGCCTTAAATAAATCCTTCGGAAATTTTGAGTCAAATATTAGTTCATATAGGAATAGTCCTTGTTGTAGTATTGATGGATCATTAACTCAAGAAAAGATTGAAATAGCTCTTTCAAAACTTCGAAAGAAAAACCAGGAAGAAATTGAAAAGATTTTACTAGATGATTTTGAAAAAGCTTTGGATGTAATTAAAACTTTAGAAGAGGTGGATGATTCCTATTACAAAGTCAGTAAGGAGGAATTCGAAAAGAAGCTGGAAAAAATAAAGAATTCTTCCAAACTTATTTTTAATACCCACATAACTTTAATGAATGAAACTGACCTTCATGCAAAATACTGGATGAAACTTAAATTAGAACTGGATGAATTTATTGAAAAAAAAATGGTTGCTTGGAAGAAAGTTTGTAGAAAGTACTCTTACAGTTTTGCTCAATCCATTGCTATTAGACAAAACATCTCAATAAGGAATAAACTGACCCTTCCTATAGCAGACTCAGTAATTCTGGAATCATTTGTGAATTTGAAGGATAATGTTATTAAAGAGATGAATGGTATATACTGTTCAGACGAAGAGTCTTGGAAAGATGCCTTGAGAGAGTTGATGAGCGTAATAGAGGATGACAAAGAACAGTTAGTAAAAGAGAACCTGATAGCTCTTAAAAACTTACTGCATAGGCCACTGAAATACGCTCTTAGAAATGCAATAGAAATAGCCAGACAACATTACAGCTGGATTAACTTTGTGAAAGAAGCCACAGTTTTAGCTCAGAATTCCTTGGAAGACTCTGAAAGTTGGGGTCCGATAAATATAGACAAAAATACTAAAGATAGAGTGATTGAACTTTGGATAGAAATCGATCTTTCGGGGATTAGAAAAGGATTTGTGAGGAATCAGGTCTTCATGATTTTACGGTATTTACTTTATTCATTGGTATTCACCATCATTTCTTTCATAGCCCTCTTCAAGAATAACTCTAAACCCATAATAGGAGTGATATTTCTATCATTCATTGCCTCAGTGTTGCTATTTTCTTCAATTGAACTTGGAGTTGCTGGTGAAGCCATTTCACACAATTTAACGGACCTTTTAATATACTTTGGAATTTCCAGATTTACTCTTTACTACATAAGATACAACATTAAGCTGATATTTGCTGTCCTGGTTGGATTAATTTGTGTTGTTGTCTATTTTAGCTTTAGCTTAAAATTCGGGAATTCCGACTCGAATTCCAAGTCAAAATCCAATTCCTTTCAAGAAAAACTGGGAACAGAGATTTCTCCTCGGAAGAAGGTCGCCAACTCAGGCTCACCAATTGCATCGCCTTCGATGGGAGAAAAGCTCAAGCACCATAACAAATCTTCAAACGCAATAAGGACTTTCATTTTTTAGATAAAAAAACTTAATTAACTATCCAACTAACTATATATATATATAATATATTTATTCATTCATTCACTTATTTGTTTTTTTCAATTTACGTGTTCTCTGCATGCAATCTGCATTTATGTATAAACACTACAAAATATAATATTCTGTCCACATTAAAACCTATTCTAAAAATCAAATACCGGTGTTTAGAGGCAGCCATGCATGCATGCAATTACCACATGTTAGGCGGGCTTATAAGAAGGTTATTCTTGCATGGGTTTAGTCTTAGATTTGGATTCCAATAGCCTTTCGGCATAGTTTCCATGTTTTTCGTTCTTAGAGTTTTGTTTAAAGGCATATGATACCGAGATTTGTTGGTTACAGAAGAACTGCCCATTTAGTGCTTGAATAGCAGAATCAGATTCTTGGAATGAGGAAAAATTGATGAAAGCGCTATTTTTAGGATTTTGAACGTTTTGATCATTTCCAACGATCTTTAATGACAAGATTTTGCCGAAATTGGAAAAAAGATAAAAGAGAAATTTTTCGTCTATTTCAGGAGATAAGTTTCCAACATAAAGATTTGCCCCAATGTCCAAAGGTTTTCTGTCGTTAGAAGCTTTGCAACATCTAATTTGCTTACTAAATAATTTTATTGAGTTCATCACCTTTTGTGCGTACTCAACATCAGAGACAAATTCAAACTCAATAAAACCAAACCCTGAATGGTGTCCTGTTACTTTATCTCTAGGTATGTGGACTGATTTTACAGGCCCACACTGTGAAAATAGTTCTGCTAACATTTCTTCGTCGACTTTGTTTTCCAAATTCCCGCAATATAATGTGGCCTCTTGATTTCTTTCAAAAATTGGTTGTATTTCAGGCACTCTATTTGAAATACTCATTCTTGAACTTAAAAAATATATGTATTAAGAATTAGAGGGTTATCCTGAGCTGTTTTACTCTCAAAAAAGAACGCCCCAAGCTCTTTATTTTCTATTCCTGTTTCGCAAGTATATGTAGAAACTTCCTATTGTCTCAATTTACTTTCCTGTATATAAATTTTCTTAGCTTATTTTCTCCCTACCTTCTTGTAATATTCAAGTTCAGTATTTTAATCATTCGAAGTCTTAGTTGTCAGAGGAAGATAACTCCACGAAACAAAAATATCCGAACACTCAGTCTGATTATTTTAGACAGAGCTCCTATAGATTTATGTCATTCTATGTTAACTCGCTTCTTTTCTTAAGGGAAAAAAAACGGTGGGCGCCTTTCCGATTTTTTTTCTAAATTTATTTCAAAGAAATTGTTTGTTTAAAAGTCTAACAACACTTTTCAAAGTTGAAAAAGCGGAAAAAACGCACTCGGAGGGACTCGAACCCTCAACCTCAGCCTTAGGAGGGCTACGCGCTATCCATTGCGCCACGAGTGCTAACTGATGCCCGTCCTCACATAAAGAGTAAAGTTATATATTACCCAAAAATCTTTAAAAAAAAATGACACAATTTAATCACCTTAACTATCCGATTTAAATAAAATAAATAGAAAAAAAAAGTACAATTTATATTGCTTTACTAAATCCTTTCAATTTTCATGATTGGAAATCCCCTGAAATGAAACAGACCTCAAGAAAATAAGCCGACGATCTCATTACTACCTCCAAATATACCAAAAAAAATTTGAAGACTATGTGGGGAAATCCGTGGCGCCAAAACATACAAAAATCCGAGCATTTATAAAGATAATAGAAACATTGGGTAGGTGGAATCAAATAGTAACCTATCTAGACCTGACTTCTTCTATTATTACGTTTTAGAATATTTTTAGCGTTAATTCTCTCTTTCTCTTCTTGCCTAATGTAGTTCCATTCTTGCATGGTAATTTTGTTTTCAGAAACAAGCTGCTTAAGAAGGTGGCAAAAAACTCCTCCAATAGTTTTTTTTCTTGACCTGTCTGCCGTCAATAGTCCGCCTGAATTCTCAATCTTCATAGCATTTTCATAAAGTTGAAGGCTTCTTTGCGCTCCAAGAGTCTTTATGACTCTAGCTAAGAATTCCTTTTTTGGCTCCTGTAACCCTGTGATTATAGTGTTTAATACGATTGACTCCATGGCATCTAGTTCAAATCCTCTAATAACGGAGATTTCAGAAGCTTTCTCGCCAGAAATCAACTCCAAATAAGCAACCATTTCAGGATGTTCTCTAGTTGATGCAAGGCTTAAAGGAGACATGTCCCAAATATCCCTAAGTTGAATTTGAGAACCATTATCCACAAGAATCTTGGTAATTTCAAGATTTCCCGATAAAGATGCGACATGGAGAGGAGTCCTACCATACTTGTCCTTTCCATTTACATCAGCTCCTTTCTCAATTAACCACTTTATGTAATCTGAATTGGGCCTGAAGCTTGCGTAATGCAAAGGAGTCTTCCCATCTTCATCTTTGTCATTAATATCTGCACCATACTTTATAAGTGTCTCTGTGATCATACGATTTCCTCTAATTGCAGCAAAGTGAATGGCTTTACTAGAAATTGGGCCTCCTCTACATGGTGCACATGTATGTGGAAGACCCAAGTTTAAGTCTGCTCCAGAAGAAAGTAGTAACTCCACAATTTCTGGGAATTTCTTTGAAACTGCAATATGAAGAGCTGTCCACTGCTTGTGATCCCTGCGATTTATATCACAATTATACTTGAGAAGTAGCTTCATTGTTGGAAGCCACCCACAAGCAGATGCATAATGCAATGCAGTGCGTCCAACTTTGTCAGTATAGAGGACGTCAGCTCCATTATCTAAGCATGACTTAATTACCTCAGTCTTTCCAAGAAACGAAGCCTTGAGTAATATCCCATTGAAATCAAAGGTATTCTCAAATGTAACAGAAAACCCACTCATACTATTTGCAGCATTCTCATTTTGTTTAAGATTCACACACTGGGAACTGTTTTCGCTTTCAAATCCGAATTTAAAAGATTCCCCATTTTCCTGGAGAGTGTTTGCATCTATATATTTATTCTCAGCCCCAACAGCTTCACTCCCATTACTAATACAAGTACTCTGTAACTGCTCCTCAAAAGTTGGAAATAACAGATCTGAATCATCAGTATTCAAACATTGGTGAATAAATTCATAAATTTCATGATTTAGCTCGTCAAACTCTCCATCCATATTCCCCATATATTCATTATTCTTAATTCCAATCATTCTCAATCTTCCTTTTGGACTTTCAATCTCAATTGAATCTCGAGACTCTCCATACTTGGCTATTTCCATCATTTTGTTTATTTTCGGATTTGATTCAATAAATATCTATACGTTTATTATCCAAACATTTAACTCCAATTCTTAAACACTTTAGTTCTTACAATGTCCTATAAATCTACCCACCTCCTTATGTGTTTAATTTGCCTTCACACTTAATACCCAAACTAGCTTTTAGCTTTTCCCGCCTAAACTATTTATTATTTAAATTTAAATATATACAAGTGGGGTAAAAAACAAGAAATTAGAAAGGAAACCACAATTATGTATATAATGAAATAAAACAATTTGGGAGGATTTACAGGTAGATTCTAGGGTTTTTAAATTACAGGAAACAAACATAACTAGGAGTTTTCTTCTTATTGGTTCTTATTTAGTCAAGAAAATCATTTTAGCTCTGGATTTGTTAAGCCTGACCTAATAGATTTTTTTAGTTAGGTACAGCATGTGGAATGGATATAAGGATAATATATTGAGATCTAGGATATTTCATTATTTATATTTGCACTGGCCATGACTTAATGGTGAATGCAAAGTGATAGATATGAATGAGGGCATGAAATCCAAATGATAAGTCAGGGAAAGGTTGTAGAAACTTCTATAGAAGAGACACAACTAGATGAAGCTAAATAAGAAAATTCAAAGAGGGTAGTTTAATCTAAAAAATGATCTTTATTAATTTTTAGAAAAATGCTAGTGAATACAAAACACTAAAACATGTCATATTTCTAAACCTCTAAGTAATTCAAAAAAAAAGTTTCTTATTAAACAGTTTTTACATTTTGGAAAGTAAGTAAAAAGTCCATTTCCGTATTATTTTATATCATCTAAAGTTTATACATTACTTTTTAACTTTTAATTTCCCCTTTAAAATATATATCAAGATTTATTTTCTAAAATTGAATTCATTTACTCTCCAAGAAATATAACAGCTATTTAGACCAATAAGCAATATTATTTTTAGTACTAGAGGTAACATTTTTTGTAGAATTTGCCGCCTAAACTCTAATATAGGTAAAAAATTTCATTGGAAATTACTAAATGATATATTTTGTCAAAGGCGGGAGAATTGGGTATCATTATGTCTTCGTAATTTTTAAACAGATTTAACAAGAAGAATTTAAGGACTTGAAAAGAAGGGATTTAAACGATAGTAAAAAAATAATAACAAAGTCTTTATAGTTTTGATGCATTAGAGTCAAGGAAAGAAATAACGAGATGTATGGACTTGCATTACTTTTCAGTATATTCTCCCTCATGTCAGGGAGGGTTTTATCAAATGAAAATGGTTTTATATGCCAATGTTACTGTTCAGTTTCACAATATATTTTTGAAAATGGGAAGATGAGTTTGGACTCTGTTGAATATTTTGCGGATATTAAACCGATACTTTTAAATTCTTCAGGAAAGGAAGGTATCGTGGAATTTTCTGATAATCAGCCAAAATTGAGATCATTAAATGGTGCAGTTTCTGAATATAGAACGGGAACAATAGCATTATGGAATTCGGAATTTGACTTGAAGTCCCTTTCATCACTGGACAGGCCAAGTGGGGATCATTCTATGATTGATATGGTTTCGTCATTTGACGAGATCTTTTTGAATGTAAACCGTATTCCAAAATCTGCTATGTCTGTTGGTAGTAAATCTCCAGCTATTTTAATATTCAAAAATAGTGAAGAGGAAAGTGCATTTGATGACGAGGATTACCGTCAAAAATATTGTGAGAGTGCTTGCCAGAGGCCAATTTCCAGGTTAAATAAGTACTCTTATTCCAAGACTGAATTTGTTGAATTATCATACAGAGGGAACATTTTTAATCAATACCCAGCTAGAGACTCTAGCTACTATTCAGGTTTAGAAGAATCTATTAGAAACAATTCTAAAAAGGGAAGATGTGAGACAATTGCTTCTTCAATGATTGGTACTGAGACTGCTTGGCATTTAATATTTGAAAGTATCAGAAAGGAGAAAACTGAGCAACTTCTTAAAGAGAAATTTGTTCAGATGTACCCAGTTGTATCCAGAAGTGTTTCTTCGCCTGTATCCATTGAGCTTACAGCTTCTTCCAAGGTTGATTTTTCAAACACTGCTACAGCAAGAGTTAAAACCTTCGAGAGATTCATGAAGAAGAACCACAAAATCAACTTTTTCGATTTACCAGAAAATATCCCAACTATTCTTGAGCAACAAATTTCCCCACTATTCCAATTCAGAGCCAAGTTATACTTAGAAGGTAATATTTGGAAGGTCAGTGAGATTTATTCTGGTTCTGAGACATTATCTCACGATTATTCTTATGAATTTTTGAACCTTTTACTTTCAGATGAAGAAGTTCACCGTTTAACTGCTTCCCACAAGGAGATTGTTGAGGCATGGGCCGAGAAGTTTTGGAATTCAGACCATGCTGAGACCCATGTGGTTTTACCAGCTCCATTAGAATCTTTAGAAGAGATTTCGAGGAAGGATGATAAGCTTGAGGACTTAGAAAGATGGATTAGGGCCAAAGAACGCCAGGTCAGACTTTCTAATGGTGATATTCCAATTTCTCTTTTGCATTTTGCAAACAAAAAAATAACCCATCGCTTTTCAATGAATAATCACGAACAAACTGATTTGACAGATGAGATCCCTAGCATTCATGGAAATACACCAGAAGATGATCAATATGAAATTGAAGAGTCTGATTCTCCAATTAAACAAGGAGAAGAGCTCCACGTAATTTATTATGGTTTACTCACTTTAAACTGCTTCACTCATAGAACTCAAGGTGAATCTGCTGAAAGCTTCCATCAATCCAATATGGTAGCATTCAACATCTTCCCAGACTCTTTATTGAGAAAAGATGGTGATAACTCATTTAGAAGAATACAAATCCCGAAGAATGAGAAAAGATGGAAAGTTATTGGTGAAGTATTTGATAGTGAGAATTCTATCCATAATTTGATCAGAAACTCTTCATACAGCTTTGTATTACAACTTGCAAAGCATAATCCTCAATTATACTTAATATTGTTCAGAGATTTGAAGCATATTTTTGGCTTCAATAATCCAAAAATTTTCTCATTGAATACTTGTCGTGTGCCAGTTGCCAAGCATCATGTTGAGATCATCTCCGAAAATGAAAACACTTTGCAGAAATCCATAAATAAGGTCTTATTCGCAGATCCATTCCATAATATTTCCACAACCAAAATCAGATTTTCTGATGTTAATCACTTTAACTCCCTTGTTAATACAATGTCAAAGTGTTTGGGTGTAGTACCTCCAACTGCTAGAATTAGAGTAAATGATCACTTTAAACATCCACGCTCAGTTGTTAGTGACTATGTCTGTGCTGTAGATGGAGAAAGTCAAAACTATTTACTCCAGTTATATTCCAAGTACAATATTAACTGATTTAAATAATTCATTATCAAAATGAAATTGAAGTGAGCATAAATACTAGATTGAATAAAAAATTAATGAATTGAATTGAGCTGAATTAAGCCAAGTTTATCCGAGTTGAGCTTCAAGTCCGAAACTGGCTCACCCAAGTCCTCATTATAAGTTTCGTTTGAGCTGATTTGGGAAGTATTGGGAAGGAACCTGAATGGTCACAGATTTATTATTTTACCATTTGTAATAAATTGCCATTATGATTGATATTCATTTCTCACAAAAGAATTAATAAAATACTCTGAATTTTTTTTAGAGTAATGTCAGATCCAGTTTTAACCTTATTTGAAAAGAAAAATGTTTATGAGCCATTTTAATACTTATTACTTGCAAGATCCCTGGGATTGTACTTTTCCCTATTCCGATCCAACTTAACTTTATTACTTGTTTAGTTGAGACTCATCAATTCTCACTATGCTTTTTCTACTTAGTAAAAATCTTCTAGCTAGAGAAAATAAACTCCCTTATTATATTTTTAACTTACTAAACTTACCCAATATTCATTCCTTCATTCTTATTATCTCTCAATCACCTGAAGTCTGTCCACATGCAATCGCTCTTTTCTTTTGATTACATGCAAATCTGCTTGCATCCACTTTCATACTTGCATGCCGGTATATGAAAAACTGTGTTACACGTAATCATTTTTTTATCCATATTTTAAAGCAAAAAAGCAACAATTTTTATTAAGTTTTTCCACTTATTAAAATTATTATCTTTTCTATTCATCAGATTTTAAAAGAGATCAAGATTAACCAGCTCATTTTTTTCTTCCTCTTACTTTCTTTTTTTTATAATTTTTTTCTTGATAGTAAAAATCAGTTTAAACTCAGAAATTTATTTAGTTTATCATTAAGAAGGAAACATCGTAAATTTACTCAACAGAATTTTCTATTGTGAAAGGAACAAAGATTAGATATAATACATTAAGGAAAAAATGTATAATGAAAAATTATTTTAAAAAAATAACTAAAAAAATGCACATTTCCACAATTATCTAAGCAAAATCACAACTTTAATGCATAATTTAAAAAAGAAAATCAAAAAAAATCAGGCTATACTGCCCAGAGCTTAATATAACGAGAACTCTATAAGAGCATTCCAATAGTGCACCAACAGGAAATTATAATCAATACCGCCATAAATTCCAAACAAACTCTTAAAATATCTCTGCAAATTACATATTTTGTCCAAACATACACGATTTTATCAAATAATAAATTTGCATGCACTGTCATTGTCCCGCCTATTACATGCATACCGGCATGCATGCCTTTTCATTTTTTAAACATTTCCGCTTACTACCGCGTGCGTGCATAATTCAATCTTTTTTAACGAGGTTAAGAATCTATTTTTATACGGCAAAGAAAATTATCCCATAATAAAAACGTACTTTAATATAATTATCTACCAATCCAATAACTCTCTAACAAGAAAGAGAAGATTAAAATAGTTTTTTTTTAAATATTTATATAAATACTGTTTATTCAGGAAAAGCCGAGATCCTAAATAACAATATTATATATTTATTTATTCAATATTCTGAAATATATTAGTATATATCTCTATTCACTTATTCTTAAGCCATTGGACAATTTCCAAGAAAAAGTAAACAAAGAAATAATTAAGTTTGCTTCTCAAGTTTATTCTAAAAACCTGTGTAAAAATATTTAACATATATTTACATAGAAATATATACATTTGTATTTATTTCCTCACATTTTGATTGCTTTATAAGTTAAGTTTGAAAGGATTTATATAGGAAATATTTATGGCTATAATATATAACCATGGCTATTAACAAAAGTAAGTTTTATTACAAAAAATTGGTATATATAATGGGTATTGGTGATCTAAAAAAAAAATGGAGATATTATTCTTAGAGCAATTCTCATTTAAAAAAAACATAAAATCCGAGTTATTTAATTGAATCTGCCTTTTAAATGTTAATCAAATTCCAAAATAAATAGTAATTTTCGGCCAATTTAATTATTAACCAATATAAATACACAAATCCATCTTAAATTACTATTTTTTGGAAGATTAACACATTCTGCAGTTATTTCTCTCATTTGGAAAATTTGTATTTAAATATATATATATATATATCCCACGCTCCAATGGTAACATATTCTTTTTGTTTCCATACCGGCATTCCAAGTGTTCGGTACCGATATGCAAGTAGAAGAGAAAGTTGCTTTAAGAATTAATAATCACATAATTGAGAGCAATTTCTTCAATTTCAATTATTATTTCTCTATTCTTTTGCCCATTGTATATATCATTTTCATCCATCTTTATTTATTATTCCACTTACTATTAACTTCTTCATCTTTAGTGCAAAGAGCACCTGATAATGGTGTAGCAACCGCTATATCCTCTGCAAATCAGCACAAGAAATTCAAGAGAATGTTGCTGTTTTCCCTCAGATCACTTAGTGATTTATGTGTACCTCCAACATTGCTATATAAGGAGAATTCCTTGGATGCAATGCAAAGAGGTATATTAGAAATCATGAGTGAAGCATTACAACAATTCCCAGATGATGAAGATATCTCAACCAATTGTGTCAGAATTATGTTTGGTATTTCTGAGTTTATGAAAGAATCTCAAGATACTGAGTTAACCAACATGTTTATTACAAGGGGAGGATCTAATACTGTCGCAATGGCAGTTAATGGACTTGTAGAATCTAATGACTCTTCTACTTTGGCTTCTATTTGTACCACTATTGAAAATCTCTTTTGTATTGGTGCACTAGATTCTACTACTGCTGCAAACTGTCTTGGAAAATTCTATGAAAGCAAGTACCTAGGTAGTAGTGAACTTGTTAAGGTAACTGGTGCAATTTGTGCTATTGCTCACCGAGAAAGTGGAGTTGCTGCATTGGTTCAGGCAGGAATTGGATCAAAAACTCTTAATTTTGCTCATAGTTGGACTAAGTCTGACAATGAATCTGCAACCTTAATAGAAAATTGTCTTGAAATTGTTAAGTTATGTGCTAGTTATGGTGATGTACCAGAAGATGCACTTAAAGCTGTTGTACATATTATTGATTTATATCGTAGTAGAAGAGGTATCACAGAAAAAGGAGGTGCCTGTTTAGAGTTGTTAATGAATCCTCAAAAACTTATGGAATGTTTGGTTGTTATTAAGTCACCCAATTCTGATATTACTCAAAAAGATGATGCTTTAACTATGCTTTCAGCTATGGCTTATGTCTCATCTTTTGCTGATGAAATTGTTAGACAAGGAGGTATTTCCATGGTTGTTGAAGCACTTAATCAAGGTGTTGCTGAATACTCTCAAAGTGGAGATGAATTACATACTGCTAAATCAAGCCGTATTATTATCGGATCTTTACGTGTTCTTGCTAGAGTTGCTTCAAATCCTTCTAATGTTGATACATTAATTGAAATTGGAGGTATTGATGCAATTTGTTCAGCATTCACAACATGTATCAACAATCTTGAAATATCTACAGCTGTATGTCAATCCCTATATCCATTATTTGTAAGAGAGACCACTGCTGTAGCTGCTGCATCTATTATGGGAGATCTCTTACAACTTTTTTATTCAAATGTTGAAAATGATAAAGATTTCACAAAATGTGCTGCAGATCTTTTGTCAATTGCCTCTCAACATGCTCCTCTTGCTGAAGCTCTTATTAGTGTACAAAGTGTTGAAATTGTTGCAACATGTTTGAATTATTACTGTGATGATACAGCATACCAATCTGCTTCTTTAGGAGCTTTGAATCATTTAGCTCCTTTTATTAAAACTTTGCAGCCTATATCAGAATTTGGAGGTATCTCTGGTATAGAAAAATCTATACTTGAAAATGTTAATGATGAAGTACTTGTTACAACTGCTATTCAATTAGTTGAAAAACTTTCTGCTGTTTCTGATAGTTCTGTTTACTTAAGCCAAGGAGAAATGGTTAATGCTGTATTAGAAGCAATGCTTGTTCATAATTCTAATGATTATATTAAAGAAGCAGGATTAAATATATTGGAAATAATTGCCACTGATAAGGATGTTACTCTTCATACTAATAACTTACCAAAAGTTGCATTATCTGATCCAAATGCAGCATATAAAGACTTAGCTGCTATTGCAGGTTTATGTAAAGTATCATCTTTAGCTCCTTTATTCTCTAGTTTAAATATATGTGATGATATTCTTGGATATGTACGTAAATGGATTTCAGAAAATCCATTTGAAGGTCAAGAAAAACTCATTTCTGCAGCTTTTCAAACTGTGAGTACCCTAAAAATATCTGAAGCTCAGGGAGATCTTGGACCCACTATAGTTCAACTTTTAGATATATCCACACTTCCACAAATGAAGACTTTTGCTGAAAAGAATACTAATGATAATCCTGTTATTGAAAATATGAAAGCAGTTAGAAGTTTAATAGAAGTACAACGTATTGGAAATGATGAAACTGTTGTTAATGTTGTTAATGCTCTCGTATCAACAATCAGAAAGTATATTGAAAACAGAGTTGTTCAGCTCCAATGTATTAAATCTTTTTGTATTATTGCTGAAACAGAAAGTGGAGTTAGAGCAGAAATAGATAATGGAGTTATTAAAGTTTGTCTTGCATTCCTTCAACGTACAAAAGTACTTTTAGAGTGCCAAATTGCAGGTTTCACACTTTTATCTCTTTTGGTTAAATATTCTCCAGATTCTATTGAAATCTTACGTAAGTCTGGTGCTATTGAAATTGTACAAGGAGCAATGAGACTTCATAACAGAAGTTCTGAACTCAGATTGATTATAGCTCCTTTAGCCTTAGCATTAGTACCTATTGGAGAAGTTAAAAAGATTATATCTGAAAAAGTTGGTGAAATTAAGATTTCTCTTGATTCAGGAGATTTAAAGACTATTCTTCAAGCCATTATAACATGTAATGAACTTGCTGTTACTCCAGAAGGATCCAAATTTACTATTTCTGAGGGTGTTCCAGGTTTAATCCCAAGAATTGAAGAACTAGCAAGTTCTAAACTGAATTCTGTTGAGCATGGAATTGTAGCTCAGAATATTCTTTGTGCTTGTTCCACCCTTTGTTCTCTTTTAACTGCTTCCAGACCAGGAAAAGTTGCTCTTGTTAAGAATAATGTTACTGTTTCTTTATTAAATATGTACAGAAATCTTGCTCAGTGTTCTTTAAATGAAGAAATTGAAACAGGATTAGTGGATAACTTAGTAGCAGTTGCTAATATTGTTAAGTTTGATATCAAAGCAGCTGAGAAATGTTTTGAAAATGGAGCTGTACAGCTAATTTGTACCAGTTTGGATAATTTCCAAGATAACGAAAAGATTCTTGGATCAGCTTGTTCTGCTATAGCAGCCATGGCAACTTCTCCAAAAAGAGTTGAAATTTTATTAGCTGAACCATCTTTCAATAATTTACTTACCAGGCTTGTAAATACTGTAAATGAGAGTTCAAAGGCTGAGGTTAGAATTAAATGTCTTAATGCCATTAATGATTTAATTAGTAGTCACGATACCTCTATAATCCAAATTACTACTGATGTTGGAAGTATTGTTGCAGCATTTGGAGTTGTTGATAAATATCCATCAGAAACACCACAGATTAGAGCAGCTTGTAGAGTTCTTAATTCCATTGGTAATTATGTTGATATTAGAGCATACTTTGAACAAGATCTTCATAGATGTGTAGAAGTAGTTCTTAGAGCTTTGGATGCTCAAAAAAATGATGAAGAAGCAGTGGAAGATCTTCTTATTTTACTTAACAATTTGACCAATTCAGCAGATAACAATATTTTAAGAGAATGTGCTATTATTGAGCTTATGCAAAATGTTATGATGATACATAATGATAATCCTGCTGTAATCTCAAAATGTGGTGAGGTTCTTTCAAAATGTGGAGCTGATGAAACCATTAAGAGCCTTATGGTAAGTATAATCAATACACAACAAGAAAAAGGTCCAGACTGTGCGAGAGATCTTGATCAATTATGTCGTCAACTTGCTGTATTTGTTGCATCTCAGCCAGAAAATCCTGAGGATGCACTTCAGTATACTGAAGCTTGTTTACAATCCTTAGTTGCAGCAGCAGCGGAATACCCAACAGATGTTAGATTGTTATCTTCAATTGCAGTTTTAACACAAAGAATTACAGATAGAGCTTTTGATAATTCAGAGGATTCATTTGGATCTTGGGCTGTAGCTACTTCTGGAATGATGCAACATATTGAAGATAATTTAGAAGATACTTCTGGTAAAGCTGTAGCTTCTAAAAGATATGTATGTTCTGGAGTTAGAGTGCTTAGTGGATGTTTAAATAACCCATACACAAGAAACTATGTTCTTGAGAGATGTAATAATGGTACCTTTTTAAATCATGTTGGAGAGATATTAGATAAATACCAAAGTGATCCTGAGGTTACTGCTAAAGTTTACGAATTCATGAGAATTTTAGCAGAAGATCCAACAGGAGCTCAATATGTTGCACAAACTCCAATGGGAGACATATCAGCAATTATTTCCACAATCAAGAAACATCGTAAGAACGATACTGTTGCTGTTGAGGGGATGAAACTGATTGGTAATCTTGTAGTTAATGCTGGAGTAGATCCTTCTTATATTTGTTCAATGAATGGTCTTAATGAATTACAGGGACTTACTGAAGGATCAAGTAAAGCTGATATTAGAGATTCAGCTCTATGTGATTTGATGACAAAGCTAATTTCTGCTGGAAATACATTTGAAGATAAGTCTCTTGTTTCAAGACAAATTAGGAGATGCAGAGCTTACGATGATGATCAATCACTTTCTGAACAAAGGCGTGAAGCTGTAGCTGTAGCAATTTCAAAATTGATTGGTTCAGCTACTGAGGCATCTGAGAATGGTAAGATCCAAGGTATTGATTCTCCAGCTGAAATCCTATCTATGATGCAAGCTTACCCAACCTCACCAGATGTTATCCGTGAGACAGCCAAAGCTTTAACTCCAATGCTTAAAGTAAACGAAAATGCTGCATCTTTAACTTATAACTCTGTACTTCCACTTCTTGCAACTTCTGCATTACCAGTAGTAGCAGCTGATCCATATGCAGCTGATGCAGTAAGTGATTTAATGCTCAGTCTTGCTCAGATTCAAGGTATGGGTGTAGAGATGTCCCAAAATCAAAATACTGATGATATCCTTAATGCAATAAGTCAACTTGGTGATTATTATGGGGATGAATTTGGCCAAGGCTTAAAAGCAAAAGTTGAGGAAATAATAAATACTATGGCTTCAGATATCCCAGCTGAACTCTCTCTAAAGGTTGTTCATGATATGTTCAAACGTAGAGAGGCTGAGGGACTCTCTTTGAGTATCACAGAATCAACATTGGTTGCTGAAAAGATGGAATATCTTGTTGAGACTATGGCTCAATTTGTTACTCAAAAAATGGATGGACCAACTTCAATAGATTTTAAATTTGGATGTATGGCTACTCAAATTATATCATCTATCCCTGAGGATGTTGAATATCTGGTAGAGCATCAATGGCCAAAGACTATGTTATTAAATATTCAAAATCAGGATTGTGAAACAAAGCAAGCTATGGCAAGTGCTCTTATTGATGTTGCTAAATCTGATAAAGCTGCAATCCAATGTGCAACTGCTCCAGGTACTGCACAAATATGTTGTGATTTAATCCAAGAAATACACGGGAGTGCAATGGATGATCCAAAGAAGGAAGAGTTAATGATTGTACGTATCCAACTTGTTGAAAAGATTGCAGTTAGTAGACAACTTTTCATAGGTACTTCAATGCTCGATATATTACTATCAATTTGGGAAGCTTATGATAACAAACATTACTCTTTAAATATCTTGAGACACGTCTTTAGAGCTTTAAGGAGAATTGTATCCGATGAATTTGTTAGTGCTTTATTAAATGCCAATGTCTTAAAGAGATTAATTACAATTATTAAAGCAAAGAATGATATTGGTGTTCTTCCAGATGTTTTATATTTGTTAGGTTCTTTGGCAATTATTCCAAATATCAAATCAGAAATTGGAGAAAATGGTGGAATTGATTCAATATGTGAACTACTTAAAGCTTCAGTTAAAATGCCTCCAGAACAAATATCTCCAACAGTAACAAATGGTTGTTTAGCTTTGGCAAACTTGACTATCCAACATTCAAATAACAAACAAATTTTCACCAAGTCTAAAGGTCCAGAGATAATTAAGACTCTTTTCAATTCTTACATTGGTTATTGGGATGTAATTAACTCTTTGGGTGTTTTGATAGTAAATCTTGGGTATAAGAAAGATGAGACTAAAAAAGAGCTTGGATCGTCAGGAATCCCTGGAGTAATTGTCAATTTCTTGAACTCTTATAATGGAGAACAAGAAAGAATCGCAACCAGAGCTTTTATGTCAGTACTTAAAGCTGTGGCAAATATGTGTTTATATACTCCAAATATCGCAGTATATGCTTCAAATCATATTGAGAATGTTTTCAACCACTTATTAGAGGTTTCTGGTAATTTACCAAAGGAAACAATATTAATGGAATTGCGTACCTTATGTAATATTGCATCTGAGAATGAAGCTGGACAACTGGCTTCATTCAATATTCTAATTGAACCGCTTTTGAAATTGGTCACAGAAGCTCCGGGAGATGATTCAGATATTAAAAGATTATGTTTTGATGTTCTCTCTATGCTTTGCAGAAGTCCAAGTAATGCAACTAATTTCTTCAAAGCTGGTGGGACTGATATAGTTATCAAACAGTTACTTAAGAATGATTATGATACTGGATTGATGACTTCTGCAATTCACCTGTTATCTTACCAGACCACAGTTCCTGAGCAAATGGATTATTTGGTTTCTGCTGGGATTTATAGAGTTATTATTGGTATTGTAGAAGGGAAAGAAGGAAGTTCAGATCTTAAGATTGCAGCCTTCAGACTCCTTCGTCGTTGTATGAGTGATCCAAGCAATGCTTTGGACTTCCTTAGTATTGGTGGAACCCAATCAATATGCGAATCTATTAAGAACAGTTCTGAACAGACTCTGGTTCTAGTTGAAGCTATCCGTGTATTACTTGGACTTCTTTATTCAGGAAGTCCAGATTCAGATTACAGTGCTGCTGATGCACCAAAAGGATATCAGGTTTGTCAATTAGATTTAAATGATTGTAATGCAATCGTAAAATCTGTGAATACTGCAATTCACAAGGAGGAGAATGGTAGACATCTGCGTTTAATGAGAGCTGGATTTGGTATTATGGCTTATTTACTTTCTGAGAACTTATGCATTGAATCAATAGCAAATTCAGAAACTATTAATGTCATGAGTAAGGTTATGACAATTTTTGCTTCTGATATTGATTCTACTGCTTTAATATGCCAGTATATTTCATTCTTAAGTAAATTTGCTTCTGATTTAGTTCCAGGAATTGTGAATGATGACTTCAGAAATGCTTTGGAGAATTCAGCATCAAAAGTAAAAGGAAATAGAAAGGACTTTGTTAGTAGTGTGAGTACAGCTTTGTCTTCTGGTGACTACCAAACTTTGTCAGTTCTTTGCAATGAATTTGATTTTGATATTACTCACTGGAACGTTGAGCCATATCCAAATGGTGTACAAGACTTACCAAAAGAGACTAAAGACTTCTTAAGAAATGGTGGCAAGCTTAAGATAGTTTTGGACGGAAAGTCAAGAGAAGAATTTTCATGGAGGGCTTCCCAGGATTTGTATAAACTTGAATGGAAGATTGGTACTAAGGATAATGATTACAACAATTCCTTGCCTATTGGAAAGATTAGAAATATCTGGAAAGGTCTTCAAAGCACAGTTTTGAAGGCTGCAAATATGGTTGAACCAAGAAAGATTACTGGACCTTCGTGTTTTGTTGTTGTTGGACCACCATCAGAAGATCAACCTCAAGGTATGGAGCTTTCACTGAAAGCAAAATCAAAGAGTGAAAGAGATGGAATTATTGAAAACTTTGTCATGTGGAGAGAAGCTGCTACTTACCACTAATTGATTTAATGCAGATGGTTACTACCACCAAGTATGTAATTTTGAGTGAGTTGAAAAATTTCAAAATGAGTAATCTCTGTTTAAATTGAAATCTTAATAGATAAGAACCAAATTGTTGAACATATTTCTCGGCTTTTTTTTTCAAACATTAATGATTGTTCAATAAGTAGGTAAATCGGTATTAAAAATGATTTAAAGATTATTATCAAATATTAGATTTGAAGTAATTTTTATTCTGAGATTTTTTGTTGATTTTTTTTTAGCTTTGAAAGTTAAGTGGATTTTATTGGTCGGAATCCTTTTGATTGGATGAAGCTGCATCTTCCGTCAAAGTGATTCTTGAAGTAATGAATTCCGAGCTTTCTAGGAAATTCTGGGCACAGTTCCACAAACAAAGCTTTTCCTTTTTTGTTAAACTCTTTCCCTTAGCTCCTGATGTACCCACAACACATTTCTTGTAACACCTAGAAGTCAACTTTGCTATCACCTTCTGTGACTCCACGACTCTTTGTAACAACTGAAGTTTCTCAATAGCTTGAATAGAACTATCTTCTTTGTCCTTTTCCATGATCTACTTTTTTCTTAAATCTTGTTTGTTCGATCCCTCGATTTTTAAACTTGAATTTCTTGTAGAATCTGAGAACTTTTGGCGCCAAAAGGTAATCTGTCAAAATGATTAAATGACCATTACATGCAAAAGTGAGATTATTTTCGGTTGTTTTGGCGCCATACGTGTATTAAAAGTTATTAATTCTTGATATAGTTGAGTAGGAACCTAATAGAGTTGTATTGGAGATAATAGAGGAATTATTGTTCATCTGTAATATTCTGTGGGACAAAAAAGTAGTTATCTTGATAGTAAGGGAATGGTTCTGCTAGGTTTGGAGGGGGAGGATAGTAGTTATAGTAATAATAATATCCTCCTCCTGGGCTGGATGAATATGGATAACTATATGGGTTTTCGCCCATTGCGAATGGTGATGTTTGTGGAGTTGCCTGTACACCTGGAGGACGAGGACTCGCGGACTCAGGATTGAACATATTATTATTCATAGCAGTTTCAACATTTCCACCATATCCACTTTGGAAGTATGGTTCAGTTCCCAGCAAAGGAAACCCATATCCAAAGAAGGGTCGATAATAGTACGGATAGGTAACTCCCATTTCTCCACATCCATATTTGCAAACGGCTGCCATATAACCACTTTGAGTTTTTAAAGAATGAGATGCAGAGTGTTTATGGGAATTGGAAGATATCAACTTTCTGTGCTTTGATTGATTTTCACCTTGTTTTTCACTGCCTTCATCCTTTGGATCTGATCTAAGAAGTTTTTCCGTCTCCTTGCTTTGGTACTCATTTTTTTGATTTCCTGAATCAAAAAATAACTCATTTACTTTGTTTCCTAACCTATCCCTTAAAATAGCTTTGTCTTTATAAACACTGAGTGTACCTTCATTTGTCAAGTTAAACTTTAATACCGCTTCCTCTTGAGTTTTTTCTCCTTCCGTCTCTTCTATAGAAACCTCTCTTACAATTGATTCCACATGATACATATATTGGTATCTTTTCCCTTTCATTATCTTTTGAGTCTCTGGTTCTACTTTTTCTGGTTCGTCAAACTCGAGTATAATAGCATCTACATTCTCTAGACTTTTTAACGGTGCATTGTAAAGCATATTTAAAGGAAGTACTCCTGCTCCTTTTCTCCAATGATTATTTATATTCATTTTTTCATTCTGAGAATTCTTCTCAATTCTTGAATTTCTTTCAACAAAGTTCGACCAAATTCCTTTTTGAATAGCCATTTGCCTGGAATTCTCCGATATTATGCCTTTAATCAGACTGTTTAGCATGAATATCATTATCCCTACCAGGACCAGATTCATGAATGCAGAAATTAGTGTAATAGCTCCAAAACTCTTTGAAATAATCCACAGCTCTTTCTTCCTTTCACTCAAATTATTTTCCATTTTTTCACTTAATTCCTGTTTTTCTGTTTTCTTCTCCGCCTCCTGGAATGGAGTCTTCTTCTTTTCATTCATTGCTTCCTCTTCAATAATCTAATTCAAATATTTCATACAAAACAAGCAATAATATTCAATTCTAAAAAAAAACCTAACTCTTTTTTCTCTCTCTTTCACATATATTTATATTATTTCCTACACTAATATAAATAAATTGTCAATTATTATTCTATTTTCTTTTTACTTTCTATTTCATTTATATTGTTTCTATCTTATTTACTCTTTATACCACCTATTATTTCCTCTTTCTCCCATAATACCATGCTTACATGCATCCACATTAAATTTTCCGCCGGTATTGAACATTTTTTTTTTAAATGCATGCATTTCCACATGGATTACATGCAGGAAAAATTGCATGCATAAAAAAAATGTACAAAGATGATTCAAATTAAATTGGGGCATGCCATGGAAGGTATAGACAAACTAAAGCTAATCAGAAATTGAATAGTTTTAAAGTTATTTAGTATTTTAATCTAGAATTTTTTAGAGTTTCAAAGCTATATTTATTGTCGTAAAAGTGTAATTCTCCTTAGAAATAAATAAAAAAAATTGATAATTAATTTAGCCAAAATAATGCTAAGTTTTGGGTTATTAATTATGTAACCTTAATCAAAAAATCTAGCAGATAAAAAAGGATTATGTTAGATAATTAACCGGAAATACCTTAAATTTGCCAGATCCCACTCAATTTCTTTATTTTTTTAATTATTTCTCAAATTATTATGAAAAGTATTGAGGCAGGGCTGTGTGCACACTCGGGTGAATATATTTAATGACAAGGCGGAAGTACCGATAAATAAGGTAAAATACACCTGGGAATTTCAATTTGTCAAACAAATCCAACCCGTATACATTTAATTTTTTCTTTTTTCTTTTTAACACCTCAGAAATTTCTCGAGGCTGTGCCAAAAAGAATGTTATAAAGGAAAAATACATATTAAGACTATATATATGTGTGTTTCAATATTTAAGATTTAATTTAGAGTAAAAGAAAAGTATCAAATTAACTATGGAAATTTCTCAAAATATAGGTTTTGATAGCCATAAACACAATAATTTAATAATACAGAAGCTAAAGAATGGTAAAGAAAAAAAAGGTACAGAAAATTCTCAAGAATATAAAGACCAGCTTGAAAAAAGGCTTGGAAATATATTCAGGGAAATTAGCCTCAGAAATGAATCCAATTCTTTTAGAATAACAATGAATGGTGAAATTCAAAAGATGAGAAATTTGAGTAAGCTTGATGCATACTGTAAATTTATGATGCTTTCTTACTCAAGAATGTTTTTTGCTCTAATAGATTTGAAAAATAATTGTGGGTTGGAGGATGTCCAATTTCATACGCTTGAATTAAGGAAGTTGAACTATATCTTTAAAAATTGTACTCATTTCAATATTAAATATAAGTTTTTAGAACAAAAGAAAACCGATCTTGAAAAGAAAACAATAAGTTCATATGAAGAAGTCTCAATTCCTAAGCAAGAAAAATATGTTCATAAAAATGAATTTAATTTATTAAGGAAAATAGATTCACTAAATAACTCAGTGGATGATCTCAAAAATAAAATTAAGAATTATTTTTCAAAAAATATCCAAGAAGAAATGGGTGATTACAAGAAAACTGCAGTAGATAATGAACCAATTTCATTAATGAGTTCACATTCAGACACTAATCTATGCAATTCTGAATCAAGTAATTTAGAAACATTCAACGATGAAAACTCCACTAATAGTGAGGAAGAAACCAATATGATTAATACAAATAAACATTTAAAGGAATTCAAGACAAAAAACAAACAGGGTTTTAGACACAGAAGATCGATTGAAACTATTTCATTCACAGGAAACAAGCTCGAAAACACTCCTCTTGTAGAGTTCTCTCCTGCACCAAAATACCATAGCAGATCCAAAACTCAAAATACTAATCTCCTACAACAAGAACAATCTGTAAACAGTTTCATTATCTCGTATAATGGAATCCTTCTCAATAAGTCAACGATCAATAACAACCAGTTTAGGGATGCAATCAAAGCACACAAAATTGTTGAATCTGCTAATCTGAATCAAAAACTCTTGTTTAGAAATAAATCAAATTTTAACCCTCACCAAAATGTCAGATAAGCAACAAATATTTACATGCAAAATTGATTAAGGAGTTGCATGAAATTCCCGCCAAACGTGTCATAACAGTATTTAATAAGTCCTAAAAGAAAAACAGTTTGAATTGAATTATTTATAATTAAGGAAAGTTCTAAAATAAAAACTATTTAATAAGGCAAATTGAGAGCGAGAATGATCGATTATTGCCAAATAAGATCTAGTTCTTTGTCCAGATCTTCAGGATTAATAAGGTCAATAGGACAAGTATAGTTTTTATCAGTGTAAAACATACTGGTTGATTTGGAGTCAACAAAATCTCTGACTTTAGAAATAAATCTAAGACCAAATCTTTCAAGTTTTTGTCTGGCACCCCATCCAGGAAGGGTTTTAAGAGCATCCAAAGAGAGTGGGAGATTTTCAACAAGTGCATCGATAGCTTCTTTTGATGCAATAGAGTTGGTGTTAGAAATTCCAAATTCAGCAGCTAAGTTTCTTCTAAGTAAGAGTAGTTGGGTTCTAAAATCTTTTAACCTTTCACTTTCAATATCTGATTCTTGGTAAATCAAATTCGCTTGCTTCTTCTTAGCTATTGTATGCGGTGATCCTTTATCATTGAATTGCCTTTTTCTCCTGGAATCTTTAGGATTCTTATGATTTATACTCTCCATTTTATCAGAAATGGACTGTAAATTACGGGAAGTAACAGGAGAAATGATTTGAGAGTTGTAGGAAAACGAGGAAAGAGAAGATACAGTACCTTGATATGCATTCATAGTGTTTGGCTCCAAAATAGGAGTGGAGTACATAGATTCTAGTTGGAATGTTTTGAAACAGGAAAAATCAAGTTCATGAATATCTTGGTTTTCTGCATGTTTGTCTATTTTAAGAGAAGCCACAGATACCCCATTTTTAAGTTGGACCAGGTTTTCTGAAAAAAGCTGGTTTACAATAAATAAATGTAGAAATCTTTGTAGATTTCCTGGTTTCCAAATATCTCCACTCTTTAAGAGGCCAATACAGTCTTTTGGAGCACTTTTTGATAGTTTTTCTGATCTTTTTTTCCCTTTTAAGATTTCTGCCAAACTAGAAAGTGTTAAAAATCCATAGGTTTTTGCAGCTCTTTCCTGATCTCGAAGGCTCAATCTCACTGAGAAAAAAACTTTCTTAGCAATACTCTCAACATCTACAATAACTGGTTTTTCCAGTTTAGATCTCACACAATTATCACACTTAACCTTACATTCACCTTTAAAATCTTCTCCAAAGTGACTTAGAACCATTGTTCTTCTGCACTTGTATTGCTCCTCACAATATTTGACCATTCCCAAAAGACCATCAATTGTGGATTTATTTGAATAATTGTTTTTTGAAGTATAGGATTTTTTGGAAGGCTTCTCAATGTTGATTCCTGCTAATGTTTGCAGTCTGGATACATCTTTGTAGGAGTAATATAATATGCATAGAGACTCTAGTCCATCTCTTCCAGCTCTACCACTCTCTTGATAATAATTTTCCAGAGATTTTGGCATGGAGAGATGAATCACTAATCTTACATCTTTTTTGTTGATTCCCATTCCAAAAGCTATTGTTGCTACCATTACTTGCCTTTCATCATTCATCCATCTTCTCTGAGCAAGATTCCGTTTTTCTTCCTTCATAGATCCATGATAGAAAGTTGCAGAAATTCCTTCTTTGTTCAAGTCTTTGGAGAGTTCTTCACACTCATTTCTGCTTAAACAATATATTATACTAGTTGATCTGCAAAACTGTGGAGATTTAAGAAGCTCGGAAATCTCCTTTAGCATTTTTTGTTTGCTTCCACTCTTAGTTCTCACCTCATACTTGAGATTTGGTCTGTCAAAAGAAAGACTAAAAATGACAGGAGATCGCATCTTTAGTTGTTTAATCACATCACTCAAGATACTGTGGGTAGCAGTGGCTGTTAAAGCTATTATTGGGACATTTGGAAATTCTTCCCTGAGTTTGCAGAGCTGAATATAGTCTGGCCTGAAATCAAATCCCCATTGGCAAACGCAATGGGCTTCATCTATTGCAAATCTTAAGAGCCTGGATTCTTCATTAAGCTGCTTTAGCAAAGAAAACAAAGTTTTGGAATGCTTAAGCTTTTCAGGAGTCACAAATAAAAAATTTGGACAAACTCCAGTATCGCCTTTTTTTAGCAAATTCATGATATTATTCACCTCCGCTACTGACTGATTACTATTCAAACTGGCACATTTAATTCCGAGAATATTAAGCTGCTCAATTTGATCAACCATCAATGCCACTAGTGGCATGATAACTACTGTCAAACTTGCTGGATTGTTGTATTTCAACAGACCTGGAAGTTGGAAACAAAGTGATTTTCCCCCTCCTGTTGGCATCATCACAAAAACGTCACGCTGAGAAACCACTGCATTCATTATCTGTCTTTGGTTCGACCTAAATGATTCATTTCCAAAAACCTGTTCATTGATTTTTTTCATTTCCTCTGACCATTCAAAATCATCCCTTTCCCAATCCTGGTCCTTCTCATTGACCAGAACTTTCCTCTTGCCATTAAGTAACTTTTTTTCGTTTGATGAACTTTTCTTCACTGCATTCTTTCTGGACTTCCCTTTTACACTAGAAAAGTCAGAGTCCCGTTGTATATTCAATATTGTATACAAATTCTCCTTGCTAGAGGATGAATTTGGTATACTTTCACCTCTTAATACATTTAATTCTATAACTTCATCCACATCATCATTTAACTCATATTTATCTTTTCTTTTTTCTATTTCTTTATTGTCCACATTACTCTCCGAAAAACTATGAGAAATTTCTGCCACGTATGTATTTTCAATACCGGCGTTTGCATGTAAGTGTGTGCATGCATGGCTTTCATTGTTAAGAGTAATTTTTTTTGAAATATTCTGAATTATGTTTGAGAGAGAGGAAAAGTTTCCAACTGGTCTTCCAAAAAAAATTTTACCGATATCGTTCATCTCATTTTGCAATACACAAGACATTTCCGAGCTAGAAATCCCACTTTTATTCAATTTTGAAAGTAAATCATTCTTTATTTGTTCCGAGTTCTCCTTGTACCATGCTAATTCTGACTCTAGGTTACTCTTGTGAGTTTCTCCCTGCAACCCCGGTTCATCTTCCATTTAATGGGTTGAAATTGCCAGAATATTAAAGGAAAAATAAAATGTATTCTCGACCTTTTTTTTGGCGTAAAATTACTTAAAGAAATAAAATTGACTATCTAATATACCTAATTACATTTCAATGAGAAATAAATTGTGTGGGGAAATGGCGCCAACTGCTTGCCATTTAATAAATACCATTCTCTCTTTTCAAGAAAAAGAAAAAATACCCGACTATTAAAGACATTATAATGTTAGAAAAGGAAGAAGAGATTATTTCCACTATAGGATTTACCTCAGAGAACGCTGGAGTTTCGCAAAAGCTTTTTGAGAATTGCTTGGATAGATGGAGAAGAAGTGATCTTTGCACTGACCAACAATATGACAATATTAAAAAAAGTGGGAATCTAGATTTTTGTATATTGGATGCTAGGTTCTCAACTGGGAAGTTCCCTTCCCAGAATTCATCGCCTGAATTCTACGAAAAGTATAATTCATACTCTTACAATGCATTTTCTAATATAACTCCACAAGATAATATTGAAACACCAATTATACAGCTATTTGGTTCAACTCAAAGTGGAATCACGGTTTTAGTACATATACATGGCTTCTTTCCATATCTATATTGTGAGGTACCCAAAAGCACACCTCCAAATCCACAAAAAGTTAAAAGTCAGATAGAAAGTAATTTTGGGTCAACAGGAGAAGGGAAACATAAAGTTCTTAATATCCAAGTTGTACAAAAAGAGTCAATAATGCACTACAAAAGTGATTTAGAAGCAAAAGAATCTCAGTTCTACAAGATTACTTTACAACTCCCAAATTCGGTTCCAACCTGTAGATCTATGATTGAAAATGGGAATCTGGATTGTATTCCTCAAGCCTTTGAAGCTAATATCCCTTTCATTCTAAGATATTTAATCGATTTAGGTCTAAGTACAGGATCATGGGTATCTATACCGAAAGAAAAATCACATATAAGACTTGGAGGACACAAATTTGATTACAAAGAGACCAATTTTGTTAAAACAAGTCCATATCAAAAAATAAGCTCATGCCAAATTGAGATTGATCTTTTTTATGATGACTTAGAAGTACTTGGAAGCTCAGGAAAATGGGCATCTTTACCACCTATTAGAGTCCTTTCTTTTGATATTGAATGTGTTACAGAATCTGGAGTGGGATTTCCAGAACCACAAAAAGATTCTGTTATTCAAATATCATCAGTAGTTACACTTTTGGATAACCCAGAATCAATATGTAATGTAATATTCACACTAAAAGAATGTGCTTCTATACCTGAAGCTTTTGTATTTTGGTTTGAATCTGAAAAAGATATGTTAATAGCATGGAAGAATTTCATAATAGCAACTGATCCAGATGTTATGACTGGTTATAATTGTATCAATTTTGATATGTATTATCTTTTAGAAAGAGCCAAATTGTTCCAATTAAATGATTTTTTCTTTTTTACAAGATTAGATAGTACTAAGGTAGCAAGTAAAGATACCAGATTCTCATCCAGGGCTTTTGGAACACATGAAAGTAAACTAATTAATATTGAAGGAAGGATTCTTTGGGATATTTTAGAGACAATTCGTAGAGAACACAAGTTAAAGAGTTATTCATTAAATTATGTTTCCACGACATTTTTAAAGGAACAAAAAGAGGACGTACATTACTCTATGATTAGAGGGTTGCAAGATGGTAATCCTGAAACCAGAAAAAGAATTGCAATATATTGTCTCAAAGATTCTCAACTTCCATTAAGACTTATGAGGCATTTGAAATTATTCCCAAATATTATAGAAATGGCAAGAGTAACTGGTACTACAATTGATATTTTACTTAGTAGAGGCCAACAGATTAAAGTTACAAGCCAAATTTTGAGGAAATGTAAATCTACCAATTTTCTGATGCCAACGGTAAAGAATCAATCTGATGGAGAAAACCAATATGAAGGAGCAACAGTATTAGAACCATCAAAAGGATTTTATAAGAACCCAATTTCCACTTTAGATTTTGCTTCTTTATATCCCTCAATTATGATCGCTCATAATATTTGTTATTCTACACTAATTCATCCAAGTAATGTTAAGAACGTACCAGAGGAACAAAGGGAGACTTCTCCAACTGGTCATTCTTTTGTTTTATCTTCAGTAAGAAAGGGTATTCTTCCATTAATTGTTGAAGAGCTTATAGCTGCAAGAAAAAAAGCCAAAAAAGAAATGGCAGAGACTACTGATCCAACATTAATCTCTATTTTGGATGGTAGACAGCTTGCTTTAAAAACTTCAGCAAATAGTGTTTATGGGTATACTGGTGCAGTAGCTGGAGGGCAACTCCCATGTTTAGAACTTTCAACAAGTATTACTTCATATGGTAGAAAAATGATTGATATTACTAAAAATGAAGTTGAGAAGATTTATAAAAAAGAAAAGGGTTATTCTGCTGATGCCAAAGTCGTTTATGGTGATACAGATTCTGTTATGATAGAATTTGGAGTTTCAGATATTGGAGAAGCTATGAAACTTGGTCAGGAAGCAGCAACATTAATCAGTAAACTCTTTGTTCCACCAATCAAATTAGAATTTGAAAAGGTTTATTGCCCATTCTTATTAATGAATAAAAAAAGGTATGCTGGAGTACTTTTTAAAAATCCACAATTCCATGAAAAAATTGACTGTAAAGGAATTGAGACAGTTAGAAGAGATAATTGTCTTCTTGTTCAAAAAGTGGTTGATACTGTATTAAAAAAGATTCTAGTTGATAAAGACGTTGAAGCAGCCAAACAGTACACCAGAAATGTGATTTCTGACTTGCTTAAGAATAAGATAGATTTGTCTTTATTGGTGGTAAGTAAGAGTCTTGGAAAAGATGATTATACTGCGAAACTCGCTCATGTTGAACTTGCAAAAAGGCTTAAATTAAGAGATCCAGGATCTGCACCTAATATTGGAGATAGAGTATCTTACGTAGTAATTAAAGGTGCTAAAGGCCAACCCCAATATGACCGAGCTGAAGATCCATTATATGTACTTGAGAAAAATCTTGCAATTGATACACAACATTATGTAGATACTCTAAAGTCCTCGGTAATCAGAGTCTTTGAAGGAGTAATGAAGGACCCTGAAAAACTTTTCTCTGGAAGCCATACGAGATCTGTAACGGTATTAAGCGTTACTGGGGGTGCTTTGGCTGGGTTTGTAAAAAAAGGTCTTCAGTGTATGAACTGTAAGACAATAATTAAAGAGGGATCACTTTGTAAAGATTGCTCCAAACAAGATAATATGGAATGTTCTGTACTTATTAATAAGCTTCATGAGTTTAGAGAGAAAGAAATTGAATACAATTCACTCTGGACTCAATGCCAAAGGTGCCAAGGAAGTGCCTTCCAAGACATTATTTGTACTTCCAGGGACTGTCCAATCTTTTATAGGAGGACCAAAGTTAGAAAGGACGTGAACGCTATTGGAGAACAAATTAAAAGGCTTGATCTTAATTGGTAAGCAGCTTTATCATTTAAGTTAAACCTTGAAATTTGAGAAGTTATAATAGAATAATATATATGGAAAAAACAGCGATGAGTGAGTAATTATCATTATACTTAGCATAATCTTGTTTTTATTATTTTCCCTTAATTTCCCATAATTGAACTTGTAATCTAGAAATCCAATTGTTTTGGAATTTAGTAACTTCTTCCAAATAATGTATATCTCTTTGCAAACTTGTCACAGAAGAAACATTTAGTCTTTCCTTCTTCTAGTTTATGTGGCTGGTCTTTAGGAATACATAGTGACTTCATTGCACCAGTCATTGTCTGATTGTCTTCATTATCCAAACTTAGTCTTGCAGTTTCTTTTTTAATCTCTTCCTCACATAAAACTTCCTCACACCAAGGAGCTAAAACCATCTTCTTTTGGTTCAATACATCCATTACTTTATCAAATGTGTCAACATTTACAATATTTTCGAGTTGTTTCTGCTTAGCCTTGGAGAACAATCTATTTTGGAATTCTTCCAATAACTTTGGTATTTTAGACTCCAATTCAGAGATAGGAATATCCATCTTGTCCATATTATCTCTAACAACAACACGAACACTTCTTTTCTCAATATCACGTGGGCCAATTTCAAATCTCAAACATACACCTTTAACTTCCCAATGGTTATATTTCCAACCAGGAGTATAATTAGATCTATCATCAATCTTGACTCTAATTCCAGCCTTCTTCAAAATACTCTCTACTTCATTGCAAATTTCCTTCTGTTCTTCAGTAATTACAGTTTTAAAAATGATGGGAATAATTACAACTTGTACAGGAGCAACCTTTGGTGGTAAAACTAGACCTTTATTGTCTCCATGTGTCATAACCATAACGCCAATGGCTCTTGTAGTTAAACCCCAAGAAGTCTGATGAGCATATTCTTTGTGTCCTTTCTCATCTTCAAATTCAATACCAAACATTTTACTGAAGTTTTGACCAAGTAAATGTGAGGTTGCCGCTTGAACAGCACGACCAATTTCTGAAATGAATCCTTCAATCGACTTAGTTGTGTCACCTCCTGGGAATTTTTCACCTTCAGACTTGGTACCTTTAATTACAGGAGTTGCTAACAAATCTTCATAAATAGATGCATAATCATCTAAAATAATGTCAACCATTTCCATAGCCTCTCTTCTTGTAGAATGAGCTGAATGACCCTCTTGCCACAAAAATTCACGTGTTCTAATAAAGGGAGTTGGATGTTTAAATTCCCATCTTACAACGGAATTCCATTGATTTATCTTAATCGGTAAATCCCTATGAGATCTAATCCATTTGGCAAAGTATGGATACATAATGGTTTCAGATGTCGGTCGAATCGCTATTGGTTCAGCCAAATCTGATTTTCCTGATTTAGTTACCCATGCGACTTCAGGGGAAAAACCTTCAACATGGTCCTTTTCAGTTTCTAATTTCTTCTGTGTTACAAATATAGGGAAATAAGCATTCTGTACATCGTAGTTTTTAATTTTCTTGTCAAAAACATTTTGAATTGTTTCCCAAATAAAGTAACTCCATGGACGTAATATGTAACACCCAGAAATATCATAATATTCAATCATTTCAGACTTTATTATAACTTGGGAATACCAGTCTGCAAAAGATGCAATTTTGTCTACTGTTATACCAAGTAAACTTTCGTTTTCCTTAGACTCTTCCGACTTTACTGTCGGCTTCTGTTCTTCTAAATTGTCCATAGAAAACCAGTTAACTTTCTTTCCACATGATTCAACAAATTTTACCAAATCATTAATATGAATTGAAAAGCTTTCGGTATTGATTAATGGATGTACAAATACCTTTTTATCTTTGAGACTTTCGTCAAAGTAAACTTGAATTTCCCCTGATTTCTCAAAGATTAAAGATAGAGGAGTCAAACAGCCTCTTTTTACCTTAAGCAGTTCGGTCAAAACATCTTCATCAGCCAATCTGAGCTTATTTCCGTTCACACCAAAGATTTGCCCAAGATTCTTCATCTTTGTATCGGTATTATGGTGAGCCAAAACGAAAAATAGGCCTTCGTTACCCTTTGATTTTATTAATAGATTTTTTGCAAAATCAGTATTGTGTTTTTTTGCCTCTTCTTTGAGTACATTTCCCATAGATTCCATATTTGGGGTAACATCATGATCAAACTTCAAATAATCTATGGAAAGCTTGCTCAATCTTTCTAATACTTCAGAATATAGTTTCTCATCCACCGACATTTTTTCTTAAATTCTATTAACTTTAAATTTTTTATTGGTTTTAAAAATTTTTCTGAAAAAGATTTAATTTAATTCCAACTTGACTATTTTATTGGGACATTTTTCTTTATAAACAGTTTTCCCGCATTTTTTTTTTCATTTGAGAGGTTTTATCTGCTGAAAATGAGAAAAAGTTAAATATTTTTTTCTTTAGATTAAGAATTTGAAAAATAAACAATACTAGCAATTCTAGTAAAATGCATATTTTTAATATCAGTGCAAATTTTTTTTATAAATAATTTGTCCACATGAACTTAGACTATTGTTGCATGCATATCAGCTGCATACGTGTAAATGTGGGGAAATGAATTTTCCTATACCGGCGATTATTAGTGCGAATTGTTGCAGTTTGTAAGAAAAATCTTACAATGCACACATTTCTTTTTAGTTTTTTAAAATTTAATTGTAAGTTAAATTAGGTTGGATAAAATAAAAAGGAAAAGACTAAACGGATGAATAAAAAGCCAATACTCAAATGATTACTAAATATAGATAAAGAGCTTGCGCATTAAATTGTAAATAAATTTTTATCAAGAATAGGAGGGGTGCAATTACAATAATATATAATTTTCTGAATTGATTAATTAAAGATCCCAGCAATACAATCCACACTAAACGCGCTCAAACTGAAATTCGCCTTAAAGCAATAATTATAAGAAATGAAATACCCATGTATTTAAATAGATTGTGAATTTTCTTGGGATTTAGAAACTATTAAGCATTAGTTAACGTTCTTTTAAATAATTTCAAGGAGGAAAGAATGAACAATACAATAAATTCCTGGACTTCAGGACTAGCTAACTTTTTGAATATGGGAAGAAATCAAAGGGAGAACGTTACAGGAGAAGTAAACATACCTAATCAGGGCAATGATACTCATTATTGGGCCGATCAGAGTGGCGGAAACAGATTTATTTTACATCAGAATTTACATGGTATTTCGCCAAAAGATATTTATCAAAAAGGAAACAACTTTGTAAATCCAATGGATTATTCCCAATTCTCTCCAAGCATCCCAAACTTTAAAACTGCAGCATACACTTCACTTTCTGGAATGAAGCAGATTGTTTCAATTACTGATATTGGGAGTGTAGTTGCTCATTATTATGATCTTGGAAAGTATGTGGGGCTTGGTGGAGCAATCCGATTTTTCATGCTTTGCAAACAAATAAAGCACTCATTTATAAATATTTCATTGAACGATGAAAACATCAATATTGGTGTTTATTCTTCCTCAATTGATCAGGATTCTGGATTTTCATATCCATTAATAATACATAACAAAAAATTTCATTTATTTGGTACCGTTCCCACTTTAAGATACATTGCTAAAAAGATTGGGGAATATGGAATTGATGCATACAGAGATTATGCTTTGGATATATTTTCAGAAACTCTCTCCGAGTGGAGAAATTTGTTGCTTCTTGCAATACTTGAGAAGATATCAGAAAGTAAAATATTCCAAGATACAAAAGAGGAAGTTACTGAATCAGATCTAAACAGCTCTAGAATGACAAATTTTAGCAGAAATATAAGCAAAGTTATTGAGGATACAAAAAAAACCTTTGGAACTGCAATTACTGATGATAACTACTATAATAATTATCTAAAATCTAGAAGAAAATTCTTTAAATCTGTTGAATCTATTTTGGTCAATTTTTCTGCAAATCCATTTATTCCATTAAAAGGAGAAATGATTGCTCTCGATACCACTACAACAGAAGGAAAAGAAATTCCAAGACAATTATGTAACTGCCCAAGTTATTGCGAGCTTTTCTTATTTAGTATTATTTATGATGATTCAGTTTTGATTAAGGAAAATTCCAAGTTTCTAAATGAAAATGACATTTCTACTGAAAAATTACTCGAAGAATTCCCAAAATTACATGATCTTTTTCAAGCTATCATGGCTTATCCATTGATTACACAGTGGTACAAGGAGATGGAACAACCATCAGAAACTGAAGAATCCAGTCAACATACAAGTAATAAGGCTACTAATACTATTAATAATGAAAAGGTGCAAACAGAATTAAATGGAGTAAGAACAGCAACTCCAAAAAAGGTTTCAGATATTGACCCTAGTATATTTGATCCTTCCGGTACCAATATACCAATACATAATGAGCCTCGTACTACAAATACAATCACATATAGGCTCGCCCCTCCAAAGTCTCAGGTCATCTTTCCAAATAATTCTAATAATAATCAAAGAGTTGAAATACCCAATATATACCATCAGACTTGCTCAAAGAACCCAAATGTTAGTACCAATACATTTAATGCCATTCGAATTAACAACTATGAAACCAGCTTCCGACCAAGTAATCCTCAACCCAACGTTAATGTTAGGATTGCAAACTTTTCTAAAGTTAATAATTTACCTTATCAGATGGGCCAGGGGCACCAAGTTTCCACAGCAAGACAATTTAATAACTATTCTGATATGAGACAAAACACTCAATACCCACCTTTTGCTCCTTCCACATTTAGGTGAAGTTAAAGTAGGATTTTCATAATTGATCAAGACAATATCAGTATTTCAACTCTTGTCTATGTATTAAATAAAAAACATTAATAACTAATATATTATATTGCTTGTTCTATGATTACTAGAGTTATTTAGCTCAGGCTAAATAAAAATAAATAGAGATTCTATTGTTATTAGATAAAGAAGGCTAAGAACTATTAGACTCGGACTCTTCTGAGCAATCTGTAGTATCTGACTTTGATTCATAATTGATAGACGCACATTTTTCGAGATCCAAGCTAGATTGATTGTTATCTAGAGTTCTTGAAGCATTCTGAGCAATGATCTCCTCTCTCATTTCGATCGTGATAAAAGCTTTTGGATCACAAAGATAAGAAATAACTGTTGGAGCCATGGGAGAATCTGTAAAAGCATTTTTGTAAATTTTACCTTTGAATTCTCCGGGACAAATCATATCAAAAATCTCATCACTTATATGTTCAAAAAGAGGTAGAGCTTCAATTGAATAGGTTTGTTCAATACATGTAACCATATTTTTCCAAAAACAACTAATTACCGACTGATCAATGTATCCCATCTCATTTAGATCTAGAATATGCCAAAACCAATTTATTGATTGTGGAGATTCTCTGAATTCTAAAGAAAATAAAACTTTGAAAACCGTCTTAATTCCTATAGCAGTTCTTGTTTGTCCATTTGAATCAGTTACAAATTTACAATCTTCCGAATGGACCTCAAAAATTCTAGAAATTACAAAAGTTGGAATAATATATTCAAAATCCATTAGTAATTGTTGGAGCATTTCAGGCAAAAACAACTTATTTTCAATATTCCCAACATTTAGATTTTGGCTTTCATCATCCTTAATAGATAACTGAAAATTTTGTTCTGTAGAAATAGATTGGGTTCTGTACTCAAACCACTCAAATATTTGAAAAATAAATTGAGGATTAAAAGGATTTTCTGATTCTGAGGTATCGGATAGACGCAATTCTAGGAACTTTGCAAATTGATCAGAAGAAATAAGATCTTGAATTTTAATTATGCTGTTTTTTGATCCGGAAAAAAAGAGTATTCTCTCTATTACATAATTGGCATAGAAATTTTCAAAATTGGGATGATTCATAGAAAGTTGCCCAACAAGTCCTAGTTTTGTTTCAGAATTATCTCTAATGGAATTTTTTATCCAATAGAAAAAATCATAGTATGTGATAACTTCTTCCATAGGATTAATATAACCCAATTCTGATCTGATTTGGAAAACATAAAGTATTTTTAAGCATGTATTAATGAACTTTGTTGGAGAAATAAACCCGTAACAATCTTTGAACATCTTTGCATACATAGATGGAGTCAAGAATTGTTTAAAAATTTCAGGACAATGGTCTCTACATCTTCTAAATTCTTTATATCTAATTACGATTCCGTCTGATTTTGACCTTACTCTTCTTTCAAATAATACCAAACATATGATGGGGAAACTTCTATTAAGCTCTTCAAAAAAAGTCAAAGTTCTTCCTGTTTTATGGTCTGTGTATAGTAATTGATTTTTTAAAGAAATTTGTGTTGCAGTTTTTCTAAGTAAATTAAACAATTTCCCCTTACCATTTTTTTCTAGGTAATTCTTTCTAGAAAGGTCATCCATTCGTTCCAAAAAGGCCGTAGCATGATTCATATTGGTCTCATTGAAGTTGTTAATAAACGAATTTGTATATTAATTATTTTTTTTTTGTTTTCTGTTCTTTCAATAATTATGATATTTGAACAAGCAAATAATTTAAGATGGCATAATTATAGTGTGTGGCCCCCCCTCATCCACTCAAAAAATAAAATTGGGTTATGTGGGAGTCGAACCTGATTGATAATATATTATTAATTAAATATTAGTTTTTGAATTCAAGTGCATATAAATATATTTTCTTTTAGTACCGGTATTACATGCAAATACAAAAATTTTGTCAAAAATATTTGTTATCATACCGGTATTTGCATGCAGTAATAATTACGTAATTAAGTGGACAACACAAATTTCCAAGATGTCAGAAAATTCTGTTCATGTATTAAAGCGGATGAAAACAGAGAATAATTGCGCACTAAAAAAAAAGAATTCAAGTAAAGAGATAATTGAATAAATGAACTTTTCTCAATAAATAGAAGTGTATGATTATAATTATTTGGGGAAATAACTTTTGTGGCAGGTAAAAGTTAATAATTTAGTTAATATATGAATTTTAGTTATTAATGAAGAAAATTGGGAATTTGGCGGTAAACTAGAAAAATGTCATTGTGTTTTTATTTATTGGTAAAATTATAATGTGCATAAAGTTTTGGATAATATAAAATAATTGACGCTTTTGGGTAATAGTTTGGTAATATTATATTGAAGAAAGAGAATTTGCCTTAAAAATTAACATCTGCAGGTATTAAACTTTGTGCCAAAGGAGAATAACGAAGAAATTAACTATTTTCAATAATTATACTGGATGTTACTACTGATATATCACTTTAACAAAGTAGTTATTAACAATAATAAATGTCATACCAGAATTCAAATAAGAAGGATGAAGTAACAAAAACACGCTATCATGGATTGGGGTTATCAAACCAAGGAAGAGGGGTAATAAAAAGTCAATCTATAGCTTTTCAGAATTCAAAATGGTCAAATATAAACTCAAAGTCAAAAGAAATGGGAATCAACTCAAATGTTGTCCCAGAAATGACAACAGTATATGTGGGAAGAATTCCAACTCAGGTTACAAATACACATATTCGAAAGTTGTTGGGAGAATGCGGTACAATATTGAGATGGAGTCGGCAGGAAGATCCAACAACAAAAAAGTTATCTTCTTTTGGTCTATGTGAGTTTGATTCTCCAGAAGGTGTAATAAATGCAGTTAACGTTTTGAATGGAGTAAAGATTTCAGGGGGTCAGCTGTTGGTAAAGTACCAACATGGAATTGATAAGGAAATGGCAAAGTGGCAAAGCAACAGAATTAATGAGATGTTGAAAAGTAGAGGAGGTGATTGCACTATTGAAACGATACTCAATGAGCTTTCAGCTTCAGATTCAAAGCTAAGAATATCCGTACAGCGTCTGTTGGCTGGGATGTCATTTGAATTAGATTCGGAACAAGAGCATGGTTCTGCAGAACCTGTTGATAAGAGCTCAAACAATGATTATCCAGAAAAAGCAAACAAGAAAACTTTATATTCTAATTCTGGAGAGTTTGGAGCAAGTTCTCACATGCAAAAGAGTGGAGTTCTTGTGGGATTCCCACAGAATTCAAGGGAGAAATTGAGAATGAAGAAATTTGAGGAAAAGAACAAAGAATTTGAAAGAAAGCTGGAAGATTTAGATGACGAATTATATGAAATAGTCAAGTTGTTTCCAGAAAAAATGGACATTTCTAATGATTTAACCTTTCGGTATTTGCTTGAGACCTTGTACGAATCTTATCACAATTTTAAGTTCATTTCTTCTTCAAATAAGAGAACTTATGATATGGTTTCTGAAATTATCCAATTTGATAAAAACTTGATTGAATCAAAGATAGATCGTTCTAATCCCGATTTTAGTCTTGATTCTGAACTTTTTGATAATGAAAATGACACTGATTCAAGGTATAAGGCTGATTCAGTTACACTCTATAATCAAGAACATCAAAATTTAAATGATGGGATTCAGATTAAAAGTGAAAATTTAGGAAAACAAGGTATTTACAGTCAAAATGGAAGACATCAAACTATAAATGATGATGGTACAAAAAATGATATTAGCAATAATAGTAATATAACAAAGATTTCTATTAATTTACCAAGATCTAAACAAAATAAACAATATAAAAACCCAATTGAAACCATTGAAAAGATGAATAGTAGCAAAATAAATAACAGTGACTCATCGCTCTCTTCCAATCTAAATCTGGCAAATTCTAATGATTTAATTAATAGGGAAGAAGTGTTTTCAGCTGAAAACTGGAAGAATGTATTGGGTTCAGTAGAATTTGAAAATTACAAAGAATATATTGAGCAAGAAATGAGACTTATCATTGGTAATTCCGATCAAAATGCATTGGATACTATTACTAATTTTATTATTGAAAAGTTTTCATCCAAAACTTTAATTCAAGAAACTATTAATATTTTGGTTCAAATTCTCGACACTGAAGCTGAATCATTTCTTCGTGGACTATTCCTCAAAATTCTAGATAGTTAATCATCCAACAAATTTATCATACTTTTCTTTTTCTTGGTAATAATAGAGTATTACAAAAAAAAGAGATTAAAAAATGTTTATTTCAAAAAAAGTTATTCAAATAAACTTTTCCTATTCTACAACTTAAAAAAATCACATGCATTAATGCTTTTATATACTTTGGAATAAGCTAAAGCTCACAAAATAATCACAATTAACTCTTTTTATTTTGGCAATACCTATTATGAGTAATTCAATATAATAAATACTCTATCTAGACTTACACCACCAGAGTAATCTGAAATCTAAGCCCAAAACAGATTTTTCTAAAGCCTTAAATAGACTAAATCTTCGAATACAAGTCATTTATTAGAAACTTTTTAAAGGGGTTAAAACAAAAACTATACACAATGGCTGACTTTTACTATTAATATCGTTTAAAACAGAAATACTAATGGAAATATAAAGAAAAGAACATTCATCCACAATGTAATTGCACTAATCCTAAATAGTTAGATTTCATAAAAAGAAGGCTTTCACACATTTACTTTTAAATTTAAAAATATCCACACAAAAATGACTATTATTTGATATATTAATTGTGTGCTAATATTAATTATAACAACAGCCCGCCACTTCTTTAACTTAAATGACTCATAATAATTAATATTCAAGCTATAGTGAAAACAAAATTCTGGAAGGTGAAGAAAATAAAGGAATGACTCAAAATGTCAAAGAAAAAAGCAAAGTTTGATTTAAATGTTGCAGCTCTATCAGCTAGTGTTGGGTCTATGGTACTTTTAATGATGAGCATATTTCTATCCTCATGGCTTTATAATGCAGCAGGGAAAGGTTTTTATCCCTATCCACGCTACTGGGGACTTCTAACAGTAATAGGTAGGAGAACACAATCACACAATGAAGTTTGGGAGATAGCATGTATGACCGCGGCAAAGCTTGCACTTGGCTTGACCTGTACATCTCCGTTATGCATTTGGTACTCACATAAGTGTGATGCATACAGAATAGTAAAGAATATCTCATATGCTACGGCTATAGTTATAGCAATAACATGTGGAATGTTAACAGGAGCAATGATTTGCTCGTTGAGAAGTAACATTTCTAGTCTCAGATTGTCAACAGCATTCAGTTTCGCTGCTTTTCTGGTATGCTCACTAGTAATATGTTTATATGCCTTCTTGATGAATGAAGCATTTAGCATAATTAATAGTGTTGGATATTATCCAGTTCCTCAGCCGAGCATATCTTTTGCTATAGCTTTAGGTGGTATCTTTTTATTGCTAGTAGCCTTTATTGCATATGCTCAAAGATATAGGAAGTTAAGAGCTGAAAAGGACTTTGAGGAAGATACTTGGTATGAGTATCAAAATCTTAAGAATGAGTATTATGGATACAATGCAATTCAATGAATGACTAATAGAAAGGTTTATTCTTATATTTAAGCTATTCTCTTCTCTTAATCCTTTTATATATTATTTACCAGTATCATTTTTAATTGTAAACCATATACTTTGCTGTAGCAGAGAACTTCTTATAGCCTTTAACAACTTTGTTAATAGCGTCCAAAAGATCCTTTTCGCTGATGCTTTTTCTTCTTGCTCTTATTGCAAACATCCCTGCTTCAGTACAGACTGATCTTATATCTGCTCCTGTACAGTTTGGGCAAAGTCTAGAAAGTAGTTCAAATCTAATGTCCCTTTCCATGCTCATTACCTTCGCGTGGATTCTGAAGATTTGAGTCCTTCCTTCTAAGTCTGGAAGTCCAAATTCAACCTTTCTATCCAATCTTCCAGGTCTTAGTAGAGCTGGATCCAATGTATCTGGTCTGTTGGTTGCCATCAGAACCTTGATATTGCCTCTTGCGTCAAATCCATCCAGTTGGTTTACAATTTCAAGCATAGTTCTCTGAACTTCGTGATCCCCATGAGCACTTTCCTCTCCTCTGGCTCCTCCTATTGCATCAACCTCATCTATGAACAATATACAAGCCTTCTTACTCCTTGCTAGTTTAAAAAGTTCTCTAACCATTCTTGCTCCTTCTCCTACATATTTCTGTACTAATTCAGAACCAATAACACAGATGAAACATGCATCAGTTCTATTTGCTACGGCTCTTGCTGTCAAGGTCTTTCCAGTACCTGGAGGGCCATATAATAGTACTCCCTTTGGTGGGTCAATACCTAATTGTACAAATCTTTCAGGGTGTAATAAAGGCATTTCAACAACTTCTCTAAGACGTTCCAATTGGTCTTTTGCTCCTCCTATGTCATTATAAGTAACATCAGGCTTGTCCTCCACTGTCATCATTGCTACTGAAGGGTCTATTTTTGGTGGTAAAGGTATCTGAATCTTATACTTAGTACGATCTACGCCAACTCTCATTCCCTCTTCTATATCAGTCGGAGCAACTTTATCTCCTAATCCAACTACATACTTGGCCATTTGTTTAATATTAATCATATACTTCGCCTCCTCAGTACCGGCATCTATAATTTTTGTGCATCTTGCAACTTGTAAGGGCTGTTCCATCTGCATATTTTGTCTATCAGCAGCCAAATCCCACTGAGATGGTGGAGCCAACCCTGTATCTGACTCCCTTATACTATTCAGTTTTGAAATAGCTGACATTAAGTCTTTGACCTCTGTTTCCACCTGTTTAATCTTTGATACATATGGCCCCATTCCATACTTTCTCATAATATCTATATCAATCTGATCAAGGGGACGCGACTGGTCCTCTTCTCCCTTTCCTCCATCCTTCTCTGTCTTAATCTGTGGCTTTACTGCCATTTTTACTGATTTCCCCTTTAATTTCTTCCTTTTGTTCTTTTCTCTGGGATTCAAACCTCTCTTTACATTATTTGTTTTTCTCCTCTTTAATTCTTCTTCCCCTTTTACCGCCCTCCTCTCCCATATCCCTCTCAGCTTTTGGCCAATTTAATTAATTTTGTGGGATACAAAAAAATTAATTATGGGGGGGCCCAAATTGCCGCCAAAATGAGCACTTTTTAGATTATTTATATTGGTGTGGGGAGCAACTTGTGCAAACTGGCGGGCTCTTATATACCGGTATGAAGGTTAGATGGGATCAGTAAGCAATGGGGAGTTAACTGGAGAAAATTAGAAAAAATGGGGAAGAGGGAGGATCTTGAAAGGTGAGTCCTAAAAATTTTATTTGGATGTACTCTTTAGTTTTCTAATTGGGATTGCTTTTGCTCATAGAGAGTAAATTTATGCAGATATTTATGGTTTGCATGCACATATATAAATGGATTAGGGTATCGAGACCAATTGCCTACTAATTTAATCACTAAAGAAATAACAAGTATATTATTCTCTCTTTTTAAAATGATCATTAATTTTTCAAAAATATAGATTCTGGTATTATTAAGTTCAAAATTTAAGGACAAATTACAAAAATAACCTAAAATTCCCAAGTTAAAAATTCATTAATGAATCGGGAAAATATAGATACCGTCTCAACCATTCTCGTCTCGTCTCTGAAAGTTGCATGCATGCATACAAAAATTATATAGCTAAAAGAAAGCATTAATTCTCGGAACCTTTGTTATGTTTTCTTCTGAATGAGTTAACAATAGGGGAGTGACTATTTATGACATTAAGGTTGTTCGAGGAGTCAACATTGTTGTCATAAGGAATATAACTTGAAATTTCAGAAGAATCAGCTGCAATAAGGCTGGGATCGTTTGCAGTAATGCAAGAAGTCAAAGATCTTTGTCTTCTTTTCATTGTGGCTTCTGTGAAGTGTTGTACGTCGTCTAGACAGGCCAAAAGCTCGTCTCTTTCAGATCTAACGACCTCTAATTCTTTGCTGGATTCCATTAAAGCATATTGTGTAGCTTCAAGTCTCTGAACACAGCTTTCCCATTCACTTCTGATCTCATTCAAACTGTTTTCTGCAGTGTTTCTGAGTTCGGTCAAAGTGGATTTAAGAGCATCAACTTGGGTAGACTTTTGACGAACTCTTACATTTAGAGACTTATTTTCATCCATTAATGTTCTCCTTTCCACAAAAAGCTCAAGAATCCTCTTTTGTAGAGTGGCTTTGTCATCCTCAAGGATTTCAACATTTTCTCTTAATTGGTTATTTATATCAGCAAGTTCAGAGTATTGACCTTCCAGTTCTGCTAATCTTAAGGAGCTTGCTGATGACTTTTGAGATGATGGATGAATATGGTAATAGTTTGGAGTTAAACTACCACTTAGAGAAAAGGCATCTTCAGAGGTGGAGATATCGGATTTACTCACTATGTTTGAGTAGTTATGGTCTAATTTTTGGGATCTCAAATGTTTTGAAGATTTAAGTTGTTGGTTTATTGTTTCCAACTGGGAAATCTTATCATTCTTTTCATTAAGCTCCTGTCTAAGGCCCGAGTTCTCTTTTTCAAGTTCTTGAACCCTTGTCTTAAATTTATTTAAATCTTCCACACTTTTTAGTGCCGCTGATCTGGATTGCTCCAACATAGAAAGCTGATTTTGTAGTTTTACCTGTGTTTCGCGGTACCTTTCAGTCTCTTTCATACAGTAATCTCTTTCATGCTGTCTATCTTCAATTTCTGCGGAAAACTGATTCCTGAGAGCTGACAGATCCTTGTCAGACTGCTCCAAAAGTCGTTCCAAATATAATACCCGGTTCTTCTCTATCTCCATTTTCTGCTCCAAAACCAGGATTTTACTATTTAGATCTGACTTTTGAGATTCATAAGATTCTGAGATCTTATTGGTTTCTGTCTCCATAGATATCTTTGATATCTCCATCTTATACTCCAAATCACTTATAATCCTCTGATGTTCAGATTCCATTAACTTAATCTTAGACTCTAAAGAGCTAATTTGGCCTTCATATAAAGTTATCTTGTCTTTTAAGGAACCTATTTCTATCTTTGAATTCGCGATCTCCTCATCCTTTCTTTCTACCACCTCTTTATTCTGTTCCAAATCCTGCCTGGTTTTGTCATTATTTGTTTGTAAAGAATCCAAAATTTCCCAAAGTCTTGAAACATTAGTTGGAACTGTATTTGTTGACAAATTTTGACCATGATCTTGAGTCTCATTATTTTCCGTCTTAACTTTGAATTTCGATACCTTTTGATCATTTTCAATATTTTTCGGTACCACATCAAATTCTTGTGCATTACTTACTTCTTCTTGTATAATTTGCTTCTTTATTTTCATGTGGTCTCTGTAGGCCTTTTGAATGATTTTTGCAGCTTTAATTCTAGATCCTAATATTTCCAAGAAAGACTTCCTAATTTGGAATGATCTCCAGCTTGATTGAATGTTTACTGAGGCTTTTTTAATTTTCTTATACTCTTTCTTTGCCCTATACATCCTCCAAGCTGCTGAGATACTTGTACAATATTTGTTACAAGCCTCAGATACACAACGTTCCAGCTGAGTTTGAAGGGAATCCTTAACAAAAACCTGTGTTTTTCCTATCTGCCATGAGTTATCCCATTTTCTTCTTTCTGTCTCGTCCTGTCCCTCCTGAAGCTCACTCTGAAGCTTCTCTAATATATTCTTGCAAATCAAAGAATAATTCTTTGCTCCAGTAAAATCATGAGATTCAAAAGAAGGATAAAGGATCTTATATCTGTTGTAAAAGTCCTTGAACTTTCTCCTTACACTATATCCAGATCTTCTGATCCTTATACTTTCAAGCATACCTGCACATCTTAATTGACGTAATACATCCAGGCTGTCAAATTCATGTACAGCCTTTCTACTATTTGGCTTTATACATCTAATATAACTGGGAGATGTACTATTCAAAGTCTCAATCAACCCATTAAGCTGATCTCTAAAGGCTCCACTCACTGTAATTAAAATTCCCTTTGGCCTATTAACTGTATTTGTATTAATATTTGAAGAAATATCTTCACCTAACTTAATGCCGGTACCGGATCTTGAAATTGAAGATCTTTTTGCCTGACTATCACAAGATGGTTTGGAATCAAATAACTCAGTAATTAAACAGGATTCTGAAGATCTCAGAAGCTCAGTAACATCTGAATGTAGTTGATCTCTGTTCTTTTCTAAGAATCCTCTAGTATCATATATTACTGGCCCAGCATAATGTGATACAGCAAAGCTGCTGTTTGACATTTTACTTGGTTTATAAATAACCTGATTATCATTGTGAGTTTTATTTGAATCTCCTGATAATTTTAAGATCTTATTCAAAAATGATGAATCTGATCCTTGAGGCATTAAGCACTCGGAATCCAGGAGTGGAAAAATACCATTAGGTTTCTTTTCAAGAGAATCTATAATTACCTTGTTATCAATAAAATCAATCCTTGTCCAATCGATACCTTCTCCTTCATAAACTTGTTGCTCCTCCTGGAACATCTGGTGATTAAATTGTTGTTGGAGCTTTTCATTACTAAAGTTAATACAAAATTGCTCAAATGAGTTACAATCAAAGACTTCGAAACCGTAAATATCTAAAAGTCCTATAGATCTTCCCGAGAATAGTTTTTTGGAAAGATGATCTTGTCCGGTACCCACCACACCATTATTAATCAACCCATTAGTCATGGACTTATTAATTCTGAAAACTAGCCAGTCAAATAGTTTGGAGTAAATTGCCTTTGCCATTGAATCTCTGGTCTGAAAAGCTGCTTCCAAAGAAACTGGCATCCTAATGATTCTTCCTGTCTCGGGATCTTTAAGTTTCTTCCATTGGAACACATTCAAAAGTTCATTAGGGTCTAACTTAAGCAATTTAGAGGCAAAATCAAAGGCTCCCATCTGGTCCCTGTATACATTAGGAGGAACACCTGCACTCTCTTGAATAAAATCAAAGTTGCAAAGATGTAGTATACCAGCACATACTCTCATGATCTCAAAGATCTCAGACTCACAAATTCCAATGCACTTTAAGCATTCCAAAACTTCTTTCATTTCAATAGAGTCATCTCTTCCAGGGATATCAATACTCTCCCTAATGATTGAAAAGTCCTCCTGGGAATGAATATTAAGCTCTTTTAAAAATGCTTCAGGGAAAATCCCTTTGGATAAACCTGCTGCAAGGCAGTAAAATATATGATAATTCCTCTCTCCTTCTTGTTGGTTAGTAAGCCTACATTTCTCCAAAAGATAATTTGAAATGGAAGCACCTCTAAGCTTTCCAGTGGCATCAAAGTAGATCTCAATAAACTTTCCAAATCTAGATGAGTTGTCATTTCTAATTGTCTTTGCATTCCCAAAAGCCTCAAGGATTGGATTGCTCCTCAATACAAGGCTCTCTATTGACGAGTCATCCTTCTTTGGAGACAAAGAACTGACAGGGCTCTGAGTACGGGAATAAATGGAAGGGCTTGGGATAGAAATGGGACGTCCACCAGCAAAATCACAGGAAGATGTAGACCTTTGTATATTTGCTAAATAACAAAGAATGATCTTCGTAGCCTCTGTTTTTCCTGCTCCACTTTCTCCCGTAATTATGATACTCTGACTCTTCTTCTCCTTAAATAAGGAATCATAAGCATTTTGAGCCGTCTTAAATATATGGGGCGGTAGTCCACTGGATTGATCATTATTGTTTTGGTTGGCCTTTTTGCCAGAGCTCGTGGAACCAATGGACTCCAAGCCATTTCTATATAGATTAAATTGATTTCTACCATAAAGCTCAGGGATTACCTTATATGGATTAATACTGATTAATATAAGATTCCCTATGCAAGTATATATGTTGTCCTGATAATATCTGGTTCTTACATTATGTAGAAGAGCTCCTTCGCAATAATCTCCCAAAACAAGGAGATTGGGTATACCAGATAGACTTGACTTATGAACAGAGTGCATCTCGGCATGCTCACGAGTAATCCTCACCTCCAGACCATCTTCAACTCTGGCCACAAAGTCTTCATTCTCTCTTCTTAAAATAGTGGCTGGAGCCCAAGCCAGCTTTGGGTGTTTAACCCAAACCAAACCTCTGCTCTCTAGAACTCCCTTTTCTTCTAACTGGACTTCCATTTTTTCCAATTTTCAAAAAGGTAATCCGACCTTTTCTATTTACCAAATTTACTTTTATTCATTAATTTAAGGCCTTTAACATGTTGACAGGGTTTACCGCCAAAACTATTATAAGTGTGGTAGACATAAATTCGAGGATATAAGAAAATGAATAAAAACTTGCATGCAAGGGAGAGTATGATCTGAAGAAAAGATTTAGTTTATATGATCCTTAGAGAATTAAAAGATTGTTACATTAGTTTTTGTAGAAATAGGAAGAGAGTTGAGTAAGGGTTGGAGGGTTTTGTAAATAATAGATTAAGATATAATTAGGAGAGTAAACAACAGTGCTAATAGTAGAAATCTATAGTTTAATATATATTATTATTATTATTATAAATAGTAATATAATTTGAATTAATATCTTCATGCACTGTTATATTTATTTGGCATATAGAAAATATTATTAGATTATATTAATGTAACATGCAGATATTTGGCGCCAAATCTATATGATCAGAAAATATAAGATATTTAAGAGGACCAAAGAACAGGAGCAATGTGGTTTTTTATTAGGCATGCAGAATCAGCAAACAATGCAACCAATAACAATGATTCCACAGATTCAGGGGAGAAATATAATGATGAAAGAGTTCCAGATCCATCATTAACAGAGCTAGGGTATATACAGGCAGAGAAGACTGGGTTGTATTTAGCTTCGAAAAGTGTCAAAGTATGGAAACAGGAGAGGGAGGACCAGAAGTCAATGAGTTTAGAAAATCCAAATTTTAAGGCAATTTATTGTTCTCCAATGCAAAGGTCACTAGAGACAGCGGATAAAATACAGAAAATTTTGGGTGTTCCAGTATTTGTGAATCCAGATCTATGTGAAGTTGGAGGGGTTTTTAGAGGTAAAAGGCATACAAATAGTCCCAGAGAGTCTAAAGAGGTTTGTAGCGGGAAGAAGAGGAGTGTGATAATGAAGGAATTCCCAAATTTCCAATTAGATGAAAGGATCACGGAACAAGGGTGGTGGGGGAAACCTCAGGAAACCTTCAAAGAGGCTTCTGAGAGAGCAAAGAAAGTAGCAGAGTTATTATGGGAAATCAGCTACGAAGATTTAAAAAAGACAGGCACCGAATATCAAGGAAACACTAATATATTAATCAGCCATGGGCTTTTTCAAGATATGCTCATGAAAAGGCTTTTTATGCAAAGAAATCCTGTTCCCACTTTAGAAGAATCAGCAATATTTCCTTGTGAAAACTGCGCAATTAGCCAGATTGCACTGTATGACCACACGATTAGACAATTTGAAAACATTAGTGAGGAAAACACTCAACACTGCCATCATAAAAGCCAAAATAAACAGGATCCGAGACGTGTATGTATTTGTATTAAGTGGAACTCGTCACATCATCTCGAGGATTGCGAAAGAACTACTACCAGAACTTACCCAAATTCCAAGTATACTCACCAAAGTGCAAATAGTAGTAGTAACAGTTCATGAATGCCTCAGCAACCTCATCAAAATATTACTTTTTTTCTTTTCCCACATCCATTAATATTATTCAATTAGGGGAACGCCCGCCTAAATTTATGGCGGGCTCACGTGTTTATTGTATATTTGAGACAGCTTTTTTAGACGAGTCATAATAAAACTATAATAATAAATATATAAATTATTTCAAATTAAAAATTTTAATAATTTTCTATATAATTAGTATAATAATTTAATAGACATGTTCCAATGTCTACTTATTGAAGTAATAATAATTATTTGACAAATTAACAACGAAAGAGTTCTTGAATTGAGAGGAATTAGCTTTGTCGAGAATTTCTAGTATACCGATACTAAGAAGGAAAGACTTTGAAGGATTTATTTATTTTAAAATCGCTTTAAGAAACAAAGTAAAATGGCAACTTTCTCTACTTCTGATGTTAAATTGTTTGGCAAATGGTCTTATGACGAAGTCAATGTTTCTGACTTATCTCTTGTAGACTACATTGCCGTTAAGGATAAGGCTTGCGTATATGCTCCAGTTACTGCAGGTAGATACCAAGTTAAGCGTTTCAGAAAGGCTCTCTGCCCAATTGTTGAAAGACTTGTCTGTTCTTTAATGATGCATGGTAGAAACAATGGTAAGAAGAACCAAGCTATACGTATAGTTCGTGCTGCTTTTGATATTATCAATCTAGTTACTGATCAGAATCCAATTCAGGTCTTTGTGGATGCTGTCAAGAATGGAGGTCCTCGTGAAGATTCTACCAGTATTGGTTCAGCTGGTGCTGTCAGACGTCAAGCTGTTGATGTTTCTCCTCTAAGACGTGTTAACCAGGCTATTTATCTTATCTGTACCGGAGCTCGTACTCAGGCTTTCAGAAACATTAAGACCATTGCTGAGTGCTTGGCAGACGAGATTATTAACTGTGCCAAGGAGAACCCAAATAGCTATGCTATTAAGAGAAAGGATGAGGTAGAACGTGTTGCTAAAGCAAATCGATAAATTATTGGTTTTTTTAATTACATGTTAAGTATATTCAGGACTTTTGTAACATCCTAAGAAAGGAAAACAATAGAAAATGAGATAATTCAGGATTGGGTTTTTTCCAAAAAAATTTTTTTAAGCTTGCTTGATCTATACCGTTATAATTGCATGCATGCACATCCGCATGCATGCATTTCTGGCTTTAATAAAAATCCTTAGTCTTGATTCTTTTTAAAATAATAATAATAATAATAATAATAATAATAATAATAATAATAATAATAATAACAATAATAATAACAAAACAATAGTAATAAAATAATAATAATAGTAATAATAATAATAATTCATTTTAGAACAAAGTATGTGTTTTTTTAATGAAATATTAAATCAACCTTTCGGACTACATTCTAATGAGGAAATGGGATTGATGGGGTTTTTGTATAATCAGTCTTTTCTTCAAATATTTCTGAGGGAGATTTAGAATTCCATGTGTATTCGGATTATTTACAATTTTAACATTACCTTGATCGCTAAAAGCGAATTCTTCACTTTTAAGCCATTTATCAAGAATTGTAATATTAAGCTTATTAATATTGAAAGTGTTTTGTTCTTGAACAATTAGATTATCTTTAGATCTGGCTCGACTAGATGATTTTGAATCCAATTGATTCATAGTAAACTTTTTACTGGTGTTTCCTTTGTTCTCTATATATGCTGGAAGTAAGTTTCTATTTCCACTATTATGATCAAAACCTGATTTGCCTTTATTGTAAAAAAATGCATGGACTAAACAATCTTGGAGAGTTCTGATGGGGTGTTTGGAAATAGAGTTATTATTTGAATCTATAAATAACTGGGGTGACCAACCCATATAACTGATATAAAAAAATATATCTGAGTAATAATTAGTAGTTGTATAGTTTTTCTTGAGATCTTCTTTTTTTCCAGGTTTAATATAATTTGGAAAGAATGGGTATTTCTCTCTAATGACTAATTGTATTGCATTTGTGGAAAAGATACCTTTAAATGGAATAACAGCTATTAATTTTAACTTTTTAGATGATCTAGGGTCTAATTTAATATTGGTAACTGTTGATCCAACCCAATTAAGCTCCCCAGATTCCAGAGCTGATGAAATTTTTCGATTTATATATGGTTTCTTTTCATCTTGAGCTATGATAGAGGAGCCTTGTTGGATACTTTGACCCTTAATCTGTGTTTCTGAAGGTAAAAGAAGATCATCCTGGAAGCTTTGGCTGGTTAGAAATTTGGAGTTACAGATTAAACTACATATAATGGTAGAATTAATAGTAATATTTGTTAATGTAATATTTGTCTCAACAAGGTGGATATCTCCATCTAAAGAGGAATTTTCTGATAAATTAGGAAGATCTTTGGTATTCATTGAAATTGATAATGGTTGATATTTATCCTCATCATGTTTGTACCCATTAAAAGGTATTGAATAAGGATCAAAAAGATTAATATCATATATACATATTTGTCCAGAAAAGAGGTTACTTAAACCCAAGTATTCCAAAGAAATTTGGTTTGGATTATCTGAAGTTTGATGACTTAGATCAAATACCCATGATAATATTAGATTGATTTTAGAAATTGAAAAAGTGTTTTTATTTTTAGACTCGAGATCTAAAAAGATCTGAAAGGTACCAGAGGGAGGTACCCTCTTCAATTGATTATTGTAGTGTTTATTTCCATTAAGAAACTCTTTGGATGGGCTATTTTTTTGAGATAGTGTCAAAATAGGTCTTTCTTGAATAATATTTGTCTTTAACTCTGCCTTATATTTCTCAACCCATTTACTTGGATTAGCAGAGATGTCATAAATAGTAATTTCTTTCGGTGTTTGGTTTTTAATTCTAAGAAGAAGTTTGCTCAAAGTTTCTTCTTCTCCTGGAAAAACTGAACAAGACATTGAAACAGAATTTCTGAAGTAGAAATTCAAATTGGCAAACACTATACTTCTAATAACTTTTGATTTAGAGGATGAAGAAAAGGAAGAAGATGATGGGAAAGAAAAGGAGGAGGCTGCAGCTGTTTCATCTCCTTCAAGATATTCATATGACCTATTAGAATTGAGTAATATAAAGTAAACATTACCAGAACATTCAGAGTTGACCCATAAAGTAAGATAAAATTCATGGTTCCTTTGAAATTCAATTTGGGGAAGTCTAAAAATGCAACCAGAACTATTAAAATTAACAGTTGAGTTGTTCATATCAGGAGGAGGATCTTTGTATTTAATTTGAATGTTGAAATTATTGGGAAAACATGGAATTACTAACAAAGTGGAGTCAAATAAACATGTATTTGTGTTTTGCTCGTTTGATATACTTATAGGAACTGTGTAAGGTACTCCCGAGTATAAAACTTGTAAATCCTGATGAAAATTTTCATGATCACGATACTGATCGTTACCTTGATCTTGAGACGGATTGATTGATTTTGGTGAAATATCTCCAAAATGGATGAAAGAATTATTAGAGTAGCCAAGAACATTAATTTTTTGTATTCCAAAGTGTTCCTTATTGAATGTGGAGTAATTGGAGTTTAAGTTTCCAATTTGTCCAAATTTGGATGTAAGATTATCAAAATTAATAGAGGTTGAGCCAAAATTTTGTCTGATTGGTATTTTTCCATCTAAAAGAAATGATATACCTAGAAGGAAAAGTTCTCCTGCTTCTAGAGGAATAACAGAGAGTTTTTGTATTTTGGTTTCATTAGGATTCAAAATGATTGATTTTTCAAAAAAAATGATTCCTTTAGATTGTTCGCCAATATTAAAGTTCTCGGTATCCTTAAGAGTATGAGCAATCCCAGTAGATCCATCATGAAGTCTAAGGTGACCCCAAACCTGGAGAGACTCACAAACTATTGGGAATGAAAGGGGATTATAAATATAGAATTCAATACTACAAACTTTGCCAATAAACGAAAATCTGGTGGAATTTAAAAACTGGGATGAATTAACCAAAGGAGTTTTTGGGTTATTTGGTCTATGGCTCTCCTTATTTCGTCTCAAAATATACTGAGATCTAAGCTCTGCAGCTTCTGAACTTTCCAAAAAAGATTCATTATCTAAAAGACGGTTTGCCTTTTCAAGTAGATTCTGAAATTCATCTTCATTTCTGTTGCTATTATAGCATTTTGGGTTTATTGGTTTGAAAAAACCCTGTCCCGATCCTGGAAAATTTTCATATTGTGATTTAGATCTTGAAATGGTACCCGGTACCTCTATTTTGATTAATTTATTATCATGATTACAGAACTTTTTCTGATCAACTATATTTGAAATTTTGTCATTACAGGTACATAAAATTCGATTTAATGTATTGCTTTCTTTCTTTCCAAATGCTTTAAATAGTGAATCGTGGTCTGTTTCAAGAATTAGTGTTGTACCTATTGGAAGTAAAACTGGGAGAGGGATCTTTAAAAATGTACAGGGAGCTTGGGAGGGAGACAAATTTTGGAAATTATTAAATGTATTAGAACATATTTGGCTGGGTTCTAAATCTGAAATATTAGATCTAACTCCTCCCTGCTTGTATATTACAAATGATCTGATGAACTCTCTAAAGCAAATTAAACTTATTTCAGTATCTTGCTCACCAATAAATGATGCAGAGTTGCTTTCATTTATTTTGAACCATAAGGATTCAACATTAGAATCCGAGTAAGAACACATTTCCTTATTTGATGAGATCTTGTCGTTAATTATGTCTAATATTAAACTAGAATAAAGCAATGTAGATTGAGGAAGTAAAGAGAGCTTCTGACAAAGTCTTGCAGAATGTAACTTTAGGTATCTATCGATATGCTTATATGCAAATCTATCCATGTGAAGTAGGATCATTAAATATTGTTTAAGGGAGATTCCAAAAAATCCAAGATCTTGAAATGCTTGAGCAGCTTGAGCAATGTAAATACTCCAACAATGAGAAAGATTCGTGGGATTTGATTTTGTCCTAAAGTTGAAATCCGATAAACTTGAAGATAGATACAGAACTCTTGAAATTACATAGTTAATTACTCCAAAAATACTTAAAATACTGTTCTCCCTGTTGTTCTTTGTATTACCAGGTACCATTTTTAGATCTTCAGATATATATTGAATGGTAACGGAGTCTTTTGAGTGATCTTGAGAGTCCATCTTGTTAATTGAAAATAGGGATCTTGGTCTAAGACTTGGTTGAGAAACTTGAAGTTCATTAGATATCTTAGATAAAGAACTTACAATGCTTTTACAAACATTATTGATCATTACAGAGTTAACATCTTGAGTTGTAATGCAATCTTGTGATCTTTTCTCAAAGTTAAATGATTTTAAAATAACAAAACTGAGAAACAGTAGTGATTTAATGGCAGAAATAGTTCCAATCTCATCGTTGTTTCTTAAAAATGAATTTGAAGAGTTTATACAATAATCAGATACTGTCTCAAGATCAAAATCTAAAAGTATCTCAGCAACTGCCATTGAGAAAAATGTAGATCCAATATGTAAAAATGACTTATCCAACTTATATTCCGATAGTATCTGCTTATAATAATGTATTGATTGAGAATAAATTCCAGAAATTAAACAAAGATCTGCAACTAATCTTGTCTGGCCTTCAAGAGATCCAGAAGAATAGTATAAACATGTGGACGTGCTAACTCCTTTGTTATTAACATTTCCATTTGAGCTAGATTTTGAAGAAAAGAGTGAGATTTCATGTTCAAAAATTTGAGATCTTTCTTCCATATTACTAAATGTAGAACCAACTCCTAAAGTAGAAAGAAGTCCATCTGAATTTGCATTAGTATCATTTCTAGGCCTTCTCCATAAAATTCTTAAGTGGTTTTTAAGTCCTTTTCTGGATTGAATCACATGATTACATAGTCTATTAATTGTACCTTCTAACCAAGGAACAAAGTTATTCTTGATAGAATCAATGATAAAGCTATTAAGTTGTTCCATTTCATTGCAATCAAAGTATCTATTAGCTAAAAAATTCTCATTTTTACTTTTAAAAGGATGTGAAAAAGTTCCAGGCCAAACAATTTTGTTGGGATCTTGAATCTCTTCTTTAGTATTATGCCCTTTAATATTCCAAATATAACATATACTCTCTGGAAAAGAAAGTTTAAAACTCGAAATAATGTTGTGATCTGTTTCCATTAAATCAAAATTAGACTTTTCATCATTAATAAATATATAAATTAATGGAAAGTCATTCAAATAAGATTCTTGTAAATAATGTGGTTTTGTGATCTTACTGGTATCGGGCAAGTAATTTGAACGACGGATAAATCCTGGATTACTTTTTTTACCAAAAAGGTAATATCCGGGATTTCCTCCAAGTTTTTCAAAGTTTTTTCCAGTTTTAAGTGAATTAGTGATTTCAATGATTGATTCTATTGGGTCATCTTCTGATATATCTACAAATACGATACCTCCTATGGGTTGGGATATACTTTCATGATTCAAAAAATTATAATTTTCATGATAAGTTTCTAACCATCTTTCAAACCAAAAAGGTAACTCACTGTTCAATTCTATAATATCATCATTAACATTGACTTCAAAATCATTTTGAAGAAATTCTTTAAAAATCGATTCAAACTGCTTGCCTCCACTATAAAGCAGGTTAGATGAGATTAGATCATTATATGAAAATTGCTTAATAAAGTCACCATAAGATTTGATTGCTTCTAAATCTATACAAGATAAAGGTTGAATATCTTTGCCTTGAGACACTCCAGAATCACAAAGTGAGACAAATCTAACCTCAAAACTATCATTTCTATACTTTTTATCTTGCATAGTAATGGTAATCTCTTCAATCCTATTTTGAGGAATCCATATTCTTGGTGATCCTTTTGGTTTATTTTGAAATACTTCTTTTAATGATAAAAAAGTCGGGCAGTTTTCTCTGCATGATCTGTTTTGCCAATCATGATCTAATACATATTGTTCACCTTTTTTAAAGGTCTCATCAGGAGGCCATAGAAATTTTGAAGGTGATTCCACGCCAAGAGGCCTTAATAATGAACTAAGTGATACTCCAAATTCAGTATCCAAGACATTCCTGGCTTTTTCAGATGCAAAGACTACTACATTTGGGGAGCAAAACACTTGGAGAATGTATCTCCTCAAATTTACATCTCTTTGCATGTTATTTATTTTCCCTACATAACTCTAGATTTTTTTACATACTTCAAAGATAAATAATGATAATTGGCGCCAAAAGGTGGGGCCAGAAAAAAAAAACAAGCAAAAAGTATAAAAGGAAAAAATTGTGGATACATAAATAAGACATTAAAGACAATTAAGTAATTTAAAATGTAATATAGATGATTAAACTGTATACTAAAGATTTAGGTGAATATTCTAAATCACTCTAAAAAAAAGGTTTATAATCTAAGCGGAGTTAATCATTGCAAGCCTTCGTATTCTGGTTTTAAGTTGAGTAATAGTTTGGTTGAGCTCAATATTGGTTTTTTTACAGTTTTCTAGCTCGTCTTTCAGTTTTAAAATTTCGGCTCCTTGGTTATTTTGGTCTTGAGAATTGGATATGACAGACTCGTTACCTCCTTCCAAGGACTTATCTTGATGATGAGTTTTTGAATTTTCTAGGCTTAAGCTAATATATTTCTTATTTAGCTGATTATTCTGTTCTTTCAGTCTCTCAAAATCTAATTTTAAAGATGAGAAATCTTTTAGTAACTTTGATTTTTCCGTTGACAAAGTTTGAATTGCTTGCTGTTTTTCTGAGTTCTGACTCTGAAGATCCAATATACGATCCTGCATTACTTGTATTTTTTCTATCTCTTGAGCCAAACTCATGTCCTGCCCCGATTTGATACTCTCCAATTCTTGTCCCTTAATAAGAATTTCACGGCTCAATTTCTCGGATAAATTTCTGAATTCCTCATTTTCTTTATATGTATTTTCTAATCTCCCGCGCAATTCCTCAATTTCTGCATGCATGCGTTCCATTGACTCTTTGGCGCTCATCTCAACACGTGTTTTGGCGCTAACTTCATCTTCATACTTTGTATTTAATTCAGAAATAGAAAGTTTAAGAGAGGCATTTTCTTCTAGTAGTTTTTTTATTTCGGTGGAGTTTTGTGAATTAGAGTCATTATAGGAGTTATCAACATTTCCAGAGTTTACCGTTTCTTTTTGCTTTGAGTTTGTGGGGTAGGTTCCGTTGTATCCATGTAAAAGACTGGAGCTTTGGTTTAGACTTGGATTAATTGATTTAATTTTTGGGCTTGAATTTGAGTGTCCCACTTCTTGTTTGTTTTCAAAGCTGTAGTCGATGTTGAACTCTTTAACTTGTTTAATGGAGGAGTTATTTTCAGGATTTGGTGGTAATAAGCAGCTGTTAGTATTCACTTTGTTATCCTTTTCTTGTTGATATTGCGAGATTATATCCTGATAAGCTGTAATAGTTTCAGCTAATTCATTTTCTAAAAGTATTTTCTCAGTTTGAAGACGTTTTTTGTCTTCGTTTAGTCTTTCTTTCATATTTTCCAGATTTGCTATTTCATCCTCTAAACATCCTATATAAGCAAAAATATTTAATTTACTATTTTCATCGATTTCAGGCTCATTTAAATCCTGTGAATTCATGTTTTTTGAATTCCATGAAATCCCTCCTATTATGGCTTCCAAAGAGAGTGAGTGTTTGATGTTTAAACATCTAATTGTTAAAGTTGCAATATCTCTTGCATTTCTACTAGTTGTTTTCACAGATATCTTTTGTTTATGAATATCATACCCAGAACAAAGAGTAAATTCTTTAGTAGATAAATGGTTAAGCTGAATATGTATATTTCCTCCAAAGTACTTCGCTGACCATTCAACTTTCTTTTCATACTTTGAGTTTGAACTACTCATTCCATTTCTTATTACCTTAACATCGTCATTTGTTACTACTAAAATATCCTTTGTCATAGATGAATTTTCATTGTTTGTAGATTCTTTTGAATTATTATCTGGATTTATTAAACTCTCAAATTCATCATTTATAATTTGGACAGGGAATCTAATTAGACCTGTTTTTAAGGATTTAGATAGAGACATCTTTGTTGTGTCATCTATTTCTATAGGTCCTAATTCCCCATAAGTAATATTCAAAGAGTCATTTACTTCTCCTTTTGGATATATTTCTATGATAATAGTGGTTCCAATATCATCAGCTGTTAAGTTATACATTAAGCTTGAATCTTTACCTTGTATATCAACTAGTCTGTCTCGAATCTTTCGTCTCCATTTTATTATCAAATTTGAGAAATCTACATTATTAGTGGTAGAAACAATTTCTAAAGTTCCCATTGACTTAGTTTCTCTTTCAAATATTTGTATTAGTTTTAAGTCATTCTTTAATCTTCCATATATTTGTCCCACCTCCACTTTCTCTAATGTACCTCTTTTCTGAAATTCGGTTTCTCCATAATATTTCTCATTTCCACCAGTTCCCACACTTTTATAGCCTACAACATCATTTGCTACCTTTCTAACCCCATCTATTGCATTATTTAAAGTTGAAAATGCATCCCAACCTTTTTTTACTGTTCCAGAATCTAGTGTTAAGGTTCCAAGGTCGAGTTTTGATCCACTTGGAATCATCATGTTTACTATTCAAAATTATTAAAATAACTATTAATAATTCAATAAAAATTTCTCTTCTTTTCTTTTAACTAATTCTTGATACTTCTCTTTTCAAATATAGTAATAGCTTTAAGATTAATAGAGAAAAAGATTTAAAAGGGTAATACATCCAAAAAATTTTTTTAAAAACAATAGTGATAATGATAATAATAACAATAATATCAACTTATTATTATTATTATTAATATTTTTATTACTAATTTTTAAAAAGAAAAACTTCCCTAATTACCTCGCCCACTAATAATAAATGCATCCTATGCCGGCAGTGTGGGGTGGCGCCAAAATTCTGCATGCATCTAAAAGAAGAAGGTACAAAAGAAAAAAGGATGAGTTAAAAATTATCAGATAGGAAATAAAAAAGAATTTAAACATATATATTGAATTTAAAGGCAGCTCTACCTAATTAATAAAAAGCTATAAGTTACATTTTTAGTTAAAATGGGGATTTCTTTGTTTGCCTAGTTTCCAAATGTTCCGGTTCTCTTTCATGTGAGAAATTGTCAACTCTCTGAGAATTTATTCCGTCTTGCACATTCTTTCCATGAAAATTTGACACCAAACTAGGAATTCCTCCTAGTGGTGGTTGTGATGAGTGTTTTCCTTGAGACGGAGGATCAACAATAATGGAAGGTTGTTGTTGTGCATTATGTGTATTTTGTCCCCATAAGCCTGATCTTCCAGTTCCACCTGTACCTCCTCCGCCCAAACTTCCCACTCCTGTAACCGAATTCACTGTTGATAAGTTTAATCCTCCAATATTGTTCATTCCTCTGGAGTTTACACCTCTGAAGTTCCCCCCAACTCCGTTATTCCACTGATTTATGTTCGTTTCATCAAAGATTAATCCTCCTCCTCCACCAATTCTATTCACTCCGCTAACTCCTCCAAAGCCATCGTTATTACCTTCAGATGACAACCATCTTGTGTTTTGAAGAAGATTTTGAATGTTCCATCCTTGTTTAACTCCTGAACTTTGTTGTTGTATCTGGACCATATTATTGCCTCCTATTGCTCCACCTATACCGATACCTATATTCCCGATACCACTACTAACTGACGAATTTCCATACCTTCCACTGCTTCCAACACCAACTGAGTTATGTGGCTGAAGAATCGATGATGATGAAGACGATGATGACGAAATTCCTGGATGTTTCAAATTGTTACTAATTGAAATATCTCCTACTCCAGGTACAAAGTTTTGTTGTTGAAATACACTTCCTCCTCCGGGCCCCAAGTTACCCGTGTTTGTTCCAGTTACCTGACCAGTACCTAGTACAGATCCTTCAGACTTAGTATTTAGCTCTGAAAGACAAGAAACCAAGTTTGGGTGAGTCTTAATTTGCAGGGAATTACCACCTCCAGAGGGGTTTTGTTGGGATACAAAGTGTCTTAGGTTGTTATTGTTATTTATGTTATTTCCAATATTTCCAATACTCCCAACTCCCCCAATTCCCCCAATTCCCCCAACTCCACCAATTCCCCCAATTCCCCCGACTCCACCAATACTCCCTGTATTATCAAAGGAGGAAGTCAAAAAATTTCTCCCAAACCCAAGTGAGGTAAAACCTGTCTTGGGATTTAAAGGTACCGAGTTTAAAGTTGAGGTCGAAACTGATGTTGGAGCTGATGTTGTAGTAGGAACTGAAACTGGAGCTGAAATTGGAACTGCAACTGGAACTGGGGATATTACTGGAGCAGAATCCGGCCCAGCAGGACGCAAAGAGGCTGATAATGATCCTTGTCCCTGCTTAAGCTCCAAAGGTTTCTCGTTCTGAGAGCAGGTAACACTTGCAGCATACTGAGAGTTAGGCATCCCCAGAAATGGAGTAAGTCCAAATCCAAGACCAGGAAGGGATGCTATCAGGGTATTTGAAATTGTTTGAGGCTCTAAATCCCTTATATCTGAAATTCTGTAGTTTTTTCTCATATTATTATCATTATTAATATCATTATTATTAACGGTACCGGATCTACTATTGTCTTCAAACGGAATATTTGTAGTTTTGGTTTCACTAGAAACCTTCACATCTTCAATTCTGGTCTCTATATCAGCATCAGAAGAAAGGACTTGGAGGCTTTTTCCAGTTCTATCCAATTTTTCGAGTCCGACATTGGTCCTGTAGAAAGGGCAAAAATACATATCAGAGAACTTCTCTGTGATCTCAAAGTCATTTTCAAGAAGTTCCATAATATCTCTTGAAACTGGAGCAAGAACCTTGATGTTTTCCTTTCCGATAATTGCATGGCAGTCCGAGATATTATTACTCATCTTTTCTTCTTCTCTTCCTTTTCTTATTCCTCCCTCTCCTCCTCCTCTTCCCTCTCTTTCTCCTCCCTCTCTTTCTCCTCCCTCTCCTCCTCCTCTTCCCTCTTCCCCTCCTTTCTTGCTTAGATCCCCGTTTTGTATCGGAAAATTATCTTCACTTTCACACTTTTTACTTTCCTCTTTAGTTTGATGATCTTCTTCCTTTCCGTATTCCCTGTTTTGCTCCATATTGTTCTGCATAACAGGGATCTCCAAATGGGTACAGTAAAAGAATATACTAGGGAAGTATCTTCTATCCAAGCTAAGTTGCTTCTGACCAAGATACTTAGAATCTCCAACTATAGTATGACCAATTTGATGCATATAAGATCTAATCTTATTAATGTTACCTGGTTTTGAGGTACAAGTACATAAAGAAAATGTAGATGGAGATCCTTTATTGTAGTTCTTAAACTTTATATGCTCACAAACCTTATATTTAGCTATTGAATCCCCTCCATCTGGTGAAATGCACTTTGAAAATATCCTATTTGAAGCATTAGAGACAATATTTGATAAGGAAACATTCCCATCTGAAGTATTTTGGATCTGTCCGTGGCATAAAAAGATGTACTGACATTGGATCCGGTTTAAGATCTCAATCTTATTATAATATTCCTGTAACTCCTCATTCTTTACCACCAGTATAGGGCCTCCAATCTCTACTCCAAGCTTTAATCCAAATCTTATCATCCCATTAACAGATCTAATTCTTTTACATCGTAGTTTCAAGAAGCTCAAAATGCTTTCCATCTTTCCACTGTTCAAGATCTCTTCATATATTATGTCAGTGCTATCTCTGATATTCTTCTCTTTACATTCCTCTTTACAAATTTCGTTCTCAGAATCATCTTTCTTCATAGCCGTCACTTTATTCTTCATCTCATCCTCTTGCTCGGTTTTATCCCTATTGTCTACTTTCCCTCCTTTATCTTGGTTTTTTATACCAAACTTGTGTCTGAATTTTCTTTTTCCTTCCTCTTCATCTTTTACCTCCTCCCTCTCATCCTCATCCTCCTCATCCTCCTCATCCTCATCCTCGTCGTCCTCCTCCTCGTCGTCCTCCTCGTCGTCCTCCTCTTCTTCATCTCTTGTTTTTTCAACTGAGCAGTACCAAAAAGGAGGTTTGATTAGGATACACAAGTCATTATTGTCAACCAAAATTTTAGGAGCATCTTTTCCAACCATTCTCATCTCTAAAAGCTGAGCCTCTTCATAATCAAAGTCATCAATATCTGAAAATTTGACAATCCCCTCAACGTTTTGGATTAAGTCCAAAGTCTTCTTACTCTGAGCAAAAGCAGAGTTACTCTTAGTAGAAAAATGATCACAAATAGAAACTAAGATCTTCTTAAGAATCTCCTCACTTATTGCTAGCTTATCTGTGATCCTAAGAGATAATATCCAATCCAAAGATGGATCACGAAGCCTCTCAATATTCTCATTAATAAAGTTACTTGTTGCATATTGTCTCAAACCTATAGTATAAGATGCCATTCTAATAAGTAAATTCTCAAACCCCTTTACACCTTGTATAGATACTATAGTATCCATTGCATCTTTAACCCCAAAAATACTTAGAAAGTATGCCAATAACACAAAAGATTTAACTGATTTATACCCTGTTGATTTAATTAAAGAGTTGGATCTTACATAATCAGTCTTTGGAAGCAGTCCTAAATGCATCTCTATTACTGAACTTGGAGACAATATAGATAAACTTTTCATTAGTAGTACTGTGAATAAAATAGATAATCTTTGTTGAGTTGGTACTAGTATTCTGTACAAATTCATATAATAACTATTAGATGATCCTGCCTTACTAGATCTTGAACCTGATGCATATCCAGATGCTAGTTCTGATCCAATTCCAAAGTCTGATCCATTTAAAGGAATGTTGGAAACTATTAATTTAAAGGAAGCTTCAAGGTTTCCATCTTCTAATAACTTAATGATGGAAGAAAAGCTCTCAGAGACTATACTAGAAAGCTGTTGGGAGTTTGGTTCACTTGAAAGAAGTCTTCTTAGAAGCTGGAGAATCTCCCTTTGCACCAGAGTTTGGTCAACCTTCTTGCTCCCTCCAATCAGAGACAAGTTCATGATAAGGTCATTAAGTCCATTCATCCAAATTAAAAACTCTGATTTATTGCTATGCTCAGAAAATGCTCCAGAAGGTGAAGAAGAGTCCCTATTGGAAATCTCAGAAAACTTTTGAATTACACGCTCCAACAGACGGCTTATTAAACTGAAAATACTAAATGATTCTCCAGAAAGGCTTGCAAGAGCAATTTCAAAGAGCTCATCAGGGACTTTCTGGAGCTTTTCTGGTCTAACTGAGGTGGATAAAGAAGAAGAATCTGGTTTAATAGGCATTTCAACCTTATCTAATGACTCTAGAGAGTTCATATCTTTGTTGGGAACTCCCTCCTGTGTAATTCTCATGTTATTACCACTTTTTTCTATTTCTCTATCCTTATCATCTTGCTTATGTTTTAAAATCACTTTGTCCTGTTTGGACTCCTCTTCGTGATCATGGTAACTCTGTTGATCTTGATCTTGATCTAGATCTTGATCTCTCCCTCTCACTTCAGATAAATCAGCTGTATCATTCTCCATTAGTTTTGTAGACTGAGATTCTAGCCTTCTCTGAGCATTTAAAGCCTTTACAATACTTGACTTTTGTAGTGAGGGAATTCCAGGAAGTTTCTTGGAGGCTTTTTTCTTTTTTTTAGACCCTCCTCCTGCTCCTGTTATGATAGTATTATTCGAAATCACTAATGAATCATTTTGAGCAGAATTTGTATTTAAAGCTGATACTCCTGTTGTTGATTTCAAATCAGTAGAATTGGTTTCATTATTCATTCCTGTGATTGAACCAGTGCCTTTTTCTGATTGATTCAATGAATTTACTTGATCGGTACCGGATCTCATTACTGAGATCTCTTCCATAGAAACCTTACAACTATTGTTTTGATAAGATTGAATGTCAAGATCCTCTATCTGTGAAGTCAAGAAATCTCCTGAGTCATCTCCATGCTTAAGAACATCAAAAAATGGAGAAAAAGCCAACTTAGAATCTCCCAAAGGTGATGGAGAAATTGGCCAAGTCCTATCTAAGCCATTCTTCTTTAGTTCCAAAATGCTCGGAGAATTGTTTCCCGATACACCCTTGATTGGGGTGTTAAAGATCCCAAGCTGGTTAATTCTTTTAGTGTTCATACTGGTAATAATGGCCAGTAACTCATCTTTTGAAAGAGAAGGTGGAAAGTCATCCACAATACTTGAATATGAATTAGATGATAAGGCTGCAGAGATAAAAGGTGAAATGAAAGGACAATCAGAAATCAGAGGTTGAGATGATCCCAAATTATTAGATCTTCTCTGAACAATGAATACATCTCCTGTAGTTCTGTTGATCTTTTTAATTGATGAAGTCCATCTCCTCACATTTTGACATACTCTTATATGGCATTCCTCCAAAACCGTATAATCATCTGCATTTGGAGTCTCTTTAGATGAATTTTGAGGCATTAGTCCCATCTTTCTGGCTCTTGGAAAGACCCAGGAGACAATACAGTCCCTGAGAGATTTCCTTGCTTCACATATAGAAGCACTTAATAAAGTGATATCTAATGTACTTTGGTCAAACCATTTAAATATTAAAAGAGGAGCAACTGAGTCATCATTCATTGGAAACTTGGTACTTGACCATAAGGGATCTATAAGTTTGGCCTTGAATAGGGGAGAGACAATCTTTGGAATAGTCTTTTCTATCATCCTCGAGCTTTGACATATTGGTGAGTGAGCTATATGGCTTGGACAAGTGTACAAACAACCACAATCTGAATCTAAATCTCCTCCTGTATTAGTTTGGGAAGGAGTTTTGGCTGTATGTTCAGAATTTTGAGATCCAACAGGTATCTGGAGCTTCAATTCTGGAGGTACACAAATTAGAATTGCAACATCACAATAAGTCACATAATTAGACTTGTGAGGCCCATAGTAATGATTCTCCAAGAAGTCGTTTGGTTGCATATAAGTATACTTGAGTCTTCCTCTTCTTGTTGGATCAGTATCTGGCCTTAAAGAGTAAAGACAGAACACATCCAAAGGATTATTTGGCATCCAACTTGAATCTGAACCTTCACATTCAAGAGGTACCGGAATATGTACTGTTGTGTTCTTCTTATTGCTCTGAATCTGACTGGAAGACTGGTGTCTTGCTCCAATATTGTGATCACTATTATTCTTTGACTGAGGGGTATCTAATGGTGTAATATCCGGTGTATCTAAATTGTTAGAAATCTTGGTATCTAGAAACTGTTGATAAAGGACTTTTCGCATTGCTGAATATAGGTGTCTAACAGTGGCAAGTCTGTTGACATGTAGAACCCTGGAAGCACATAAGAAACTCTCTGATGCAAAAGACTTCCTGCCAATGAGGTCTTGTTCGAAGATGATGTTTATTAATAAAGGAGTTGATACAGCGTGAAATGTGTGAAGAGGAACAAAGACGTAGGGATCAATGTGACTAAATGATACTTGGTTGACTTGGAGATGCTGAATTGCTTCTGCAAGAGGATTTGGAACAATCAACCCATTGGAGCTGGTAGTTCCAGAAGCAGACTTGTTCGAAGAATTCTTTTTCTTAGAACCTGTTATATTCTTTAAAGGCGTGGCATCTTTGGGAGCAAAAGGTCCTCCCAAACCTGTTGAGGATGAGGATTCTTGATTGGAGGAATTTGTAGGCCAGGCAGCTATAGCTCCAGGTGGAAGTAACTTTGAGGATACTTTATATAAAGCTCCAGAAAGTAGTATTTGGGTAATGTATACAAGAATAGGAACCACAAAGTTAGAACTTCCAAGTTCTGAAGCAAACCTGTCAACCATTCTATTTGTAGGACAAGAAAGAGAGCATGAAACTGTTGTAGTTGGAGACCCATGTATATCCAAAGCTCCTGCTACTTGGTTAATTGCAGCATTCAAAAGCTGCTTATTGTCACAGAATCTAATTAGATTGAGTGGACAACAACTGGATTCTAATAAGAATTTAGATTCTGTGAGAAACCTGGCACAGAGATCCTCAGGAGTAAGTCTGGGATCAAATAAGAGATCATCACTACTTTTGAAGAGTAGCCTTTTAAGTCTGATAGTGATAGCAACTGGGAGAAGTTCATAGATAAAATGAATTAGATGAGGCCAGAGTTGAATATGAAGCCTATTAATGAAAGTCAGAGCAATATTATAAGATGGAGTGATTTGATCTTGGGTTTGTTGGAAGCTGGATGGATTAGATGGAATGGATGGATAAATAATTCTCTTGATTCTATTATAAGGTACCAGTTTGTCTCCTATTGAAATGTTATTTTTTAGATACTCTTTAAGACATCCTTTATCATGTTTCTCTTGATCTGAATAATCATTAACATTTTGAAAGGAGTTGGAGTTAGAGTTAGAGTTAGAGTTAGAATTAGAATTGGAATTAGAGTTTATATCTAATTCCATAGCAGAGTAAAGCTCGGACTGGGAAAACAATAGATCTTGAGATTCTTCAGAGATCCCAAACTCAACCAAAAGTCTGTAGATCTCAAGAAATATGTTAGCAGAAAGAGATCTGAGGTGAGGAACTACCTGAAGAATGGAATTAAGATCATTAGAGTCCATGTCAGGCCCCAACATGATATCCAATAACATGTTCCAAAACTTGGGAATGGAATCTCTTAATGATCCAAAGGATAGTGAATTAAGAAGCTGATTAGCTGAGGGTATAAGAATAGTCCTACCAGAAAGAATTAAAGACGGATCTGCTGAAAAGGCTTGGATTAAGGGTTCTTGGAGTTGGAAGAAGCTATTTACTAAAGGCCAACCCCAACGATAATCAACCAACATCCATAGAGAGTAAGGATCAATGGAAAGCCCTGCATCCATTAGAGGATGTCCAAAAACACATGTAGTGGAATCACAAACGGTAACGTTTGCAATATCCACACACATTGCAAGGTGGTCAACATCAGAAGAGGGTATCTCAAGATGTACGTTGTTTGGCCCATAAGTATTAACTTGAGTGGAAACCCAGGAGGGGATGTACTGAAGCTCTTCTTCAGAAACTTCTAATAGATCCAAAGTTTCTTGGTAAAGTTTTGGATTAATAGTCTTTATATCACAGTCAGCCATTACGTCTCCTGCAGCTATTGAGTCAATGTAATCTTCAGCAATATAGACAGCTGCAGCACAAAAGAAGCCTCCATGACACTTCCACTCTGTAAATTCAATCTTTGGGACAAGTCTCTCAACTAGACCATCACAAATCCTAAACCAGGGACCATCTTCTTCTGGTCTGATTAAAAGCTGATGAACACTTCTTGTAGAACTGCCTCCAGAAGCGTCTCCCTCCCTAATAACTACTCCATATAGTGAATACCACTTCTCCATATATTGACTGGAAGATCCAAAGAAATTCTCTGAGTCGGGAGACTTTGTATCACTTTTTCGTCCAGAGGTATCATCCTGGCTATCAGACTGAATAGAAGCGTCTTGGTTTTCATCAAATCCGTCCTCTGAGACGTACTCTAAGGAATACTCATCATTGGATTCAATACATAATGCCGAGCTATTATCCAAGACAATACCCTTTTCGTTTTGGACTAAGTCAGCAGCTCCAGTTCCTTTGCTACTCCTAACCTTACTTTTCAAATCCGAAGCATTCTCTTCTATGCCATCCTCATCTTGGAATTGGTCACTTATCTGGGGTTGCATATCCTCTTGTTGAGTGTAGTTATGACCATTAGAGGCGGGCTTTGTGTTTTTAAAGTCCTGGCTAACCACCCCGATACCTGTATTGATATTTACACTGGAATTCTCGAGCAAAAATGAGGCCTCTAACCTAAAAGGAACATCAAATAGTTCTCCCTTCTTGGCATTTTTTGGAGGAGTGAAATAGATAAAGAGAGTCTCAGGGAATCTCTTGAATCGATGGGCATAGTGTTCTATGGCCTTTGGAATTGAATGGATATGTTTTGCCCTTAAGCAACAGGTGGAGTAATCCGAGAAGCAGTCTCCTCCATCCTCAGCAACACTGGAAAACAATACTCTACATGTGTTGTCAAATTCTGTTGGTACCCTGAGATCCTCTTCCAAATCAAATATAGAGGAAATTGGGATATTAACATCCCGATTTTGGTTTTGGTCTTTCACTATGGGTTCTTTTAGACTTTTTTCCTCAAGTTCGTTATAATCTTCAAGCTCATTTCCTGACACCTCATACCTTGAAAATTCCTCCTCTTTTGTTTCGGATAAGCCTAAACTGGCAAACTTCTCAGAGCTTTTGAAATTTTGAGGAAGGGTTTTCCTGTGATGCGCGGCAATTTGTAAAATTGCATGCGCAGACTCCAAGTATATGGCGCCAAATATGAAACAATGGAAACGCATTAGAGGATCAGTTACATCAATTCTCTGTAAATCATTCATGTAGAGTGCTTTCATAATCCAAGAGCAGTCTGGAACTGGAGGTAGTTTGCATCTAAAACATTCTTTTTCTTCCGAAATGTGAGTTTGCGTTGGGGTGTTCTTATCAGGTGTATTTTGGCGGTCATTTCCGGATGTGGGGAGTGACGTGTCAGTCATGTTATGACCTACAGGGTAGGATTCGAACTCGCCACCACATTTACAGCACTTGGAGAAACACCAGTCATCTACTAAAGATGGGTCTGTAGCAATTCTTTCCTGCCAACTATGTCGGATAGACCTTTTGACAGAATAAGCTATTGGCCAGAGGGTCATGTATGCAAAGGTTTTCTGGAGAGCTTCAATAATAGATGTCTGTGGTTGTTGGGAATCTATGAGATTGGCGGCGGGATAGGGAGAATCAGGCCTCTTTGACCTTCCTGAGCTTTTCTCCAAAGAATCGGGATTCTGAATTGAAGTGCATTTCTTGTGAATTTGAGGATTCCAAGAGAATATTGCTCTCCTGAACTCTTTAATATGATAAAGTAAATGCACAAATGCAGGAACAAAGTCAACATTAAGTTGGGATTTCAGAGTTGGGACAAAAAGGTTACTGCTTGACCATAAAAGCCTGTCCATAATTGATAAAGGAGTACTCCCGACTAATAAAGAACTCTCTAATTGATGCTGGGGCAGGCTACAAGTTTCCGGTGTTATTGATTCTGGGTTACAAGAAAGAAGACCTCTGTTAGAATTTTCTGCCAACTCATGGAAAGCACAGAGATTAGTAGTCACAGTATGCTGGTCAGAGGAACCTTGGTTCTGGTCTTGGCGGGCTCCTGGTATACAAGGCTTGTACTGAGCCAAGGCTGATGCATTTCTATATGGTAAAGTTCCCCATATACTCCATGGTCTACATTTGGGGGATCTAGACCAAATTCTCGGAAATGGAGGTTCAGCTCTACCTCTAATTAATACGGTCCCTTCATCGTCAACAAAACCTGCAGCTTTAGTGAGTCTCACATGAGAAACCATTTTGTGCCATCCCCTACTCATTGCATCATGGGAGAAAGTCCAGTGGGCCCAAGAAGTGATATTTGCTTTGGGGTCCAAAAAATTGACAACTGATAACTGGAATCGGACATTTGGAAAAATCCAATCATCAGGGTATGATTCGTGGTAAAGTGCCTCTAAAAACACGCTTAAGTAACTACTTTCTGAATCATTGCAACTTCCACCTCGGGGATGAACTAATAATCTATAATAAAACCCTCGACAATAACCAATTTGTGGAGATTCCATATCTATGGGGGTCTTCGCAATTTTCCAGAAATTTCGAATCGGAAAATCAATATACATTTTATCATCAGAATTGATTACAGAACTTGTTGCTGAGCTAGAACTAAATTCATCTTCATTATATGTGCTCTGGAGCCTACTCCTTTTATTTGATGAAGAGAAATTTGGCAGTCTTGGACCTACTGGATATAGTCCATTATAAACCTTCCCAAAGTGCGAGGCCGAACGTGATGATCTTTCATAGTATTCTAGACTCGATTCTTCCACCACTTTTCTGGCCTGAATCTCTTCATCTTTATGCTTCAAGTCTCGTTTGTCTGACCTATCTGCAGATATGTCTAGATGACTCTGATCACCATTACGAACCATTAGGTCCTTTTTTTAAGTGCAAGCCTCCTTTATGGTGATCGAGAACTGGTATGTCAATCCTTAATATCCATAAAGTATTGGTTTTCTTTTTTGTACTTACTATTATGGGTCCTGGTCTTTCTATACTCACAGGCCCAGAGGGGTGTCTTAGGTCATGTTGCCCGCCAAAACAAACTTTTGGCCCTCGTTTGTAAATTTTTTTGATGTTAATTATTATTCAATTAATAACTGGAAGAGAATTTATGACAATTAGGAAAGAAGTAATTCAAAGATCTACATGAAAAATTACATTCATTTAAAAAAGTGTTAATTATACTAATTTCTACTAAAATACGAGCATATTATTTTGGCGGTAAACTGTTTAAAAATGTGCATGTAGAGGTAGAGAAAGAAATTGGAGTATCTATAATTTCTTAAAACAAGGAATAATTGGCATGGACAGGAGTGATTAATTAGTGTTTAATGTATTTTCAATTTCATTCAATAGTTTATTTTCCTCGTTATCCTCAATGATATGCGTTGACATTATATAAGAGCTTGACTTGGCATGTTCACTAAGCTTGGAGGTAAAATTAAAGATAGACATTAGAATTGGTACGTCGCCAAAATATAGGGCTTCTTTGCACGGAATTGAAAGGGTACTCAAGAGAGTGTTGGGGCTTAACTCATTATTATTGGAAGAAAGTAGAGCATTAGGAATTGAGCTAAGCACATGTACTAGTTTTTCTTCAAGCTTTTCCAAAAACAGCTTAAAGTTCTTGTCATTATGCTTGGAATGTATTTTCTTAAGTCTATTCTCAACAAATTCTCTACTGTACTTTGGATTTGGTGGGAAAGCTATAGATCTGCATTGAATAACAACTTTTACTTTAATATTTTCGAGTTTGCAAATAGGAGTTGAGCTTGTTTGGGTATTTACTAGCTGAAATATTAATAATAACCTATCATGAATAATTTTAGGATTGATTATTGCTTGTGGATTTTGGATACCTGCCGGTACCCATTCTTGTTGTTCATTACTAAATACAAATTTTGGAGGTAAATCGTAGGATGTAATATTAAATTCCTGATGGAGATGAATTTTCTCGAAGGAATCTACTCCAACTCTTACATCATCATGTCTAAAAACCATCATTGAATTAGAGTGATCATTACCATCTACTTCTATGAATGGACGTAAATTCTTATGTAAAGTGCTCCCAGAATGCTTATTCACGAAATGAAGCAAAAGCCGTGTACAATTCTGGTCACCATGCAATGAATAAGTATATCTTAACTTAAAATGGCCAGAACCGTGTTCCTTATCCCTATATACTTTACAGTTATCTTTAATACCTCCATGAGAAAACCTTTCCCATATGAATTCTGGTTCAAAAATACGAGCCAATAGATGATTTCTATTTTTTCTGCTAATTAAAGAGTCAGATTTTCCAAAAAACAAAGTTTTATAGTTTTCATATGTTGAAGTTTCTAGACCACTAATTAGCTCAATCTTGTTATCGTTGTCTTCATTAGTTGCTCCTTGGAAAATGCAGTCACCCTCTTGAAGTTTTGTGTTATTACAATTACTGCATGTATAGGACTTAAAACTTTCTTCTATAGTAGTTTCTTTTATGGAATCGCAACCACATAGTTTGCAAATTTCTAAATTGTTTTCAAAATCCTGCGGTTCAGATTTCACTGAAATTATTGGCTCCTTTGATACCAAATCTCCCTTGAAATTGATAGTCTTATCTACTTGAGTACAATTGGACAAACTCACAATTGCCAGAAATAATATTAGGCCAAAGCATAACTTTCTCATTAAAATTCTAAGTTTCTTCATAAGGTTCCATTATTTAGTTCTAAGTTTTGAATTAGTCTTTCAAAACCTCAAACTTCTTTTTTCTAGTATTTACTTTTTTTTAGAAATAATTCAAATATATTCTCCATGGGTACCGTCGACCGGAATTGCCGCCGGCGCCATTTGTGTTTGGCGGCAAATGCTTAATGTCAAAAAAAATAGATTTTCCACAAATGTGGGATTGTTTTGAAATATGTGACAAAATGAACGATTAGGTAACAATTTAATTATATAGAGTCTAATTTATTGTATAATTTTGAAAATAGCGTTAATTAAGGAGAACTTTTTAAAAAACAAAGTAGAATAAATCAAATATATAGATTAGAAAGGAAATAAACTATTACAATAGAACTTACTAGTTTGACTTTGTAAAGGGAACAAATAGGATTACTAAAAATTGCTTAAATAATAGTGTAAAGTATATAGAAAAGATCTAATAGTCTTCGTTATTAATATCAAAATTCATAGTTGGATCTTGTTCTTCGTGAAATTGAAGATTCATGTCTATACTTAACAACACATTTGAAACAGAATCTTCATCATCTGGCTTCAGAGGAACATAAGAAACAATGCTGTAGTCTTCAAGAAGATTGGCTAGAGCAACATTTAAAGGCATTATGTGGTTTGGAGTAACCTTTTCAAGATCATTAATTAGAGTAAGAGAGTCCTTCTGAAGAAAACTAGAAACTAAGTTCTCATCTTGAACGATGTCACATTTTGTAATGACATTTACATGTGGTACTTCAAGTTGAATCATTGTACTTAGTGCTGAGACAGATCCTGCAACAAATTTACTTGCATCAGTAAGAAACCCAACATCTAAACAATATACACCACAGATTCTGAAATCCCAGCTCTGCAGTGCTGTTACAAGAATCTTCATTACTGGAAGATGAGTAAATAATTCAATTTGTCCAGGACAATCAAATAATACATAGTCATTGTCCCCAAAATTCTTATTTAGTTGATCTTCTAGCCAATCCAAATTCTCTATAAAATACTCCATAGCAAATACTTGGCCCCCATTTGGACCTAAGTGTATCTCTTCCATTACATCATTCAATGAAATTAAATCCCGTATATCTAATTGACATGAGTAGTTAAAATGCTCTGCTGCTGGATCCAAGTTAACTACGTGACAGGTTCTGCCAGTAACTTCGCAATGTTTCTGAATAATAGAGCAGTATGTTGATTTTCCTGACCCTGCTGGACCTACCACAAGTTGAGCGAATCTCATAATAATTAAAAATTGGTTTCGGTATTCTAAAGTAAGAAAAAGTCTGCCAATAAATATCCTATCTCAACATATATTTCGATTATTCGAAATAATACCCATATAATCCTCCCTAACCCTCTCTTTCATTCACTTTTTTTTCTTTAATTGTTATTTTTACGTTACCTTTCTTTTATAATCAGATTTATACATGGCGCCAACAAATCGCATGAATGTGGCGCCATATGATTGCCAAATTAAAGAATGTGTAAATATGTCAGGGATTGACTACTCAAAGTGGGACAAAATAGAGATAAGCAGTGATGAAGAGTCAGGAAAACTGGGTTCTAAATGTAATGTAACTAGATTTGATTCTCCTCAATCCATTACTATTGGAGGACAGAGAGAAAGTAAAGAAGATAGTTTAGTGAGCTCGAATATATTAGTGGATGATTTGAAGACAAAATCTGTATTAGTATCGCGGGAAAAGGTAATATCTCTAGATGATTACGTGTTTGGAGGGAAATCTGCATGTGGAAAAGATTATTACTGGACTCAAACAGAGAATGGTTTGACAATAATATTGGAAATTGATCCAGGAACACAAAATAAGGATTTAAAAGTTAATGTAACAGAAGATAAAGTAACAGTTACACATGGATCAGAAACGATACTTTTTGAAGAGTTTGAGTATGGAGTGAAAGATGATGATAATACAATATTTTGGTCAGTTAAAGAGGTAGAATCATTAAATGGAGCTCAAAACAAGAGGAGTAGGATGTTAGTTTTGGAGCTTGAGAAGAAAGAACTTGATACAAGTATTAGATTATGGTGGAAAAAGATTTTCAAAGGTGGTATTGAGGCAGATATTTCAAAGTTTAGTAGATTCTCATCACCTAAAAGTGAAGAAAGAAATAGAAAATTTCTAGAGGCTTGGGAGGAAGCACACAATGAATTTAGAAATAAGATAAAAAATAGGCAAAAATTGAGTATTTAGTATATTATTATCTGTAATATAGTTATAACTTTCCGTGATTATTTATTCTTAAGTAATTTTTGCTCAGTATTATTGATCTTTTGTTTTAAAGAATTATACCAGTTTACAACACTTTTGTTTGATGAGGATTCTAAGCATGTATTTGAAATGATCATAAGCAGAGCACTATTCAATGGTACAATATCATTTCCACCAGATACTTCAATATTATATTCCTCGTGATATTGATTACCATTTTCAACTTGTAATTTCTTTTGAGAATCATCAGATTCTGGACTTTTGTGATAAAGTAAAAGTATCTCAAATATATTTAGAATATATTTAGAATCAACATATAATTGTAAGCATCCTTGCATACTTAAATACTCAATTTCAAATATTTGACGTCTATATGTATCCTCAACAATGTAAGATACTTTTTTAACAAGTTCTGGAATAAGATTTTCAGATTCTATTTGACTTTGTATATCTGGATTGTTATTACAAGTAGATTCTAAAGTTACAGCAATATTCAACAAATATTCTCCAATAGAAACAATAGAACTGCATGGTTGAATGCCTGAATTCTCTATAATAGAAATAATAGCTTCTTCAAAAGATTGCAAATTAGAGTCTTTTAAATTATGAATTAGTTTAATTATGTTAATATCTTCTTTGCTCCAACAATCAAGACGATTATATCCTTCAAAAAATGCTAAAGTTGGGTATGAACAGCATTGCGAAATAATATCAATGGAATCTGAAAGAATTTGAGAAATTAATTGTTGAGATCCAAATTGGTCTAAAAGATCAAGTTGGTCTAATGATAATTCTTGATTCTTAAGTATAGCCTTAATTTCAGAGGATAATGAATCTGATAAAGTTTCTTGAATTCTCTGAAAGATTGAATATTGATTAAAGCATATTTTATCATAAAATATTTGAGATAAAAAAGACTTGGACTCATAATCATCATTTTTAGCTGATGAGCAATATATAGATCTGCAACGTATTATTAAAGTTTGCAATAAATCGTAAAAAGTGTTTCTGGTTTTCATTAATGAAAAGTGGAAAGCAAAACATGATGAAAGTAATTCTTTATCCAATAAATTAACTGATGATAATAAATTTGAATCTTTTTGTTTCTTCTCAATACTTTTAATAAGATTTAATGTTTGAGCTCTGACTGAGCTTTGAATAGGATTTAATAAGTAAATTAAATCATTTTCAAGAAAGAATCTGAGTGAGTAATCAATAATTGAAATAAAGAAAATGATATAATTTTCTAAAGGAATTAAAATAAGTTGTGTGTGATCACCAAATCTTTCATTTGAAAGTAAAGTTCCAATTCTATCAGCCAAAATTGAGCTTTTAGATTCTATTTCCAATGAATATTCTGATACTGGTGACTGATTAATAATCAATGATTTCAAGTTGGATGAGATATTCTTTATACTTTGGAAAATCCATGCTACATCACAAAGTAATAGTGATTGTACAAAGTTACCTTGTATTAAAATCATATCAGAAATCTGAGTAAAATGATCTTGATTTAGATGACTTGAGACAAAATTAGATGCTTCTTGTTTATTAGAATCAGGAATAATCACTAATTCCAACCCACTAATTATTGATTTATATATTCTTTCACATATTGTTCGAATTTCTTTAACATCAATGGTTGAAATAGTATCATGATCCATTTCAAAGATTGAGTCTGATTCCATATCAAAACTTTCTGAATTATTTTCAGGAAAAATGAATTTGGAGCTTGTAATAGAGTTGACTATTATTTCTATAAACTCTTTTACATCTTGAATACATATGCAAAGCAATTTTTTAATAATAGATTGAATAGTATCTGAAATAGTGATATTAGAATTACTGGTTGTTAATATTGGAGTAATAATGTGATTCTTTGAAAAAATAAGCTCAGAAAACCATGAAAAGAATCTAATAATAGCTTCATCTTCTCTAATTCTGAATATATCTTGTGATATGTGAGCAGATTCTAAGTCCATAATTGCTGGAAGAAAAATAATAGACGAGTGTTTTTCACTGTTGTTATAAGGTTTTTTACTGGATTTCTTAAATTGTTCAACTTCTAATCCTCTATTTTGTGATCCAAATGTAGTTAAAGACCATAAAAGTTTCCAAACTTGTTCTATTTGTTCATTAATAATATCCATCATTTTCTTGTAGAGCCTTGAATCATGACCAAATTTAGAGTAAACTAGAATTAATTCATGAATATTATTTTCTTCAATGTTCTCATTAATGAACTTATTTTTAAAGAAATCATCCAGTATATTAAGTATACTGTTCTCAAGACTCTTATAGCGTTCTATTCTAGCTGAAAATTCCGGTATTGACTCCAAACTACTAACTAAAACTCTTAAAGAACATACCTTATTAATAATATCATGAAAATCTTGACCCTGTCCTTTAATCAGCATTATGAATGTATCTTTGTCTTGTAGAACGCTTTCAATTTCACAAAGTAATGATTCAAATTTGCTATTATTTGTTAATATTTGTGAAACGGTTTCTAGTTTTTCCTTCTTCTCAAAAAGAGATAATATATTTTCAATATTAATATTGCTAATGTATTTTTCTTCATTCAAATTTACTATATTAGAAAATTCACTTATCTTGGAATTCAATTCTTTACAAATTCTGTTATTTTCTTCATTTTTTGAAATAAAATTGCTCATTAAGCTACCTATTTCGTTCATATTAGATTCAATTTGTTCATTATAGTCGGTGATTGCATACATACATGACTGAGAAATTGCGAGAAGTTCTTCTTCCAACTGACGACCATTTTCGGTTACATTTCTTCGTCTTAAAGCATTATTTAGCCATGCAATTTCAGAAAAATCCTTCTCATCCAGCTTTCCCAACTCAAAAACACTATAAGTGCTCATATAGTCAATTTAATTGCTTTAATTCAAAACTCCTTTTCTTTTTTTTTTTTACGAATTTTGTTTTTGCAATTCTTCCTGATACCGCTGCTTTCCCCACTTTGACATTTTGGCGCTTAAATCATGCACAAATTCTTGTAATAGATGCCTTTGAATTAATTTAGATTGCTTTTAAGTCTTTAATTTTATTAATTATAAACTAAAAAAGTAGAATAAAGTTAGTTTGATTAATTAAATACATATTAAATACAAAGGACTTACCTGTTTATCTGAAATAAATTGTGGATCCGTTCTGGAAGTTTGGAAATTAATAAGAAATTCAACAATTTTTTCCTTGTTTTTAAATAAGACCTTTTGAATTCCTAAAGATTTGTTTGGATTTGCAACAAAAAGCTTGAATATATGGAAGGCTTCAAATGATATAGTATTTAAATGAGACGTGATCAAATTCATAAAAATTTTGAGATATTCACAACTACTTGAGAATACTGTCATTACTTTTGAAAGTTCTTTAAGCGATAAAAGCTGATTCAACAGTCTCAAACCATGCCTTTTTGGTACATATTCATTTGATTGGATGAGAATTCTGAATATATTCGAGAAGAAAATCTGTTGATTCTTTAAAATGTACTCATTGGTCATTTTAGGTGAAACAAATAAATAACATCTCAAAGTTGAAATAGAGTCTGAAGATATGTCAAAGCATTGATTTCCAGATAAATTTATCAAATTAATAAAGATTTCTTGTTTATATATTAAATTCTGTGTTATTTCGTTGCTTTTATTCTTAAATGATTCAGAAATTGGAAAAGTTTTGTTATTTTGTTTATCAACAATCCCTGGCCCTTGTGCAAGATTCAATATAGTAGATATATCTCGAAGTACCTCTCCAATTTTATATGTAATTGGAATAAATGAATATTGTTTTAGTAATAGTGAAAAAAATTCATCACAATTTCTATTTAGCCATTCAAGTATTACAAAATTTTCTTCAACAATCCCACTAATCAACTCATTCTCTTTTAATAAAATCGCATGTTGACAAGCTCTAATTTCAAATACTATTAACAGAGAAATAATGCTTACCCATAAAGAATGCTCCTCCATTGAAATATAACCCAATATACATGTTATATTTAAAAGTAAAGAATCACAGAAAATCTCTGATAATGTAAATATTTCCCTATAAATACATTCAATCCTTTCATTCAATTCAATTTTTTGATTGCTTCCACAATTTAACCACAAATTCAATTCCTTTTCTTGCTTATCTACCAAATTAAGAAATATAGATTTAATATCATCCAATTGTACTCTCAAATTCACTTCTTTCTTCTCACCTTTAAAAATATTATTAAAGTCTTTTCTATAGTTTATTACCCTTTTAAAAACTTTATCCCTATCATCTTTGCTCTCTAGTTTTTCTATCTTATCATCTCCTTCAACCAATTCACTGTTTATTAATCTAATTATGTTATAACTCATTTCATCACTAACTTTTAGAAAATTACTTCTTAATTTTTCATATTCTTCATCTCCACAATTATTTATATTATTCTCACTCTTATTCCCAATAATACTATTGCTAATCTTACTTATTATTCCATCATTATAACTCATACTATTGCTTCTACTTTCATTGTCAATAACGCAATTTCCACTTTCTGTCTCAACTCCTTCCAACTTTTCTGCTGCTTTTTTTTGAAAATCTATCCAGTTCAACATTTATCACACCTTCCACAATAATCTTTAATTCCCATCTGTTTTATTCTTATTATTTATTCACTATTTACTCTTTTTTTTTAACACTTTCTCTCAAAATTTATATCTTTCCCTTTATTTCACACTTCCTTTCACAATCTCCCACATCAAAAAATAATAAATGCACTCTTCCAATTCTTCACTGCTTAATTTTATTCACATGCATCCACATGCAATTTTTACATTTTTTATTCTTATTTGCATGTAAATGCCGGTATTTAACTATTATTTATTCCATGTCATTTCCCGCTAAAACACGTAATTTATTTCATTTATTTTTAGTGTGGGGAGAAAAATCAGATGTTAAAAAAGTCATTTTCTCTTCCACTAATTAAAATGCATGCACGCAAAACCCGCCCAAATCAACTTGCCAAGAACAATAATATCATAATAAAAGTTTAGAAACAACACTCAGAGAGACAATTTACAAATAAATACAAACAAAAAAACAAATTTCTAACAAAGCTACAAGTAAAAAACTCATCATCTTCCAAAAATAATAATCAAAGTAAGGGTTAATACAAACTGTCTAGTTAAAAAAAAATGCATGCACCCATTTTATGGTCTAAAAACTATATATAACAAAAAACACGCAAATTCCAACCTTTATGATGTATCCAAAGTGATATTGGAATTTTTTTTCTCTTCAGCACACTAATCGAAACGCAGTTTCTAAAAAAAAATCGTTCTTCCTAATTAGTTTCATTAAAGTTCAATTTCCATACATAATAAATTAATATTTTACTTTAACAAAATCGGAATATAGAAGCAATCAAGGAACACTTTAGCTTCTTAATATCAACAATTAATTTTCAGAATAATAATTCAAATATTATTTGTGATTCCCCAGTACAATTGGACCCCAAAACTCCGAACAAATATAAAATATTATGGGTTCAAATAAGCACTAAACTTACAGAAATTTCTATAAATTTTGTTATCTTCATTTTAAACTTAATAACTTAAAAATCTTTAAACAGAGATTTATATTTTGATACTTCTTAAATTAATCTTCTATACCATTAATTAAGTTGAAATTAGAATCAACGCTTTAAAGCTTTTAAACCATCATAATATTAATTAATGTTTTCTTCAATATATATATATATATATATATATATATATATATATCAACCAAATTTCGAGCATTCTTTTTTACTTCTAATTAGATCCAAGTCCCATTTAAATGAAACTTTTTTTGCGACTGAATATCACTAACTTTAAATCCTTTCCTGTAAATTTATTGCAAATTGTTCTTACTCTAATTTCAGTAAAACTTATTAATATCGTTCTTTAGAGAAAAAAAACTTTGTTTTAAAAAAGCCTAAGAGTTAAATAATTGAGTTATTTAATTTATTTTCAATCGGTTTTTTCTTAAACTGATAATTACAAATCCTCTTTTGTGTTAGTTACTATGAATTTCCCCTCTATTTCTGACTTTAACCTCATTATTAGCAAATCTATTATTCTGAAAAATCTCCTTCCTTAAAAGTTATTCCAGTTACTTAAAAATAAGTTTCTAATATCTTAAATTAAGTTCGAGCTAGTAACCATTTAAAATTCTCGAAAATAAAAACAAATATTACTTTAAGAAAAAACTTTCATATTCATATTTCTAAGCCAAAATAGTGAAATAAAATCGCATTAACAAATAAAAAACTCAAATATTCCCTCTTTAATATTTTGGGTCAAAATACAACTGATAAGTAAGTATTAGAAAATATAGGTACCATTTTGCATCCTAAGTTTATTTTCTAAATAATGATTAGTAATATTAAATAACCCATCTTTTAACATTACTTTTCAAAACTTTAAATACATTTTTTTTCCCAAATCTATAGATTATTCTCAAATACTGAAATCGGTTAGCCGGATAGTTAAAACCATAGAATAATTATAAAATGTTTGTATGATTGAATAATATACAATCAAAATCTATTTTCAATATAAAAATGTAAATATGTTAGTTTCGTGTGAGTTTAATATTTTAAGCAACATTCTTATCATCTTCCTCGTCATCATCATCCTCATCCTCATCCTCATTCACCTCCATAGGTTTTTTCAGTACATACTTGTCAAAATCTAGTCGAGTTGATTCATCAAGTAACTCATTTACTGTATAAATATCTACAGCAAGCTGAGTCTTTTCTAATTCATTAGATAAAATCTTAGACTCGATTTTGAGAATTTCAATTAATGCATTTCTGCAAGAATTGAGAACAAATTCTTTGCATTGCTGGTCCATATAATTAATTTTAGTAACTTTAGTAATAAAATTGGAGTTATTCTTAATTTCTTGATTAATTTTACGAATGGAAGATAATGCACTTTTGAATTGTTTCTTGTCTTGAACCACTAAATCTTTCTCACAATTTAAAACCTTTTTCTCATCAATTATTGGTCCAGGAGTTATATTTAGTGCAAATTTATTATTTGGATCAAAACGCAAAAGCTTAGACTTGCATGTATATAGTGAAGAATAAATTGTGGAAAAAGCTGTAGTGGCTTGAATTAACATGTTCTCAAGTAACTCAGAGTTTCCAGTCCAAGACTTGGACATATTAGAAATCGTTTTGGATGCCAAATCAAAAATATCTTGTAGGAAAATACAACAAAGATTAACACGCCTAAATTCATGGATTTCCTTTGAATGGATAGTGATTTTTTCATAATTGTCCAATGGATATTTATCAAATATACTTAAATCAGTGGTTGGAATTCCAGATGGTTTACTTGGTTTTTGATCATCAGAAGTTCCTTTCTTAGGATGATTATTAGGTCTAATAAACGGTTCCTTTCTTGGTTTATCATTCATTTTGTTACTAGTATCACTTGGCAATTTAAGAATTATAAATTTAGAAGATGTGTGCCTAGTAGGAGAAAGAGGTTTTCTATCTGTTGTTTTGAAACTAGATTGTTGTGAAAAATAAGGACTAGGCCTGTATCCGAAATATTTACTAGTATAAGGTTGATTACCGGGTTTACCATTGATTGAGTTTAGATAATATTGATAGTATGAAGTTTTTGTATTTGGTTTTTTAGGGTCTCGCTCAGAATTATGTTTGTTATTAATAAGAGACTGATTAAAAGATTTTCCATTGACTGAATTTAAAAAGTAATTATAGTAGGGTGTATTTACAACTGGTTTTGAGGTTTGAATTGGACTAATATATCGAAAATCGGAGTTACTTGGTTGTGATTTAGAGCCTGAAAAATGACTGCAATTTGGAGAAGTAACTCCTTTTGTAGTTCCCGAGGTTGAGGTATTAGCTTGATTGCCATATGAACAGTGACTACGGGTATGACCTTGGGAAGCCGACTTTATTGAAGATCCAAATGAAGATTGGAGTAGAAACAAAATAAGATAAGAGATATAGAAACTAAATGGATTCATTGAAAAAAGAAACCTCTCTAAATGACTATTTTTGCCTTAACAATTTTACAAATAAATATTATATTAGATTAAATATGTTGGCGCCAAAATATGCGGGCATTTATTACGTATAAAGAATAGAGAAATTGAGGTAAGGATTAAAATAGATCTAGAGATTGGTAGAGTGGTTTGAAAGTGGAGATAAGGTAGAAGATTGAATTGTTTTAGATGTTTATGTTATTAAATTTCTGAGAATTGAGTTTGTTTTAATTGTTTTGGTTATTTTGAATGCTTTTTCCCCTTTAACTGTTTTTGGCAAGATTGTTTACCAATAGGTTATTTAAAAGAATAATGAATAGACGAAATGATTTAACTTGTTAGATTTGGTGGTAAAGTGTAATTAGAATAGTAGGGTAAGGTTTTTAGGATGAATATATCGGAAGTAGTTACAGGGTGCAAGCTCCAGTCCTAAGTGTAGGAGGTAGTGATAAGAGAGGGTATCGAAAGTACTAGAATAAGAACAATTTTTTGGAAATGGAATAGATAAGGATATAAGGATATTAAATATAAGAATTATAATATAAATAGATAAAAACTAGTGTAGTTAGAGGAGAGTGAAGAAAATCAAGCTAGACTTTAAAAGTAGCAAGGATTTCCTCGGAAATATGGATATTCTTTGCTTTTGAAAGCAGCATTCTGGCGCATGTGACATCGTTAATCCCAACAGAGATACGAAGGGACTTAAAGAACTGGATTATATTCTCCATAGATTGTCCAATAAGAGAGGATTCAAGGGTTTTGAGAAGCGCTATGGCTATGGAGATGAGAGATTGGAGGCCATTAGCCAACAAATAGTCCCAAATAATTACAACGGTTTTTAATGGAAGAGTGGAAACAAATAAAGTGAGGAACCAAGGATGAAGATATACAGGGTCGAATATACCTTCATCTTGAAAATGTTTCCAAAGTTTGGGAATATTAATCTGAAACATAGTATCAAAAGCTTGAATGTACTTGGTTAAAAGTGGGAATTGGTCTTTATAAAAGCCAGAAAGTCCATAAGTTTCGAGTATGAGTATTAATGAATAGAAGCTTCTTTCTTGGTCAAAGTTACTAATAATCAAGAGTAGGGCTGCAATGAAGTTCATCCCCTGACAATATCCAACATCTGGAATATGGTTAGCTGTAGCATTTAATACTCTGAAAAGACACTCTTGAGACGCCTGATCTTTGAAAATATTGAGTTCTGGAAAAGTTCGTGGAACATCAATACTTATAAGAGGAGAATATTTGTTTAGGAACTTTGCAGCATAGTCATAATAATTGTAATACATGAGATTTGCAGTTTGAACTTGAGAAGAGAGGCATTGATTTTCATGGACAATAAACATTTCGAGAAAAAATTTGGAATTCCTTAAGCTTTTAAGAATATTATCATTAATCTGGCTTTCCTCATCCAAGGAGGAAATCTCCAGCAAAGAGTTCCAAATTTTCCATCTAAAATCTTGTGGCACTCCTCTTGCCAGCCTCCTTCTTAGTGTCTTTGGGTGTTCCTTAATAAAATAATCTAGACCCTTAGCAATCATACGGTTCCATTTCTTGTATGAATGCTCATACAATAAATGAGGCGAATCTTGAAGCAGCTCCTTACATTCTTTAATGGCTTGTTCTAGTTCACTTTCTTCAGTTAGGAACCTACTACTACTTGTGGATACAAAGGAACTCATGTGGGTGTAGCAATCCCGATTAACTTCTATTCCAACACACACACTCTAATGTTCTACTCTCGCTTGTTTTCTATTCTTTTCTTTAAGTGAAGCTGCATTTCCTTTCTGTTCTCTTCTCTCAGAATTGGTTATTAACAATAAATCGAAATATCACCCTGGTCTTTGCCTTGTGAGAGATGATGCTTTCATAAGTTGCCATTTACAGCCCTCAACCATTAACCAACTATTTTTAATTACGTGTTTGCCCCTCATACAAAGTTCCAGGCAGGTGAGGGGCAAAAAGAAGCAGTTTTGTTACAAATTTCAATACCGGTCTTAAAAATGTCGTTGGCGCCCAAACTAACACATGCACATGTGGGTAGAACAAATTAGTAGAACAAAAAAAAAGCAGAAAATAAAATTTTAGTTTTTGTGTGTAAAAAGAAGAATTTTGGAAAATAGTAAAAATTTGGCGAAATCTTTAAAATTATAGTTGGAGAAAACGAAGCCAGAGAGCAGAATACTGGTGAATTGGTTTTCTCTTTGGGGAGAAAATAAGCAATTTGAGAAGATATATAGAAAGTTAATATTATATGAAGAACTTAAAACCCCGTCAAAATACCATTGAGGAGAATGGGGTGAATGTGAAGGTAATTGTTCGATGCAGACCTTTAACTGAACAGGAGAAGAAAGACCCAAGTAACAGTAATGTTTTGCAAGTTAAGCCAGATTCCAAAGAAATTGTAGTTTCTCACCACTCTTTGAGTCGTAAATTCGACTCTTACTCCACCAAACTTTTTACTTTTGATGGAGTCTGTGGATCATTCACGTCACAAAGGGAGCTTTTTAAGCAGTATGTAGTTCCAATCGTAGATGAGGTTCTTTTGGGTTTTAATTGCACAATATTTGCCTATGGTCAGACGGGAACCGGGAAAACTTATACAATGGAAGGTGATATGAAGGAATATTTGGAATCCAATAACATGGAGCTAACTGAGCACGCGGGAATCATTCCAAGGGCTGTGCAACTTATTTTTGAAAGGTTGGAGAGCCAACACACAGAATACGGGGTTCGAGTTTCGTATTTAGAAATATACAATGAAGAATTGTCCGACCTATTGAGTGATGAGAAGCTAAGCTTAAGGATTTATGATGATATTGCTGGAAAAAGAGGGTTAAATGTCGATCGTCTGGAAGAGATTCCTGTCAACAAAGCCCAGGATATACTTAATATACTTTCCACAGCAGTCAGGAAGAGACGAACAGCTGAGACTTTGTTGAATAAATCATCTTCTAGAAGTCATTGCATTTTCACAATTACAATCCACACCAAGGAAACAAATATAGATGGAGAGGATGTCCTAAAGGTCGGAAAGTTGAATCTGGTAGATTTAGCAGGGTCTGAGAACATTCAGAGAAGCGGAGCAAATGCAGTAAAAGATCGTGCCAAAGAGGCTGGGATGATTAATCAGAGCTTACTGACCTTGGGTCGTGTAATTAATGCCTTAGTGGAGCATTCAAGCTATGTTCCATATAGAGATTCGAAGCTGACACGTCTTTTACAGGATAGTTTGGGAGGACGTACAAAGACCTGCATTATTGCAACAATAACTGCTTCTTCAATATACCTCGAAGAAACACTTAATACTTTAGACTATGCTCACAGAGCAAAGAATATTAAGAATATGCCTGTAGTTAATCAAAAAATGACCAAGAAAGTAATGATCAGAGAGATGAATTGCGAAATAGAAAAGCTTAAACAGGAACTTCAGTGCAATAGAGAAAAAAATGGAGTCTACTTACCACTTTCTCAATTTAATGAGATGGAAAACAAACTCCAATCTCAGGCTAATGAAATTGTTGAAATGGAATCAGAGCTCCAAAATCAACATGCACTATATAGAGAGATGGAATCTACAGTAAGTCATCTTACTGATCAGCTTAATGAAAAATCTCTACGCGTTAAGGCTGGAGATTTTGCTAATATTCATGTTTCTAAACATGCAAAACTTTATCGCGAAAAATATCAAGATTTATATATGCAAATGAATCAATCTTTGGAAAACATTGGTAAATTGCATAGAAAGATTATTGGATCTGAGCTTTTCCAGTCTTGTCAGAATACCCAGTTATTTAAACTTCAACAACAACTTGTCTCTGACATTCAGCTAACTGAAAAAAGAACCAGAGAATGTTTGGAAATTCTCCATAACGATCTTAAGCAGGATTTACTTGTTCACTGGTTAAATAAGAGTCAGCTCTCACATACTGAAATTATCGGAATGATTGAAACAGGGAAGAAACTCTGTGGTAATGTTACATCAATGCTTTCTGATTCATTGGAACAATCTCTGATAGAGGAGCTTCGTGTTGGTATGAATAATGCAAAGGATAATTTGAAAAAATCTCTTAAAACTCAAGAAGAAATGGCTACTCGTATAAAAGACGAAATAAGAAAAAGTCTTGTAGATTGTTCAACAAACACTGAAAAGATATCAATGGATATTAGTAATCAGTTGGAAAGGCTTAAATTGTCAAATGAACGTTGCCAGAGTCTTGTTCAAGATTACAAGGAGCACTCCAAGGGATGTGAGGTACAATTAGATACTGTTTTCTCTCAATACCTTGTAAATTCTGTTGATAATCTTGCAAAGTCGCATCAGATTCAACTTGATAATCGGCTTTCTGTACAGCTATCAAGTCTGGATGAGAAATCCAAGGAAATGAAAAATCAATTCTGTAAATTAGTTGATAGCTTTGTTGAAGAAACTTCCAAAGCTTTGGTTGATGAAAAAGATCAACTTTTCAAACAAATGGATGATTTGAAGGAGAAAATCATAAGTGAATTGGAAAATGGCTATTTGGCAAACAAGAATTTACTTCGTGAGACAAATTGTCGTATAGAACAATTAGAGTTGGCTCAATTAGAGCTTGTGAAAGATCAGAGTGAGTGTTTGGAAAAGAGGAGAAACGAACTTGGAGAACTTGTTCATTCAATTTCCCAGCTTGGAGAGAAAAGGTTGATAGGAGGATTTACCGACTTTGCTAATGTTAGGGACGAACAATTTGGCCTAATTAGCTCCAAATTTACAGAAATATCGGAATTAAGTGCAAGTTCTGTTCAGAGTTGTGTTAACAATGTTTCAACTGTGGTAAGCATGCAGAATAACTCACTTAATGAATTATCGTCATGTATAGATGATTATTTTGGCTATAATTTTAAATCTTTCCAAGAGAATATTCAGGTAAAGATTAGTGAGATAACTCAACTTCTGGGTCAAATCACTGATTTCTCATGCCCTTCTTATGAAAAATCTGAAGATAATGAGAAGAGAGAAACTTCTTCTAGCTCAGTGGAAGAATTACCCAAAATTTTGGATAAAGTCTTTCAAGAATTAATAGAGATTGAGAATGTAGTAACAAAGACCAATCCAATTTCTGGGCAAACTCCAAGTAGAAGACAAAGTTACAAGATTCCAGTTTTAAAGGAAAGATGCTTATCTCCAATGAAATATGTGGAACACTATATTGAGACTTTGCCAAGACCAAATATTGACTTTAATCAAACTCACAAAATGTCGGATCCTTTTTACAATGAGAATGGCAGAGAAGATATGATGAATTCTCGGTTAAATTTTGAACAGGAAGATCTCCATCATCAATCTTCTTTTGATTGGAAAAGCGTTCAATGGGATGATATAAAATCATTGAATATTTCTCAGTTTATTCAAGAAACAAATACGGCTTCTTCTGATTTGTTTTTAAGAGAAAGAGAACAAGAGAGCTCTACTAATGATGAAAACTGGAATGGTTACTCAGAAAATACCCTAAACGTTACCCACCATGCCTCAATAATTACCTCAAAATTGGAACAAAAACAAAGCTCATTGGATTCTTTGAAATCATTAAGTTTCTATCAAACTTCTCCAAATGATGAAAATCGCATTTCAGCTCAGGAAAATACAGTCAAACAAGAGAGTTTGTTGGAAACTAACAATAATCCAATCGGGCCTAGTTGCTATACAAATGCAACAGCATCTTCATCCTCTACAGGTATCCCAAGACCTGGAAGACCCAAGAAAGTTGCTGCAACAAGAAAATGAGTAAAAAGGACAGAAACAGAAAGAACAAGAAAACAAGATCACTTAAGTCCAATTTTTCTGAATTTACACGGAATTAATATCTAAGAAAGGTTACTTTTACAGGAAGTGGATGGCCTATGGCTAGCTGATCGGTACCTGAGATCTATATAATTAAAGGTAATCACGTAATTAAGTTTTTTAATATATATTATACAGATAAGGGGAAGAGATATGTTAGAGGGAAATAGCAAACTAAACACATAAAATTCCTGAGTGATTCTCTTTTATTTGTTTGTTTAAATATTGTTTAGCGAAAATATTGTTAGTGTACTTAATAAATTTTTTTAAATCTCAAAATTCCCTTTTAATAATTTTTAGTTATCTAATTTAAACGCGAAAATGAAACCAAAAAATAATATCAATCTCAATAAGGCCTTCTTTCATTGTACGCATCCATAGTTTTAACCTTATTAAACTTTTCCAATTCATTTTCAAGAGCATCTCTTCCTCCAAGGAGTAATCCCATGGGTATTCTATGACCAGGAGTAACACCCTTGAGCTTAACAATAAGTTCATTCTGCTCCCTTAGAGTTGAAAAGACTCTCATAATACGAGCAACACTTTGAACTTTCTTTCTAAGAGTATCGGCTCTCTCTTTGGAAATAACACTAGAAGCTGGTTGTGCAGATCTAATAATTGAAGGTCCAAGACTAGCAGCTTCCTCTGGCAATCTTCCATCTTCATTGATACAAAATGCGTCCATTAATCTGCGAACATCGTCTGGGAGGTCTTCCTCTTCAAGTTCTACAGGTTCAGAAGAAGATGTAGCTACAGGTTGAATAATAGAATATAACATTTCAGTAACTTTCTCTGATACAAAAGGAAGAGACCAAGAAAATACGTCAAGAAAATTAGGTAAGTGATATGGATGAGCTGAGAAATTGAATTGTTGTATATTTAAAGTATTGTTTTCAAACTTTAGAATGGCACCTTTATTATTGTAAACATCACAATAGTTTGGAGCACTAAAAATTGTGATTACAGATGGGAACCTTGTCTTTACATTTGGACTATGCATCTTGAAGCCTTCTAATTGTGCTTCATGTGCTCTAACAATTGAAAGCAAACCATTTTGATCAAGAAACTTATTACTTGCTTGAGTAGCAAAAAAATATGAGCATCCTCGAACATCATTAGCTACAAAAGGTTCTTCAGGAGTCTCGGTTTCGTCTTTTTCATCAAATGGATCAGCCCATAAAATATCGCAGTAAAGTCCAGATCTCGGTGGTTCTTGGAATCTATTAATCATTAATATTTGATCGACTGAACGTAGCTCAGGAGAAAGTCCACCATGAACACAAAAGAATTTTCCATTAATAATTGCAGCAATTGGTAGTGTGTCAAAAGATTCCATAAAACATCCATGCACAGTAGAATCATATTTGTATTCACATTCATCACGAAAATTAAAGAAAGTTGTCATTTGTCTGCATTCATGATTCCCTCTTAGTAAATAAACTGTATCGGGATAATTCAGCTTTAGTGAATATAATAGTAGTAATACCTCAATAGAGAAAGATCCTCTATCTACATAATCACCTAAGAAAAGGTACTGTGTATTCTCAGGATCTCCTCCAACATCCAATAACTTAACCAGATCGTAATATTGGCCATGGATGTCGCCAACAACAGTTATTGGATCTCTTAATCTTAAAAGATTTGATTCATTGATAGTTATTTCAGATGTTCTTCTAACAATCTCCAATAAATGATCTTTTCTTACACGACCTTCTCTTAGTAAATGTGATTTAAGGACTCTCCAATCAGGATTGCCTTCAATTCCATTTGGGAAAAGCAATTCCTCAGTAATTGGAAGTGGAGGAGGAGGGTCAGACTCCTTTACCACCCTGTCATTAAGGGGGTCTTTTAATGGCTGCATGAATGTAGGTTTAGATCAATTCCCAAAGATGCTTATATACTTTGGAAACTCTGTTATTTATTTACATGTATTAACTTATGCAGATATATAAATACATATATATATATATATATATATTATATATATATATATATATATGTATATGTGTTCATATATTTATAAGCTTATATTAAGATATGTTTTTTGTATGAACAAATATAAATAAGAATATATTCACTCAGATCTCAAATTCTGTTGTGTTTAGATTGACTTTATTACTATTTATTTTCGTAATAATCCCAATTTTAATATCTCCCTCAATTTTGATAGTCCAATTACTTTTTTTTTCTATTTCTTATCCAAACAATTTGTTTGCACAGAAATTAGAATTGAACTCTTTTAATTAATAATTTTCCATAAAAATTATCTCAAAATTATGCCCGCCAAATGTTGCTACAAAAAAAAACTGCAAGAATTCCAGAATCTGAAAATATAAAATTGTACGCAAGTTGGGATGGATTTGCAATTACCAAATTATTAGTTTTATTTTTTATTACTTTTTTAATAACTATTGATATATTTCAGCTATGAAGGCTTGGATTAGTTGGTAATTCACAACTGATTTATTTTATAATTCTTGTTTATTCAAATTAGATTCAAAGATCTTACGTATTGTTTGCGAGTTTATAATTACAATAAAAATTGCATATATATTATTAAGATATTGATTTACTACTGTAATTGAAGGAACACAATTTTGTTTTCCTCTCTGTCTGACCAAATCTTTGGGTTTTTTTGTTTTTCTCTCTTCAAATGCTAAGTTTTTGCAAACTGTGCACTCTTAATCTCGTAAAAAGTTCAAATCCCAAAACTTATCCCTTTCTTAATTTGACTTAATGCCAAAAATTTACTTTTTACACCCCTTCTCACATAAATGTTATTACAAGTAAAAAAATGTAATATGGGGGGAGGGGAGGGGATTGAGCAAACATAAAATGAGTGTGATGGCGCTCAATTTGTTTAAATCAATATGACATAAACTGTAGCAATATTTTCATATAGATAATCCACCAATCAATAAAAATTTATTTAAAAATTTATAATTACTTGAATTATTGTTAAATTTAGTTTAAAAGGCAGATTACTCTTTTAATTAAAGAATAAAATCCTTAGAATTAAAATTCTTGCACTTTTTGTAATTTATTTCAGACAAATTCCAAACACTGATTATTAGTTTGTATCAAAAAATTGAATTGTGCATGCGTAAATTCATGCACATGTTTTAAAACTTTACTACAAACAATGCCGGTATTTAGTATTTAAAGAACACGTATGTAAAAAATGCATGTTTTTACCGCCACACGTGTCAAAAAGATTCGGGTATGAATTCCTAAATATTGTTTTTGTAAATGTTCTAGTTTTATTTGAAATTTCAATTTCACCTATGAATCTTGAAAGTTGAAAACCCATTAAGTTCCTCTCTATAAAAAAGAACGAATTGCGAGAACAATCTATCATAGCTATAGAGCTAGCAGGAACTTGTTTGTTGTCAGTTCCTTTATCTTCAAAAAGAACTCGTTCTCTCAAAGAAAACTTAGATAAAGAACAGTGGATTGAGAATCAAAAGAAAAAAGAAACAAGAAAGAAGAAACTGTCGTAAAAATCGTAATAAGAACTATTAATATTACTTTCGTGTGTGATTATTACTAAAGAAATAAATGTTGAAAATAATAAATATAGCAATGGGATTTATAAGTCTTTGTCGTAAATTGGCAGAAACAGATAATCCACAAAGTAAATATATATTTCCTTCATTCAATCACCTTTCTACTATTTAGTCATCAAGTGGAATATTAATATTTGCAGCTTCTGGGAAAATTCTAGAGAGAGATCCACGGCAGCTAATGTATTTGCAGTTAACTCCATCAGGAATAATTCGGCCTTCAGCTTGATACTTGAGATATTCTTCCTTGGTAAACCTAGTGAAACCCCACTTATCTGAGACAACGACCTTTTGTCTTCCTGGGAACTTATACTTGGCTCTTCTCAAAGCCATTACTGCAGTCTGAGTCTTATCTTCCTTACATCTGATGGACATTAAAACCTGACCGATATTTACACGAGCAGCAGTACCAGTTGGTTTACCATAAGCACCTCTCATACCAGTTTGGAGCCTATCGGCACCAGCACATGAAAGCATTTTATTGATTCTGAGTACATGGAATGGGTGTACTCTAATTCTCAAGTGGAAGTTATCCTTACCACAGTACTTAATCATGTACTTGTTAGCTGAAATACGAGCAGCCTCTAATGCTTCACTAGAAATCTGTTCATATTCATCAGAAATTAAGTGAATTACTGCTGGGAAAGCGTCGCATTCTGCTTTCTTTCTACCAACATCGTAAATACGAATCTTTGGATCTGGTACACCACGGCAGAAACGTGACTTTGGGTATGGTTTTCCCCTGCAATATCTATAACATCTTGCTGGACGACGTGCCATTGTTCCTCTCCCAAATAATATCAATTAAAAGAAAGAAAAATTAATACTTTGGATGATGTATTGCTAATTTTCCCCTTAATTACACCTTATATAACCCAGTCGAAAATCGACACGTATAATTAAATTTATAAATAATTATAATATTAAATTACTTTATAGATAGGTTATATTAATTAATGTAATATATATTTACTATGTATACATATATATATATATATATTGCAAATAGTATTATTTTATTTAATGTATATTAGCCTAATACTTTGTTATAATAACACTAATACCAAATTAATTTTTTTTTATTTGCTTCTTAATTTATTTATTGTTTATGTTGTCTCGTCTTTCACTTTACAAGTCACTTAAATTTATTTAAAAACCAAAGTTTCCCTCATCCATTATTAATTTATCTTAATCATCTATATTTGAGACATTTTTACATACTCGTCTTTTAGGCGGGCACTTTGGGCGGGCACATGCAATATGCCAAATTTTTTTTATTTGTATGTAATTTCCCCCCTAAAAGAAATAAGTGTGAAAAACCAATCAATTAGAGTCAAAAAATACAAAGAAGTAGAAACAAAATCTAATTAATGCGTCATTAATCAACTTAGAATCTCTTCATTCTTTCCTTATAATCTTCCAAATTAACTTGCTTATTAAATATATCTAACACAAATTAAAAGGAATTGTACTACTAGGTAGAATCAGAATGTCAACTAGTGCAGTAAGTTTAATGTGTTAAAAATTCTAATACAATTTAATTATGTGTGTCGCCGTTCTTTTATAGAGAAGAAGAATAGTAAATGATATTAATAAGCTTAGAAAGGAGACATATAGGGGTATCAAAGTAATGCCGTTTTCGCAAAATATGATGTATTGTCAAGCAATAATTAATGGTCCAAAAGATACTTTTTGGGAAAGCGGTAAGTCTATCATTATGGAAGAAATCAAACAAGTACTATAATTCCATTAGGTACATTTAACTTGATTATGCAATTTTCAGAAGAATACCCAACAAAGCCTCCAGATGTAAGATTTTTGAGTAAGATGTTTCATCCAAATATATACCCAGATGGAAGAATATGCTTAGATATACTTCAGAATCAATGGAGTGCTTTATTTGATATTGCTTCTGTTTTAACTTCAATTCAATCTTTATTAAGTGATCCAAATCCTAATTCTCCTGCAAACTCTTTAGCTTCCGAAATGTATGTTAAAGAAAGAAACAAATATAATAGTAAAGTACTGGAATGTGTTGAAGAAAGCTGGTCAACTCCTTATTATTCTTTGCCGAAGTAGTCCATTATTTACAATATAGTTAGCTTATCCCACTGATTATAAGCATTTGATAGTAACCAGGATTCAACACATCTGTACATAGACTCTGGAATTAAAATATAATTAGAACATTGGTCTCTTGAATGTCCAGAACGATTTTGGATGATAATATTGTGGAAAGCATTGGGCTCACATGCATTATATCTATTCATATTATAACGTAAGGATTTGTATATACAGGACCAAAGACTGGTAATCATTACAGGTTTCACAGAGGAAACATTACCAGATAAGGTCAGTTTCATTCCCAAACCTTTTCCTCCAATAGACTTTCCCATTCCAAAATTGCATGAATTACTAGATTTTGTGTTCGAGTCCTTGTCATTAAAACTGATATCTTTTAAATTATCAATTTGGTTATGTTCTATGATTTTACCATTTTCAGCAAAATTCCCATTAACTGGTAAATTCTTTTTTTCTCTTTGCTTTTGTTGTCCCTCCTCTTCATCAATACCCTCTTCTTCAAAATCTTGGTCGTTAAGTTCCTTGTTACTTTTGTTTTCTTCATCAAGGATAAACTTTAATATGTCTCTAATATAGAAAGATGCCAATTTGTAGACGGTCTTTACTGCTTGAGTTGAGAAAACAGACTTTTCTAAGTCTGGCTGAGTTCCAAACTTAACTACTCTACCTAGTCTGGAAGTACCGGATACCTTGTTTGAATTTTCAAATTTTAAGTTAAGTGAACCATCACAAGAAAGGAGATACCGACCATAACTATTAAGTTTTTCCGACCAAATATTAAGGGTTTCTGGAGATATCGACTCCTCTTCTAATACCATACATTTATTTTGAATGTTCTGGTTTGAAATTAATTTGGTAAGGTAAGAAGAAGGTCCAGTTATGTCAATCCCAATAAGGCCTGTGGCAGACTTAGATCTTGCATGTTTCAGCATTTGCAATAGAATATCTTCTTTTGCATGCATGTTGTAGTGTCCTCCATGTCTACTAATAGACTTTTTTGAATGAGAATGGGAAATCATGGAGCCAAATAGAGTACCATCATATATTTGGCTATTGGAGTTAATTCCAGATGAATACTGTGACTGTGATATTGTAAAATAATCAGATCTTCCTCCAGAAGCCTGGCTAATATTAGGATGGGAAATCTGACTTCGAGAATCTGGAAGTACTTTTTGATTAACTCCTGATTGCTTAAAGAGTGAAGAAGAAGCATTTTGCTGAAAGTATTCTCTAAGCATGTTTTCAAGGATTTCAACAAGTTGGCTGCTCCTCAAGATAGCTGTTAGACGAGCATGAAAATCCCTAAACTGGATGCTTTTGCTAATTAAAGATGAAACCAGGAAAAATACTGAATTAAGTTGTTCTTTTGGAACCAATCTGATAATAGAATTTCTCAAATCATCAGAAATATTATTTGGAACATTTACCTGGAAGCTACAAACTCCCAAATCTATACTTCTTGTTTTGTAGCCAATATTTGAGGTATGTTGTGATATGCTCTTAGACTCTATCTCTCCTACTCCATTAATATTACTAGAAGATCCTTGAGAGTAAGATTGAACATAGTTAGGATGTATTACCGAGCTGCTTGAGTTTACCTGTTGCTGAGAGGCATACTTGTGGTTCTGCTGAGAGTATGGCTTTGATCTGTACTGGGTAACACCTCCTGTTGTCCCTGTTTCTTCTGCCTTGTTATATAAAACATGAGGGCCATTAATAATTCCACGGTTTGCATTTTTTAACCCATTGTCAACCTGTCTCTGAGATATGTTTGAAGATGAAAAGTTTTGGAAGTTTTGTTGTATGTGAGATGCTTGAACTGTCCCTAAATTTGAGTGAAGGTTAGAGCTGGAGGAGGAATGCCTCTGTGTTTTAGAAAGTTCCGCTGAAGACTTTTGGGAAATTGATTGGATTCCTGGGTTTGTCTGAGAGTATGGGTGAACCAGTGGATGCGTCATAGGGTTGGAAAAGGATTGTTGGGTGTTATTCGGCTGGGAATGGCTGTAATACTGTGTCTGTGTGTTTTTAAGAGTCTGGGACTGAGTAAAAGGCCTAGATTGTGTCTGAGACAAAATCTGTGTTTGAGAATGCATTTGACTTTGAGAATGCATTTGAGTTTGAGTTTGAGTTTGGGTTTGAGTTTGATTCTGAATCTGAGTCTGACTCTGGGAATGGGACTGGGGGAAACCCTGTATGTATTGCTGGTGAGAGTGAAAGTATTCTTGACTACTAAGGTGTTGGTTTTGATGCTGAACCTGTTGTTTCTGTTTTTGCTGTTGCTGGTACCGGTGTTGTTGTTGGTGCTGAACCATAGGTCTAGGTTGAGATTGTGTTCTAGAATGAGATAAAGACCTTGTTTGGGATACCGACCTAGGCTGAGACTGAGAATTCAAATAAGAATTCTGCACCGAAATACCATGAATATCCATATACTGAGTATTAGCAGAAGAATCAAGATGATTCTGAATGCTTTGACTCCCAATATTCCCGCTGCTACTACTACCTCTATAACCCATCTCCATATTGTAAGAAGGCATATTGGATTCTTGGATAGCTCCAATGCTTGTACTCGGATTCCCATCCGGTTGAATATCACCATACTGTATACCGGCCTGTTGATTATGATTAATACCTTGGGGCTGGTTTACCCCAACTCTCAAGCTTGCTAAACTCTTTGCTCCCATTTGTCCAGGAATGCTTCTTTTCATATCATAGATATTTTGGCCAAAACTTCCCTGGTTTACCTTTTGATTTATTGAATGGCTACCATTCAAAACCCCATTATTGGTTCTTAATTGATGTTCAATATGGTCAGAGCCTTCATTTCCCATGAAATTTAGCCTTAAATTTGGAAGATTGCTTGCTTCTTGGATTCCATCAATACGATTTGATGAACCACTAATATATTGTGGTTGAATGGAGTTATTTGGCAGGCTGTAGTTCAAATTATTATCGGAAATATTATGATTTCTGCCCCCGAACCCTCCATTCATTTTGTCTCCAGAACAAATAACCAGTATTTGCTCCTAGATAACTTAATATTTTACTTATAAAACCTTGTTTTCTTTAAATTTTAGTAAAATATAAGGAAAATTTTTAAAGATTTGGCGCCTAAACTCCGGTATATGACAGTATTTGCACAAAATCAGCTAAAATAATGTAAATTGCATGCATGCAGAATAAATGACGAATTAAGATAAGAGAAGTGGGAAATTAGGAAATTTATGTTTATTTATTTTGAAAAAGGCTAATCTTTAGATTTCTGGATAAAATGCTAAAATATACAAATCAATTTAACTCACTAGATTTACTGTCTACCTTTTCCAAAACATCTTGAATATCAATCTTCTCATTAGTTCCACAGAGACTTGTAATCCAGGCTTCAGCACTAACCTGGTCTAGTTTAGCCTTCCAAACCATAAGAAGATCCCTAACAGTTTTTCTAGATACAATTCCTTTATTTTGTGCCCATTCTGAGTAGAATTTAAGCAAACATTTAGCGGCTTCCTCCCGATTCTCACAACATTCCGTGGCTTCTTTTGCAGCAATATCAGTTAATTCATTACCATAAGTTGCTTTCAAAGCCATAAGTAGATCAATTGTGGGAAGGAAGGCCTCACTATCAGCCAAGTCTCTTATAGTTGTTGAAACTTGGCTTACAAGTACTTTAGATGTTGGCATTTTTGTAGGTGCAGATTTCTTATTTCCAATATTTACCATTGGCTTATCAGAGGCCTCAATTTCCATAATTTTCTTGAGTAAGTCTTCATAGTATACATCACCTCCAATAGAAAGTTTGTCAAGAATAGCCTCAGCTTCTTCTCTAGTGAGCATATCTCCGCCAATACTTGTCAACCAAACAAATTGCTTTCTTGAGATCTTTCCAGTTTTATTCAAGTCGTAATTTTTAAAGTATGAAACCATGTAATCAATATGATCTTCTGGATGTGTAATAGATACAATCCATCTTTCAAAATCTTCATAAGTTACCTTATCTCCAGTTTCTTCTTTAAGTCTCTCAAGATCCGTATTAGAAGGTGCCAGACCCATTCTATGTGCTAAATGGCGTGTTTCTTCTAATGTGCATTTTCCTTGTGATGAAGCCTCCTCAAACATTTTCTTGATAATGTCTGCCTCTCCCTCATCTAATTCATCCCCGATGGAAATCATTTCCTCAGCATTTAGTGATTCTTGGGTTTTTGATGCTTTCTTATTTAAAGTACCAAGTTCTGAATCTTCATAATCACTTTCATCACTTTCAGAATAATAGCCTACAAAAACACCATATTCTATTCTTCCTGTGTTCTTGTAATCATCCATAACTACCTTGCACCCAGAAGTGCATGGTGCACATCCTGTTCCGTTTAATAATGAAATCATCTCTACTTCTTCTGCTTTGAATTTCTTTTTTTTATAAAAATGATCAAACTTGAACTACCTGTTAACAATATTTCTATTATTTTTTTTTCTTAATCAGTATTTCTCAAACCTACTCGCACTTATTTTCGTATTGCCCAAAATGCAACTTTCGGATAGTTAATTATTTACTGTGTAAATTTGTGTATATTTCTTGTGTTAATAATCTAAACTTAAATTATTTCTTTTTTCTTTTCTTTTATATTTTTTCTTCAATCCTTACCTTCTATACAGGTATCGAATAGTTTGCATTACAAGATTCAACATGCACAACTTCCCGCCGAATATTTCCCGCCTTTCTTTCAGCTAAATGGCAAAACAAGAAAAGGCGGTAATCACAAAGATTATAAAACAAAAAAAAAAATAACATTAATTATAAAAGCGGGAAATTTATTAAAGAATAAATAAAAAAAGGAAGAAAATTAATAGATTTTAATCTTTGTGTGTTTATTAACGGCAAGATAAGTGAGATTTAGTGGTTAAGATGCCTCCTTTTAAAATCGTGAGTTTTTTTGCAGTTTCCTCCCATACATTGCTTTCTTGGAACACTTTCCAAGAAATTAGGGAAGAAATTTATAACCAATAAAAATAACTATCTAATCCTAACCAAAATTTTGTAAACGAACTCACCTCGCTTCGTTTTAATAGTCTAGAGAAAGAATTGAATTTTCATTTAAAGATGCAGCTGTAAGTTCACTCTTTGATTAGATAACTCCTGGGATAAAATGTAGTGTGCACATAAATGCATTTTTTGTAATATTGGCTTTCCTTTACATCCCAATATTAAATATGCCTTAATTTCAAAATTATTATCTTATTTTAATCTTTAGGGAGGCGGGCCAACAATTCAAACCAGTAAAGTTGGAGAAATTGTCAGAAGAATGGTAAGTTTCTACTTTAGTTTTCTCTAAAGAAATTCTTACTCAAACTTTATTATTATTTGTAATCCTAGGGTTTGGCGCCATCTGAAAGTGAAATTGAGAGATTTGCTGCAAGTATTGGGCAGACATGTGATTTGCAGTCTTTTATCAAGTTTTGTGATTCTATTGTACATCCAGAAGATACTTTTGACAACCTGGTTCAATTTTTCAGATCTTATGATTCAAATGTAGGTCGAAAAATTCTAATCCAATTCTAAATCTTCTTATTAAAACCTTTTTATATAATAGAACACTGGGTCAATCACTAGTCAACAACTAACCTCTCTATTTACAAACACAGGGGAAGTTTTGTCTGAGAAAGAAATAGAAGCGCTTTTAAAGTAAGTTATGAAATTTTAATATGTTGCATACTCACATCTGAAATTTGCATGTATGCCGGTATGTAATTATTTGGTCTGCAAGTAAATACATGCAATTACTTTTCACTCCCCCACCCCCCCCACTACCTTTGTCTTCTTAACTTTTTTTTTGATTAGGGATTTCCCATCTAATGATGGAGGATTTAACTATGAGAATTTCCTGAGAACACTAGTTAGATAAATTACCTAATTTATGTTTTTAAGATGTATTATGTTACCAGTATGAATATGTTCTTCGAATGTATTTCATATTAAACCTAATTTATATGATAATTTCTATTTACCCAATAAATTGTTGTTTACCATGCACACGTAATCAATCTTTATATATAATGGTGTTTTTAATTCACAAACAAAATTATGAAAAACAGAGATTTTCAAGAAAATTGAGAACTGCGAACTTTTATTAGTAGTAAATTTAAGTAAAAAAAATCATTGAAACTTAGTAGAAAAAGTTTTTTTTCTCTTAGTACTCAAAATTGAAAAATTATATATTCAGATATAATTTGTGTGCATGCAGGTATTAGCATTCTATAGTCTGGTGAAAATTAGCCGAAAATACCCAAAAATACTTAAAAAATACGAAAAACCTTGAATAAAAGGGTGCATTTCCTTTTTTTTTTTTTTTAATTTTGTTATGGTTATTCTTAAGATTCCTTGAATTAAAATTATCAGAATTTCAGTCAAATTACTACTTAATATCAAGAAAATGTCTATCTAGACCTTTTCTAGATTGGAAGAATTTTGAATAAAAAGCCAAAACCAATCAATGAAAAAAAGAAAAAAATTATCCTTAATTAGAACTATAGTAACAATTATTTAACTGGAAAAATTTATCAAATATGAAGAAATCAGGAGTTCCAGGGAAAGCTCCTCTTTCTCCTTTAAAAGGAAAGAAACAGCTTCCCACTACCAAACCACCTGGAGGAAAACTTCCAGCAAAAACTCTACCATCTACAGCACCACCATCCGCTCCACCTCCACCTACAACTTCATCTCCACCTCCACCTCCACCTCCACCTCCACCATCTGCTCCACCTCCACCTAAAACCTTACCTCCACCTAAAAATCCACCTCCACCTAAAACTCCGCCTCCACCTAAAACTCTACCTCCACCTAAAACTCCACCTCCACCTAAAACTCCACCTCCACCTCCTACCTCTACTTCCCCTCCTCCTCCACCTCATCCTCCTTCTAATAATCTTCCAAAATCACCCCCAACTTCGAGTTCTCCACCTGCTCCAACTCCTTCAAAAGGACCTCCTAGTCCGCTTAAGCTAGCTCCAAAAACCACAACAGAGACAAAAACCACAGCTAAAATAAAGGCACCACTAAGTAGTCCTGCTCCTTCAAAAAACGTGGCAGCAAAACCAACACCAGGAAAGACTGTTGTGAAAAGCATTAGTAAAGATTCTAAAACCAGTAACGCACCTCCCAAATCAACTGAAGTACCTAATAATGGAATTCAAATTAAAAAAGAAAGTAAGTTATTGAATAACAACCTCTCTAAAGATGGACACTACCCAGAAATAAGCAATAGAAATACTTTTGTAGAATCCACCTTACCTTTTGATGTTGGCCCTATTAAACGTCTACTTTTTCAAGACAAAAGTTCGGAAAAAACCAACACAAAAAGAAGGGATAGTAAAAATGCTCGGATCTCTCAAAGAGAAGATGATATGTTTAATCTTCATGTTAGTGTATTAGATCCAGCCTTAACTGAGGCTGCTGAACATTCTTTGGCAGCTTTAAGCCAAACATTTAAAGAAGAGTTTGCAAGCAGACACTTTACATTAACAACTTCAGAAAAGAATAATCTTTTGTTTGGACAAACAACAAAAGCCAGACCTCAAATTGTGAATGAAAAGTTTGAAATCATGACAGACTCTCTCCTTCTTTTGCAACGTCTGGAAGAATCACGTGGTGATGGAGAAATACATGAAATCCAAAGAATTATTCAAAGACTAAGAGCTTCAGCTTTAGAGAAGTTTATGAAAGCTCAGTATTCTGATGCTATGCTAAATGCTTTGCATTGTTATGAAATATCCAGAGCCTTTTTATCCAAGTACCTTGGTCATCCATTAGAAGGTATAATGGTAGTAGAATTGATCATTATTGCAAAATGTTGTGGTTTAACAGGGGAGTTACGTAAAGGAGAACAATATCTTAAAGAACTTCGATTTCTTGTAGAAAACACTATTCTAGCTGTAGCAGATCGTAAATCTGAAAATAAAAATACTAAGAATGATTCTTCCCATATTAAAAGTATTTCAAGTATATCAGGATCTAACTCTGGTTCTGGAAACTCTGCTCAAAATACTACAGCTATAGGACCATCTATTTCATGTGATCCTTCAGTACTTTGTAGTCTTGTACTTACAGTTTCAGATCTATGTAGTATGTATAGGGATCATGCAACATCATCATTTTACCTTGATAAGTATCTTTCATTAGTAAACGAAGTTTATGGTCCAACAGATCTAGTAATGAGTGATGCATACTCTACAGCAGCAAGCTATTATTTCAGAACAAAGAACTTTGAAAAGTGCAAAGAAATGCTTCATAATTGTCTGGAAATTAGAAAACAGGTTCTGGGAGATCATAATAAGAATCCTCCTCATCCTCGTGTAGCTGATTGTTATTCAAACTTAGGATTAGTATACAGAATACTTGGAGACTGCCGTCAAGGAGTGCAACATATAATGGTTGCTTTGGATATGTTAATGAGGATTTATAACAATAAAGAGTTTCCTTTAGTACAAGACAACATCCTGGCTTTGGGATGCATTTTTCATCAAGCTGGAAACTTTAGATATGCTCTAGAGTTATATAATGAGGTATATAGATACAGAAGAGAGAACTTAGGATTTGATCATCCTGACACAAAATATGTTTTAGAGCTGATTACATTATTGGATGCAGATACCCAAGTATACTTAACAGAAAACGTAAATAGCTGTACAGAATCTTATATTTCTCAAGAATTACAGAATAAGTGTATTGATACAAGGGAATCATTAGAATCAAGAGCAGAAAGATCCTTAAAAGAAATAATAATAGATGCTTTAGGAAAGTCAAGTAAGCTAGAACGGATAATGTATGAGGAATCAGCATTATTGGCAAGCCCAATTTGCCCAAGTATTGACCAGTTAAGGTATCGGCAATTAGAAATGTTTCTATTTGACCCAAGGAATACGAAAGGTCTGAATAAAAATACTCCATTTTCAAATAATCAGACTCAGCAACTACTATGTACTTCAAGGATTAGGGCACTACATGGAGAATCTTTTCAGAGTATGGCAGTGAGCTCAACAGCAATTCTACCTCACTTAAAAGTAAGGATTACTGGACCAGATCATCTAGGAGTTTCTACTATGCTTTCCCTTCCTCCCTTCTGTAAGACAGAAAGAAGAAGGTTACCAATTATAAACATTCCAAAGCTAACAAGAGGATTCCCAGTAATGGGAGATCAATCAGTGGTAATGACAATAAATGAGGAAGCTCAAGGAATTTTGGAAAAGTGGGAGATTCCAGAACCATGTATAACCCCTGAAGGAAAATTAATTTCTCAAATAGAGAAAGATGAGAAGACAGGTTTGTTGTTATACTTGCCTCTAGTAGATTATACAGGAAAGGAGGAAATGAAAGCTTATTTCAAAGAAACAATATGGATTCCAAATGCCTTGATTCCTTTAGTTAGACAAAGAATCAAAGACAAAGAAGAGGCTAAACAAGTTAAAGTAACTCAAAATCATGTAATAGGTATTGAGCAACAACTTCCACAGAATGATATTTTAGGAAAAATCCGAGGAGCTAAGCCTGACGTGGAAGAGTCTAATAGTGGAAGGCTGCCTTGTATTTCGTTCTTGGATGGCGAGGGTAATGTAATAACGAAACTTCCCTATGTAATAGATCTTGAACCATTTGTGTGTGCCTCAACAAGAATTGCGTTGAGTACATCTGCAAAATGGGGCCTTCCTTCTCCCGACTCACAAAATGTCATTGAACTTCTTAAGGGTAGTGGAATTGGCGCTCTTATTAGTTCAATGATCCAATATAAACCTTCAGATGGAGGAATTTATAGTAGTATTGTAGGAGCGAGCATGAAATCAGGAAAGGCATTATCAGGGTTGCTGGATGGTATTGGACAAATGGACAACATTATTGGCAAATCAACAGCACCTCAAAGCAAAGAAAGTGCTCCTGAAGAGCCAAAGGCGCCAAGCACCGAATCTAAGGCGCCACCAAAGGCGCCACCAGCAAAAGGGAAGGGGCCGCCAACTAAAGGGAAGGGACCTCCAGGAGGAAAGGGACCACCAGGTGGGAAAGGTCCACCAAGTGGGAAGGGACCCCCAAAAGGAAAAGGAGGGAAAATTGGAGGAAAATCAGGGGGTGGAAAGTTCAGTGGTCCAGAGTCAAAGACTAAGAAGTTGCATTGGGATAAAGTTGAAAATATTCAAGGCACAATTTGGGATATTAAGGAGCCAATTAAGTTGGACTTTGGAAATTTGGAGGAAGTATTCGGTATAGAGTCGGCAAAGCCAAAAAAAGCGGCAGAGGCATCAAAGAAACCGAAGGTTATGCAAATTTTACCGGATTCGAAGAGAGCATACAATATGAGTATTGCATTGTCAAAGTTCAGTGCATATACATTCCAACAGCTACGTGACGCAATATTAGATCTGGATAAGAAGATTTTGGATACAGAGGCTACGGAAGCTTTAATTCTAATGATTCCAACACCGGAAGAGTTTGCAATTGTAAAGGAATATATTGATGCAGGAGGAGACTTGACTCAACTGGACAAGCCTGAACAATTTATAGCTGCAATGATTGGTATTCCTATGTTTGGTGCTCGTTTAAATGCTCAACTTTTCATTCTTTCATTTGAGAATTCATTTAATGATTTAATGACACCTTTACAAGAGTTAATTACAGTTTGTAATGAAATTAAGTCAAACTCAAAGCTTAAAAAGGTATTTTCTATTATTCTTTCTGTGGGTAATATTTTAAATCTTAATACTGAAAAAGGTGATGCTAAAGGTTTTAGGATGAGTTCACTACCAAAGTTATGTGAGGTTCGTTCGACTACCAAACCTATAAAGACTTTATTGCAATACATCACGGAAATAATTTGGAGAGATAAGCCAGAATTGCTTTCTTTGGCAGAACCTTTTGCTTTAGTGGAGAAAGCAACAAAATGTGATTTGGGTGTAATAGAAGGTGAGATTAACTCACTAAATGGGTCTTTGAATAAAGTTACAGAAACAATGAAATCAGCTCAGAAGGATAATGAGAGAGCTGGTCCTATGGGAGAGAAGGATCCTATTGCTAAAATTCTGGCAGATTTTATATCAGATGTTGAGCCTAGAATTGAGGATTTAGTAGTGACTATGAAATCAGTTAAGGAGAATTTGGAAAAGATGGCTTTGTACTTAGGAGAACCACAAAATACAATTCAAAGAATTGTTTGGCCGGACTATTTCCGTATTTTGTGGAACTTCATTTCATCTGTAGATCTTGTGCGTAAAACAAAGTTAGAAGAAGAACGAAGATTGAAACAAAAACAAGAAAATCTTGCAAAGAGAGAAAAGAGTACAAGTACAGTTAAGCTCAAACTGTCTGAGAAAAAGTCTCTCTCACAACCTAAACGAGGAAACGCTGAATCTAGGCCTACATTACAAAAGCAAAAGTTGACAGTAACTATGGCGCCAAAGGCAAATGCTGTAAAAACTAGCAAGCTTGATGAAATGGCAAGTTGGTTTGCAAATGAAGGAGAAGAAACACAGACTCCATCATTCCTACAAGAAGCCTTTAATCAACCAAATGACACTAATGTGGTACTTACTGATTTGGATATTGATGTGGACTTATGGTAGATAAAAATTTTACTTACTATTGAAATTTCAATATCACTTTTATTCATTTTCATGCATTGTTTATTTCACAGGAGTTCCTGCCAATTAAAAAATGTTTATAAAGCAAACAATTTACTTTGCATGCAGAAAAAAAAAGGATGTGCATGCAAATCAATGAATGTATCTATAAATATATTATTACTACTAGATGTAGATGTAGTTTCAGTTTTATTTAATTAATTTTAGTTTAATCGTAAAAGGCGAAGTATCTCATTAATATTTTAATTAATTCAGTTTATGTGAAGTATATTGCCTTCTGGCTAATTTTTGTTCTAACTTCTCTTTGCTATTACCAATAATGAATTAAATTTGATATTTCTAATAATCAAATGATGATTATTTATTGTAAATATTTAGCAGTAGTTTGTTCAAATGTATTACGTGTTGCATGTAACTTTGCATAAATGAAAATACCCCACAACATTTTGGGCGGGCTTGAGCCAACCACATATTATAGTGGTATTTATGAAAACATGTTTTAAAGAGAAATATCTGGATAAAGTAGCAATAAATTGGGTTAAATAAAAATAAATAGACTATATATAAATTGGGGGAATTGTAAGTCTTCTTTTGAGATTGAGCAAAGAAGATTAAACTGGGCCAAAAAGTAGAGAATTAATGTTGGGAACTGAAAGAAATGTCGAGTAATGTTTTTCGTTCTTTTGGCCAAAACTCGATGAGAAGAACAACTGGGTTTAGGGAGAATTCGGAAAATGGGGATCTTAATGGCCAAGATGTTTCCATGACCTCGTTTTCTATAGGGAATAATAAGACTCAATCGCCCACACATTTTGCCACGTCATCATTGCTAATGAGAAATGGGAATAGTAGTATAAGCAATGCAAATAATGCTTGGGCATATTCATCATCTAGAGGTGGGAATTCCCAAAGAGGAGTAAGTACAGTAGGACCATCTTCAATGACTGGAAATATGAACTCAGCTGCTGCATCATCGTCAAAAGGTAGAAGTATTTCGGATAGCAGAAGAGAGGGTTTAAAAACAATATTAACATTTTTGAGTAAGAGAGGATACCCAAATCAGATAAATCCAAAGACTTTAAATAGTCCAACAAGAGCTTTATACTTGGAAGTTTTACAATTTATAATAAGTCAATATGATTCAAGAATAAAGATATCTAAGCCAGATGATGAGATTCCAAGATTTTTTAAAGATATCGGATATCCTATAACGATAAATAAAACTACTATAATAGCACCAGGAGCTCCAAATACCTGGCCACAACATATTGCAGCAATGACGTGGCTTTGTGAGTTATTAGATTATGAACAAGCCATTTTTCCACATTTGAATTATAGCAAGGATGGAGAATTTGGAGGTTACATGGCGGATACATCACTAACAAGTACTTTGTCTAATATTTTTCAACATGCAAATTCGAATATTTCTAATGGTTTTACAAATTTTGAAGGAAATAACGGTAATTTAGATTCGTCAAAGTTATTATCTCAGACATTGAATAGAAGGTTAAATGAGAGCTATAAATTATTCCTAAATGGCCAAAATGATGGTGGATTATTAAATGAAACTTTGGAGGCTTATTGTAGGGAAAGGAAGAATCAGGCTCAGCAAGCATTAGAAAAAAAGAAACACGAACTTGAACAAATGAATATGGAAATTCAAAAAATTAACCACGAATTACAAGAGGGAGAACTATTACTACAAAGGAATCACACACTTTCTCAAGACCTATTAAAAATGGAACATGCTGTTGGCCAATGCCAGAATTCTATCAGGCAAATGGAAAATTCTTGCAATGATGCAGAAAATATTTTGAACATAAAAAAAAAAGAGTTGAGGGATATTGAAGATGAAATAGAAAAACTACAAAAGAGAATTGCAAATCAAGGAATACAAAGGGATGATGTTTCCAGAGTTTATCAGGATATGAAAGTTAAGAGGCAGACAATAAGAAATTTAAGAACAGAAAGAGAGAACACAGAAAAAGAAAACTGGGAAATTGAGTTGTCTATTGAAGAACATTCAACTAATTTGTTTAATTTGAGCCGAGTCTGGAATAGTATATATCAGGAAATCATTAATATTACATCTAATGAAATAAGAACAAATGAAGTTTGTTCCTTTAATTTACTTCAGCCATTATCTTTGAATGTTTCATATTCAGGAAGCCATGATAAGTCAGAGGGAGTGAATGGAATAATTGGACAGAATTGGAGTAATATGAAACATAGTTGCAAAAGGTGCATTGTTGAGGTTGAAATGTGGAAAAGAAAATTGAAAACACAAGAGGTTCAATTCAGTGAAATAATGAAGAGTACAAAGGATACTATAATACAAAAGAAACAGGCATGTGATGCTTTGGAAAAAAAAATCAAGAATTTGGATGGAGATTTGACAGTTTGTGATAAGAGAGAAATGAGACAACTGGAGCAGATTCAGGAAAAAGTAAGGAGCTACAAAGCAGAATTTGATCAGAATAGGGATGAGGCTCTAAAAAGGTTAGAAAAGGCAAAGAGCCGAATTATTCAACTTGAGCAACAAAGTAACCTTCAAGAAAGCCATTCTAGAAATGAAATTATCCAATGTAAACAAGTTATCCAATCAGACGCTGAAGCAATCTTCAAACTTAAGGAGTTTATTGTTCAAAGTCTATCAAATTCTCTGAATTCAATTTCCCACTTAAAAAATCAAACAAAGCTGAAAAATAATTCCAAGCTAATTGAAGTAGAAAAATGGAAAAAATAAACAGTCATTTATTTTAACTTATAATATTTCCTTTCTTTCCTTTTAAATTAATAATGCAAAAATAAGAATATCATAATCATTAGATACGTGTTAATTACATGTGGACATAATCTATTACGTGTACATGCACATTTTTTTCTATACCGGCAATCATGTACAGATTTTTCGCATTAAAGTGAAAATAAAATATTCAGAGGCGCCATTATTCTCAATTTAGTGAATATTTAAAAAAAAAAGAAAAAGTTGCTTTACAAAAAGTAAATAGTTTGGGTGAAATTTTGCCGAACTGCTTAGCATGGCTCAATTGACTATAACTTACAAAAACGACGATAGATTGGAGGAGAGTGGGGTATTTCTCTCAGAGTTGAATAAGATAAAAAAGGAAGGGAATAGATTTGAGAGGTTTTCTTCCATATCTGATTTGGCAGCTCTTATTAAGCAGGAATCATTCAAAACTATATGTATTTATTTTTCATCTGGAGCAATTCTTGGCGAAGTTTTAACATTTGAGTTTTTGAAAGATTTTTATGGGATATTGGACTTTGGGTCAGTTTTCAAGGTGAATATATTATCTGTGGATTTTCCTGATAAAATTAAAGTTTTTGAAAGAAATTTATTATTTTCTGGATTTATTAAGGTTAACAAAATAGAAAATGCTGTATCAAATTCACCTGAAGGTGGCTTTGAAATGATTGTTAAAGCAGAAAAACCCAGTTGGAAGCTTGAGGAAGGTAAAGTGCTGGTAGATGATATTGATTTAGAAAGATCAGTGCCAGATATAAAAAATTATGTGCAGCTTGGGCAAGGAAAAGAAAGCTGTAAATCAAAGGAAAGAGCTTGCAAAAATTGTAATTGTGGGAGAGCGGATCTTGAGAAGGAAATTGGAGTTGAGGCTGCAAGAAAAGTTTATCAGGAAAAGGTTGAGACTGGAACAGCTCGCTCAAGTTGTGGAAACTGCTATTTAGGCGATGCATTTAGATGTTCTGGATGTCCCTATAAAGGGATGCCAGCATTTAAACCTGGAGAGAAGGTTAGTTTGGCAAATGCTGAGGGGGATGCTAATGATCGTACTGTTGACATGAATATGATTCAGGAGGAGCAAGTGAATCTAATTACTACTACTTCTGTTAATGCTGCTTCCGAGTCTAGTCAAATCCAGAATGTGGGAGGGGTTTTGAAGCTTAACATTTAACCTGGTAAATTAATTCTAGAAAATATGAATTCATCAAAAAGCTGTTTTTTACGTGAAAAAAAAGGGAAAGAGTTATAATTATTAATTTAGATCCTAAGCTAATTTGCCAATTAATAGATGGAAGTTATATATAAGTGCTAGTTTTTTACCTATTTGTAATGCTTGCTACCTTTACAAATCCTTGGCTTATTCATTGTCTTGTTATTTTAAGCCAGATTCATAATCACGAGAATTTACTCATTTGAGTTTGGGTATTATCATTCATGTTATTAAATTGTAACAAATCCAAGTCCGAAATTGTCTGAGAAATATTAATAATTGAGTTATTGAATTCATTAATTCTGTTGCATATTTGGCTTCTATCCATATACTTGAAGGATATCTGATCTGAATCATCTATATCTTTAAGTTCCTCAATAATTGCTTCTGAAGCTTTAATTTCCTCCTTCATTTGGTCTGAAATACTGGTTGTTAGGAGGTCAGGCATAGATATAGGGTCTTTGTAAATTTTCTCGTATGGATGCAAAGCAAGATGCTGAGAAATGGGAGAAAGCGTATCTTGAAAAACTCGAATGCATGCACAAAGAGCTCCAATGTCATCCAAATATTCGGGATATTTTTGGTTTTCTCTATAATTGAATGGCATTCTGCTGACTCCATCATGCATTGATCTAACATTTGTTGCAATATCCAGAAGTAGACGGCTCCAATACTTTTCTGACATTTTAGGGGATTTCTCAGTATTATAATTCTCTATAATTTTTTGTTATTTCTTTCTTGCTAATTATAATTAAGACTCCTCAAATAATAATTCTAGTAAAAGCTTAATTTCTGGATCTAATCATTCAGTTTTTCTTGGAACATATACTTACAAGTGAACAATATCTTCTGCACTATCCGACCAATCAAATTTAAAACCTGACTTTTTCAACTCCAATAACCCACAAGATTTTTATTTCTAATATTTGATTCGTTATTGCAGGTACCTTCACAATTTTTTTTTTTTTAGAAAAAATTCCCGCCATCTCTGCTCCACCCCTCTCTCTTCTTAACTGTAAACAATCAAATCTTTTATTAATCTCTCAAGTCCATAACCCCCCTTATGGGCGCCAAAACACAAACTTTAACGGCGGGGTCATATGCCCTAGCATGCATGTTGGCGCCACACGTGTAGAAAATTAATAAAAACAAAATGTAAAGTACAGTTTAAACAATTAGTTAATCCTAGTAAAAATGTTTATAATAAAACTTTATTAATTTCATTATTTTTTTTCATCTATTTGGTTCTTCTTCCCTTTTTGCCCAAATTATTTGCATTACTATAAGTTAAAAACAATTAAAGAGTAAAATAACTAATAATAATATTAATAATAATATGCCTCCTTCTTGTATAAAAGTGGGTTTTCTCATAAATTAGTTAAGATCACCAATATGTTGGAAACTTTTTATTTTCATTACATTACGGTCAGATACATAATATGTAAAGAGGACTGAAGATCTCCAAATCCTTGTTATATTTACTTATTAAAGTTTTTTAAAACATGACTATTGAAAGCGTTAATATAACCATCAGCTAAGTTACTAGAGCCATAATTGCGATGACAATATTCACTAGCCAAGTCGTTAACATACTTTGCCAACATCTCGTTAGTCTCTTTGCATTTCTTCTTAGCTACAAATCTATTCTGAGGGTACGCTTGCATTAATTGTTGTTGCCTGTATTTGTCTCCTGAGCTTCCCCTTACAGTAGTAATTAGTCCTTCCAGCATTGCAGAAACTGCAATTGCTCCTCCTGAAGAGACAGTATCATCAACTGGTCCCCCATATAATGAAGATACTCCGTTATTGTTATTACTAGTAGTACCGTTTCCTCCTTCTCCTAAAACCGTTAATGATGAGTTGCTACCTGAATTCGAATTAATATTTGTACCTGTTACTGGCATAGATGAGTTTTCATCAGCATCCCCACTATTATTTTCTAATATGGTTGAATTAGCTTCAACTCCATTCCCATTCATGGAAATATCTGTCTGGTTTCTCATTGAACATCTTCTTTTAAGTCCTCTGGAAGGAATTCTTCCTGTTACTGCTGTATTTTGAGAATTTGTATTTTTCAATGAGTCATTGATTGTTTCTGTAATGTTTCCAGAGTCCTTTACTTCTAATGATTGAGTTTCCGAGATCATTTCATCAGCCTTTACATGATTATTATTGTTGTAATTCTCCATTAAATGATAATAATCATTTCCATTTTTTTGATGCATGAATCTCAATACAAGATATTTGTATTCTTCAATTTCTTCATTATTAATATTAATTAAGTGATGATTTGTATGTTCAATTCCATTTCCAGAATGTCCTCCATTTACTAAACTGTTCTCATCTTCATTGGTACTATCTGAATGGTTTCCATTATTGTTAGCACTATTATCACTATAAAAAGCTCTTATTAGGAATGATCCAGTAGGTACAGATATACAAGAATTTTTATTTTCACGTTTCTTTCTTTGTTCCAAAGCTGCAGTTGTTTGAATTGTCAATACCAGAACAGAATCAACAGCTTCTAATTCTAATAACTTGTTTTCTAATAGCTTACTTTCAGGCTCTTCTTGGTTCTTATTCTGAAGTTTTTCTCCATTTTTAGATTCTGACCCAAAACTTAAATTATTGGATAATTGTTTATTTTTAGAGTTATCCTCATAAGATATAAATCTTATTTGATTAGCATTTGGAACATGATTTCCTTTAATAGTAATTGGAACAGATTTATTTCCTACCCCAGTACTAGAATCCAGAGAAGATTCCTCTTTTTTAATACCAACATTACTATTATTATTATTATTATTATTATTATTATTAGTATTAGTAGTAGTAGTATTAGAAGTCGTTTCAATGATCTCTGTTACCTTATTATTCCCATCCTTATCACCTTTAGTCCTCTCATTCCTTAAAAGTCCAAAGTATTTGCCTGCCAAAGAAAGAGGAATATGTATCCCTCTCAAATCAGTTACAAGATGTGAAGGATCCCATTTCAAGTAATTATTTGTAGTAAACTTTAAAGTTTCTCTTTTATCTGATGAGTAGTTCAAGTCCTTAACATTTTCAGAAACAAATACTGTTTTGAATGGTCCTTTTCTGACATCCCAAATTGTATTCTTATCCACCCATTCTGCGTATAATCCCACAAGAGAGTAACTATTCTTGTTAGGATCATCCTTTTGTAATACAAATATAGGAACATTTGTAGAAATTGTAATCCCTCCTACTAAAGAATCATAGTTATCTGAAACTGATAATCCTGAACCTCTTGTTCTATAGGTACTCATTCCTCCAGTGTTAACAGCACTTCCTGATGAATATGCTCCATTATTCCCTCTTCTATTTCCTCTATTACTTGTTAAATAGGTTTTTGCATATCTATTGTTGCTAGAAACAGATCCTGAAACTATAGCATTTTCATCCTCGCCTGATGAAGATCCACCCACAACAGCTCCTGAACCATACTTTGAAGACTTTCCTCTTCCTTTTCTACTTCCTACGTACTCTTGATCACCACCTAAAATTGTGTCGTCATCACTCATTAAAATATCATCATAACCATATTTAAGAGAAACAAATCTTCCAGATCTAGTGGTTGTAGTGGTTGTGTTACCACCACCACTCCCATAACTTCTTCTTCCTTTTAAACCAATAGAGGCATTGTTACCTGCTAAAGATGTTCCTGTTGTTTGTCCTATTGTTCCTATATTACTACCATATGGATCAGATTTATATGTTCTCCCTCCAAGACCTGCTGCTGCTGCTGCTGTTCCAATACTAGATAAGTCGGAAATCAATTCTCCCCCAATACTACCCGGAATGTACTTCTTACTATCCAGCAAACCGCTGCCATGCAGAAGCTCATCCTTCTTGTATGATTTAGACTTTCCGCCCATACCAGAAATTATACCACTCTCATCCATTTTGATCAAAGTATTAGGCCCTAAATTTCGTCCTGATGTAGCTGAAGCTATTCCTGATCCACTTTGACGGCGTTGACCAGCTTGACGATCACAATATTTTGCCAAAGTATGACGAACGGACACAAATGCACTCCACATTGCCTTCTCCACATTGTCTATACTTAGCTGTTTAGATGCATTCACATTAACAAATAGTTCATCTTGATCAATCGGTATTAATCTCTTCTTCTGGTACCCAAGAGAATCCCTTACTTCTTCTATTTGATATACTGTAAATTTAAAACAATATCTTCTTCTATCCCATTCAAGACGTAATCTTATTCCAGATTTTGGTACTGATGTATCTAAAAGAGTCTTTACAAGACTTTCTGCATGAGAATGCAATCTTTCAAGATCATTCTCCAACAAACAACCTCCTCCACTTCCTGGTCCTATTATACCTGGTATAATTCCATTCAAACCAGTACCAGTAGTTGCATTTCCTCCTATACCTGAATTTGCATTGTTAACACCACCAATATTCATTCCGTTTGCAGCCAAAGCCCCAGGAAGTAATGCTCCAATATATTCTCCACCTATATTCAACCCTGGAAAAAATGGATTGTAACCTTCAACTCCCCCGCCACCACCTGATCCCATGAAACCCATTATTTGGGGAAGGTGTTGAGCTCCTCCTTGAGTAGGAATAATTGGAGGCATATTTGGGGGAAAGCCAGGTACCTGAATTTGTCCTCCTGAACCTGTAGACGCAGCGGCGGCAGCAGCAGCAGCTGCTGCCAGTTGAGGATTGAAGGCCAAAAACATTGGGTTTGTTGCTGGCATTCTCTGCATCATTAAAAATGGATTAACTACCCCCCCTTGTCCTCCAGGAACATTTGCGATTCCTCCTGATTGAGTTATCGGAATTCCAAGTCCTGGTAATATTCCTCCTTGAACTACTGCTGCTTGTTGAGTTTGCTGTTGAATTTGTTGTTGTACCTGCTGCTGAGACTGATTTAATAATGGGGTTGTAATTTGGTTCCCTCCCAAAGCTGGAACTAGTGATGGGGAAGTTTTAACCGAATTGGAATCCAATTGTTTAATTGGTTTAATTGAGGCACTAGAATCTATCTTATCTGCCTCAGGCTTAAGTTCTGGTAATTGAACTTTTTCTTGAGAAGGCATTTTCGCAGATTCTTTGCTTTCTTCCTCAGTATGATTAGTTTGTGGATTCTCGGTTGTATTATTTACATCATTCAATGTTTGACTCAACACTACACTTTCAGAATGATTATCATCCCCTTTAGTATCCTCCTTTGTTGAAGTAGAACTCACCAAGTTGTTTGCAGTGCTTACCTCACATTTGTCCTTTGTTATACTCTCATCCCCTTCTGAGGCATTATTTTCATTAACCACACATTTTACTTCTTCTTGAAAATTAGCCATGGGTTTTCCTATACCTTGACTTAATCCTGTTATAAGAGAACTATTTTCCACTGTATTATTAGATGGAACTGATTGGTTAGTTGGTTGTCTCATTTGTGCTTGAATTTGAGCCTGTAATAGGGTTGGTAGTAACAGTGAATGCATAGGAAAAGGTTGTAAACCCATTGGATGGGGAGGATGAGGTTGACCAACAGATTGTTGTGGTGCAATACCAATTGGATTTCCTCCACCTGATTGTAATGCATTCATTAACATTGGATTCTGAAAAATCATTGGATTAATCTGAGCATGTTGAGGGACCATAGTATTAAAGATCTGTTGTGCATGCAATTGTGCGTGCAATTGTGATGGATTTTGAGCTTGTTGTTGTAAAAACTGTTGTTGTTGCTGTTGTTGCTGCTGCTGCTGTTGTTGTTGTTGTTGTTGTTGTTGTTGCTGTTGCTGTTGTTGCTGTTGTTGCTGTTGTTGTTGCTGTTGTTGTTGCTGTTGTTGTTGTTGTTGTTGTTGTTGTTGTTGCTGCTTAATATGCTGTTGTTGTAATGCATTTAAAAGTATCATTTGCTGCTGGTGAATTTTTTCAGCATTAGAATGAAAAGGAACACTACTAGGACCACTATTGTTTACTAATACTGTTGTATTTGGTTTGACTTGGTTCCCCGCCTGGATCTGTTGAGTGGCTTTGTATAAGTCTAGATTCAGGGTACCACCTGAAGCATTTCCAGCCCCATTATTAACGTTACCATTAAGTTCAGTACTTACGTTTTTTATAGGAGATACAAAATTTATAGGATTAAAATTAGAGCTTGTGGCATTACTACCATTATTCATAGAAACAGCAGAATTTAGTTTAGATACTGCTGAAATACCTTCAGTTTGTTTTGAAAAAGAATGATTGATAGGTAACAACGGAGCCTTATCTTCTGCTATAGCAACATGTGCAGAAGCCTGAACCTCTTCAATATTCTGGACAATATTATTTCCCTCAGGTATTGGACCAAATGATTGTAATGGCCTATTCTGATTTTGGGATATTACTGATTCTGATATGGCAGCATAAGACCCAGAAACAGACTGGTCCCTATTAATTACTGGCCCATTCCTCTCTTGCTCTTCCATTTTTGTTAAATTCCTGATAATCCACTATTTAGCCCACTCCCATACACAAAAGTTATTACTTGTTCAGATTTTGACTATTGAATGTGCGTTGCGCCAACCCCAAGAGACAACAACAGACGGATAGTTACATACACTTTTTTGGGGTGACATTTTGAATGGAGACATGCGTGTACGTATACCCATTAAATATTTATATCTGAAATTAATATATATTTAAAAAAACATTTGTAAGTAAAGAATGTAATTGCCAGAATTGTGTAAATTTATGTATATAAGAATATGAAAACAACATGCGTTTGTTTTTTGAATAAGTTTTGTTTTGCTGTCTTTATTTTGTTCGATTTGATTTGGACTGTTTCTTAAGTGACTTTTGAAAAAAACAAAGAGGCGGGTCACCATGCACTTTACTAGGCCTTGAAGCCTTCTTTATTAAGGGGGGAAAGCTAAAAGGAAGCTGGCGGTTGATAAATTTTTGGTTGGATTTTGTTGGATTATGATTTTTAAAGATTAAAAATGCCATTTTTGACTCAATTTTTTTTTGTTTAATATTTTAAATGTTCTGTCTCTAAATGAGGAAAGTGAGGGTAGGGTAGAGGAGGTAGAGGTAGATGAGTGTATGAATGGATGAATAAATGAATGAATGAATGAATGAATGGATAGATTGATAAGTAAGTTGTTTGACGCTTTGAATTAATTTAATATATTTTTCTTCTTTTTTAAACTGCTTGCCACAATTGATACCTCTGAATAGTGGATAAGTGGCCAAATACACGGACTAACCCATTTTTAAGACTTGAACTAATAGGTGGGTGTAACAAAATGAATAGAATGATTATTTTTCACTGCTTTACTTGTATTTATGATGGTTGTTTTGTATAATTTACTCTTTAATCTGATTAAATACTCCATAATAGGTAACTGACCAGTTTTATATATCACACATTTCCCCGCTTAATATTAAATAAAAAAATAAATATATAACAAATTAACTTAAAAGATTTTGGGTTAGATTGTATGTTGGTGGGAATATATTATAGTAATTTGACATATATCTCACGAATTTGTGTTATCTGCTTGTTGGAAAATTCGTTGTTTGTAAGGGAATCCCATAATATGTGATTGACACTCTGTGTGGGGATAGCTTAATTTATAGATTGTCTGCACAGTAATTCTGTTTTAAGTTGAGGACGGCGGAAACTTATTTTAAGCTCATTTGTATAAGACAATTGGGATGTAATTACTGAGTATAGAATGGATGGGAATTGAAGGTACAGTATGAAGATGAGTATTGGGAATGATTTGGAAAACAGAAATAGAGTATTGGACTGTTGGATTCAAAATAAGAATTCATTCCAGACTCTTCACAGTAAAGAATGATGAGGTATTGCAATACCCTGTAGACTCTAAGACTTCTGGGAGTTTTCCACTCTTCATTATTGTAATGGTATCTTTCTCCTGATCTGGTTTTGATCTACTTATCGATCTATTTACAAGACGATTTGAAGAGTCTTTAGATGCTTGGAAATTTTTAGGAGTGAAAACTGGAGAACAAGAGTGAGAGATTGCTTGTGCTGATGGTGTGCTATGTTTAGAGATAAATTCTGAAAGCAAATCCGAGTTGGATTTATGTTTATAGTCAGAATTGGACTCTGAAGAAAAGCTGGAGTTGAAACCCATATGGGAATTAGAGACTCCCCTTATTAGTGACCCAGAATCTGAATTAGAGTTTAAATTTGATTCAACCCTATAAATTAAGTGGGGATCAGAACTAATATCAGCTTCTAAGTCCACAATTTGGGTCTGAAAGTCTTCTAATATCTCAGCATCATATTCCTTCTTAAATTCATAGAAGAGTAAGTTATATTCGTTGTTTCCGTAATTATAGTAATCTTGGATTTCATTTGAAAGCAAATACTCTTCTTCGTATTTCTGTTTTTCCTCAAATGATAAATCCAACGCCAAATTAGTCTCATCTTTATTCACTAATGTTTGATTATTGGAGAAATTATTCGTATTGTAATCTGTATAAATTCCATAATTTTGATTGTGGGATTTTACAATTTCAAGCAAATCCTCTTCATTACTTTTTAAAATACCTCTCAATTTGGTTGCTTTATCTATAATACTATTATCTAATTTATAATTTGGATGTCTTATATGCACAATCTTTCTTGCATCATGAATACTTACTTCTCCAAGCGGCTTTTTATCAACAATGAATCTTCCATATCTTTCCAAATTCTTCATCTGCTGTCTTACTAAACCATCAATATTCATCATTGATTCCTGAAATGCCGCTTCTAACATTTCCATCAAATTCTTTAAAAAACTTCTTACTGTATTATTCTCCTCCTTCTTCAATATTTCACTTCTTATCAAATACTCCATTTTCACATTTCAAAACTAACAACTTTTTTTCTCTGACTTCTCTAATTTGATTTAACTCCTATTCCCACAGTAAAACAAATTACTGTTAATGCATGACAAATTGTGATGTAAATTTTGGCGCTTTTTGATTTTTTTTTTTTGTATTTTTAAACAGTAAAATATGATTACTTGATTATTTTTATTTTTTTTTAAGCCTAAAACCAGTTACTCTTTATTTACATAAATATTTATATTCATGAACTTTAACTGCACTTTCATTGTTAGTTACTTTTCGTACTTTATCTTCATTACAAAACTTATTTACTTGTATATTATTATTTGTTAATTAAATTTTAATTCTAACCCTTAATTTCTACAATGTTAAACTAATTAATCTTATCTTTCATTATTCTAAAATTATTAATTCATCCACATGCAATAATCAATTTTTCTACCGGTATAGAACTTATGTCCACTATTTTCTTCGCAAAGTTTTACATGTAATGCTCACTTTTCTAATACCGGCATTTACATGCAAATTTTCCACATTAACAACTAAATGCATTAGTAATGTTATTATTGAAAAGTGTGAAACAGAACTCCGAGTTTTATTATTAAATAAAAAAAGTTATTGGTAAATTGTAAAAAAAAAAAAAAATACTAGAGCATACAAACACAAAGATAATAAGCTAATTATATAATTTTTACTCAATAGCTTTTATATTCCACTAAAATATGGCATTAATTCCACTTTAATTATTCCATATTAAAACAATATTTTTATTCGAACAAAGAATTACTTTAAAATAAATCTGAGGATTTAGCGGTAACCTTTATTTTTGTTTAGTTACAAAATGAGGGGGAAAACAATCATGCAGTTTGAAAAAGTGAGAAAACCACAAAAATAAGTTGAAATTCCATATTTATCAAAGACAGTAGAGAAGAAAACAACCAATAAAGCAACTAATTATCTTTTGTTTATTTTGCAAAGAAAGGGGAATATTTTTTTTAAGCAAAAGTTTCCATACTATAATAGGATTAATAGATACGGAATCAAACAAGAAAAAAAACAAAGAATATGAATCATTTTATAGATGAGTATTTTATCTCCCCAGATCATTATTGTAAAGAAAAGAAATTTTCATCTGTCAGATTTCAAAGCGAGAAAAGTGGACTAATACAATGTTACCATTACTTTAAAGTTGAACCAAATCAAACAAGGAAAGGAACGGCCTTGTTAATACATGGATACTCCAGCCACACATTATCAGAATATATGAACATTGTGGAAAACAAAGACTTTGAACTCAACGAAATAAAAGATTCTCAAAGTGAAAACAAAAAAAATGATCCTTTCTACAAATCTCAATTTATCACATCTTATAATGGAAGCTATATTGAATATTTCAACAAAAAAGGTTACGATGTTATATCTCTTGATTTAGAAGGCCATGGATTTTCACAAGGACTTAAATGTAATACTGAAAACTTGAATAATAATTGTTTTAACATAATACAAATGCTAAAAATTGAATTACTCAAGCATTCTGGAGATCAAAAAAATGATTTAGAAAAGTACCAAGTTTCATCTTATATTTGGAATAATGAAAATCAAACTAATTATGATTTGAAACATGATGCAAAAGGTAAAAATGATAAAGAAAATGAATTCTTTTTATATTCATCTAAAATACATAAGGTTAACCTCAAAGATACTACAAACTATTTGAAAGCAAAAAAATGCATTCATTGTTCCGAATTAGAATGCTATTTCAAAGATACCTTTGGTGAAAAGATTATTTTATGCGGTATTTCAATGGGTGGAGCTATTGCATTAAGGCTTAGTGAACTTATTGGCCAAACATGTGAAGATGATCAAAATGGTTTCCCAGATAAATCAATTGTTAAATGCTTAAGGTCAAGAATGGTTTGTACAGTTTTACTTTCACCTATGCTAAGTTTGGAATCAGTCAAGAAAAAAGCTTTAAACAGAATAATGTTACCTTTACTCCCAATTACATCTTATTTATTCCCAAATCTGCAAGTTGGTTCTAGAACCCATAATCCAGTTTGTGGCCACATCTCTTCCTTTTCCAAATATGATCCATTATACTATAATAAAAGAGTCAAGGCGTTAATGTGTAAGAGCCTTTTAAACCTTACTGACATAATTAGAGATAATTTGCACTATTACCCAATGGATGTTCCTTTATTAATTTGTCATTGTGTTCATGATACCATGACAGATTTTGAAGGTAGCGAAAAAACTATTGGTTATTTTAACCAAATTATTAAAGATATTAACCATTGTGAATCCAATGAGATCAATACATTAGCAGAGTTTGCATTATGGCCAATTACGTGTAAAAAAATGTGGCATGTTCTAACCAGAGAATCAGGATTTCAGGACCTACTTGAAAAGATTCTAATTTGGATATCTAAAAAAGAATCTTCGCACGAAAAAAAGTGCAAAAGTATGAAAAGATATGACAAAAACTCAAACATTGAACCATTTTTTAGATCCCTGAAAAATAAGTCATTATTTAAACATAACTTAAATAACAATGACATTCAGGTTTCTAATTAATACCTGAGATAATGATAAAATGTAAATTACGTTCGAAAACCCTTAGAAAGAATAGTTTATAAATGCCTGTTTTTTAAATTTGTAATAAAATTATATATTTCAATGTTTTAACTATTTCTTATATAATTTGAATAAAAGGATAACTTTAAAATTAAATTAAACTTAAATTAATATAACTATATATAGCTAGAAGAATGGGATCTTATATTACCTTATTCTTTGCTTTAAAGTTTTCCAATACAAGTTTATTGTGTTAATATTTTTCCCACTCTTCGATTTACTGCTGTCTTGAGAACTAGTAACAAAAGTTTGGTTATTCTGATTCTCAGCAATATTTTCATCAAAATCTCCATCTGAAGATTTAAAATTTTTATGTTTCTTATTCCCGTATTTTAAATCAGCATTAATAACCTCCAAATTCCCAACATAGGAACTATAAGAAAGTAGTTGCTTTCTCTGTTTCTCAATTCTGCTCCTCAAATTATTAACCTCGATTTGATAGTTTGTTTCTGTTTGTGCCAAAGCAAGCTTAGTAGATATTAACTCCTTCTCAATTTCTTCAAATCCATAAGAGAGATTATGACTTGATGAATCTTCTCCTAAATGCTGATTATGGTCCAAAGTCTTACTCGATGTATGATTTCCAGTTTCGTTATCGTCATTCATGGATACGGATAACTTAATAGCCTTTCCAGCAATAGTATACTCTGAAGCATGGCTATTAGCAGTAGCAAAAGAACTTGGATGTTTAGGAATGGAAAAGATTTCTTCTTCAACTTCATCCTGTATTTGGCCATTCCTTTTATAAATTTCAAATTGCTTAGTAATGTCTTGAATTTGATTTTCTAATTGGGAAATATATTTCTCATATTTAAATCTATCGGATTCTCTTAGGCGTCTCAATTCATCTCTAATTCCAGTAAGCTCACTAACTTCCTGTTGTAATAAACAATAATCATCCAATCCCACAACTTTTGCACCTTTATTAGCTTCAGTATTGCTTTTGTCGTCAGATTTATCACTCAGATCCTCGGTATTTCTCAAAAGCATAATTTCATTCATTAAATCTGCTTCTCTCTGTTTCCAGTTCTTTTCCTGTTCCGAATATATCTGTAGTTGTTGTTTTAAAGAACTTATCTCCATGTTATATTCATGAATCTTTCTTCTATATTCCTCCTGTTCCATATATAACCTTTGAGTAAGTATTTCATGAGACGTTGATGAATGAGGAGATGAAGCTTTTGTAACTCCCTGTTCTGAAGCAGAATCAAACGTCTTAAAGTTTTCTACTGATTGGTTCGGTAACTTAATAATTGGATTTGGGTAATAACTTGGAGCGGTTTTTTGATTGATCTCATTATGATGGTGATTATGATTATTAATTGGATTTAAGCCACTGGTAACTGTGTCTAATGTATTTTCATTATGAGTTATATTATGGATCTGAGCTTCTGATTTCTCATTATTAACTTCAACGTCAACAATAGTAGCAGTCTCAGTTAACTCTTCTGTTTCTCTAATTGTTTCATTACTAACTTCAATATCTTCCTTAATTGAGAACATTGGAATTCCTAACGTACTTTCGCAAGACAACTTGGTATCCTTTTTGTCAAAATCATTTATGATAAGTCCTTTTTGATTAACCCTATTTTTATTTGAAGAGAAATCACTAGTATTTGCAAAATTGTTTTTTAATTCACTCAAGTTCTGGACCGGAATTTCAGAGATTTCACTGTAAACTGAAGTAAATCCAGACATCATGGAAGCTGTGTCATCAAAGCCTTCCGAAACTTGACCTAAGGAGGAACAAGTAACATAAATCTCAATAAATGAATTCGGGTCCGAGCATTTAATTAAAGGAATTTCAACTCTCACAGGTTCTGAAACTTCGTAACCTGCTAATCTATAGCTGTTTGCAAAGCTTGAAAGCTCCAAAGGTACTTCACCAATCAATGTAACTAGAGGATTGCCTTTGAATCTGCCATATACGACAAGTCTTGAATCTTTTGGCAAGAATGTCTCTGAATTAGATTGTGTTTTTCCTGGTTTCTGAGATGATTTTTGAAAAAGTGTTGCAATCAAGACCATTGGCTGATAAAAAGGATGTATTATACTTCCATTTACACATGATACTGTCTCTTTCCCAGAAATTCTCTTTGGGCCTCTTATCCAATCTATAGTAATTTCGCATTCCTCATGTAAAAATACATGAAGATTTTCAACTTTCAAATCAAACCTGAACTTCTCTGCATTCTGACCAATATGTTTTACTGCTCTAACCAGTCTCATCTTTCAAATGTACAGGTTTTGTACTTTATCTTTTGATTTTTTTTTTAATATAAATTTAATTTTTATTATTCAAATTCATATAAAAACTTCAAGGTAAATTTCAGCGCTCAGTTTGAATCTTCAGGTTTTTTTTTTAAATAATTTCAAGAATAAATACCCATACTATTTAAATAGTTTTTTTATAAATAAATATTCATATTTTCTTTTAGCTCAATTGTATATTTAGTTATATCTTCACTCAAAATATGGCTGGCCAATCAGCAAAAAGGATAGCTAAAGAAGCTGCCAAATACACATCAATTTACCTTTATATAATGATTTCTTGCATTTTAATTCATTTCATTTCTAAAGGATTATACAACCCATCAAAATTGCTTGGAAGAACTGGTTTTGGATTTGCAGTGATTTCTACCATATATTTATTTACTTACTCTAGTATCAAGTCTCGTTTAGAAGTTGGAGTAGGTTATTCAATGTACCAAGATGTATATATTTTAAACTCTTTGGTTGCAATATTGTCCATCATATCAAGCTATTTCTGGTATATTTTTTTGCTAATCCCAATTTACATCATCTACAAAATTGGAAAAATAATTATTAATTGGGTATTCACCCCCGAACCTGTAAGTTTACTAATTAATTAGGGAATATATCCGGCATGTTCGAAAACAATCCCTGTTAATCATAAGCATCCTTTGTATATATCTTAACCCTATTACCATCTTTTTTTATTTTGTATAGGAAATTCAAATCCCTCAAAAGCAAAAGACCCCAAAATATAAATACCATTAATTTTATACTGTATTTAAATTCATCAAATTTTAATTTTTGAGAATTAATCTCCAATTTTTAAACAATTAATTTCATTAATTAGATTTAGCAATCAATCAATAACTTTATCCTGAAATCCTATTTAAATTTAAAATTAATATCAAAATTTCTCTCCATTAATTTTTTTCAATTATTTCTACTTTACAAACTCTATTGCATGCACATGCAATTCTTTCTAATGCAAATTTTTGCAAGTGCATGTGGACAATATAACCGGTACAGGAGTTTTACACGTAATATAATAATCATGTGGACAATTTGTAGAGAAAGAATCAATGAAAAGATTAAAAATAATGAAAAACACAAATTTATATCTATGTTTTAAAGATAATTTAAAGCTATAATTTTAAAGCAATGAAATTGTAATTTAACAATCCATTAAAGATTATATTCTAATTGAATTACGGAGTTTAATAAAGCAGTTCAATGCGTGGCTATTTTCATCATTTTCAATGATTCTGCAAATAACTGTGGCAGCATCAATAAATTCTATAAGAAAGTTGGGGTCGTCAAAAAGTTCAAATTCTTTATTTTCCCAGAGCAAACTGACTTTTTGAATTATAGATAAAAGAGTGTCTGGATTGAGTTGATGCTGAAAATATGAGGAAAGCTTACTAAGCTTCTTTTCAAAGAGCTCGTAAAATAAGTCATCCCAGTGAAAAATCAGAAAACTTATGGTACCTTGAAAATCAAGAATTCCTTGTTTATCCCCCTCTTCCAAGTTGTTTGTTCCTCTTATATTTCTAACCTTAGAATACTTCCAGATATGGTCATTATCAACGAGACCTTGAAAAACCGTGGATGTATTGGAGAGAACTGAAGAATTTGAGATATTTGAAGAAGTCCCACCTTTGGATAAAGTTGAAGATTTTAAACATTTTACCAAGTATGGTGCAAGTATTTGAGCAAGTAATTGTTGTCCAATTAAGGCTATTTCAAAGTGAGAATGATCTTGCTTATTCACATCAAGCTCATTATCTTCTAGAAAGAAGCAATTTGTTCTACAGAGTGAGGGTTTTTTCAAAATAGCTTCTTTTTCTCCAAATTCCTCTCTATAATCATAAAAGTAAGTTCTTTCCTTTGACTTGTTTCTTCTACAGATACGAGGATATATGGCATTCAAAATTGAATTAGAATTGTTAAGTCCCCCAGCAAAACTAGATATCAAAATTGGTTTCTCATCTGGAGCCCAAACCTTCCTAAATATTTCACACCCAATTGACCATTCAATAAAAAGAGAAATTGAATCAACGTTTCCACAATACTTTGGATGCATATTTATGTTGCTGCTTGCAAGAAGAGAGGAAAAAAACACTCTCGGACTATTTAAGATAATTTTATGGTATAAAAAGATATTCCCTTCCTTACAAGGTATCACTCTTTCTGGTTTATTATATTCAATAAAATAATTCAAAATATCTCTGGACAAGTTCCCATACATTTCAAACTGTTCCTCTTCTCTAATATTATATAATTCTAACTCATTGCTACCATATACTTCCAAACCTATATTCCTATCATCATTTTGTGTGCAAGTACTCATCTTTTGATTCTTTCCATTATTTACAGTCAAAGTTGCATTATTCTTGCCAAAAATTTGGTCTAAAATATTCTCACTCAAGTTATGCTTTTCATCACCATTACAATTTACAGAAACTACATTCAAAAATTTCTCAGAGAAAATGGCTTTAACAGATAATAAACGTATTTTTGGAGGTTTTGACTCATCAATAATATGAAACAATATGTTCCCATCGTTAAAGTTTTCATAATGAGAAGATACTGACAAATTATGAAGATCATGAAACCCTTTACATGAAAGACTTGGGGTAAACCCAGCAGGGAAATCCCAACCCAACAAAATCTTACCAGCATATCCAGAAATTTTATAAACTATATTTCCCTTAAAATCTGCTGAAAAAAGAGATTCACAACTGGCTCCGAATTCTACTACACTATTTGCAGAAATCATTTCTGGGGGGAATTCTATCCACTGTCCTCCTGAAATTAAGTTTATTATAGAATAAGGAGAATTTGGGCCCCTTGTAATCAAGCTCTCACTGTGGCTTTCAATATGCATGCTAGGAGTAACTGCTGAGGAAATTGTAGAGTTTGCCAAATTCCTATTCCTGAACTTTTCATTATCGCTCTTGTTTGCTGCTGGGAGATACAAAGTTAGATCGAAGTCAGTCAAGTTTACAACTCTAATATAAAGAGAGCGAGGAAATGTCCTTAATCTTTTAACCCATTCATAATAGTTTGAATTCAACCTTTTATTAAATTCAAATTCATTCTGAGTTGAATAATTCTCCTTAAAGTCTCTTGAATCCAGTTTATCCAGTAGCTTGTTTCCAAACTCGGTCTCCCTGATATTAATATGTGTCATTAGCCTTTTACAAGATCTCTGCAACCCATTAGTGTTATCCAAGTAAAAGATCTCATTGCTTCCTTCTATAGACTCAGGATTACCATTCGTAATTTCACTACTACTACTAATGGCTTTACCTGTAAATTTTACAAATTTTTCATCATCCTCAATCATACCAGTCCAAACATTAGCTTCGCAATCACCGATAATTCGGGATTCGTATTTATAACTAAAGAAATACTCCAATCCATTCACTATTACAGAATAAACAACATTACAACCTAATATACTTTGGTATGTTGCACTTGAACATACAAATGATGTCATCATCCCTGATTTAATCTTTTCTATTGGATGGTAAACCCACTCTCCTTTATCCAGTATGTGTACATACCTGAAAAAAGTTAATCGAGTATTATTCTTAATTACTACCTCCAATTGTTCCATTTTTACTAAAAAACCTCTCTAAAACTTCTATAATGTAGTTATCTTTGCAATCAACTATTTCTGACTGTTATTTCCCTATTATTGTCTGAATCTTTTGTGCTTTCTTGCGATCCGAGAATCTTGCTTTTCGCTCTTCTAACCTATACTAACACCAATGTAAACTACTAGATCACTGGTTTTCTTACTCCCAAAATTTCTCCTTCTACATCTTATTATCTTCTCTTGGTCGCTTATTATTAATATCCCTAATATTTTTCTTTTTGTTTGTTTCTGCATTGCTTTTTCCACTGTGGGGAAATTTTGGCGCCTGACATTGTCATTATTTTAAATACACGTGTTCAAAAATTAAAATCAGAATTTTCATTTTTTGACAGAAAAACTGGATTTCTGTAAAAATTGGTAATTTCTAAAGCTTTTTAAAGATGAATATAGTTTGCTACTTGTAATTTTCAGATTTTTCAAGGGAATCTATCTCTTTTGGGAACTTTGAGGTTTTTTTTTCGAAACTAGTCATTTTACTCGAATTCAATGCATTTAGAAAATCCAAGAATTCAAGAAAGAGGGGAGGAGGATTTTGAAAATGAAATAGAATTCTTTCTGGTGAAATTATATGAAATTAACAATGAAGAGGAAGCTACGTCTTGTAAAATCAACTCTTTTAAGAGGATGAAACTAATTAAAGGTAGTGAGTTTAAGAAAGTCAATTTGGAGAGAACCCGCCGTTTGGTTACTCATCTATGCAACCATGGACAATATCAATTTCTTTATGATACATTTAAAAAGAACTATTTTGAAGTTTGGACCGGTAATATGCAGATTATCCAACAGCACGAGTTGCTTTCAACGATTCAAAGTAAGGTTCAAAAGATAAGTGGAAGTCTGGAGCTCACAGAGTTTATATATAATGCTTTGTTTGACCAGGTTGATACCAGGGAGTTGGCCAAAAATGGGATCCTGAATGACTACTTGAGCATGTTCACAAGGTTTTGGTGTCATCATAAGAGATCTACCCAAATCATATGTAATGTATATTTAACTTTTGACTGCATGTATAAGCGGTATAGAGCAGCTCTGAGTGATTTGAATAAGGAAAATGAGTACCTTGGTTTTGTTCAAAATGCCAACTCTTTCTTAAAGTCCATTATATTATGTCCGCATCCTACAACAAGACAACCACAGATAACAGAATATCTACCGATCTCCTTGGTGGGAACATTATTGTCATTATTCGTGTTTTTGAATGAAATCAGAGATTTTAGCCATACCTGTAGCATTTCCATTAGTGAAGGACTGAAGAAAGCAGTTAGAGGCAAGTACGAAAAGACTTTCTTTATGCTCAGAAAGACCTTTGAAATGTTTATTGGATTGGAAATAATCAATGAAGATCTTAAGAATTTGTACCTAGAAATCTTGAGGAGGTACTATTTAAAGATATTAGAGGTTAAGAAATCTCTGGGTTTTAAGGATTTTGTCAACTTTGTCAGAGAATCTTTAGAATTTGAGAAAAGCCTGTTGGTTACTCCTAATAACAAGAATTTGATATTTAGCAACATTGAGAGCTCTGAATCGAAGCTCGGTACCTCTCTCTTATCTTTCATAAACCAAGATCAAAAGATTCCTCTTAACGTTTTTGGAGACAGTTCATCATCAGATATTTCCAGTTTTCTTCAGCATAGAGAATACGATACGAGCTGGGACCTATTTGTTTTTAAAGTGGAGCTGAACATCCTGGAAGTTCTGGTTTCTGACGAAATCATTCAGTATTATTCCAAAATCAACCAGGGAAGAAGCTGTTTTACCATGCTTGTGGCTAATGAAGAGTTTGAGATTTTGACTTTTCTTTTCAACGTGTTCAAGAGGAAGAATAAAGAACAACTATTTAGAAAGGAGCTAGAAAGGTGTATAGTAGAGCAAGGATTTGATCTAGTCAGACAACTAACCAAGTACCGATTCTTAGATCCTAGTGAAATGAAAGATTGCAGAAGGACCAGCTTTATATTTAAGACTTACTTGGAGAATCTGAAAGGTTTATTAGAACTTTACTTAAAGGTTGAAAGAATCTGGAGAAAATCTTTTATTGAAGATGAGAAAATTCGTAATTTGTGTATAAATGAAGCTTGGGTTCAGATCTTGAACTACAACGATACCTTAGCTAAAGAGATAATGCGAGGATTTTCGTTATTAATTCACCATATATTAGTTAAAAGTTATTACTTCCACGAAGGAGACAATGCAGATTTGAGGTCTGGTGGCACACAAAAAAAGCTCTCTAGAGTTAATTTGGACATAATTAACTGGACTCTGAATCCTTCAAGCGGGAATTCTTTGGAAGAAGCTTCTACTGGTTATGATATTAAGACTAGAGAATATTTCGAGAGCATTATTTACTTGTTTAAATGCAGTAATTTCAAAGAATACTTCCAGAAATACTATCACCAGCTGCTGTCTCAGAGAATAGTTTACTATTTTACAAACAATAGAATTGGGTTTGGAGGTGATCAAAGAGAAATCTTTAAATACTACTACGGCTGGAGTAAATCCCCAGCTTTGGATAACAACATTGAGATGCTAATGAACAAAGTTGATATTTATGAGATTTATCTCATGAAGTTACTGTACAATGAATGTGGTTATACTTTTATTAATAAGTCCAACTTTGTGATTAAAGACTGGTTTGCCTGTCAGTCTATCTTTAAATTCTATCTACTAGAATCTATTGGACATAAGATGGTACCTTCTATTAATAATGCGAGAAATTGCCATTCTGAGCCCCTTTCTCTGAAAGAAAATATAAACACTCGAGTAAATTTTGGTGGTTTTTCTCAGAGAAAAAAAAAGATTATGAAATCTTTGAATTCACCTCTTTGTGAAGAAATACATTCATGGCTTAAATCAGAAGATCTTAAAATTAGGTTTGAAGCTTCATCTCTGGATTGTGTGGGGTTGACTGAAAATGACGAAGGTGATTTTGTAATTTCTAGTGGTATTCCTCTTGAAATCCAAAAAAGCCAGGAAAATGAGGAACTTGGAAAAGAAATAGTCCTTAGAAACATCCAATATGATGTTCCATTTTCCTTAATTGTATTATCTTCTACAAATTGGCCTTTAAGAAATTTCAATAATGTAACAGATGGCGCCAAAAATTCCAATATTTTAAAAGAACAAAATTACTTATTAAATTTTCTGGAATGTGAATTATTTTCTGAACAAAAAGAAAACTTAGATATACAATGTATTAGTAATGAAATGCAGCTCTATCAACAATTTTATACGAAGATTTACTCAAGAACTTTGACTTGGTCTTATTTTTTGGGTACCTGTATACTGGATTATTGCATGCATGCAAATTGGCGCCAACGTTTAAAAATGATTTTAACATTACAACAGGGAGTTTTATTATTATGTTTTAATGAGAAGAATTCCGTGGGATTGAGTGGAGATCAATATTTAGTTTTGAAAGATAATATTGACGTGCTGTTTAATGCGAGCAAACTATTAATAGTTCAGATAGGGTTGGAAGGGGAAGTAATAGAAGGAGAGATTGATTTACCGCCACTTTTAAAGTTGCATGAAGAGTATAGAGGTCAAGATAATGTGAGGATAGAGTACAATGTAGATTTTGACATTGCAATAAGAACTCAAATAGAGTCTGGAAAATTTGATCAATCAAGTGAATATTTGCTTAATTATGCATCAGGTTTGAATACTATGGATTTTTCTTCAGACTTTAACTTGGATTATATATATAAAGAAAAAGATTATTTGGATGAAAATATGATTAAAAATCAGAAAGGAGGAACAGAAGAAGAACAGTACAGCTTTGAGTATGATAACTTAAATAGTAATAACTACACTTGTCTATTTAAAAACAATAAGTACCGGATAGAGGCAATAATAATGAAATTCTTAAAGCATAAGCAAAAATCACCACTTCTTAATATAATACAAGTAGTAATGAAGGAGTTGTCTTTGAATAAAGATGATAGTGGTGATAGTATTCAAGACAATAAGATAATCAGTGGAGAGATCTTGAAGATTTTGAACTCTTTAATACAAAGAGATTTGATAGAGATTGATTCAGAAAATGAACAATTTTATAATTATATACCTTAAACTTCAAAAAAAAAATTGATGTTTTCCTTATTTTTTTAATTAAATCTAATTATTAAATTTTTGCTTTAGGTGTGATCTTGACCTTTGGTACAATCTTTGGAGATATGTTGACTGCTCCTTTAGTTACTACAATTTTGATATCTTCTTTTGGTTGATTCGCAGTATTTCCTAATTTAACTGAGCCAGATTTTGGAGGAGTTACTGTAAACTTGGGAGTAATTGTTACTGCAGGCTTTCCAAGTTCAATTCCTTTAGGCTTAATTTGAATAGGACTTCCTGGCTTTTTAATATTAATTGTAGGAGTTGTAGGTACTATCTTTGGTTTAATTGCAGCTGGTTTAACGTCTATCTTCTTAATAATTGGTGGAGGAGCAATTTGTCCTGGCTTTCCAGGAGTTAAGTTATTGGCCTGAACGGCCTTAGGAGCATTGTTTGTAAGAGGTTGCTCTTTAGTAATGGAAGGTTTAGGAGCAATCTTAGGAACAATTTTAATGGGAGAAAGAACTTTAACTTCTTCAGGACTTTGAACTTTAACTTCATCAGAATTAGGAACTTCTGATTTTGATGATTTTACATCAGCTTTTGAAGCTGATACTGACTTATTAGCACTTATTTCTCCAGATACACTCTTTTTAAGAGCCACAGACTTTAAATTAGCTTGAGATTTTCCTAATTCTCCAGATTTATTTAGTGAGTTAGACTTGTTTAAATCTGACTTTGGAGCAGCAGCTTGCTCAGATTTTGATACACTTTCCTTAACAGTAGGTTCTGAGTTCTTTGGTTGTACCTCCTCAACCTTTTCAGGACTTGGTGGGGCCTTTAAAGACGACTTTAAATCTGCCTTTGGAGGTTGATTAACATCCATGGATTTCTTCAAAGAACTAACATCAGGTTCAGGAGCAGAAGATTTTGGTGGCTCTTTAACACTTATTGGTGGTGATTTTGGTACATTTGAGCTTTCTTGAGATTCTGCCTTAGTTAAAACAGGGGCAGGAGGAGTTGAACTTGATTCTTTAAGAGATAATGGCCTTAATATGGCTTTTGTCAAGTCTGAGCCCTCCTTTAATTTTTCAAGCTTTTCATCTTTGTCCAAATTACCGGTACTCTTACTTCTCTTTCCAATGTTCAATGCAGGTCTAAGCATTGAGTTAATCTTATCTAATCCTTTACTTTCTTTATCCCCTCTGAAACTTAATCTAGAAAGCTTACTATCTTTCTTTCCTGGTTGATTTTGTTTATTCTTTAATTCTTTTGCCACTATAAAACGCCCAGCTGGGAGCATTGAGTTTCCTGGCTTTGGAATTACTGTAATGATCAAAGTGGCTAAAGGTTTGTCTCCATCTTCTTTCAATACATCCCATGACTGTTCTGGTAGTAATGTGTATGGATCAATAAACGTTTTCGAGGCATGCCCTATTGGGCCAGAAGTTATTGATGATTCCCACATATCAATAGTAAATCTAGGTATTAGTCCTGTAGATTTAGGAGGTAATGCATCTATTTCCAAATTTATCTCATTTTCAATAGATCCTTTATTGTTTGTTGGATTTATTTTGTATTCAAATTCCATAGATTTTCTCTTTGGATTATTCTTACATTGTATAAAAGATTCGTTGTCTATTCTAGCCACAAATGATAATTTACCCTTACCATCTCCTATTGGATCGATTTCTTCTACTGACTTAATCTTGATCTCAAATCCTGATAATGGTATATTGATATCTCCGCTTAATTGTGATGAGTTTGTCGGTACCACAGATTGTTTGGTTGATGCAACAGGAGTTAAAATTTTTGGTATAGCATTTTCATCTTTATTACCTTTTTCTGGTGCTGAAGTCTTTACGTTTGGTTCTCCTGCATCATGTTTCATATAATGATCAGCAACTTTTGATAAAGAGTTGCCTTGCTGCATATGTGGTTGGAGTTTTTTGTTTTCAGATTCTTTTGTCTCAACATCTTTTGGTGGTGGAGGTTGCCATACATCATATCCTGGAATCTTCTCAGGCGGTTGAATAGGAGGAGGTAAATCCTTGATAATTCCAAGTTTGAAATAATATATTGATCCATATAAGGAATTCAACCTCAAGTCAAGTCCTCTACATGGATGCAAGTACTCTAAAACCAGTTCAATAATTTCACGTCTGTCAGTTGGTTCATTGAATGTAATATAACTACATATACCAGCAAATGCTTGAATCAAAGTATCTAACTGAGTGTAAAGCATATCTATTCTTTCTATTGTCTCAGTTATAACGTTAGGGTTTCCTCTTAAATCAATAATTTTGTTTTGAAGTCCCTGAATTGTAGTTACTTGGTTCTTTAAAGTATTTTGTAAAGTCTTGTTTTCCTCTTGCATCCAATAGCATTGCCTTTCCAACTTTTCCCTCTCTTTCCTCTCTTTTGAAAACATAATAAAATAATTCTTAGCTTTCTCTTCCAATTCGTCTATTAAGTCTTCAATTATGAGAGGATTTGTGGTATAAGTTGCTGGTTCATGGCCAAACAAGTGAGGCCTATTACTAAGATTATTTTTGTCGGTTTTTACAAACTTAAACTTTAATGGATCTATATCCCCTACATTTGGATTCAATTCCCTTGCAGCATTTATCTTTTTTACCATGTTGGTAATTTTTGCGGAGCTTTGTAAATTCTTCAAACCTACTAATGATGATCCTGTTAAAACTGAAGGAGAATTCGTGCTTTTATGAGTATCAAAGCTTTTCAAGTCTGTGTTTATTGTTCCTTTTAAAAGCTTTGTTGGAACTGCTTGCTTTTTCTCCCTTAACTTTCCTGATAGTCCAAGCAACCCAGAGTTAGTGACGTCCACTATTGTTTTCTTTCCTAAAGAATTTTCTTTTTTAACACCATTTTTCGGTACATCAGCCTTGTTAACATTTTTTGAAGGAGGTTCACCTTTTTTTGGAGTTGTTTGTGTCTTGTTTACAGACTTTGCTGGGGTTACTTTGATTATTGGAGAAATGCCACCTGTCGTATCACTCACCTCGACTTTTTCATCAGTATTTTTCTTCAAGAATAAAGTTCTATTACGATTTTCTGGTGATAAAATGTATTTGCCAACATTTTCACTTTCAGCCTTTACGTTTTCACTTGACATCTCTTAACTTAAATATAATAACCAATATATTAACAATCAAAAGATCAAGTCTTAAAAATTGTAAAAATATTTTACCCTTTATCCAGACTTTTCTATTTTGATCTACTTAAATGATGCATTTAAACTTGATCTTATTCTTTAATACATTAACAATGGTCTTGGAAATTTAATTGTAAGTTTAATAATAATTTAATGATTATTACTATTTTTTTTATCTTGTACGCCTTAATCCCAAATTGACCCTTAATTCACCTGGTACTTATCATTCTCAATTCATTGACAAAACTATTTCGCTTTTATTATTTAGAAAACATTAAAAAAAGACCCTAACTCTTAATTTTGAACAGGGTGCATATATTATACCCACTGAATTCTTCTTTATTATTAATTGCATGCACCCGCAGCTTGGCGCCATACGTGGAGGTTATTTGTTTAATTGCATGCATGCAATTAATTGAAAATAATCTTAAACGGTGCTTAAAGTTGAATCTTTAGTTCGTTTTTGATCAATTTTGGTGAAATATTTACTATTAAAGTATAAGTTTTGAATACAGTCTTGAATTAGTTCTGGGTCAAATTTAAGTAGAGCTTGAAAATAAGGAATACATGTTGTATTGATAAAACTGGTCTGCAAGTCAATGTAGTTATAGTTGTCAGTTGTATTATTTAGAGGGATATCCAACATTAACTTTAGCTTTTTTTGGTTTTCTAACTCTTCGTAAACCAATCTTGACCACTTTAGATATATATTAGTGTTCATTAATGGATTTGATATATCAGCTGAATGCAATAAGATTGATAAATACAAGTTTTTTCTGTATTCTTTTATCTCCATACTGCTTTGAGCTGAAAAATAACTTTCATTAAAGCTTGAAAGTAAGCCTCTTAAATATTTATGGTGGAACATATCAGTTAGAATTATTGAATTAATCATCATTTTTCTTAACTCTGGATAGAGTTTAGAAGTAGATGGAGGCATTATATTGGAAGATTCATTGTTTAAAATTACAAATAATAGGGAAGAATGATGATTTTCTAGTACTGAAAACCCATTATATATGTTAAGTGTCGAAAGAGTATTGTTTTGTAGATATTCAAAATATTCTTCCTCTGTAACGTATTCTTGTAATATTTTTCTAGAGACAATTTTCAGCTCGCCAAACATCTCATTTGTTATTCCTGGATGATCCAAATCATGGGCTAAAGATGAGATAATTAAACAGTAAGCCTCCAATGAATTTACATAGTGCCTGACAGAAGGTTTATCCAACCAATTATTAAGTGTGATGGAAATACTAACAACATGGTAAAAGTTATGAAAAGGATTTTCTTCATGGTAATACTTGATTAACTCTGAAACAAAGTTTTTGATTTTTTTTTGATTAATTGGCCAAGATAGAACATCTTCTTCATAATCATCTTTATCACGGATTACTTCTCTAAATCGGTAATATATCAAAAACGATGCAATTTCTTTTATTTCCTCAATACTTAACTCAAGCAAATCGATATTGTACCACTCCTTAAAAAGTATTTCAGGCTTTCTAATATCACAATTCTTGTCTTCTATACTTTCTAATGTTTCATTTTCTTTCTTATTACTTTTTTGTATATAAAATAACTCCTTAATATTAACCAGTTTGAGAAAATTGTTCTCAATCAATAAACTATCCTTTCCAGTTACCTGGCTTATCTGCCCAACTTCTCTAAACAGATCCTCGTTTATTTCAGAAATTGGTCTATTTAAAAGTTTGATGATTTGCTTATAATCACATGGTATTTTGTTTTCTTGTGCGAAATTAATTTTTGACGAGCTTTGTTGAATTTGGAATTTTTTACCACTCAAAAAGTACTTAAGTGAATAATAAAACTGGTTTAGGTTTATGTCATTGTTATACTCTGAGATTACCTCAACTTTTCCAAAAGTAGTTAGCAGTATTATGTCTATATTATTATCCAAGTAAAAATTTTGGCTATATAATTTAGTGATATATTTAGACTTACCACCTAGTAAATGAATGATTGAAGTATCAATAAGCCAGTAACCAGGTCTTTCTAATAAGTAATCTATTATATCATCTTTTTCTCGAATTTCCCAATTCTCAATTACCAAATAGGGAACTTTCAAAATTTTGGAAATGCTTTTAATGATTTTTGAAACTTTAAAGTCTAAACCACAAGTATATATCTTAATGTCTTGATTACCAATGCTACTTAAACTTTTAACTAATGAGTTGCTTTTTGAAAAGTTTTTTGGATTCTTCTTTATTGGAATAATCAAAGTAATTCCAGAAATGTTTCTAGTATACTTAAGTTCATTTACTTGTAATTCTCCTCTTAAATCCCCAAAATTTCCATGGCTAATCAATATACCTCCAAAAACACAACTAGCCATTCTTTTGGCCACCAATAAATGGAAACTTCTAGTAATACCATTTAAAGCTTCCAGAAAGTAGTTAATTTCATATCTGTATGGTTCGTAATTATTATTGGGCTTCTCAATTTTTTTATTTTCCTGGATATTCTTTGACAAAATACGAGGAGAAATGTCTATGGTAAGAAATGAATATTCTTTTTTTTCTTCTTTGAAGGATGATATCCGATTCCAATTACCTTCAATGACTTGCCTTATATTTGTACTAACTTCACCTATGGAATTAACCATGGAAACTGGAATAAGTGAATCGTCTCTGACTTGGATAATATCCCAAAAAATGGTCTTGTCAACTTTTGGACTTAAAACATTAAGCATTGAGTAGAGGATTTCATTAAACTCTTTTATACCGGAGTGTAGGCCGATTTCATTTGTAACATTATCTGAGAAATGGTGACTGTTATTGGTAATGTTATTACTACTAATGTCATTCTCAATAATTTCATTTACTTTAATAGGCTCATAAATAGTTTTTTTGTTTAAGTTAATCTCATTATCCAAAATCTCACAAAACTTTTCAGCCAATCCAACACAATGTTGAAACTCTCCAATAACTTTTGATAAGCTTTCTAAAGAAAATATTATATCACCCTGAACTTCCTCTCTATAATCCATAATAATTCCATCACAGACAAACTTCAAGTTCTTAAATATCTCTGACACTGGTCTGAACTTGCGTCTAATCAAATCTCTATTTGCTTCATCCACATTAAGTATCTGATTAAAGATATCATTGATTTGTTTCTTGCAAATATCCATCAATTCTAGACGCTTTTTTTTCTGAAAGTAATCATTTGATCCAAAGTAAAAAACTATCAGTGTTATTATAGCCATTAATGTAACAATTACATAGTGGGAAGTCAGTATTTTATTTGTTGACCGATATCTTATTATATCATTTTGCTTAAAGTATGCATTAAGATAATCTAAATCAAACAATTTAGCTGGATTGCTTATATTTAATGCTTTAAACTTGAGAGAATCAGATAACTCTGAAATGTATTCTGTATTGTTACATAAATACTTAGCTGCTAAAAATGTGGTTGAGTCACTTTCTGTGGAATTTCTTATCTCCTCTTCTGTAATGCTTGTTCTATTAGGAACATAATATGGAGGAGGAGCAGGAGATATTGGGCTTGGCTGATCTTCAAGTATAAAGTTCAAAGGAACTAAATCTTTTAGAAGTGTAACCGTGTCTTCAATCATTTCTTCTATTATTGACTTATTCTCTATCTTACTTTTTGGATAATTTATTTCGTTCAATTTTTCTAATGAATTCCTGAGAATATACCTTTGCTTCAAAATTTGATTAGATAAACCCAATCTAACAGGAATATTCAATAAATTTGGGTTATTCTCCATTCTACAAAAAGCTAATATTGATAAACTTAAACATCCAACGTTGTATCCATAGGTTGTTATTTGTTCTTCAAACATTAATTCATTAATCAAATTATCGTCATTCTTTAGCCTGTATGCAATTAACAACAGTCTTGAGGTATATATTGCTATCCAAATCAATATAACACAGCTAATCGAAATTCCTAACCACAAGTTCCACCCTAAAGATTTCCATCCTATTCTACCATAAGTTATTCCATTATATATTTCTTCTGTAGTGTATTTCTTCTCCTTGTAACTGAGTTTTGATACTCGCTCTTTCTTAAACATTTCAATCTTCTCTATTTCTTTGTTATTCCCTAAATTCTTTTATTTTTACAAACTCTTTCTTTTATTTGCCACTGAATTACTTTATCTGACATACAGTCAACTCATCTCAACTACAAATTTTCCAAATTATCTCTATCTTATTTAATTAATAATTATTTTACTCTGAATTCCTTCCCACACAATTACACACAAAAATTACTGCCACAATTTCCCCACAGCACCTCCTTACATGTCACTGCATGCAATTTTGCCACTTTTTTACTTGCATGCAATTGGCGGGAAAAACACGTGTTTTTCAATTGAGTAAATTATTGTGATGATTATTTTCTTCAGCAAAGCGAATTTAAGAAAAATACTAAGGTAATAACAGAAAGAACATTTTTTAATTTCAAAGACTTTGCATCTACGAGTATATAATCAGCAAATTTTAGTTGAACTCAAAGAGAATTGCTCCTTTTTTGAATTTAATAAGTTATTAAAATATATATTTTTGGGGGCAGACATTCAAAAAATTATTAAATTTGTCAAAACCATCATATTCAACTTATAAACAACAGATACAAAAAAAGTAGAAATGAACAAACTTTTTCTTTTTTTATTCTTATTTATACTTTTGTTAAAAAATGTGTCACCAAGCTCAGGCTTAACCTCTGACCAGTATATTCAAAGCAACTACTGGAATTCTTACTTTCCTAAGTTAAAGTCAACTAAGTTGGCAGATTTAACACAATTAGAAACTGATATATTTAAGTGCCATTCTAAATTAAAGGATCAAAAAACTATGAGAATCTCCTGGCAATGCATTACTAAAATACACAATGTGCTTTGGATTCCAAATAAAAAAACTTTAGGAGATAGGAAAAGGTTTTTAATCAGCTTTACTGATACATTAGGTACTTTGTATGCTTTTCCATACTCTCAGAAAAAGCTCCTTAACCTCTGTACAAGCACTAGCATTGATGTATTTGGCCAATTTAATGAAAAAGGAGTTGCAATTTTGCCAAAAGACTTTACATTTTTAACTATAAATGAATGCATTAACTATTAATTGGCCTTTCAATTCCTCTAAATAAATAGATAATTACATTTCTCTATATATCTAAACAACTAGATTCAGATAAAATTTATTCCTATAAATTATTTTCTACATTATTATTACCAAATTTACCCTTGGAAAAATTCATTTTAATCTCTTACTGGTCTTTAGTTAACTCTGCCATATTTCTTTTAATTACACAAAGAGTATTTTCACTTATTTTATCTTTTAAATATAATCTGTTATTTTCTATATTGTAGATTGAAACTAAAGGAGATGCTTTACTGACATACATTGTGGTCATTGATATTGAAGAAATTGTGTTATTTCTCTTTTGCTCATTATTATTAATGTAAGTAACTAAGCTAAGCTCAGCTAATTGACTTATTTCTACATTCAAATTCTCATAAATATCATTTCTTGGAATATAATTAAATATAGGATTTAATAAATTATATTCAAATGGGCCCACTATAATACCTTCTTCTATATAATCCATTCTGAAATCTGTTTCAAACTGAATAATATTAATAAGTGAGTATGGTATATTATCTGAATAATCTAAAGCATTCAGCCATTTCATTTTATTACTATTTTCTGATATAAAATTACTTATAGGTATTGTTGATTTCCACATCAATTTTGAATAATTATATCCGGAAATAGTAATAGTTTCTGGCTCATCTGTTTTTCTATTGGTTTGAAGTTCTAGAAAACCACTACTAATAGAAATAGGAAGACGAGAAATGACAAACTTTTCGTTAATTAACATAAGTTTTCCAAACCTAGAAAGCAATTTAATGTTCAAAACCTTATCTTGATAAGTTTCCCATAATCCTTCCCAAACAAAAGAGAGCTTTTCATCATTAGAAAATTTGCTTGGCAAAAGTCTAACATTTGGCTTTAAGCTTGAAAAATTCATTATAGAAGAAACTCCATTCCATGATTTTCGAATAACTCTAAATTTGCTATGAAAATCACCAATTAGTAGATCTGAGCAAATATTAACACCATTATAGGGAGAAACAGAAAACTGATTGCATCTATGACTTTCAGGATGATCTATGATTATATAATGCTTGCCAAGTCTCTCATTTCTCCAGTTTTGCCATATATCTGAATATGGACTTTTTTGTTGTAGAATCCAAGTTAAGCTGTTAATCAGATTAAATCTTACATATCTACTTTTCAAAAATGAATTCAGGGTTTCGTCAAAAAGTAGATTGGACTTTGTTTGAAAATGCATATTTTTGCTGTGAAATTGACTTATATATTTTGGCTCATTATAATCTTCTGATATTTTACTTTTTTCCAAGTAATTACCTTCTTGATCAAGAAAATCAGAATGTAATGGAGGAAGGTCATAGTCATGAATAATAGTATATATTTGAGCTCTTTTTTCATATTTTATTCTGGAAATTTTCCTTTTTTTACTGTTATTAATCATTTTGAAAAGTTTAAAATTCTTGAATAATTGCAAAAAAGCTTTCGAAGTGCTCATAAATCTGGAGATATAATTGATTTCAGTAAATTTTCGAATTAAAGTTTTGTAATAACTCTTTAAAATAAGCTTCAAGCAGTATATTAGGTTCTTTTTAGTCAACTTACAATGTTTTTGTATGGTTATATTATCATCAGACTTTGCTCTAGATGCTGTTTTGACTTCCTGATCAAAAGCACTAATTGTATCCTGAGCAAAGATTTCTGATATTAAAAGCAAGTTATATATACTTTTACCCATAAAAAAATCTTTATTAAGGTATCCAATACTTCCTTCATGATCATAGATATATTTTTTTGTATCAAGATCAAGTTCAGAAGTGTGAGAAATCCGACTCAAGTACTTACAAAAGGGTCCATTAATTGAGTTACAAGTTTGAACATTTTCAAGATGGTTTTCCAAGTAATCATGTGTTATATTAGTATTTATGTTACTGATTTCTATTAAAATGTGCCTTTTAAGCCACTCAACAATATGATCTGGTAGTGCAGAATAGATATTTAACCCCAAACATTCATTCTGAGATAATACGAAAATGGCTATTAGTAAGAGTACTTTTTCTATAAATAATATGTTTTTGGCTCTCATCTAATTACCACATAGATTAAATATAAATTTTTAGCAGAATCTTTTCTGTTGAACAAAAAATATGAATTGTTTTATAATATCAAATTTTAAAAAATCTGAGTAAAGTAATTGGTTAATTTTATATTTAGAAAGGTTTTCTCTTAGCTTCAGTAATAAAAATAACAATTTAGATCCTTAGAAATGAAGTGAATTAACTTTTCAATCCAAAAGTCACAAGCTCAATCTAGAAGGTTGATTCCTTTTTATTTGTACCCCTCTCTTATAAACCTAAATATTTTCTTATTTGATTCAACCCTCTTTCCTTTTAGTTTTTTTACTTCTTTGCACTTTTTTTCTCAAGAATAAAACATGCATTCTGATGCAGGTTCCCGCGCGCGGGCGCATGCCATGCATTTTTAGTTGATGACAGAGTGCTAGTTCAAAGAGATTTAGAGAAGATTAAAACAAATTTAAGTAATTTATTATGCAGATAAGAGCTCTAGTTAAAAAAGATAGTTTCAAAAAACGAATAAAATAGTTGTTCCCGGTATTGCAATTTGGTAATTATTACATTTTCACAGGAAATAAAATATGTTGGGGCTATGGCGCTATAAATGGTACCTGTCACAAGAAATACTAATAAAAATTTTTGGATCAAATTTTTAGTGTGGAACAAAAACAAAAAAAGAAAAAGTTTAATTCAATATTTTGAATTATATGTACTCACTGCTGTTTTTATATCCATAAATTGGCTTAAAACATTGACAATATCTTGGATATTTAAAATATTTGAGAATTTTGTATTATCTTCTTTTCGTTTCCTTCACATTACCAGAAAACCTTTCATTCCTGTTTTTTTTCTCTTTTTTGGAGTTCTTCTTTGCCTTACTGAAATATTTCTCTACAGTAATGTAATTTAGCAATATAATTGTGCCGCGCGCGCCATGGGTGGTTGGGCAACTAAATGTAGGAGAGATGGTTTTTGGTAGAAATAATTAAAAATCTAAACTTTAAGGAAAAATAAAGAAATATCTATTCATTTGATATGGATTAAGACAGATAATAAAGTGCAAAGTGATGCTAGAAGAAGAAAAGAATATTTTTTGAGGAAACAGTAATAGATCTTACAAAAAAGCCTTAAATTGAGCGCCTATTTATTGGCAAATAGGCGGCTGTCTTTTAAAGAGACATCCAAAAAAAAGCGACAGGAAATGAACATTAAAAGTTCAAAAAGAGACAGAAAATGACATATAAGTATCTTATATAAAAAAAGTATTCAAAGAATATAAAGCATTATTAGAGACACCAAATATAAGTGAAATCAGTGAGGGGATTTTGACAAAATATTAAAATATTATATTTCCCCCAGGATTCTTGATTTAGCCTTTTCTGAAGAAACTACAGATAGGATATATCTTTGCTTTTTTTTCGAGAAAGTCGTAATTTGCATTTTTTTAAAGAAATCGCGTAAAAATGGGTAAGGAAAAGACTCACATCAACTTGGTCGTTATCGGTCACGTCGACTCTGGTAAATCAACTACCACTGGTCACTTGATTTACAAGCTCGGAGGTATTGACAAGAGAACTATTGAGAAGTTTGAGAAGGAATCTTCCGAAATGGGTAAGGGTTCCTTCAAATACGCTTGGGTTTTAGATAAGCTCAAGGCTGAGAGAGAAAGAGGTATTACTATCGATATTGCTTTGTGGAAATTCGAAACCCCAAAATATCACTACACCGTCATTGATGCCCCAGGCCATAGAGATTTTATCAAGAATATGATTACTGGTACCTCTCAAGCTGATGTTGCTTTATTGGTTGTCCCAGCCGATCGTTTTGAAGGTGCTTTCTCAAAGGAAGGTCAGACCAGAGAGCATGCTTTATTGGCTTTCACCTTGGGTGTTAGACAAATGATCGTCGGTATTAACAAGATGGATACCTGTGAATACAAACAATCACGTTTTGATGAAATCTACAACGAAGTTGATGGTTATCTCAAGAAGGTTGGTTACAATACCGAAAAGATCCCATTCGTTGCCATTTCCGGTTTTGTTGGTGATAATATGGTTGAGAGATCTGATAAGATGCCATGGTATAAGGGTAAGACCTTAGTTGAAGCCCTCGACACTATGGAACCACCAAAGAGACCAACTGACAAGCCACTCCGTCTTCCATTACAGGATGTCTACAAGATAGGTGGTGTAGGTACTGTCCCAGTCGGTCGTGTTGAGACTGGTATTATCAAGCCAGGTATGAACGTTACCTTTGCCCCAGCTGGTATTACCACTGAAGTTAAGTCAGTAGAAATGCATCATGAACAATTACCAGAGGCTGTGCCAGGTGACAATGTTGGTTTCAATGTTAAGAACGTCTCCATCAAGGATATCAAGAGAGGTTTCGTCGCTTCCGACGCAAAGAATGATCCAGCTAAAGGTTGTGAAGACTTCACTGCTCAAGTTATCATCCTCAACCACCCAGGTGAAATCAAGAATGGTTACTCTCCAGTCGTTGACTGCCATACCGCCCATATTTCTTGCAAGTTCCAAGCTATCACTGCTAAGATGGACAAGAGATCTGGTAAGGTTTTGGAAGAGAACCCAAAACTCATCAAGTCTGGTGATGCTGCTTTGGTTGTTATGCAACCATTGAAGCCACTCTGCGTTGAGGCCTTCACTGACTACCCACCTCTAGGTCGTTTCGCTGTCCGTGACATGAAGCAAACTGTTGCTGTCGGTGTTATTAAGTCTGTTACAAAGAAAGAAACCACCTCTAAGAAGAAGTAAATTTGTAATTCTGTACCGGGGGATTCTGATTTGAGACTTAATTCAAAAGACTGTTTATTATTTCCTATGAGAATTGGAATTGTAATCTGACAGACTCATGACTCTTCACAGCACAACTTACTAGCGAAAATATCTCTTGTCCTTCCGGGATTTAGCGCCTAATTTTCTGCATGCATGCATGCGATTGGGTCAATGTGGACGAGTTTTTTACTGTTTAGTTTTTAATATTTAAGAGTGACAGTTTAGGTATTTTTGAAAGTAATTTGTATGTATGAACTTTATGCTTTTTTTTGTGGTGTATGATTGTGATTTCGTGATGTATAGTGGTGGATGAGATTGGGTAGGTTGGCGATTTTTCTTGTTGATTTCAGTACTTGTGTATTATAAGGTTACTTAGAAAAGTTGTTGCAGTTGGTTTGGATGAAATGTTATTACAAAATAAAAAGTGATCTGACTGTTTATGTAATGAAACAAATCAAATAGATAAACATTTATTTAGAGAAGAGGTAGTAATCTAGAAATAATCAATTAGGAAAACAACAAACACTAGGTAATATAATAGAAAAATTATATTTTCTATAATATATTTAACAAAGTATTGAAAAGTATATATATGCATATGAATATAAAAGAAATCATCTTTTTTTAATACTTTTAGTGACTTTAACAGACTTGTTTATCTTTGATTTTGGTTTCTTTGGCGTCTTGACTATATCCATAATATGATCATCTCCATGGCAATTGCCTTCAAACTTATCCATCAGTTTTGATTTAATAGTATCAAGTTCATTAAAATCGGGGTGCTGCAAGACATCTTTATAAAAGTCTATATGTGACTTTTTAATATTCTGTATCTTTTTCCTTGAAAGCTTATTTTTATTCCCTTTGTGTTGATTAGGTGACTCATCTTTATCAGCTTCCAAAGTATTCATAATTTCATACTTTAATTTATTCAAATTATAACATTTTTTCTTTATATTATTAACATTTTGAAGCTGTTTCTCCTTTAGTAAATAACTTGTCAAATCCTGTTTTCTTTTCACTCTCTCTAACATCAACCTTCTTTTCCTCTGACCTCTAGTTAATGGTTTACCTAAATCGTCTTTCATTTTAATAATAACCTTACATTTACTTGCACATTCATAATTTTACTACTATTACCTTACACTTTTTTTTCTTATTCTTTTTAGCTTTATGTTTTAAAGCAATGCCCGCCATTTATTTGGCGGGTTTTCTTGTTAATGGTTATTTTTTACAGAAGTGGTAATGAAATAAAAAGGAACAAAAATATAAATATATTTCAACTTTATGCTTTGAACAAAAGTTGCAATATAAAGTTGAGAATTAATTGTTTATTCTTATAAATATTGGTTAAAAATATACATTAAAAGTGTTTTGAAAATGTTCAAAGCTTTAAACTCTTTTGTGGGAATAACTGACTTTGTTCTTGGAAATTGTTTTAGTGTAATTTTTATGCTTTCTGGAAAGGAGGAAATAGATGCTAGCTTTATTGAGCTAGAAAAAATTCTTCAAGAAAGTTTTAGTAACATAAAATTCGGAAAGATTTTACCATCTGGATTAAATGAAATATCTGCAATTAAACAATTTGATGTTAAAGAATTACCTTCAATATTGTTATTTACATGTGAGAGCTTAAAACCTTATAAATTGATTTCGGGATATAATCCATCAGAATTACATTCAAGCCTTGAAGAATTAACAAAGATCCAAAACTTAAACATTCCAAGCAAAAATGAAAAGTTTAAGATTTTAACAAACTTTAAAAGTTTAATGGTTTTCATGAAAGGTATTAAAGAGGAACCATATTGTAAATTTTCAAAAGGACTTGTTTCATTATTTGACAGTATTAATGTAAAGAATTATGGGCATTATAATATATTTGAAAATGAGGAAACTAGACAAGGTCTTAAAGAATACCATAATTGGCCAACTTTTCCTCAAATATGTATTAATGGAGAATTTATTGGAGGATTAGATATTTTAAATGAAATGTATTCCAATGGCAATTTAGTCAATGAAATACCAAAGGATGCATTTTAATCTGGGTTTACAAATATTCTTATATTATTATTGTGTTGTAAATACTCTTATTTTTTTTTATTTAATGTTCTTTGTTTTTCAGCTGCCATGACTATTTTGTGTTGAGTAGGTAATCCCTTTCTTTGTCTTATTGAATTTATAATCATTCTTGCAATATTTGTATTATTACCGTAACAGTTAGAATTATTTCTATTATTACCAGATTCATCATCATTACTGCTAGAATTTAACCCCATAGAAGTTTTTCCAATCAAACTATTATTATTTTCGTTTATATTAGATGTTTCTCTGTCAAAGTTTAATTGTATACTATAATCATATTTATTACTGTCTGAAATTAAAAGATTAACTTTTGAAAACCCTTCATCTTCAAACTCTTCCATTGTCATACTTGATTCTGGGAAAGGATCCTCATCCAACAATTCCCAATGTGAAAATGATAAATTAAATGAAATATTACCACTTGCTTTACTTCTCAACTCTTGACTAATTCCCAGTGATTCTATTATTGGTATATATGCTTCAATTTTAAAAGTAGAAGTACCTTCTTTAAGCTCTTCATTATAAACATTTCCTCTTCTTTTATTAATAACGCTATAAACTTTTCCCAGTACACTTTGCTCACAATAAATAACAAGATTTAAATATATCTCATAAATTCGGACGTTTCCTCTTTGAAGGAATACTCTTCTACATAACTCTTTGGTTGTTGTAGTTAATTGGTTTGATATTAAACTAATTGATTTCTGAATATTGTTCAAGTATGAATTAAAGTCTTGATTTTCTGAGTTTTCAGCTTCTAATAATTGTTTCATATCAAAATTATCTAAAACTAACTCATTCAATATAAAATTAACACCTCTTATAGGTTCTTCACAAAGAGGGCCTGATTTACTTGCGATTTCATATCCAGTAATAATTCCATTAATAACTTTCCTATACAAATCAATAATATCCTTATATATTGGACTGGATACTTCTGGATAATAATTATAATTATATGTATATTTCAGAGACCATTTCAAAGCCTTTAAATTCTTTTCATTACTCGTTAAAAGTGTAATACTACCCTTTTTAACACAAATTCCAATCAATACTAAATCTTGATGATCATCCAATTCAATTGAATCATTGTTAGGATTTAAAGTATGTTTACTTAAAAGTATTCTGTTGATCTCATCCAATTTATCTATATACTTGAAAGAATCGTTTGTGATATTCGACGGATTAATAATTTCAAGTATAGAAGATTGGTTTTTTTCAATATAATCGATCAGATTATGGTTCATTGGAATTGCATTAATTTTAATACTAGCTAACTCGCATGGTATTTTTGCAATATTTTCATCTTGTTCTTTCTCTTTTTCAACTTGATGATGAAATTCATTATTTTGAACACTAATTTCTTCTTCCTTGTTTTGACTAATTATACTTTTACTCCAAGGTGGAAATGGTATATGAGGGCAAAAGTTTTGATGAATTTGGTTAGAGTTAACATGGCTTACCAAACCTTCTCTAATAGCAATTAGTGGCTTTGAAATAGATAAAGGTATTTGGGCAAACACAAATTGTAAATCCGAAATACACCTTTCTAGATGAACTTCACCATGACATCCAAGAATATACTCACCAGTGTCTAACGTATCAATTTCAACACAAGGATCTGATCTTGATAATAATTCAAGCCCTCTTAACATTAAAGGAAGATCCTGAATTTTCTTTGGCTCAATGGAAACTTTAATAATTGAGGATAGTGAAGAGTTGGTATTTGATTTATACAATGGATTGAATGCAGGAAAATTTGGATAATTAGAGAGGGTTAAAGTTCGGTCTAATGAAGATATTCTTCCAATAATCACTTCATTGTTTTGAATGTCAGTTTCAGAATATAACTCTTGAATACATAAGGCAAATATATGACCATTCTGTACTTGTTCCACAGGAATTAAATCACTTCCAAGAAGATAAAATAACGATATAACTTTAATTTTGTTGTTATTTTTATCTTTATTATTGAAGTAATTCGACATATACAATATGTCTCCAATTCTGATATTACCATTAAAAACTCTGGATATACCAACAAAGCCATTTAACTCCTCATTACCTTTTAACCTATCTTTTGTTAGCCTATTATTAGTCAAATCACATGCTGAGAATTTTGAAATAAAAATTATATTAAGATCCTCATATTTTTGATAATCTCCTTTTGAAGAAATTAACTCTGTATATATAGATGGAAATCTTAATTGATTAGATGTATTAGGATCTGGTATATAATTAATTACTCTTTCAAAAATACTTTTTGACAAAGGAAGCCAGTTTCCCATAATGTTTTTGCAAATCAATGCCAATAAGTTTGAGTTCTTTGCATTATTTAAATCATGTATCTTTAAATATTCATTAATATGGCATTCAATCTCAGTTGAATATATTCCCAAAACTTGAATAATTTTTCTTATCTTTTCATGATTAAAGTTAATGAATATGTTTTGATAAATGTTCCAAATTGGATCCAAAATAAATTGTTCCATCATTGTTGGTTGATCCTTCTTAAATCCAGTGTTAGAAACTTTTTTAGTTTTACTATTATAGTAAAAGTTTGAACTAATAGCTTTCTGTAAATTACTTCTAGTCTTTGAATTCCAAGGTAGATCCAATTTTGCTGATATACTTTTAAGCATATTTCCCCCAGTAATATCTAAACACCAACCATGTAAACATGATGTGAATACAATATTACCATTAGAAAATGAAAATTCTAAAGTTTTCTCTCTTTCATCTTGGTATTGTTCATCAATTTCAATATCCTCTAGCATTAACTCATGAATTTCCTCTTGAATTAGCTGGTGAACAACTACATTAATCTGTTCAATCAGCTTAGTAATATGAGTATATGCTTCTTTTACATCAAATCCCAATTCCAGAATAAGTCTGTCCATCTTATTTAATACTAAAATAATCTTCAGTCTCTCTTTAAAAGCGTGTTGTAAAACCTTTCTTGTTTGATCCCCAATTCCTTCAGCTACATCTACCAATAGCAAAGCTCCATCTGAAATTCTTAAAGAGGAAATTACTTCATAAATAAAATCAACATGCCCAGGTGAATCTATCAAATTGATTAGATAATTACCATCTTCTGCTTCAAGCTTAATTTCCTCCTCGTATTTAAAGTTTAATGTGACAGCTGATGATTTCATTGTAATTAATCTGTACTGTTCATCTTCTCTGGAGTCTAAATAACGTATTGTTCCTGCTGATTTGTTTGATAGTATATTGTTGCTAGCAAGAAGATAATCCGCTAAAGTTGTTTTTCCATGGTCAACATGAGCTATTATACATATATTCCTGATATTTTTACACATCTTTATTCCTTTTCTTAATCAAAAAGTTGCATAATTTATTCTCCATACAACATTTTATTTTATAAGTTAACTTAAAATAAAAATCAAAGCCAAAAGCTGAGTCATTCAGCTTTATAAAATATTAGCCACTCTAATAAAGAACTTTATTCAAAAAATTAATCAAATTAATTCAAATAATTTGTAAATCAACTAAACTAATTAATTTTTTTTTTTTTGACTAATAACAATATTTGTATGCCGCCCAAACACGTCATTTTATTATTTTTGCTTGCATGAATGCCTGTGCATGCAAAATTCTAATATTTTTTATTGTCAAAATTTGCAAGTAATTACGTGTTTAATTTATTTCTAATAAAAGAAAAAGTTTCTTTTATTTGAAAGATTTTTTTTTCATCAAACTTTGAGAAATTCATTTGAAAGTGTTCAAATAAAGTGTCTAGTAAAGATATTGACAAATTTTTCTTTTTCTCTAAATTTGCTTCATCTTCTCCATACAAAATTTTAGTGGTTATTTCCACATGGAAATAAAATAAATCAAATAGTAAATTAGAATAATTCAATTTTTTACTTCCAATCAGCATTTTTTTATTTTCAGTTAATAAAAAGTTCTTCCATGTGTTAAGGCACTCCGTTTCAATTCTCTCAATAATTCTCCAAATAAGAAAATCTATTTTCAAATACTTCCTCATAGTTTTCTCTAGATTACTGAAATCTCTGATAAAATTATTCATATTTACGTCAACTTTATGTTTATTTAAGTCATTTTTTTCTTGATACAAATCCTTTTCAATAATGTTGTTTTTTATCCAATTCAATATACAGTTTTTGAATCGATCAATAATAATATCTGATATCTTTTTTAAGGACAATTCCATAAGTTCTTCAAGCTGATCTAATATCCTTTTTAATTCCATTTTAATATTATTTAAGTAATCAATAGGAAGTTTAACACCTATTAAAACATCCAAGTTATTTTCGTCATTAAGTAAGTTTATGTTATCATTCACAAATTTTTCGTCTGTAATATATTCCTTTTCAAGTATTCTGAATTGATAATTTACTATTTTTTCCAGTGAAATTACCCAGAAATATGTATTTTGAGCACATAAAAACATGTTATAAGCTGTAATCTTTTCAATTAACTTTCTATTCACTGAATCACCATTCATTATGTTTTCAAAGCATTTCTTACAATAATTTAAAATGAATTTAAAAACTAGGGTAAACCCTAAATATGATATAATCGGAACTTTTTGAATAAATACAAACATATTACTTGTAAATTCAATACATCTTAAACAACATTCTGGCAAGTTTAATTCATATTTATCATATGAAACAAAATAATTTTGAATTCCAATTGATTCTTCTTTTCCCAATTCTCCTGTGATAAATAGTTTAAAAGTTTGTTTATATTTCAAATACAAATCCTTCTTTTCCCACTTTTCATTATCAATAATAACAGATAAATTTATCCAGAAATTTTTCATTAACTCATTCTCAAATACGGTTTTATAGTAATTATAAAGAGAAAGTCTTATATCTACTGCAGCCTTTCCAAAAAAGTTGATAGTTTTACTATTAGAAGCTACATATGATTTATTGCATGTAGATGTCATTTGTTCATTAAAGTGATTCTGAAGTTTTGTGACTATTATTATATACTTTAAAAACACTATATAATATTGGCTTGAGTGTTTGTAGGTATCTTTGGAAGGATTTATTTCGTTGTTTTCATTATCATTTGAGATTAATAATTTTGAAAAGATACGTATTAGTATTTGTTCAAGAAGTTGTATTATTGGAAGATAAATATGTTTTAAAGTTTTATTTGCTGTTTCCGAGTTTTGGCTCTCAAAATTCTCCTGTAAGTATCTATTTGAGTGGATTATTATTGAAAATACGAATATTAGTTTGTAAAAAATGTTTAAAATATTATAATTTAGAATTAGTTCTAAACTTTGGTGGTTAAATTTACTATTTGAACAAATTATTTTACTATTAGAATTAGTTTCCAAGAGAGCCAAATCTCTTTTCAAATTATCCATCAAGTTCTGATTTTTTTCATCAATAAAGTTGTTAAGATGTATTTCAAGATCATCAATTGCCAAGTTAATTCTTTCCTTTTTTATTAAAGCAACAATTGGGTTCATCACTAAGTTAATGTTGAATATTGAGGAGAATTTAGTATTATCTTCATTATAAAGAAAAAGACATAATTTTTGAAACTTTTGGAATACAGAAATTTTGAAGCTTTCAGTGTCCCTAACAGATTCTATATTACGGAAGAACTGAAGCAATTGTTCAAATTGTGAGTCATACTGGATAAGTTTGGAGTAAGAGATTTCAGCTTTTGTAGGAATTTCACCAAAGCTTAACCAAGATAGAATAAAATGAATGAAGTCCTGGCATACCAATTTTTCTATAACGCTCTGCATCTCGTACAACTGAACAGATAATGTATTTACTGCTTTGACTCCTTTCATTTCAGTTCCCAGAATTTCCACTGATTCATCAATCATCTTAATGGCTTTATCGTATTCCTTTTCATTTAAAAGAAGCTGTACATCTGATTGAACAAACTTTAACTTGTCTAATTTTTCAAGCCGGTCAATAATGGAACAAACCCTCTTTCTTTTATGTAAATATAGTAGAATTTTGTTTAAAGATTTGAATTCTTCAGAACATGCATTTATATCTTTACAATAACCATCCGAATCAGAGTTCCCACCAAGGAAAGATACAATTTCAGCGACATTTGCCTTAATTTGCTCAAACTGGTCTAATGTAGAAAAAAATGGTTGAGACATTTCATTCAGCTGAGAATATAACTTTAAATCAACTTGCTTCTTCCTGAAAACCGCCTCTTCAAATATTGAATCAATACTAATTGGCTGTTTCAGAATATTATTGGAACTAAATCCACTTGTTTCAGATACAATTAATTTGTGTTGGGAACAATCACCACTACTTAAATCATTTCCAGTAAGAAACTCCTTAATTAATTCTCCATTTTCTAAAAGATAGTTATCAATTACATGCTGACATTCATCATCCAAATGGTAGTCCTTCGATTCATATATACTATTTTTTTCAAAGCCTATGGTATTAACTTTATCTATAATATTTTGTTTAATATCATCAAGGGGACCATTAAACAAATTTGTCACTTGAATACCCTTGATTTTGTTTTTAAAAATGTCCATCTCTTGCTGCCTATGGATATATAGCTCCCTATATTGTTGAATTTAATTTTCTTACAGAAATGTATATTCAATTCTTCATTATAGGGCCTCCAAAAACTTATAATGAGAATCTGTGGGGCTTAGAATAAAAAAAAGTAACACAACATCCCACTTTTTGAGGTTATTTAATCAAAAATTATTCAAAATTAAACTATCAAAAGTATTCTAACTTTGGTTTATTTTCTCTGGTATATATTACCTATTATTAACTTTTTTTTTAAATTATACATAATTATTTGGAATTAGGCGCCAGCATGTAAAAATAAGTCTTATTAAAAATAAAGCAAAAAGGAGAAAGAATTACTTAATAAGGAAAAGATAAGAAAAAACTAAAATACAATAAATAAAGATAAAAATTTTACCAAAATATTTTTAAAAGAGGAAGAACAAGAATAACTCGATAAAACTAGATATTTGGTAAAATATGTTTTGTTAGTTGTAGTTATATGGCGCCAATATGTACTATTGTGTGTAAGTAAAGGGTGCAAAATTAATTAACTTAGTGTCAGGGCGCACAAATAAAATCAATAAATTGAATATTTTTAAAAGTAAATTACACAAAAGTGTGACATAATTGTGATAACTGCGTGAAAATACAGAAATTTGGAATTCAGAATGAGTTGTATACATCACTTCTTTTAATTCGAATTAAGTCGGAGAGATAAAGTCCTTTATTAATTTACAACAAAGAAAAAAAGACTTTTTAAGGCGAAGTTAAATACAATAATTCAGTTGAATACTCCTCTAGTTCAAGAAGTTCGAGGTTAATTAATATGAGAAGATCGCTTTTAATTCCGTTTGTACAAATTTTTATTTTTGTGTTGTTTACAAAGTAAGTTAAGTGGCTCAACTTTTAATAATCACGTTAATATAATACATTCTTTCTTTTCAGTTACTTTGAATCAACAAGTGCATTAAGTCTAAAGGCTGGAGCCTCCAACCCTTATGACTCTAATTCTGATTCTGATTCTGATTCTGACTCAGATCCCAGTTCACAGAGTACTGCACATCCCACATTAAAGAAAACTAGCAAGAAAAAAATTAAAAGAAAGGGTTATTCAGGATGTAAGTTTAATGTTTAAAGTTATTTCATGGAACATTGATAAAATTTTTTAGTTGATAAAACGGGACTTAGTAGTTCACTTTTAAGATATTTAGAACAGAAAGAAAATGAAAGGCGTAAAGAAGATGGTGATGATGATGATGATGATGATGATGATGATGAAAACAAGCAAAGAGAAAGAGAGAGAGAAAGAGAGAGAGAAAGAGAGAGAGAAAGAGAGAGAGAAAGGGAGAGAGATAGAGATAGAGATAGAGATAGAGATAGAGAAAGAGAAAGAGAAAGGGAAAGAGAAAGGGAAAGAGAAAGAGATAGAGATAGAGAAAGAGAAAGAGAAAGAGAAAGAGAGAGGGAAAGAGAAAGAGAGAGGAGGGAAAGAGAAAGAGAGAGAGAAAGAGAGAGAGAAAGAGAGAGTGAACAAGGTAGAACTCAAAGTAGTTCTGCTCCACGCCCAGGATTCCCCGCAAGAGGTGGTGTTTCCTCCGGTTCTTCGTCAGTTGCTATTGCTAGAAAATTAATGGCAACTCTAGGTGGAAGTCCACGACCTCAAATACCACCAAAACCAACATTTTTAACCAGTTCAGGGGAGGGTTCCCAACAATCTGCTTCATTGTCACCTCCCCCACCCCCACCACCACCCCCACCACCACCACCGGCACCTACATATCCTCTTCCCTCTTCACTAAGTTCTCCGGGTGAATCAGGACTCGGTTCTGACGATTTCCCCCCGCCTCCTCCACCTCCACCACCTCTACCACCTCTACCACCTTCCGCACCATCTCAATATCCATCTCTTCCTCCTCCCCCATACCCTACTTCTCAATCACAAGTTACACTTCCAATGCCGATGCCAATGCCGATGCCAATGCCAACTCCAGTTCCAGCTCCAGCTCCAGCTCCAAGTTCATCCGGTATCAGTAGATTTTACAGCCCCTCGCCTTGGGGAGGGGGGGCATCTCAAACTTCCTTATCAAATGGGCCATACCCAGGTCGGAGAGCTTCAAGTTTGAGTTCGTCTTATTCAGGTTCATCCTCATATCCACCCCCACCACCTCCACCAC